AGCCGAATGTTGCTTATCTGACCTTTGACATTTTTTGGAATGGAAAAACATTTTAAAAAATGTTTTAATCACCATTACACTTTCTTTGAATGCTACTCTCGCTCAATTTTATGAGTTTTAAAATTCAAGGGGTATTTCATCAAAGTGCTTCTGTCGGCTGCCTCTAAATGGTGCACTAACAAACGTAAATAATTTTTACAGTTCTAGAGCTTTTGTTTGTGAAAGTACTGACGACGATTACGGTCGTCGATTACAGCCAGAAAAGTATTTAAATTTTTTCAATCATAATTGTGAAGTCATTTAATTTGAAGTAAAGAAGGATTCGAATATTTATCTCACGACTTTACTTCAACCTTGAACTATTGTATAAAAACCACAAATTCAAATGAATAAATTCTTTCCGACTACTTAAATCAAAGAGAGAACATTTGGTGTATAGTTTCACATTCATTTTACTTTTTCCAGCGAGAAAATAATAATTTGGTCATTAAATTAATTTAAAAATTACCAAATATTTCATTCAAGACATGAGCTACACGAAATTGATGTTAAGCAAGGGAAGCACAACACCTTGTGATGACGATTCGAACTTCGTCATGGAGCTTCCGGAATGGGCGGATGAGAGAAAAATTAAGATGTAATTGATTCAAGATATGCATTTGAATATTAATTTATTAATGGCTAATTCATAAATAAATTCCAATCCTCGTTGTTCTTCCGAATAATTTCTTCTTTCCTTTAAATTGTTATTAATCATTACAAAAATGAACCTGAAAATGTTCTGCACGAGCCAATTTCTAATGAACTTCATTTCAGGGGTCAACGTTTCTTTTCCTTGAACTTCAATGCCATGAACCGCACATTTTCTGCTGGATTGATAGCAATTTTTGCGATTCCAACGATTTTAAAAATTCTCATAACAACCAATCAGTCGTCAACAAAGGCGAAAGCTTATCGAAGATACAAGGCAAATGGAATGCACACTCAACTGACATATCAACATCCAATTGAACCAGGAACAAAGTAAAAAGTTCTTTCTGTGAATAACTATCAATAACTTATTCTTATTCTCGCGCACATTTAGAGCCTGGAAATCACTGACAACTATTCGAAAAATGCATGCTATAATGACTCGTCGAACATCAAACGCAGGAAATGGAATCATATCACAAAAGGACATGTCTGCAACTTTGTTTGTGTACATGGGTTTCCCATTGCTTTTCCCGGAGCGTTTTGGCATAGTTGGATCACGTGAACAATTTGAAGCCTTTAACCATTTCTGGAGACTCATTGGTTACATGTTGGGAATTAAGGATGAATTTAATTGCTGTGAAGAGACTCTTGAAGGTACGAGAAACCGACTTGAAGCTATAAGAAAAGATTTGCTTCTTCCTTCACTTGAATTTCCAAGCAATGAATTCGAAAGTTATACAAAGACTGCTGTTGAGGGGATGTGGTATTTTAATCCTTTGGATAATAATTACAAAGTCTTGATGTTTATTGTTAAACGTGCCTTGAAAGTTCCTGGTTACTTCTATTTCTGGTCAGAAAATGATGGACACGTTGAGAAGAATAAAGAAATTTTCGCCGACTTATCACTCTGGGAACGGATTAGGATTTTCTCGGATATCATCATTTACGAACATTTTTCGAAATTTGTTGTATTCCGATGGATATTTAATTTTATTCGCTTTGCATTTGGAATTCTTGACATTTTCCCATTCTTGGCAATCTACGAGTTTGGTCGTCAAATTGCATATGTCGAGATTTTAAAGTCTAGATAAATGCAATCGTTCACTGACTACAAAGTTTTATGCTACATTTGCTCTCTCTTTGACACATCATAACAAATAAAAATAAAAATAAATTAAACTCGTTATCAAAGGCTCCAGTTTCTTCTAATCAGAAATTGATGGATGCGATTCATTGAATTATAAAATATTGAATGATTTAATGACGTCACTTGAATGATTAGATGACTATTTTATGAGTATTTGTTATTGATTTTTATTTCCACTGAATCTTCACTATAATTCGATTATCTTCCAATTTAAACTATAAGAGTTCTGATGCTGACTTTGAATTCGCCAGAAAACATTGAAATGGCGAATAAAAAATTAATTTGTCTGAAAAAATAAAGAAAGAAATTGTTTACGAGAATGACATAACAGAATTATACACACACAGACATAAAGCATGACTTTGATATATTTCAGAAAAAAACATTTAATCAATTTAATTATATTTAACTGTATGTAGAGTGTACACTGTAAGCTGCGCATCAATATAAACAAACTTGCTCTAAACGTTAAGCACGTTTGATTTCGTTGTCATACAGATTTTTACATTGTATTTGTTTTGGACAAAACCAGTCTCTTCGTCAGCTGTTTCGTTCAAAATTTGATAACGAAGAAGGTTAACTGATAAGACTTCTAAAGTTTTCATCGTGAATTTGCTGATTTAGTTCTTAAATTTGTGAGGTGTGAATCGAACGCAATGCTGACAAAAATTAAGAAAAGTAAAATAATGACTTAATTTTTTGAAATATTATGAAATCACTTGATTATTTAAGATGAAAGCTTTTCGAAAGCAATGCTCAGCAAAGGAGCCTCGACACCATGTGATGAAGATTCTAATTTCGTCATGGAACTTCCAGAATGGGCAGATGAGAACAAAATTAAGATGTAAGTTGTCATTTAACGATACATGAAAGGTTTTTAAATTTTTTACGTGAATGGTCTTGTCTGAGCATAATTTTTGTTTATGAAGGTCATTCCTATCAAGAGTTTCTTTGTTTTAATCTGTGATATTTTGATTACATAAAAAATAATTCACTAGCAGATTAAAGTCGTTTTTAAAAAATTATACCGATTAAGGTAATTAATGACTTTTTCAGAGCACAGCGATTTTTTATTTTAAATCTCAATGCAATGGTTCACGCATTGGCAATTGGTCTGGGAGCTGTTGCAGCAGTTCCATCAATTTTAGAAGTTCTAAATTTCACAAAAAAGTCATCAACTCCAGCATTGGCATATCGAAGATATAAAGCAAACGCAATACATTCACAAATATGGTACAAATATCCAATTAAACCAGGAACAAAGTGAGTTGGAAATGTATTTTAATTGGAGTTATTTAATGAATTTATGTATCAACATTTTTGTATTTTTAAGAGCATGGAAGTCACTAGAAACAGTTCGCAAAATGCACGTTGTTATAAATCGTCGGTCATTGAATTCTGGCAGTGGAATAATATCTCAAAAAGATATGTCAATAACATTGTACCTTTTCATGGGCTTCCATTTACTCATGCCAGAACGTTTTGGCATAGTTGGGTCACGTGAACAATTTGAAGCCTTTAACCATTTCTGGAGACTCATTGGTTACATGTTGGGAATTAAGGATGAATTTAATTGCTGTGAAGAGAGCCTTGAAGGTACGAGAAACCGACTTGAAGCCATAAGAGAAGATTTGCTTCTTCCTTCACTTCAATTTCCAAGCACTGGATACGAAAGTTACACAAAGACTGCCATTGAGGGGATGTGGTATTTTAATCCTTTGGATAATAATTACGAAGCAATGATGTTCACTATGAAACGAGTTATGCAAGTTCCTGGTTACTTCTACTTCTGGTCAGAAAATGATGGAGAAGTTGAGAAGAATCAGAAAATATTTGATAGCATGTCAATTTTACAACACATTAGAATATTCTTAGATATCATCATTTACGAATATTTATCAAAAGTTTTTGTTTTCCGATGGATTTTTAATTTGATTCGCATGTCGTTCGGAATTCTTGATGTTTACCCAATTTTAGCGTTGAGAAGGTTTGGTAAGAAGTTTGCTTATGTGAAGGTTCTTGATTCAAAGCAAAATAAATAAAATTAAATATTTCTCCATGTTGAACTGGATCAATAAAAGTCATAAATCATGTAATTAATTTAATACTTATATTTCACTTTTACCAATGAAATAAATATATTAATAATCTTACATGTACACATACGTTTCAAAATTCAACCAACTTGTTCACAATATTAAGCTTATGTACATAAATATTAATATCAAAAATGTGTACATAAAATATTTGTAAAACATTACAAGTCAGAGAACTAGACTTTCATTAATGTCTTTGAAACATTGAATACGAATGATTCAAATTTTCAGTTTTGATCAAAGCTTTTGCCTTCGAAAGAAACGTTTGTCATCTTCTCCCTAACAATCTTCAAGTTTAACCCAAAGTCATTAGATACTTGAACATTGTTTATTAATTGAAGGAAATTCATTTATGTTAAAGTCCTTAATTGTTAAACACTTGCTTAAGTCAAAGTAATAATTAATAAAAATGTAATAAGCAGTTTTATAATAAATGTACATTTCATTAACAAACATAACTATTAATTAAAGACTTTTCAAGAGCATAAATCTTGAAACAGCTTTGTTGAGTTCTGTGACATTTACTCTTTTGACTTTCTTAAATGAATTCCGACATAATACTCAATGGCAAACCAGAATGGGAAAAGCGTATTATTAAATATTATGTAAAAAACTCAAGAGTTAGCCCAGCAAATTGCACGCAGTCACGCTATTAATCAATTTATGTTCGCTCCACAATTCATTTTCTTTTCACACTCTTTTGACAGACATAAGAACAGAGAAGTTTAGATTGTCAAGTTAAAGATATGATATACTGTTGGATAATACTTCGTGATATTCACCAATGTGCATGTCACATATTGCGGAAGTTGATTTAATAACGAGAAATAAATAAAATGTGTTACAATTTAGTCCGCGTATTTCACTCGTCTACAAAAGAAAGAAGAAAGAACTGGTGGAAGAAGGAAATGGGTGGATAATTGCTGAGGGTTAGCGTAATATTTATTTTTATTCTTTTATAATAGCAAAACCTATGGGACATAATTTGAAGACATTAACTCTCTGTAGCGTACATAAATATGGGGACGCTAGCTGGAAAGTTGATCCCTTTTGAATTTCAGGAAATGGGGAAAAGTGTTTACTGTTTTACTGCAACTTTTCATAAAGGGACGGCACACTTTTATAGAGTGATGGAAATTGGATTAACTAATAAATGGATTTTTTTTCTGAATGTCTTTTATAAGCTTTTGAAAGCAGATTTGATTTGGTGTTTTATGAACAAATATTTGTACTTAAGAAGCTTGATTTAATAAATCAGAAGATGTTGCTTAATTTACAATCATTCATCTCATATTTCATCGTGAATCGTGAAAAATGTATGGAAATTTGTCTTATTTTACGAAAAACTTGTTTCTTGGATGGAAACTTGCATGCAAGATTTGCAACTTGTACGGACTTGTATACAAGTTACAAAATTCTATGTTTTTTCTCCTTATAGATCATAATTTTGTTTCTTTTTAAATTTTATTCAGAAACTAAAAGTAAAAATAGAAAATTGGTCAATATTTGAATGTAAAATAGTTTTTGAACATTTCATATCCATTTCATGAGTTTTATGAAAAAAAAAAATAATTACATACAAAACGAAATAAAAACTACTTAAAGGAAATGTTTCTAACATAAATATACATAATAAAAAAAAATTAAAATGCTTAGTTATAGAACCTTCTAGCTGAAATTTATGAATTTCCATCTTCAAAGATTACCTCATTAGGAACGAAGAATAAAATTAGAAACATAAACATCTAAAAGGATTGAGAGTTTGAAACAGATGCATAGTTTGAAAATGTTAGGAGTGCTAACTTAAAGCAGGTTTCATATTTAAATTCCTAATGTAAATATTTTCCCTAAAGCCACTTTATAAAATATTGTAATAAAAAAGTCCAAACATCTGAACAACTCTCATTTATTTATTTTGTGAAAGCAAAGAATTTAATGCGAAAAGGGGGGGAATGGAAGGTCAATAATCTGTCGAGTTATTTTTCATTCAATGTAGTAGGTATGTAATATCGCTTCCTATTCATCTACCTCACTTAATGACCACCACCACCACCATCAACACCCTTACCATTTCACAATTTTCATTCATTTTATGAGACATAAATTCAAAGAATTCTTTTCTCGTCGTTTTCCCTTTTCCTCTGGTATTAATTTGTTTAATTAAACATTTTCCAGCGTTTTTCGTTATGTTGAAAATTAAAAGAATAATTCTTTTGTTATTCGCTCGCAATTACTACCTTGACAGTTACAAATTGAGGCCTGTGGTGAGCTTTTGCACGTACATCTTTAAACTTTTAATAACGACTATGCAAATTTCACTACCAGAAATTTTCCATCTTTGCCAATAAACCTTTTCACATTCACGTTCATGAATATAAACTTTCTCTATCTAAAAGGTCCCTAAAAGCCTTTTCTATATTCAATAATTAATGTTGCTAAGCCAGTTTTACTTTCTTTGGGACGTTTGAAGCAGAAAAATCAAGTCAAAAAGGTTTCTAAAAGCGATAGTAAAATGAAAATGTTTGCAATTTATAAGTAAATCTTTTTTCTCCCAGGGTTTAAAAACAACTTAACATTATTAATGCTGTTTGAAAGTTTTATCAAAAAATCAGAATATATCCAGAATACCTAATTGCTTCGTGAATATATTAGGAGCAAATTTATACCTTCATCTATTTTTATTCCCTCAGCATATTAAACGATAAAGCAATAAAAAAAAGAACAAAATCAATTAGTTAATAATTTGACATTTTTTTTTCTTTTTACCTTTCAAAAGTTTTATTAAAAGTTAATTTTCCAAGCCAGGAAGTTCCTTTCGTTCTTTTTGATATCATCAAATTATATTTCATCGAAAAAGCAATGTAATTCAATTAAGGTCAATAAAGAGAGGCCCTAAATACCGTATAAATGAAAAATCATTGAGCAACGTTTTTTTTGTAAGTATGTGAAATGATTGGAAAATGTCGCACTACGACGATGCCATAAAAATTGATATCAAAAAATGAGTCAGGAAATGTAGAAAAAAAATTCCTTTTATAATTTTATTTGATATCAACTCAGTAGAAAAAAAAGTATTTTCAACGATTTTTCTTTCCATATGATTGGATTTTAATGACATTTTCGCAATCAAAAACCATTCATTCATTTTCCCTGACATCGATGTTATTGTTGCTAATGTTTATTTTAAACATACATAAATATAAATTATTAATTAAACATTCTGTTTTTTCGCATGAAGCTGCTCCGTCTGAGGATTCAATCAACAAAAGTACCTAATCCAAAATTTGTTAAGCTTTGTTTCAACGACAAAAATGCGATAGGAATAAATTTATTTTTGAGGTTGTTGTTGATGTTGTTGTTGGAAATTAATTAAATGTAAGCTCACCAATAATTTGCATAAATAAAATGTTCGTCCTCTTGTTCCATAATGATATTTAGACTAACCACATACCTGCTAAATTTACAATGAGGTTAGCCAAAGTATTAGTAACATGCAATTAATAATATTTCATGCTAGATGTTCGTTAGTTCTTCCAAAAACAATGTGAACCCTCAAGAGAGAAATCGGAGCGAAGTTTAAGTGGTTTTTAATTACGTTTCCTTCGGATGTTAAAGAATATCATCATTATTTACGAGAAATGTGTATTGTGTGTAAGCATGTTAGTTAATATCATAAATATTTTATAGAAAGAATTCTCGCAAAATTAATTCTACTCACAATACAAAGCATTCATCTATTATTAATGATTGCGGAAATTTCTTGCAACTCTAAGAACTCTCACAATGTCAAAAGCATCACAGTTAATTGTAACAAAACTAATAACATCATTCATCCGATTCATTTATTTGACACAGACAACATAAAAAAAATATCAAAAGGAGAAGGACGAGAAGAAAAAAGTGGAAAATGACAAATAATGTTTAAACTTGTGTTTGCTGATGTCGACATCTGTCATGCTTTCAAATGAAAAGAAAACTTTCATCATTCAAGATTTTCTCCAAACATTGAAATCTTGAACGAGAGAAAATTAATTTAGATGATTCGATTTCATTGTTGAAAAGTTATTTTCATTCGTTTTATCTGAAAGGAAAATGTTTTATCAGCGGTTGTTTGTTATCACAATATGATTCATCGTTAAAACTTGACGTAGATATAAATACTTGCTTTGATACGTATGAAGGCGGACACGATATAATTTGATGAAATTCTTTTGTGACTGTCTCAATGGAAAATATTTGAAAAAGTTTTCTTTTTTCTTTCTTTTTTGATTCATTCTCCCTTTCTTGCTATGTTTTGGGCTGGAATGTTTCAATAAATTTGACGATTCAGAAATGAACTTTTCCTTCCTTTCATAACATCAACATAAACTCAATTACATTAATTAAAAAAGTTTTTAGTGCGGAATCTTTTTCTAGTTCGTTATCATAATTTTCTGGTAAACATCAGAATTTAGCGGCCGGAATTTTCTTTCGTTTATGCTTGAATGCTTGAATTGATGGATTCCCAATGGAATCTAAATGCGTAAATGCTAATATAAAAGTTTGTCTACTTATCAGGCAAATCTAACAACTACACAATGACGACATTAAACCATTTAAAATAAAACCAATAAACTTTCGCTTCCACTCTAATGTAATGTTTTCTTGCAGATTAAATTGTGAAAACACTAAAACGAGCATAATATGCTTTCTCTCTCTCTCTCTCTTTCTTGCTTGTGCAACGACCAAACATAAAAGCTCATAAAAAAGGTGCTTGTTCATGCATTTTCCGCTTTAAAGGTCGAAGAAGCAATAAAAAAGCGTATTCAAATCATCTCCTTCGAGAATGTAGCGTTGAAAAATGTTTCGAGGGAAATAATCGAGGCATTATAGTGTGAAAATTTATTGTGCTTAAATGTTGAAACTCATCAAGACGCTCCCTTTTATTGTTCCACAAGCTCATACTTTGTTTGCCAAAGTCCTCTTTAGTTCGAAGGGAAAAGGAAAAACGGAAAATATTTCGTCTTCGCTCTTTCTCCGTCAGATTAATCGAGCGAGAAGAAATTTTGTTCTAAGATACCTACTTTTTTTTAAAGGGAAATAATTTATTATTTCGGTAAGCAGCGGTGATTAAAGTGATTCTGTTGGTAATCTTACTTATTCTCGATCTCTCTGCAGTTTTCCATTAACCGAAACCATTATTTATATTCTCTGACAGAGATTTCCAGTTGAATGAAGTGTTAATTTAGTGAGGATATTTTCGTTTCAACAAAAAGCGATTTGTGTGAAGTAAATGTCGAAGTGGCTTGGAACTTTCATTGCGAATTAGTTGGAAATCAGGAAAGAAATGCAAACCAATTTTCCTTAAATAAATATTTCTTCTCTGCTTTCTTATTCAAAAGCTTAAAATGACTCTTCTCATCATCTTTGTAAATATCTTCCTACAATGTTAAAGGATAAAGGCAAACATAATTCAAGCAAAGCATGTTTTATATTCCTATTTGTTCATTTGCTTGTTTGTTAATTTACTTGTTGGTAAATAAATTTTCGAGAGAAAATGAAATTACGGAATGAAATGAGAAGAACATTTGAATGAATCAACAGACTTCAAGACTTTTCAAAGTTGAAGTTAAAGTTTTGCACAGAATTTCATGCATGAGAGGTAATCAAGAGATGGTTGAAGGTTCTCAATTGATGTTTAACTTTCGAATTTAACTGTTAACTTGCTGACTGCACGTTGAGTTGAAAACTGAGTAACAAGCTCGATTTTGTATCTTTTTCTATTATTCTAGAATGAAAATTAAATACAAGTACCATTGGGTCTTGTACTCTTCATAAAAGCACTCAAAATCGCCTCAAACTTTTCAATATGCAATTACTGTTGAACATGGAAAGTTTCCCTTTACAAACATACCTAAAATAGATACTTGCAGCTAAATTGTTTTATCAATTTATACAAACATGAAGGAAGACAAGTTTTTGTTATGATCTCAAAATCGGAAAATGTGAGCAAATGTGATTATGACGGTAAACAAGATTCTCATAATGAAAGCCATAAAATTTCCTTTTAATCAAAACAAATTCATAAAAATGATTTATAAAGCTATAAATTTTGTATTCCACACAAAGGCAGCAGGAAAAAAAACCTCCGACAAATCTTTTGAATAGAAAAAGATAATAATTTATGCTTCTTGTAATTATTATTTTTTTAAACAGTTTATGGAGAAATATTTATCTATCTAGATATATGAATGCATGTCGTAAATATTTTCTCATTGAAACCAAGTGAACAAGGGAAATTTTCTCATTTCATCTCTTCATATTTTTCAGCATTTCTGATTTTTAGAGAACTTTTGTATTAATTGGTTTTCATCGAAGTTTAGTCGTTGATGGCATTGACAATATTAGAATTTCTCTTTTTAAATTTTATTGGAAACATGATGTACATATCTAGGAGCAAATCTTTATTCAAATATCTGAGTTTGAAGGGAGAAAATTAAATATGCAATTTTATTAGAAATTCACTTTTAAAGCTTTTCAATTGTCATGTTCAGTGACCAGTGAAACCTCATTCAATTCCATCAAGTCAGACATTGGGTTAGATAAAACTCAAAAAAGAATATTAATTAGAGTTATTGTAACAATCAAGAGTACAAAGGAGACGAGAAAAGCGTTTTTCACTTCGCCCATTTATTACTTGAGAGACCATCATCCCAAAAAGTCATTAAAATTTCCATCAACTTTATCAAAGATCCCCATAATTCAAGCTTTTTGAAATGACTGACTTTAAGGGGGGAGCGATGTTAGAAGGAGTTTTAATTAAATTTAATTGCCCGAACAAAAATTTTTCATAAATTGGATACTTAAGGATCTTTATTTTTTTCGCGTGATTTGTTAAAAATTTAAAGCTGATTCAAGCGATGCAAAATTAATAATTTATCGTCTTAAAGAAAGTTTGAGAAAAGTGCCAAAGGAATAAAAGGAGAAGACAGCAGAAAAAAAGAATCTTTCTTGAGTGAAATTGAGCCCTTGAGAATTATGATAATTTTATTAGATACTTTTCGTTGCTTCTTACGAATTTGCTCAAATGCCAAATGGAGAAAATACATTTATGTCTCCGTGATTTTCACCCGCACAGTCAAATTGTTTTCTTTCTTTGCCTTTTTTATTTCAATTTTTAAGAAATGCTTACGTTTCTCATTCGATGAAGCTTTCAGACTCAATTTCATTTACAAATAGCTGCTGATATCTTTCTCTTATCACTTATTTAGACTTCTTTAAAGAAAAGGAATCAAAGAAGGTTTTCGCTTTTCCATGGCTGAAAAGCATGAAAAAATTTCAGAATGATTTGCATTTACATTCACTTCTCATTCATTCTCTGTCACGTTCAACGAAAAACTTCTTTCCAGCGATCTTGACGGATTTTAGAAATAAAAGAAGATAAAGAGATAAATTGATATCGTGTAGCAAAAGAGATTCCCAGCTTTTCTCAAGCAAAAAAACTTTTTCAATCTAAATTAAACTTTTTCTTTCTATCGTGGCTATTCGCAATCTAAACAGAAGGTTATTTTATGTCACTTTGGAATTTAATTTCATTAGAGTCGTTAGCTAAGACTTAGTTGCCTGTGAAAATAATATCTTTTCCTAAAACTTTTCATTAGAATTGACAATAAAATAGAATTCAAAACTTTTCCAACCCATTTGCTAGTTTAAAGGTGTCTGCGAGTATGGAAACAATTGAAAATAAATTTGTTTTGTCTCAGAGCATTTTCCAAGCTAAAAATTTTTCTTCGGACTTTTCCTTACTTTAAGATGTGACTTCAAATGACTCTCTGCCAAAGCATTGCTATGATAAGAAAGAAATTTAAATATTTTATTTTTCGACGGCTCTTCCGTTTAAGGTTGTTAAAAAATTTATACTCAACTTGTATCATTTGAGTCAGGAAGTATCCTAAATTTCTTTCACAAATTGAACATTCAAATTTATTCTCATGATTTTGATAAGAAGTTTTATTATAACAAAACAGATTTTTAAAGTTCGTTCTTTCTAAAGATATTTAAAAGGAGAGTCAGTCGAAACCATGTTTGGAATCAACTGTGAAGGGATTTTCACTGATTTTCTCATAGTTCCACTAATTGTACATAAAGATCTGACCCCATGAATAAAAGAAAAGGATCTTACATGACAACATCTTGCTTTATCCTCTTCAGTACTTAAGTATCTAACTAAGTCGAGTGAGAAAAAGCAAAATAATATTTTTTGACAATTATTATTTACATCAACATAACTGTGAATGGGACCAGTAATTTCAGGCCAATGTTGATGGTGAAATAATTGAGTAAATGGCAACAGAAGCCTAGATAGAAGAAGGTTCATATCTAAACGACCATTTCTTATGAGAGAAAGTAAGTTTTGGAAGTGTAGAAAACACGCGCGACCCTTACGTCTCTGCCATCATCGACCCATACTCCCTTTTTCTTCCCTCGCTTGTTGTAAAAATGAAACCCGAAAACTGTTAAACGTAAAAAAGGTTGCATGTAGCTCTTTTCACTTATTCACCCTCAGCCGATCTTTTCTTTCGTTCAAGTATCATTAAACTTTTTATGGTTTTTTTTTCTCTCCTGTTGTTTTCCATTTCCGTCGAATCGTTAGGCACGCACGGAATGAAAAATTAAAAAATGATAAAAACTGGTAGAGAAAAGTAAAGAAAATTCAAAATGTTTTCCACATGAATTTTCACCGTTGCAAGTCTCTCATTTAATTCAATCAATGTTGATTTTCTTCTTTTTTTCTTTCATTCATTTTGCGAGAAAATTGCACAAGAGGGGAGAAAAAGTTAAAATGTTGAACATGCATACATGAGAACACTCAAACTCATTATTTATTAATCATCACTAAAGTGATGTCGAGGAGCAACAGTTATCGACTATGGTGGGAGGGAAGGGAAAATGAAATTATTGTAGGTGGAAAAAAAACTGTTGAGGATTGAGTTGATGGCAACTCTTGCCATGAAAAGAAACAGAACAAGAAACATTTTACCTCCTTTAATTTTGATTGGTTTCGAGTTTCGCAAAGCTCTCTTTTTTTCGATATAATTTAAAATTGATTTTCTTACTTTCAACGTCAAGTAAACGAGCACGGCTCGTGTTTTTGATGTTATCGGCATGATATTTGTTTTCTTACAAGCCTTATTGTAAATTCAAACAATCTCTTTTTTTTCTTCTGTTTTTCTGACTCCTATAACAATCTTAAAAGATGAAAAAAAAGCTTGAAATTCTAAGCCTTGGAGGAAATAATGATCCGATGATGGTGATACCTATTGGGGAATAAAAATAATCGCTAAGCCAGAAAACCACATGAAAGAAATCAATTTTCTAAGGCTTTTGTGTTAGCTTTTGGTATTTTGGTATTTTGCTGTCGACATAATGAGAATTTTCCTCCTGAGACTGACAATTTTGTCCCGCAACAACATTGCTCGACTTTACTTATCTTGAAGCTATGAAAAGGTTCTTTATGGTCAGCAAATTACATTTTTCCTCATTCACTTCTGTTTGAAACAGTTTGACTTGAAAAACTCAATTTTCTTAACCTCACGTAAATTTTTTTGGAACAAGAAAAGAAAAACATTTTTTGGATCATTGAAATGGTTCGTTAGATTATTGCGATTTATGATGGCATAATATTTTCTCCTTCCACATTTCCTCATCGGTGATGCATTTACATGAAATTTTCTTCAAATTGTTGTCAATGTCGAAGGAGGGAAAAACGAATAACAAAAGGACCAGCCCCAGGTTGCGTAATTGAATTTAATATCAATATGTTCAGATGACGATGATGATGATGACGACGATGAAATATAAACATACAAAGCAAAGAAGAAGAGTGAGAATGATAATGTATGATTAACTTTCAAATGAAGGGAAAACGATGAAGGGGAAAATTTATTTTGAAAGAAGACAAATTGCAATTTTTCATGGAAAATATTTTCTCTTCTTCTTATTTCACCTTCACTAGATACGAGCACGACACAAAAGATGAAATTTTTCACATCTGTAAGCAAAAAAAAATATGTGGAACAATTTTTTTTATCTTTTTATCCCCAGCAATTTATCATTATTTATTTAGCCCTCGATCATGCATTGTGTTCGCGCTTCATTTATCAATTTTAATTTTTATCTCGTAAGAATGAATTTTTGCCGTGTTTGCGTTGAACAAATATTGAGATAATGGATGTATCTAGTAGGTATTTATTCTTATGGAGTGAAAAATTCAATAAAAGTGAGTATCAAGAAACGATTCTACTTTTATTAATGAGTTTGTTACATGCCAACTTCACCTCGATTCAGAGAAATTAAATCGATTTCTTTTATTATTTTAGAATCATTTAAAATTAAAAACATCTGAAAATGAAATTTAAATCTTGAAAGGAATTTCTCGATTGAACATTTTTCATAAATTTCATTTTGAAATAAATTTAATTTGAATTCTTCGCCTTGCAAGGCCTTGGAAAAATGAGAAAAAACCTCAGGAAAATAATATTTTACATTCATCTCGACAACATTTCAAGTAAATTGTAAACGAAGAAAGTAAATTTAGTGAAATTCCTTCACTTTATCAAAAGAAAAAAGGAATGAAGAAAGAAAACTTGAAAAAAAGATTCAAATTACATGCCAATTAAACTAAATTTGATATTCCAAGGAATCAATTGGCAGAAAAGCTTCCTTTATGCACAAGCAGACAGAAGAAATTTTGCTTCGCAATTGCATTTAAATATAGCAGAAAACGATTCATTCCTGAAGAACCATTAACTTGTTTCAATCTAAAAGAAATTTCATCCCGTTTTTCTTTCATTATTTGTAAAGCGTTTGAGATGAAAAGTCATTCAGAAGATAACTGAAGAAAGAAGCACGATGATCACATCGAATGACGTTTAACAGATTTTCTATTTTCTCTCTGCTTTATGAAGGAATTTAATAAAAAAAAATCGAAAGAATTGCGACGACATGAATGCAAACGGAGAAACTTTCACGCCAACAATGATTCCACCAACAGATAACGACAAATGATAGAAATTTTCGCTCCAGGACATCATCCCATTATAATGCAACAACTTCTTGTTGTTTGTATTTTAATAAACTCGAAAAGTGTTGCAAATCCCGGGAATTTTCATCATTAAATGCTGTTTTGCAAGTGCCTAGCTTTGCTCTTCCTCTCATCACTTTTCCTAGTTTTATAATGAAGGAAAATTTAATAAAAAAAAGTTTAATAAGTGCAGGAGAAAGCTTTTTTCTGAGGCAAGTGAAAGATGCGAAGAACAAAGAAGTTTAATGCAATTTTCTATCATAACCGTTTGCATTAAATATTTGCTTTGCCTTGCCCACGTGTTTCTTTCAGGTACATTTTGTTGTCTTGGAAATTTAATCTCTTTAACTTAAGCAAAAATGAAGGAAAATGTCTAGCAGGGCAATAACCAGCGACGATGAAACTTTAAATTTCAAACCACAGCTCACGTCACTTGGATAATTCTTATGAATAAGTATCGCCATGACAAGAATAAAATAAACTACACTCGTTGTTGCATTGCATCACATAAAATGAGAATGAAATATGGGCTCGGAAACATTGTAACATTAAAGTTTTTTTTTCCCTTAAACTCTCGTTCAGAGATTTTCTTTACGATCTTAACAGAAACAGCAAAATAAAGTTGGCTGCCTTATAAAAATATCTGAGAAGTAATAGCAGCATAGAAGTGGATGGAAAGTTTCATTTTTCGAAAGAAAAGTTTCAATTTTTTTATTCTCTTCTTACGAATGGCTTCATGAACTGTAGTTTAAAGTTTTGTGCAGTTATTTAAACAGAAATTCCTTGTAAAATGGAAATTATTGCATTCATTTTTTTTCTTACCTTTCTTCATTTTTTGTGTGCATTTTTTCATGTTCTTTCTTAAATATTTTTTTTTAAATTGTGAAGACAAAAATGGTTGCAGCAATGGAAGGAGAGGAAAAATTCACAAGCTTGCACACAATGGAACATTAATAATCAAATTACTTACGAAGTCATTCTAAGCTTCATAACTTTCAATGGTGTTCTGTTACTTCACTGTTTTGCATAAAGCTGTGAATAAATTTTCTTTTTTCATGGATTTCTTCAAGGTTTTCCACTCGTCTATAGTTTCTGCTTCAACGTGTCTCATATTTTCTTGTAGGAATGCAATTTATGAAGTTTAACTTCATTCTTATTGAATTTATGACACAAAACTGTATCACGATAGAGTTCCTTCCACCACCAACTTCCAACAACCGCTTACATGCTTCTAAGTTGGTGTTAACACTAATAATTTTTTTCCTTCTTCCTCTTGACAGACATTTCCCATTTCCTGTTTTTACCTTTATAACTTTTAAATACCTTCGCCCATTCCTGTACAACGCGAGTTGTGTGAAAGGTGTGAAATTTATTGTAAATTGGTTTCAACTCTTCTATGTTGTATAACAATCACGAAATCAGTTAACAATTTTCGCATTCGATTTAAAAATTGAAGACTAGCTGAGGAAATGCGGAAAAACAATTTTTCATTTCGCGTGCCCATTTCAATGAATTATGTAAAAGTTTATTGAAAAATGGTTGTTGTTGATGTTGTTTGGGGTGAACACTTTTCTCAATTCATTATTTACAAATATTCTTCGTGTTCAAAATGAACGGATAGTCTATTAATTTATCAAAATTGTTTCCGAAAGCATTTATCTCGAAAATATTTTTCTTTGTTTTATGCGATCACATCGACACAAAATCCCAAATAAATTGCAACAGATTTTTTGCTCGCACGAATTATACAATTCCGTTAGTAATCAATTTACATATTGTAAATGGAAATGTTGTGTATGTAGGAAATTAATCCGCAAAAATCGAATGATTCTGAAGAGATTAAAAGAAGATTATGCAGACGAATTGAAGTTCCGCTGACCTAAAACTTTCAATTTACGTAAACTAACAATTTATTTTAAAAACTCGGAACATACATATTTTTTTCTATGGTTTTTTTGTAGATTGTATCATTTTTAATATCTAAACATTTTGCTATCCGATGTCATCGCATAATTGATAAAAATGTGTGGCATGCAGTGACCACTTCAATTTTTCTATTCTGGAGTTGCGTCACAACTCACTTCACATTGGGGACACGACAATATCAAATGTTCGAGCAAAGTTTGCTTCAGACAAATGACTTTTTCTCAGATGAAACAAAAAGAACTGATTGCTCATTTCCCTAGTGAATGACATAAGAATGATTTCAACTCGATTACGTGGTACGAAAGGATCTTTATTCCTTACTGACTATGAATGTGACGTAATAAATGAACAAAGTTGAAAATTTTATTATCCCATGTGAGCCGAGAACATCATAAAATGAACATTCGTCGAATAATTGCGTTTTGGCCGCAAATATGATGCAATTTTTTTTTGCTTTTCGTTACCGCTGATATCATCCACATGAAAGCTTCATTAAGTCAAGCATAAAAACATTTTCTAGCTAAAAATAAAGTGATATATGCTAGCCGCTCTCGTGTTCAGTTTTCATAACAAGCAAATGAATAATAATTAAGATTTTTTATTCAAAATAAAGATTGAATTTTACTTATTTATGCAACGGAATATTTGAAATTTTAGCCAAGACACATTCCGCTGTCATCATCTACACAACCATTCAACAAGTTGCGGACTTGCGACATTGTCAGTGCCACTCAAAAAGTTTTATTAAATTGAGAAATAATGTACAAATTAAGAATTTTACCTTTTAGTTACACAATAAAATCAGTTCGATGTCTTCATTATGGACAAGCAAATGTATTAAAATCGAATATCAATCGAAATTCTGATGAATATCAGGTAAAAATGTTCATTTCTTCTAATCAGATGATCTTATCACATTTCGATTTTGCTGGATAAAATTTTTTATGACATCACAAATATTATTTAGGAAAACTTCAACGCATTATCGTCAATTGTAAACAATCTTCGAATTATAACGCAAAATGTGTTAAAAACAGATGAAACCGCCATCAAGAGACACACGTCAAAAGGAAAATTGTTGGTTCGTGAGAGAATTTCAAAACTTCTTGATCCCGGCTCACCATTTCTTGAGTTATCTCAACTTGCTGGATATGAAATGTATGGTAAAGAAGTTGTCAATTCTGGTGGAATCATTACTGGTGTTGGGAAAATTTGTGGACAGCTAACGATGATTGTTGGCAATGATGCAACTGTCAAAGGCGGTTCTTACTACCCAATAACAGTAAAGAAGCATCTAAGAGCTCAGGAAATTGCGCAAGAAAATCGTCTACCTTGCATCTATCTTGTTGATTCAGGAGGTGCCAATCTTCCACGTCAAAGCGACGTCTTTCCTGACAAAAATCATTTCGGTCGAATATTTTTCAATCAAGCGAATTTGTCATCTGCTGGCATTGCACAAATAGCTGTGGTGTTAGGAAGTTGTACAGCAGGTGGTGCTTATGTTCCAGCTATGGCTGATGAATCTATCATTGTGAAGAATCAAGGAACAATTTTCTTAGCTGGTCCACCTCTCGTCAAAGCAGCGACTGGAGAAGAAGTTTCAGCTGAAGATCTCGGTGGAGCTGATCTTCATTGCAAGACTTCTGGTGTCACAGATCATTATGCTGTTGACGATGAACATGCTTTATATCTCGCAAGACAAATCGTTGCTAATCTTAATCTTCCAGATACAAATCGCTATGACGACAATCTCAAGTGGGATTATTCAGTGTCTCGAGGCGGCAACGAAATCAAAGTTTCCGATGTCGAAGAACCTGCATACGATCCTTCTGAACTCTACGGAATCGTCGGTTCATCGTTAACAAAGAATTTTGATGTTCGTGAAGTTATCGCGAGAATTGTTGACGGTTCGAGATTTCAAGAATTCAAAAAACTTTATGGTGAGTCGTTGGTGTGTGGATTTGCAAAGCTTTATGGGAAAACGATTGGAATTGTTGGTAATAATGGTGTGTTGTTCAGTGAGTCTGCTCTTAAAGGAGCTCACTTCATTCAATTGTGTGGTCAACGGAATATTCCGCTTCTCTTCCTTCAAAACATCACGGGATTCATGGTTGGTCGTGAAGCAGAATCCCAAGGGATTGCTAAGAATGGTGCGAAGATGGTGAATGCTGTAGCAACAGCGCGTGTTCCTAAATTGACTGTCATCATTGGTGGATCTTATGGTGCTGGTAATTATGGCATGTGTGGAAGAGCTTACTCGCCAAGATTCCTTTACATGTGGCCAAATGCAAAGATTTCAGTCATGGGCGGTGCTCAAGCTGCTGGGGTTCTCGCTCAAATCACTGAAGATCAATACAAAAGGTCGGGCAAAGAATGGACACAAGAAGTTGGTGACAAGATTAAAGCGCCAATCATCAAGCAATTCGAAGAAGAAAGTTCAGCTTATTATTCATCAGCTCGTCTATGGGATGATGGAATAATCGATCCAATTGACACGAGAAAAGTTCTCGGATTGTCACTTGCAGCAGCTCTTAATGCTCCAATCCAACCAACTCATCACGGAGTCTTCCGAATGTAAACAAACAGACTTTCCATGACTGAAAGCATTTACAACGAAATTTGATGCATTTATTAGACAATTAAGAAAAAAATGTTGAGGACCAAGTCCCCCGCCCCCGCAATATCCCAAAGTCAAAAATTTCTTTTAATTTTTAATGATTTTATTTTAATGAAGTTTCATTCTTTTCATAATTTGAAATAAAAAAAAAAGAATTAAAAATTAATTGAGTTTTATTTTTAGAAAATTTTTCATCTTCATAAAGAACACAAAAATTGGAAAATAATCAGCTTAACAATTGAAGAGACACAATCAGTCTTCTTCTTCTTTTTTTCTTTGATTGATTCCTAAAATATTTAATAAGCGTTTTAATTATCATCGTTTTGATGACAATTCTCTTCAATTTATCGTCAACTTTTCCATCATAAATGTTCGTAAAACATGTTTAAGCTCTTGTTGCGCAAACTCTTGTGGCAGTGGCAAACGTTCCAAAGCTGTTCTCATTAAAGCACAAGCTTGACTCCCATAAGCTGATGAATTTGCGTAGAAGTTACGAATAATGTAGGCAAGTTGCTTGGAAATGTCACATTGACAAAGACGATGCTTTGATGTTGGACATGGAAAGAAACGAATAATTGAGCAAAGATCTGAAAGCTTCGAGCTGATTTGTTCGAGAAACAAATCTTCGTCAACATCTTCCATGTTCTCATTTAAAGTTTTAAACTGTGAAAAGAAAATGTTTGTTGATTAAAAAATTTAAATTGTGATCAGGGAACGGAACAGATTCAGATTTTCCAATGCTCGTAATTAAAAATTTGAACCGGCTCAGATTCCTGGATTAACAAATTATTTTTCACCTTCTCATTTAACTCGATGAAATGCAGTAAAACTTCTCCTTGTGTCTTCCAATTTTGAATATCATGACAATCTTCAAATTGCTTCAACAAAGACTTCAGATAATCCATTTGATCATTGATGACAAGATCTGGCGCAATATGTCGCATCATAACTTCATGGGCACGCGATGATTGCTTCGCTTTCAATAAATACTTCAACTCAACATGATGATTTCCCATTGCCCCAGCACGAACAGCTTTACTGTAACTGACCCACTTTTCTGGCACTTGCAATGTCTTAACAACAAATTCTTCTTTTTCTGAGTAATTTTTATCCTCGTTGGATTCTCCATCGATACGAATATGACGATAAAGAAGTTGCTGAATGGCATTTTCACGATGATTCTTGTCATTAACATGAAGCATGATCCAAATCGACCATTCCCACATTCCATTCGTCTCTAATTGTTCAGCTAACGACGAATAAATCTTCAACCGACAAGAATCACTCAAATGATGATAACCGAGAGTGTCGAGAACTTGAAGTAATAAAAATGATAATCGAAAGTCCATCAAGTCCATCGTGTAGTTAGCTGGATGAAGTAAAGTTTCAAGTGGATGACTTCGTTGACTAAAAAGTTTCATCAAGTGAAATCTTATGTCGTAGTACTTAAAATCATGACTTGAGTTCATCAATTGATTGACATATGACGGAGTTGGCGGTGCAACTTCATATTCAAGATGTTGGAAGTTTTGTTCGTAAGCATAAAGTGCATCAGTAACTGATGAAATTGGTGATGAAATGTACCATAATTGAAGTGCTAAAGATTTCAACCAATCGATTTGACTAAAAATGTTGATTGGTGACATCTTTGGGCCTTCCATCGCTGACACTCCACCAATCATCATCATAATTCTTAATCGTCGTTCATCGATGAACTCATTTGATTTATTTTCACGCCAACTCTCCAATTGATGTTGAATTAATTGTCTAATTGCTGGTCCGCCACTTGATTGTGCCATCAGAATGCTGAGATTAATGTCGGAATTACTCAAAGCTAAATCGCAAGCTTCGTTCACTTTATGACACATCATGTAGTTCATTAAACGATCAAGATAATCGACATTAGATTTCAACAAGTCGTTGTCAGTCACGACACTTTCAATCCAACTTGAGAGAAGATCGCGACGCAACATGACAACCGCGTGTTCCCACGGATCCATGTCATCGATGAATCCCCACAACGCATGCATCAACGACCAAACTGTGGCATTAAATTGACATTCCTGATTATCTCTTGCAATCTTCTGTGCATATTTATGATGTTCAAGAAGCGCATCCGTTCCACCACCAGCTTCAAGACGTGGACAGTCGCTGTCGTCAACTTCCATTCTTTTATCATGTTTCAATCGAATCTTTAAATGACCAACAATTGATTTATGGAAATCTTCTCCCGTTGATTTAATTTGACGAATTGTGACAATCGACTTTGAAGTGTCGCCGTAGGATCGTCCATCAAACAAGGAATCTTGACGATGTTGTTGCTGCTGTCGTTGAGTGCCTAAAACTGTAAATTTATTTCCACAACTCCAACTAATTTTAAACTTTCGTCCATGAAAAAATGGAATTGTGTTGCTTTTTCTTTCTTTGATTTCGTTTAAGATTGAATCGTTCATTGGCAACATCATGTCGACAATGTCGAACAACATAACGCGTGGGCGGACAATTAATGGCGCTGACTTTGGTCCAATTGGCTTTGGAACTTGTAATGGAACTAAATCTTGATGTTTTCTTGTTGTCAGCGATGATTCAGTTGAACTTTTCTCATGAACTTTCTCACCAATCATCGCATCGTCTTCGATAATTCTTGCACTTGACATCAACAATCGATTTGCGAACGAAGATGGTTTGTGGCCAAAGACTGTTGGCACCATTTGGTCAGGACTTTCACGTCCTTCAGTCATGTCACTCATCACTGATCGTGTGTCGTAATCATCTTCAACAAAGAACGAAGCTTTCATCAATTGTAACTTGTGTGGATCAGCGCGCATTTCTTTTGCAAGTGCTGCTGATGGACTGGTTGGCCCTTCGTGTGTTAAATCGACCATTTCATCTTCAGGTTGAAAGTCTGTCAAGAAAAATTAATTAAACAATGCAATGAAAGAAAATTAAACTTCAACTTACATTGCTGGAAACTTCTTTGCCCAACGTGTTGACCAAGAAAGAAACTTGCTTCCTGTTGTCTAATTCTACTCATTCCTTCACTTCCTGTAAGATTTTCTTTACCAACTTCCGGTTTCTTTCCATTTTTAAGAGAAGCTGCAGCACCAGGCGGAAGTTGTTGAGGTGGAATAAGTTTGGCTTTCTTTGGATCCACTCTCGGTTCACTTTCTCCACCATCGTCTTCATCTGAGTCACTCAATGTGTATTTGGAAAAATGTTCAACTTTAAATACACAACTTCCTGTTTCCGGTCGATATTCAATGAATCTTGTTCCACGTTTATCGCAAATTCTTCTCAATTTCGCTTCATATCCAAGTGCTTCCAAGCGTTCTGGATCTTTGATTGGTTCGTGAGTATTTTTATCATGTGGCCAAATCTGATCTAACGTCACTTGAGCTTTTCGATTCAAACCTTCCCCAATCGGAGGCTTATTGTCATCATCTTGATACAGAATAATTTCCTTATTTCGGAAGTGACAAATCTCATCAAGATTCAATCCTGAAACGTCCATTTCATGATCGAAATAAACATTTCCATAACCACGACGACCAATCGTGAAGTCTGAAACAACGCAACGTCCTTCGGTGTCTAAATATTCAACAAGTTCGTCTAATGATGGGATTGTGTAATAACCAGCACGTCTTAAGATAATTCCAGTTGGATGTGGATCTGATGGACCGGTGATGATTGAAATGTCAGCTTCAGATTGCGCATCTTCATTCGAACGAAAAGTTTCATTCAACATCGAAATGGAATTTGGCGACGATTGCTCGATAATTTGTGAATTTTCTTGATCTTCCTTTCCTTTTGAACTGTTTCGAATTGAATGCATTTGTGTGAAAGTTGTGTCACCGAATGTTTCGCGTAACTTTGGACGTGGACGAATCCCTTGCGACGGTGCCGTTCTTAGCCAAGAAACTCTTCGATCAGTGTCTTGATCGTCATCTGCTGGTTGTGAAAATGGAATTTGATTGCGAAATGATTCAGGCGCGTCATTTTCTTTCTCTTGAATGGCCTTTGGATCGTCTCTGACTTTGATGAATGTCGTTGATGAATCGTCAACTGTTGTGATTCTCGAAATGTTATTTGGACTCTCTCTCGGTTTAATAATTAAACGCTTTGGATTAACTTTCAAAGTGAAACTTTCGTCAAGTGACTGATCGTATTCTTCAAGTCCGTCAAACAAAGATTTCTTCGTCACCACACCACTGATTGGCTTCACTTTCAGCTTTGCACCAGCATTTGGCGATATTCGATAATTGTTGCTGGCTTCTAAAAGCGCTTTTTGTGCTGCAGGATTTGTTGGCTTAAGAGAATCTTCCGATAATCCAATAACTGGTTTCAATCCTTTAAATAATTCATTTTCACCGTAAGGATTCGAAGCGAGCGCTAAAATTTTCTGATGAATTTCTTGTCCAATTTGCTGTTGTTGAATTTGTTGCTGTCCACCAAAAAGATTCGGTTGTTGTTGTCCAAATGACATGCCTGAAGTTGCAACACCAAAACCACCTGTGGATGTTCCACCGAAGAGTCCGCCAGTTGCAGCAGTTGAGCTGCCACCAAACAATCCACCAGTCGTTTGATTTGTTGGCCCAAACAACGATCCACCGGTGTTTTGTCCAAACGATACTGTCGGTGCTGCTGTCGCTTGTGGTTGACCAAAACCACCGAAACCAGTTGCTGGGTTTTGTTGATTAAACAGACTCGAGCCAGTTGTTTGTCCAAAGCCAGTGAAGCCAGTTGTTGATGTTGATGGTTGTGCAGCACCAAAAGCTGACGTTCCTGTATTAAATGTTGGCTTCTGTGAGCCGAAAAGTCCTGTCGTTGTGTTTGTGTTGCTTTGTCCGAATCCGAAACCTGTTGATGGTGTTGAAGTAGCACCGAGACCAAAAGCAGGCGCTGTTTGTGAAGTTGGATTTGCTCCGAAAAGTGAAGTTCCTTGTGTCGGTTGTGTTTGACCGAAAGCAGGAGCTGCAGCGCCAAATGTGTTGGTTGTTGTTGATCCAAAGGCAGGCGTTTGACTTTGACCGAATAATCCAGTGCCAGGTGTTGCCGTTGCTTGTCCGAAAGGTTTCGCAGCACCAAATGTTGAAGTGTTGGCGCCAAACGCTGTGAAAGCTGACGTCGTTGCTGGAGTTGTTAATGGCTTTCCGAACAATCCTCCAGCGTTTTGCTGTCCAAATGTTGATGAGGGTTGACCAAAAGTACTTCCTGAAATAATTTTTTTATCATCAACCAAAATGTCATTTGAAATTTCTTTTTTTAATTAAATTCTTACCTCCAGTTATAGCAGCTCCGGTTGATCCAAACAGCCCAGGTGTCTGTTGTGTGTTTTGTTGTGTACCAAATAATGAAGTTGGCTGTTGTTGTTGCAATGTTGAGCCAAAAACTCCTCCAGTTTGTGTGTTACCAAACAATCCAGCACCAGCTTGTGGTCCTTTTCGATTTGCAGCATAATCTTCAATACGTAACTCTTCTAATGATTTTTCTGCATATTCCTTCATGAAAGTTATGCATTGTTGCTTTGTTTGAACATAAGATGCTTGTGAACCTTTCATAAGAGTGTCGGTCTCTTGTGGTGCTTGAAATTTTGCAACTGCAGTTCCAGATTGTTGATTACCTGCCGGTTGACCAAAACTTGTCGCTCCTGCACTGCCAAATAAACCACCAGCTGTGTTTGTGGTGCCAGTTTGACCAAACAAAGATGTTTGCTGTGGTTGAGCTGGATTTGTGGAGAATAAAGATGTTGAAGGTTGTTGAGGTTGACCGAAACCGAATCCTGGTGGTTTTGCTGCTCCAAATGCAGGTGTTGCTTGTGACCCAAACAGTGATGTTGTTCCGGTTGTACTCGTATTACCGAAAATTGAAGTTTGTTGTTGTTGTGGTTGTCCAAAGGCTGTTTATTTATTTATTATTAATATTTATCAGTAAATAAGTTTGAAAAATGAAACTTACTTCCAAAACCTTGTTGTTGAGGTGTACTAGTTGCTCCAAATAATGAAGATCCCCCAGGTTGCGGAGTTGCTCCGAACACTGAGGTTTGTTGTTGTCCAAAAGTGCCAAATGCTCCTCCTGGTTTAGCGAATGCTGATTGACCAAAACCAGTGTTTTGTTGTGGGGAATTGAATGATGAAAAGGCTGGCGTAGAAGGTTGCCCGAAAGTATTTTTCGATCCTCCAAACATTTTTATAAAATTTTAACTGTCTTTTAGAGGTTATTTGTTATTTAGCTATAATTGAGGTCTTTCCGAGCAGCAACCGATAAATGGCCAGCTTCCTCAATAAACTTCTAATTTTAACAATGACTTAATATTACTTCAACTGAATAATTTTAAAGAAGGCGTAAGTTTATGAAATATATTTAAAGAAGCCTTCAACTTTTTTATTTCATAAGTTTTGAACTGAACAATTTCTGTCAGTCTGTCGAAATTTTAGCAAATTTTTGAAATGCAAAAAACCGTTATATTTTTTATTAACCTTTTTATTCTACATTTAAGGATTAAATATGAGGAAAAAATGTTTAACTGCTTTCTGCTGCTTGTGAAGCTTCATGATATTCAATTTTCTCGCCACATTCAAATCTCTGAAAATCTATAATTTTTATATTATGCTCTTGCAGCATTTGTCCTATTGTTACTTCGGGATCTAAGAGAAATTCTTGATGTATCAAGCAAGTTTCTTCATCTTTAACTTCGTTAGGCTTATCAACTTCAATGTCACCAATTTTCAATGGATTCATGCCAACGATATGTTGACAAATTTTACGATGAATATTCAATATCTCCTCGGTCTTCTCACTGTTGCTATTAAATGCAGCAATCGATCCGTATTTTCCTAACATCAACAGTCCCTCTTCGATTGGAGTATCTGGAGTTGGATGTATGTAACCACTTAAACGAACTGATTCTGGTGACTTGTAACAAATTGCTCGTTTCAACGAAGCATTTTCACCAACAGTTCCAATTAACAAAGCTAAATGATCGTTTAAAGTTTTTCCGTCTTCCAGCTTTAAATTACGTAAAGTTTCACCCTCGAGCCCAATCTTTGTTATTTTATTGACATTGTCTACTTCTGAAATGTAATGAGCACAAGCTTTTGATGCTTTTCCAACAAATTCTTGAAAGTTTTCGTTTCTGGCAACAAAGTCAGTTTCACAATTAACTTCCACCATCGCTCCAATGTGTTGCTGAACAAGGACACCAATTAAGCCCTGAGTGGTTGCTCTTCCTTCCAGTTTTGTTGCTTTAGACCATCCTAATGCTTGTGCTTGCTCTTTCAACCATTGTTCTGCCTAAAATTACACAACTTTGAAGTGGAATATTTCTTTTAATAATTACACGATTTCCAACCTTCGTTAAATCATTTTCATGAAGCTCTAAGGCCTTCTTGCAGTTTGCAAACGTATATCCTGTCTTCTTTCTTAAAGCCGACAAAGCACTTTTATCTGTCGATCCCCACACACTTCGAGTCACATGAAAAAACCTCGTAAATTGTTTGTAATACATAATTTCCTTCCGATTCTAAAACATTGTCAAGGAAGTAATTTAAATTGGTTAAATTTATATCTATTTAAAAAAGAAAATTAAATTCAACCTTTTATTATAATTTGTGAACACTGGGAAAGTGAATAAATATTGCAATTCTATTTAATTCGATATTTTGCCGATTATTAAATTTTTTTTCAACAATGCTAAAACCGCCCAGCTGACAAAGAAGTCTGAGATTAACGTGACAACATCATAAGCAAATCTAAAGCTTACGTGACATCACTGGGATTATTTTGTTTCAACTCATGTTAAAGACAAGTTTCTGATATTTTTAAGATTTCCAAGAAAGTATCAGTTGATTTCACTTAAAAATGACAGAAACCTCAAGTAAAGATGTAAATAGTTCTAAGATTAGTGAAGAAAATAATAAAAAAATAAATAATAAAGATATAAAAGAAACTGAAAAGAAATGGGTGAGTTGAATAAGAATTTTAAGGAAGTGCAGACAAAATATATTAAACATTAATCATCAGGGCTATGACCTTTACCCAGAACGTAAGGGAGAACCACTCAAAAGAAGCTGGAGGAACATTTTACTTGGAAGAGAAGGACAAGAGCCGATTGAAAAATATAAATGTGAACAGAATGTTTACAAATGTGTCTTAAACTCGCCTCTCATCAAGTTGATGATGGGTGCATTGAAATCTAGTGGTTGTCCAGTTGATATTCGTCGTCATATTTCATGTGAAGTGTGCGATAAATCTGTAACTGGTGGCTATGATCCCGTCTTAAATCAAATCGTTGTTTGCCAAAATATGGCAAAAACTGAAGGATTCGTGCAAGGAGTTCTGGCTCATGAATTTGTTCACATGTTTGATTTTTGTCGAAACGATTTAGACTTTAGAAACATTGATCATTTAGCATGCACTGAAATAAGAGCTGCTAACTTAACTCACTGTTCATTCATGTCAGCAATAATGCAAGGAGACGCTTCTCCACTTAACATCAAAGCCACTCATCAATATTGCGTGAAATCGAAAGCTCTTGCATCAGTGCTAGCAGTTCGAGATGTAACACTAAATGAAGCAATCGAAGCTGTTGAAAGAGTCTTCCCCAAATGCTACAATGATTTAGAACCAGTTGGTAGACGTTTGAGAAGAAATTCCACTGACATTTATAAAGCTTATCATGAAGGTTTTTTGTATGGATACGACATTTATTAACGGTTACTTATAGCCAAAAATATTTAGTTGAATATTTTAGAGGTGAGCAAATTTTGTTGATGCTATTAAAAACTTCCCGTTTGGTAATCACGATAAAATCTTATAATTATAAACACAAAAATATTCTGGCTAAGCAATTAATGATTTTTCGAGTATAAATATTTGTTATGACTAAAGTTTAATGTTCATTAACGTTTCAAAAGCCTTCAAAATATAAATTTAAGAAATATCTGCTATGGAAAATTGTGATTTTCTTCCACAAATAATTGACTTCATCATTGGAATGATTTTCCCAAGTGATTACAAGTTCTTCTCATTGATGGATTATTAACTAATTTAACATCATTTTATCTTCTTTTCTTTAAAGGTAGTCCCGATGATTCCGCTGAAGCAGGAAACTGAACGAGCAACAAATTAAATTAACATTTCGTGTATACATTTTTTCAAGAAATAAAATGAAAAATTAGTAAAGTTCTGAACATACATTTTATTCATTTGTTTTGAAATTTATAATTTTTTTACAAGTTTACATAATTAAGAAAATTATTCCTGTAGATTCTGTTACAAATAATTTTTATCAACAATTTTTGTCAATTAAATTTAAAAATTCACTCAATATTGAAATTGTTAATGGATATGAATCGTCAATGCATCTGTTTCCGCTAAAGTTCAATTCGATTAATTTCTTGAGTGGACGAAATATTTCAACATTAATTTTGTTAAGTTGATTGTTTGAAAATCTTAGTGAAGCTAACATTGGATTGCTTCTGAATAAATTCTCATTAATTTTATGCAGCATATTGTCATTTAAAGAAAGAAGTTTTAAATTCATTAAATTGGAAAATGTTTCAGTTTCTATTTTACGAATTTTATTTCCACTCATGAAAATCTTTTCCAACTTTTGTAATCCGTAAAATGAATCATTGTACAACGCTTCAATTTTATTGTATTGAAGGTTTAAATACTTCAACTTCTTCAATTTATTCACTTGATTAAAGCTGTCCAACTCAGAGTTTTCAATCACAAGAACTTTTAAGTTAGGAAAGAATTTATTTATCCCATCTGGAACGATTCTTACATTCTGTCTGTACACCAAAAAGGCTTCAACATCTTTAATGGTTTTATTCTTGACACTCAAACCTTGAACAGAAGTCACTTCTTGCATTTCTCTTTGTGGTGCTCTCATTAAAGTGTGACAATAATAAACTTTAGAAAGGCCATTGCCGAATGATTTGTATCCGTCTTCACATGTCACATTAAGAGCTGAAGTGTCAGTTATCACACAAACCAGAAACGTCAATAAAATGATCCTTTAATAAAATATTTGAAAGAATTGTTTATGATCACATTAAAATTTCTCACGTTTTCATTTCTAGATTTAGATCTTGCTGAAAGCTTAAAAAATGAGAAAAAAGCAGAGACTGGCGTGTTGTTGTTTTTATTTGTCGATTGCTTCGCTTAACACTTTTGAAGAATTTACAACTTAAACACAAAGAAATTTATTCCACAAACATTTATGACATTTCTTACACGTTTTCAAAGTAAATATTTATTAACGATGGATGATAATAAAGTCAATAAATTTAGTTAATGGATTAAATTCAAAATACATTCATCAAATGTAAATTATCGTTAAAACTTTTAATGAAAATGAACTTTTAATCTTTACGAGTAATTTACGATTATGAGAGTTAACGATGCGAGTAACATTGTCTGTCCCCACTCATGTATCCGTAATCAGGAGAGAGATGATTGCGTCTAGAAAAATGTTTGTGTGGTTTAAGTTGTAAATTTTCGTCTAATTGTGGAATTTCTGTTGTTATACTGTTAGTATCGATATTATTGATTTCGATAATCTGTTTCAGCTTATTATGAGTGTCAATAATCATTTTAATTGCATGTAGAACAAACTCTTTTGTTGTTATTTGGAAACGGAATCGCAAAGTGTAAATTTGTTTGAAAGATGTAAAAAATGAATCAAGAATGCTAATTTCGCAAACTTCGGTGTGTTCGTTAAGAGACTGTACGGACATCATTCGTTTCTTGCAGGATGGACAATTATGTTCCAGCACACGATTGACTGTTGGTTTGTAAGGATTAGATGATATTGTGATGTTGGCTCCATGGAATTGATCAATAAAATGTCCATCTTCATTCGTTTCGTCTTCAAGTTCTTCAATTTCACGTTTAGTTATTTTTCTTTGGTCAATTTGACTGGTTTCAAGGTGCAATGATTCTCCCTCTTTCTCGGCAAGACATGTCCTTAAATTAGCTGCATTTGAACGAATTCTTAATCTCATTTCAAAGGCATGTTGAAGATATCCAAGACAATGTTGGCATATAAATTGTGGCAATGTATCATTAGGTGAAACCTAAAAAGGTAAATAGAATTAGTTTACGACTTGAAAATTTTGTTTGAAATTTGAAACCTTTTCTCCAGACACTTCAGCAATAATTTCTCCAATTGTTTTATTCCAAAGTCTTTTATCACTGGATGGACGAATTTTAAAATAATTTCTTGTTATGTTAGAACTGATGCTTATAAAGCCCTTTGAACTGCAGACACGACACAAATTCTTAACACTTTCTAATGTTTCATGAAATGCTGGTTTAAGTGTTGAATTTTCTTTTGTTGATTTTCTTTTTATATCGATTATTTCGATTTCATCTATAACCACATTATCCTCATACATTACACCTTCTTCATCTTCTGTGTCGTGTTCAGTAGACTCTTCAGTTGATTCATAGCGATCCAGCCACTTACTTAAAGACAACATTTTTAAAAATAATAAAAATAAACTTTAGGATGTTTATTTCGTGATTTCTGAAACTTTTTTCTTCTATGAGAGTGTGAGTGAGTTTGTTATGATTAGTAGCTAGCCCCTCGAAAAATTCATAAATAACGTACTTCAAATATCTTAGTCAAATTAACTTTTAAGAATAGTGAAAATTGCCAGAAATAATTATTAACTGTGAAATAAACGTTCAGATTATATGTGACTCAATTCATGGATATTAGATGATGATATAAGATCGTTTTATCTGTTTATTTTGTTAGTCTCAACTGACGAAGTTTTCCTATTGAACGACCTTAAACGACCTTAAAATTCAGTCAAAATACTTGGAGTCATAAAGTGTTTCGGAGGAGAAATTATTACTTAAAATTGTGGCATTTGCAATAAAATGTATCGTATAGTTCTGATAAGGTTGATTAAGTTGACAGCTTGTTCAATGTCGGAGCAAAAACTTCTCAAATATTCATAAATTTTCACTTTTCATTCTGATGAAAATGGAAAGAACTAAAAAATTTAATAAGAGAGAAAACTCTCAATTATTAAGATAGAAAGATAACAGAAATAAATGAAAGTAAAAGTTTCTGTGTGTGATGTGATGGTAATTAAACGATAGAAATTTATTGGTGCTATTGTTTAAGAAGAACAAAATAAAATAATACACAATTTGACTCTAAAAAAATATGCAATTCAATCCTTTCCTCACAATGAAAAAAAAAAGTTCTTTGAACCAAAAGACGAGATGTTTTCAAAAGTAAAGCACAAAGATACTCAAGTCGAAATTTTGTAGGAATGCATTCAAAAGAAAAATATTGTGTGTACTACGTTTAGTGAATCTGTGTATTTGTTTTAATTAAATATATCTCGTCCATTCATTTTTAGTAATTCGCGATTGACAGACATCGCGAGATTTTTCTCAATAGAATATTTCTAGAATAAAGCAAATCCTTTTCGCTAATTTAAACAATCGCACACATTGAAAAGTTTAATTATTGAAATAAATAAATCGAAGCAACACCGCTTTGTATCAAGCTGTCGGCTCAAACTGGTCTCATTCGGAAAGCGGTTCGATAATAAAAAATTATTGAGTGACAATTAATTTCTCTACAGGCTCTTTGTGCCATCGCAACTAGCTGAAACACTTCCATCGTGTGTGCCATAATATTGGGATTGATTTACGAAATTCGGTAGGCTTAATTATAGTGAATCTATCTAAACGACCTTTCAATGAACTTCATTAGATCAATTGAAGCGCCGTGCGCGTGTTGATGCTTAAATGTTCACATTCTTTTATCGTAAACTTTTTGTTTACCATGCTAAGAACGTTTGTGTCCCTTTTGCGAAGTGAAAGTCACGTAGACAAAATGTTTGCGCGTTGAAAAAGAACCGGACACAATTTTCATTGTTTAGAACTTCGAAGTTGCATTAGTTATTAGCATCTTTTAACTCAATGTTTAACACATCATTGATAACAGTTTGCATTCAGTGATATAGGAATGACGACAACAACAAACATTTGGAATAAATATAACTATGACTGTGTTTGTTATTATAAATGATTCTTTAAATACTTAAGCAAATAATGATAACTTTCGGTATCACTGATCATTAGGTAGTATTTAATGCATTCATAATTAACAAATATTTCATTATAATCCCCGAAAATAAGCAAGAGTCGGGAGAAATGTTGATAATTGTATGCGTTCATTGTTCATGTCGGTCACACGATTAAAAAAAGAATTTATTTAAAGCAACTTGTAATTTGAAAAGGAAAACAAAAGTTTTCTTTTTTCGCTTGATGATATTTCTACACGTTCGCCCACGCAATTTCCCACACAACTTAGTCTTATGATTTTCTTTTTTTATTTATCAACGAAAATGAAAACTGTCTTCAGTTTATCCCGAAGCACTTTATCGGTTTGTTTTTTTCTTGACGTTGAAGGAGAAAGTTTTTCTCAATTTTAATTTCTTCTCTCGTTTTTTAATCATTCGATCAAAATGTCAAATGACGAAATGTTCGCTAATATATTTTTTTCTTCTCAGTTATTCACAATTTCTCCACCCTCACAAGTACTTTTAGAGGCAAGGAAAAATCTTACGCAATTAAAGATTTTCCTTGCATATTCAATTGCTTTGAAATTAAAACTTTGAAAAAATTCTCTTTTTTATCGCAGTGGGTTGATGAACACTACACAGCCCGTGAAGGAACCCTCGCAAAAGCCTTCTGGCCAGTACAAGTCATACCATCATAATCAGCCAATTCAACATCAACCACCATCATTATCATTTATATCAAGGGCCTCAGCGTTAGAAGCCGGCAAAATCAACGCAACAACAACTCACATCGAACTTGAACAGCAGCCAAATTGCGTCTCAGCATTACTTACAATGTCTTGTCGTGGACGTGCCGAAGCATTTGCTCGAAGCCTACAATCAAGATTGAGAACGTTGGGGAGTCAGGTGAGACTGTTTTTGGCATTTCATCTTAAAAACATTTATAAATAATTTTCCGTTTATTTCCTTCGTCATTTCAATTCAAGGATGATGATCAAGATGTCGACACTGTGGATTCATCAGATTCAACTTGGATCAACAATAACAGCAACAACACAAATTCAGCAACAATTACAGACTTACAGCCGCGTTTGTCCAATAGCAATAGTAATAATAATGCAACAACCATCACCACCGAAACAGCAGACTCATATTTTGATTTTGACATGGAACCAGAGTCACCAGCTTCGCCAATTGATGAATGCGAATACACACGACTGATTGAAACAACAGGTTCAACGCCTAGTGAACAGCAAGCACCAGAGTCGGGGTTCGTATGTGCTTCACCTTCTTCCACACTTGGAGGCGAATCTCGGGGAAGTGCAAGCAGCTCTGAAACACAATTCTTCGATCCTGAATCATCCGACACAGGCACAGAGTTCTTTGACTGTCCACCAGATAGAAAACCTCCACGACGCTATCAACATTTGAGTCATAATCGTGTGGCAATCCGACCACCATCTCCAATTACAACAGCATCAGTCCAAAGTTCTTCGGAATCGTCAGCAACGCCAACAAGTAAACTTAATGGTCATGTGAGACTCTTAGAATCTGGTGACAGTTCCGACTCATTGCCACCCTCACAATCAACAAACTCTTCAAATACTTCTAAACTCAATTCAAAATCAAACTCCAATTCAACATTACAAGATGCGGAAGGTGCGATGTCAGCTGATGATGTTGCAGCAGTTGAAGTGAAAGCTGAAGAAAGCAATGAAACTGACGACGATATTGATAAATATACAGCACATCAGTACAATGTGTCAAAAACCAAATTCATCAGATACAATGAAGCCGATGATGATGAAGTAGAAGATGAAAAAGCAGAATCAATGGAAAATCAAACGCAATCACTACAAAAAGAAGATGAAGAAGAAAAAGTTTTGTTCAATCAAGCTGTTGTGTTGGATGAAATAATCGCAGCATCAATTGATCAAGTGGAGCAAGTGATGGAAGAAATAAGTGACGTAGCATCAGAACCTGAACGTATCGAACACAAAACACTCGCTGAAGAGGAAGAAGAAGAAGAAAGTCGTCCACAGCGAGTAAGAAGATGTTCGTCTTTGAAGACTGGAAAAACTCCGCCAGGCACACCAGGAAGAAAGAAATTCGTTCGATTTGCTGATGTTCTTGGTCTTGATCTTGCTGATGTGAGAACATTTTTGGACGAAGTTCCGCGAGTTCCGAAATCGGCGTTTGAAGATTTGGAGGTTGGTGGCAATGCAACGGTAGATCTGAGACCGCCTGTAGAAAAAGTATTAATACCAATGTTTCAACAGCCAGGATGTTTGCCCGGTTTCATTGATCGTGTACGAGATAAACAAGTTTGCCTTGAAAGTGCCGCCGTCACAGATCCCGTGTCGCTTACAATCACTGGATGTGTACGTGTGAGAAACCTCGACTTCCATAAATCTGTTTATGTTCGTTACACTTTCGATAATTGGAGAAGCTACGCAGATTTATCAGCGACATATGTGGAGAATTCGTGTGATGGTTTTAGTGACAAATTTAGTTTTGTCTTATTCGGACTTGCCCTGCAACTTGGACAACGTGTTGAGATGGCCGTACGGTTCCATGCGAAAGGTGAACAGTACTGGGATAACAATTACGGGACGAACTATTGCTTTCAATGCTTGCCATGTAGTGCGAGATCAAGTACAACGTTTGCACCGCCGCCTCCATCTCGTGATGATTCATCAAGAGACGACGAAATTAAAACAATCATCGATGCAATGGGAAGTCGTCAATGGACAAATACATTTTTGTATTAATTTCTATTTCTTTTTATTTTTCGTGTCGTTTTTAACATTTTCAAGGGAAGAATCAGAAAATTGTGACATTTATGACGATGAAATTTCTGATTCTTTTTTTTTAGGTACTGATATCCTATCGGGTACCTTTTCAACTTTGAAACACTCAAAGTTCATAGTGAACTTTATGAAGCAAGTCATGTTTGAAAGTTTTTAAGTCTACCATTCAATGAGTTACCATTCACATTATGACTTTGTACTGTTAATATGAACTTTGAGTGCCTTGAGGCGTTGTTTCGAAATTGAACAGGTGCCCTATCTATTATTTTATTAATTATAGTACTGGTAGAGAAAAGGCAGAACATCAATTTAAAAGCAGTTTAGATTGAAATATTTTAGAGAATTGTGCAATATCCCCGTGACACTATCATCTATGATTAATGTTTGTTATATAAAAAGGTCATATTAATTACAAATATATTTTATTATACAAACCTACCTTAGTTGATGATGAATCAAATTAGGTATATGAAAAGGAGCTTTAAACAGATGCTAGGTGAATGAGAATTCAGAGAAAAAATAGATTATTTAGATAATGAATGAAAAGAAAGAGTCTTGCATGGAAAGAAAATTTATTTTGCCATTTAGGGCAATCAAATCACTCATTATAAGTGCAAAATATGCTTTGACTAGTTATTCCCTTTAAACATCACTAAGCAAAGTTCAATCACGCCAATAAGTTTCGTTACTCAATTTGATAAATATTTTATGCAAAAGATTTATATCACTATGTTAATATTATTCAATGTTATTAATGATTATTGAGATCAGCAGAAAGAAGAATAATAAATTTAATTACCTCTTATCGATCAGCGATAATTGAAACTGATAGCAACGATTACTACGAGAAGGTGACAAATAGTAATATCGAAATTGCCCTTTTCAAGCAATAGATTGAATATATTAAACTAATAAAACAGAAAAACTCCAAAAAAAACATTTTTTGTGTGTATTGAGATGAGAAATGTGACATTAGAATGAATAAAGAAAACCCGAAAATTTTATGTTTAAAAACATTAAAAGTGAGAAATTTAATTTGACTGCATCATGATGCAATTTATTTGATTATTATTTATTTACTGTAACTGATGAAGAAAAAAGTTCGATTTTCAGGGACATATAAATTTCTGGGAGTAAAGCGATTAATTTAATTTAATTAAAAATTTAATTCCATCATAATAAAATAAAAAGAAATTACTCGAATGTATGAAATTAATTAAGACTACTTCTTCGATTGTAGAACGTTGCTTAGCCAATCCATTGCCTGATCAAGTCCTTCACCTTTTGTCGCTGATGTTTTAAAGATTTGAAATGTTCGATTTTTAAGTGCGTCGAGGCCTAACGCTTGATGAACTTCAGCTACTGAAAGACAGCCTTCGATATCTTGTTTATTTGCAAGAACTAAAAGAATAGCGCCAGCCAACTCTTCTTCACGCAACATATATAGCAGTTCATCTTTTGATATTCCTATTCTATCTTTATCAGCAGAATCCACGACGTAAATGATTGCGTCTGTATTGCTATAATAACAGCGCCAATAAGGCCTTATCGACGTTTGTCCACCCAGATCCCATACTTGAAATTTAAGATTTTTGTATGTGACTTGTTCGACATTAAATCCGATTGTAGGAATAGTCTAAAATGTTAATGAAAGCAGAATAGCTACATTTCTTTTGATCCAGATGGATGGTTTTGTTTCAACTTACAGTCACGACTTCACCAACTTGAAGTCTGTAAAGTATTGTGGTTTTTCCAGCGCCATCAAGTCCAAGAATAAGGATACGCATTTCACGTGAACCAAGTAAACCTCTAAAGTAACTGATAAGTCCACCTATACAAATATTTCAAATTTTCCAAACTTAATTTCTTGACAAATCATCATTGCGGCTTAAAGTCTTGTACATTTCACTTATTTACTTACCCATTTTTATATTTATTAACCTAGAGGTAAGCTAAATGTGATTGGTAATAATCTGAATACTTTTTTCTGCTTTTATCCACAGTATTCCTTAGTTAACAAAATAATTTTCTAAATAAATTTTGTATAAATATTGCATTCAAATTGGATAGGCGGACAATTTTTAGCTTCCTTTAGGAAACTCGTAGGGAAGTTTGAAAATATTCACGTTAAGTTTGCAAAAGATTTGTTAATATTTTATTACAAACGAATTAATTGTTGGTTTTTTTGTTACTATTTTTAAAGAATATTAAAATATTTACTATTTTAAGTTGTTGATTTAAATTTATTCAATTAGTCACATACGAAAAATTTAGAAAAATTAACGGCTAGAAATATGCTAAAATTCAAATTTCCGGTGTGATTTAGCAGTGAAAAAAATTTTCAAGACAACTTTTGGCGAAAAACAAATTTCATAGATTTCACGAAATCGAGCCTTAAAAATGTTTCGATCGTTTTCCTCATTTCCCAGGAGTGTTGTTTTAAGAATAAGCAGTAGGAATCATCAGGTATAATTAGGTTTTAAGCATTGAAACAGTGAAAAATGATATTTCGGTTGCGTAATTTTTCATTATCCTATTCATTCTGCTTATTCAGTGAAAGAAAAAATATTAAACTTTCGCTTTCACATAATTTGTTACACTTAGATTGATTCATATGAAAGCATTGAACTTGAAAAGCACGTGTTTGATATAGTTGACATAAGATGAAGATGACGATGATGATTCATTGTTGTTATTCCTAATTTTATTTTATTTACCTAATTTTCACTCTCATAGAAATATTCTAATTTTCAGATTCAACAAGGTTTACGAAAGAACCTTCACAGTCGTGCTGTTAAGAAACTTGTTACTGCTAGCAATCCAGTGACTTCAAATGGTGTTAAAAACTTGTTAGTTTGTAAACTTTTCATTAAAGTATTTAACGCACATTCGTCAAAATTTTATTTTCTTTTGTCCTATTTTCAGAACATTTAAAAATAGATTTGTGGTACAACAACATGTTAGATCCATTCAAACAACCTCACAATTACTTGAAGTTGTGAAGGTTCCTCCCTTCGCTGATTCCGTATCTGAGGGAGATGTGAGGTAAGGAAACGAGAGCATAAATGTTTAATTAAATATTTCTAAGTCTTTAAATGTTTTGTTAAGATTCGAGAAAAAAGTTGGCGACGCTGTAGCCATTGACGAAGTCGTTATGGAGATCGAAACTGATAAGACAACGGTTGGTGTTCCATCACCATCTCACGGTATCATCGAAGAAATTTATGTATCGGACGGAGACACAGTGAAAGCCGGACAAGATTTGTTTAAATTGAAGGTGACTGGTGAGGCTCCCAAAGCTGCTGCTCCTCAAGCTGAAGCTCCTAAACCAGCTGCCGCTGCACCACCTCCGCCACCACCACAAGCAGAGGCACCAAAACCTGCAGTAAGTTGAATAATATTTAATAATTGCAATAAATTTAAGAAAACATTTTCAAAGGCTCAAGCTCCACCGCCACCACCACCGCCATCTGCATCTAGTCCTCCACCACCTCCGCCGAAGCCAAAAGCACCAACTGCAACAGTTCCCATTGCAGCCATTCGACATGCACAATCAATTGAAGCTGCAACTGTTAAACTGCCACCAGCTGATTACACAAAAGAAATCACTGGCACACGTACAGAACAGCGTGTGAAAATGAATCGAATGCGATTGAAGATTGCATCACGATTGAAGGAAGCACAAAATACCAACGCAATGTTGACAACTTTCAATGAGATTGATATGAGTTATATCATGGAATTCCGTAAATCAAACCAAGACGCCTTTCTTAAGAAATATGGAATCAAATTGGGATTCATGTCTGCTTTCTGCAAAGCTACTGCTTATGCACTTCAAGATCAACCAACAGTTAATGCTGTTATTGAAGAAAATGTGAGTCAATTCTTTACAATTGTTTATCGTTGCTAACTTTTACATATCCAGGAAATCGTTTATCGTGACTTCATTGACATTTCTGTTGCGGTTGCATCACCAAAAGGTCTCGTTGTTCCTGTTTTACGTAATGTTGAAGGCATGAATTATGCTGAAATTGAATTGGGAATCAATGCTCTTGGCGATAAAGCAAAGAAAGGAACGTTAGCTGTTGAAGACATGGATGGGGGCACCTTCACTATCAGCAATGGTGGAGTTTTCGGTTCACTGTTAGGAACACCAATTATCAATCCGCCTCAAAGCGCTATCCTTGGTATGCATGGAACATTCGAACGACCAGTTGCGGTTAAAGGACAGGTAAACAAAAATATTTGTTATTCAATGATAAGAAAGTTTATTTTCTGATGATGATTTAGGTTGTTATTCGTCCAATGATGTACATCGCATTGACCTACGATCATCGTTTGATCGATGGACGTGAGGCTGTGACATTCTTGCGTAAGATTAAGGCTGGAGTTGAAGATCCACGAGTTATGTTAGCTGGAATCTAAGCGATAAAGAAGCGTAATCTCTTAATCACCACTGTGGACCTCCAATAAACAAACTTTAATCTTCAACAGTTCATTCTCTACTATTCACTGAGAGCGAAAACAAAAAAAAATCCTAAAAACTTCAAGAAAAAAATAAGAAACATGAAAGGAAAAAAGTTTAATCAAAAGTATGATTGCGAAAAAAATATTAAATAGAGTATTAAGATGAATAGCATAAAAATTTTGAGTTGATAGTGAAAATTTGTTAGAATTCAGTGACCACACGCATCTTTGACATGAACAATTGAGTTAAAGATTTTTAAAATTTCCTGAAATAATTTTTTGTGGTTTTTTTTTCAGTTGAAATTTATTTTCGACTTTCATACATGCATACAGGTCAGGACAAGAAAACGATAAGAAGAAAACATAATAAATTATAATTTATTAAATATTGAAGGAAGTGTCAATAAATAAAAGAAAGAAACCTTTAAGAGAAATAATTTCCATCAGTTGCTTATTCAATGAAAGAAAAAAAGTTGTGAAGAAAAATTGTAGATGAACAAATGTCGAAATATTTTCTTTTATGCTGTTAATCGATGTACTTATGTATTTGATTTTCATGTTATCACAATGAGTGTTAACTCTGATGATATCATAATTAATCACACAATTGTACACTTGAATTGTTTAGTTCAATATCAAAATTAATCTTTTACACAAATATTTACTTTAATCTTCTTTTTCAACATTCTTCACATGTTTGTCGATGTCAGATGTCTTATCACGCGACTTTTTTTATTAAATCAAACAGAACATTATAAATAACACTAAAAAAATCATTTTCATGTTAAACAGAAAAGATGATGCGACAGAGGAAAAACAAATTGTTGAATTATTAGGAGATGTGTGAAAATCTCTTCCCCAAGAAGTTATTTATAGTGAAAAGCAAAGCGAAAAAATTTCGTACTTTGAAAACGAGATCAGACATGAAAAGGGTTCATAGTTGGCGAAATTTCATAACTGATTTCTCAGATCTTCTCCAAAAATTATTCTACATACTTTATAGAATCTGTTAGTTAGATAAGACGAGCTATTGCACGATGAATCAAAAAATATTTTAATTGTCGATGGAAAAATATACAAATATCAATGAAATTCGGTGCTCGATACGTTGATATCTTTTGAGAAATATTTTATTTCCAATGTCATAAAATAATGACGATTTTTAACAAGGAAAATAAAAGCCATTCGCAATACTTTAACATTTGTGATGTTTTAATTATATTTTCTTTATTTGGTTAATTGGAAACTTTTTTGTCATTCACACCTTCGCATTAACTCTTTCAACTGAAACGCATACCAGTTTTATATAAATAAGCGTTTTTGTAATATTTGCGTTCATATTCTTGCCTAACAAACCGCATAAATATGCGCCGGTGTTGATAAAAGTGTTTTTAATGAATGAAGTCATTCACAATTTCAGACATGACAAGCGTCACTGTCCAAACAAGCCGTCAATCTCGTGAAAAACTCTGACGAAAATCTTCTCTCGTGGCAATTTTTTTGCATGTTTTTCGTCTATCGATTTGAGTGCTGAACTAAATTTGAATCCATAAGAATGAAATCTCACTAAGTCAAAAACTTTTCGGTCTACACATAAACAGCCAACCTTGAAGGCATGCCGTGAGTAATCGCTCAAAGAAACACGAAAAAGAAGAAACGTATACCAACAAAATATTTATTGAGAGACTTTCTCAGTATTTTCGTTGGTGTCCTATAGTTCGCACGTGTTTTTCTGTTTGCTGCGCATCCGCACATTAAAACAAAAAATTTTTGAGAGAAAAAATTGTAAACATTTTCTTTTTCTAATGTTTTTTATTTTAGTTTCTAATAAAACTTTATTTTAGATAGTTTTAGATTCCACGTAAATCTTCAATTTCCTTATTAATTCATCAACTTCAGGATGCTGATTAATCTTCTGTTCTATTAAACGTGTCAAGCGTGATGTGTTAAATGTCTTCGCAAATATGATTCATAAAGATTGCATCATTTTGTAGCCAAAAAGAAAAAATCAAAAACTCCAATTGAGAAATTACAATGACCATCAAAGATGTAATCATGAGTGTGGCTGACCAATTATCTTACAGCCAAGTATCTAAGGTTACTACAACCGAATTTGCTTTCGCACTCATAACTAGAATAACAGCGAAAATGTTATTGATTTTCTCCTTCATAATCACCATACGCCAGCTATTTGGGTGAGTAGTCTAAATATATTTTTATTTATACACATTGCGATCAAAAAACATATATTATTAATAGAAAACCAATCGAATGTCAACCTGATCCCAGTTACGAAAAGTACACGAAGCAAATTGAGACACGATGTTGGATTGAAGGAAGCTACATAATTCGAGAGCATTTAACAGGAATTGTTGGGAAGAATATTATCAATTATGGGATTGGAACTGTTCGTGGTAATCAAGAACGCATTTATCAGACTTACTACCAATGGGTCACGCCAACACTTCTCATTATGGCCCTCATATTTTACTTTCCAAACTTTATGTGGAGAAACTGGGAGAGTGGAACAATGGAAAAATTATTAAAAGATATTGGTAAGAAGTTGAGAATTGAATGAAGAAGTTTCTTTACTTATTCTTGAAGAGAACATTTGAATGTGTTTATAAAAATATCTCTGGGAGAATTTGTTAAGCATTGTTGATGATGAAGAACTTCTAACACTTTGAAATAATTTTTTTCCACTTTAATCTTTTGTAGATTCGCCATACATCAACGAAGAATGTTGGAATAACCAAAGAGATCGTCTTTTGAGATATTTACATGGTCCAAAAAGATATCATCGTCAATATGCCATCAAATATTACACTTGCGAAATTATTGCATTTATATCATTGGTAAGTTATCAAAATTACTTCACTAATTGTTGATCTCATTCATTAAAATAATTTCAGATATTCAACATGCACATTATGACACTTGTGTTCAACAATTTCTGGGTTGAATACTTTCCAGCAGTTATCTCACTTCTGTCTAAGGACATGGAAGCTTTTGCCAAACATTCGTCTATTCTGTTTCCATCTCAAGCAAAGTGTGATTATTTTAATTTTGGATCGAGTGGAACGATTCAACTTATTGACGCTTTATGTTTCCTACCACAAAATGTTGTGAACGAAAAGATTTTTGTGTTCCTTTACCTTTGGATGATAATTTTACTGATGTTCTCTGTATTGCATGTTATTTGTTTGGGCGTTAAACTTGCCCATCAATGTCGAAAAGAACATGAATTCGGGTACGGCCTAGTTTTATCGATAATTAAAAAGAATCTCAGTCCAGTGCTTGTTGATGATCTCCTAGAAGCGAGGAAACTAAATATGCACTGACGTAAACATGAACTGGATATTTATGTATTAGAATCATAATCAGCACTAATGACGAATCACTTAAGCAAATTTACTTGGATCTGAAGAGTTTGGTTTGAACTCACAAAAGCATAAATCGCAAAATTTCCTAATTCGCGTAATTAATATCAACATTGATGATCAGTTTCAATGTTTGAAGCCTTAAAAATGTATTCAAAAACGTATCTACGAGAATTCATGAAATGAATTTAAAAAATGAAAAATTTATCTTATAGGAAGAGCTAAAGATTCTGCATTTAAATGAAGGGATATGAAAGCAAAAGTTTCAGAGTAAACACAAATAAACTCATCGAAAGACGGAAATGAAAAATTTTCATGAAACAAACATAAAATACCTGAAGTTGATGCTTTCATTAAATTTATGTTTCTTTTACATTGGAAAGTTACAAACGAAGAAAAGTTTATGAATTTATTTGTTTTCAGGATTTGCTAAGCAAAGTTGCATGATTCACTTTCTGGTTAACCTCAAGGTTGAAAGTTAAACAATTATTTCAGTTCTTCGTTTTATCATGTGATGAGATGTGAAAGAATTATTGGATTTGAATGTTGAACGAAGAAACAAAATTTGTTTATTTAATGGTAAATGCACGAGGGAATTTTTCTTGAACGATTTGTTAGTCCAAGTTTTGAATTATCAATGAAAATAAATAAAATCTGAAAAAGAAATAAAACTTGACGGTTGAAGTTTTTACTAAAATTTAATTTTTATTTCTTGAAATTTTATAATTTTTGGTCTGATTTGAGTTTACTTTTACATGCATCGAATAAATGTTTTAGTTTGATCTGAATTCTTTAATGAAATTAAGTTAAGCTTGGCTTTGAGACATTCAATTTGAATTGTTCAAGCATTGAGACGATTTACAAATTTTTCTTCCATCTAGAAGTTTTACAGAAAAATATTTTTATGTAATTTTTATGCAAATTGTGACTTTACGTATCGTTCAAAAGAAAAGTCATAAATATGAATTTTTCTCCAAAAAATTTCTTCTCAGAAAAATGGATTTTCACAGAGCAAAAGTTTCGTAATTTGTAACCATAAACTAGTGATATTAACTTTTTCAAACTTTCTGTTTCTTTTTTCTGCTTGAGATTTCCGGAACTGACTTTTTATACTTTGTCAAAAGGCTGCGAGTGTACTCTAAAGCTATAAAATTTGTCAAAGTTTCACAATAAAATGTGATAAATGGTCGCTTAATGAGCTTTCCATAAAATATTGTAGTTGAACTACTTTCTTTTTGTTTTTTTTACTTTATTTTAATTTATTTTATTTCCTTTAACTTTTCGTCTCATAACTTCAATTTATCATTTAATTTTTTTGTTTTTCTTCATATCTAATTAATTTAAATTATTTCAAGTAGATATCAGAAGTTAGTTTTAATACAAAATGACAACTTTTGATGATCAAAATGTAATCAATAAATTCAAGCGAGGTATAAGAGTTGATTCACGAGTTTTAAATACACGATAATTTCCTAATTTAGATCAATATTAAACATTTCAGTGTGAGAAAGAGTCAAGTTATGTAAAAGAAATTTTCGTTTAAATTTCTTCTCCATTTTGATGAGTAAAATGTAATTCGATTAAAATATGACTTCTGTGTGGTATCTTTAGATCAGTAGAGAAGCACGAGACTTATTGTTGTCTTTTGTATGAGACTTTGAAAATTTTCCAACCCACTTAAGCTTGTGAAAGGGTTCTTTTGATATTTCTCCTGATTGTCCACAAATGTCTTTCGTACTTGCTGGTTAAATTATCTTCTGTTTTGATTTTCTAAATGCCATGTTAATGGACTCTCTACTTTATTGATGACTTGTGTTTTGAACCTTTTTATGTGTTATCAAGAAAGTCTGTTTCTTCCCTCTTGGAATTAAATTTTATTTCAAAAGAACAGTATCTGAATAAACTTCCCTTTCTATATTTTGTTTTTGAGAGGTTTTCTTATCATGCTTGTCAATTTTGTTGAAATCTTTCGTTATTTTGAGGGATCGCTTTTCTTCGTCTTCTTCAAGAAATTTCAGTTTCATGTTTTGTGGTTTAAGTGAAAGTTATTTCAATGATGTTCAATTGTAAAATATTACAACTTGTGAGTATCTTAATATCAGAATTACTTCGTTTAACTAACATTCATTTATGTAGTTTTATCTTGAAACATTTCTTAGAGGGGGAAAATAAATTGCTTCCTTTAAAGTTTAAACACTTCAACAGGATAAGACTTTTCATAACTTCAAATTTGTGTTTGTTTTCTTTCGTGCCTTCAATTTGGTTTCAAACATTAATTTAGAATTTGCAACCCTTTTGATTCTTTCTAACATTTTCGTAATATTATTATGCTACGTTGATTGAATAGTTGATAATGTAAGAAAATGAATTTATGACGAATTTCTTTCCTAATAAGTTCGTTCTTCAGGGCTTTAGAAATGAAATTGACTTGAACGTGAATGTCTTGATTTGAAGTTTTCTTCATGCCTGAATTTAATAATTTTTTTCTCAGATCTAATAATTTAATTTATTTTTTGATTGAAAATTTTTGAGTTCTTCAAGAGGGTCGAGGAAAGAAACAACCTTAGACACGGTAATAATTATTAAGGGTTGTGAATTTTCTTCTTTTTTCATCTCTCATGGTGGTTCTTTGAATATTTCCTTTTATTACCAATTTGAATAGTTTGGTTTTGGATGCTAAATGAATTTTTAAGGAGGTGCTTAGATTTGTGAGTTGTGAAGCGTTCATCATGATTATTAAATTCCTTAAAATTACAATTATTCATTAATTCATTCTTGAATGAAAAATCAATTTGTTGTGTTGGATGTTTTTGTTGAATCAAAGCCAAATCAAATGATAGTTTAGAAAATCTCATTCAAATCTTCCATCCTAATTAATGATTTTGTGATCTTAAATAACTATTGCAAATTTAGGATGTGAACTTCAAACGTTATTGTGAGTTTGTGATCAAAATTATGTGATGGAAATCTGTTTCTACTTTAAATGTTTTCTCTTCTTTTCTGAGTATCTAAATTGGCCTCAGTTAATTGTCAATCGTGCCTGAAGTAACTGAAACAAACAGAAAACCATTTGCTTGATTTATGTTTCAGTAATTAAAATGGAAGGTGATTTTGAATGTTTTATTCTAATTTGGCTGATCATATTCTTTGATTTTATATTAAATTAATTACAACATCCAAATCAAGAATAGATTGAAAACATCCATATCGATTATAATTAATCTCGTGCAAACTTGAAACCTTTGAATTTCTTTAATTTTTTTTAAAATTGTTTGACGCGTCAAGAAATTCAATCGCGACATGAATTCATTTTTAGTTATGTTATCGAAATAAATTTATAAAAATGAGAAATTTTAACGCACCTTTTTGTCAATTCCTTTGAATAGATTTTGAAGTTTATTAATTAAAAACTTTTCCATGTTTTGAGGTTTCCGTTTTCTTGTGAAAAGATGGAAAATTTCTTGTGCATAAATTCTTTAAGACGTTTTTATGTAAATCAATGTTTGTGGTAAAATGTTTTGCAATAAATATTCATTACTCCCAAATGAGACTTATTCTCATGTTTTTCTTGTCTTGACAGTGTTTTTCTTCGAGCATTTTCCTTTATGAATAATAAATTTAAAATTTTCGATTTTTCGGCATGGAATTTTCTCTAAAGAAACTTATACAATTTTCCATCTGAGATACTCATCATCATCATCATCAAGTCTCGGACGAGTTTCTCCTTATGAGAGACTCCACATGATTGCGTTAGCAATCATGTTGCATTGGACATTATGGTTGATAACAGTTAAACTGCTACAACCGCCCGTTATGCGTCCACTTAATGTCTAACAGAAGATGACATTAAGCTGAAGGAAGTAGCCTTTGTCTCTCTTTTTCAGTTAATTTTTTTTATATCTGATAGCCTTTTGTCCTTTGTTTGTGCCTGAAGCATTTCTGCCACAGGCGAGAGATGATTGAATTTGTCAATGACAAAGACAACCAACTCCCAGAGTTTCATTTGTAGTGCGGTAAACCCATGGGAACGGCCGCATTGCAAGTGTTCCATTTTCAGCAGCGTTCTTAGTCTTTGCATTCTCATTGCTCGCCTTGATACGAATATCAATTTGATGCAAAGGAATTTCAAGACCAGCCGACTGCTTAGATGAAACACTCGCTTCGGGCCGAAATATCTAAATTTCACCTTACCTCATTGACACCGGGAATCGAACCGGGGACCTTAGAATTAGGTTCCCGACACAACCACCCTGAGCCAATGAAGCCAAATGAGCCCTTTTAATGAATGTGTATGGCAAAGTCATGAAATAAATAAGCAAGAGTTTAGCATGGAAGTGGCAAATTAATGTGAAAGCANTTTTCCTTTATGAATAATAAATTTAAAATTTTCGATTTTTCGGCATGGGATTTTCTCTAAAGAAACTTATACAATTTTCCATCTGAGATACTTTTCCAATAACTTTTTTGTTCATGTTGTATATTAAATTGGTCATGCATGAAAGAAATATACACAAGAAAACTTTAATTTTAGTCGTCGAAGTATATCGGAAAATGTTTGAAAGGAAAAAAGTTTTTCATCGGTGATTGTTCCATTAAGTAATTTTCGAGTTGATTTTTCGTAATTTTTCTTATAGACGCTTAAAACATTCTTAGAAAATTTGAAGTTAACTTATGACCGGTGAAATTATTACAGTGATGTTTACTTTGCAATTTAATCCACATAAACAATCTGTTATAGCAACAACAAATTCAACTTCCTTCACTTCATAAATATTCAACTAAAATTGTTTATATTTTCTGTTTTCATAAAGTCTGCTCTACTCTTGATACATTTTAAGAAAACACTCGAATAAAGGATTTTCTGTTTTCTTTTTGCTATCAATTTATTCTAAGGTTTACATTTGAATGCTTCTAACTTTTAAATAAAATTGTTTTGAATGATTTTCTTCAATTTTCTTTCATGACAGTTGTATATCAATTATCTAGATAAATTATTAACCCGTTTATAATATTCTCGCGGTGAACCTCAAACCTTGTGAGTTTTTGAGTTTGAAATAAAAACATTTAATTTGGTTTTGATAATTTCAGTATCTTTCAAGTTCATCATCGTTAAAAGAAATTTTACATGATTGGAATTCATGAATTTTGAAATAAAAACCAGTTGGGGTCTAAAAAGAAAATTTGAAAGGGAATTTGGATGGTCGATTGTGACTATAAAATATAAAAACTATTGAGATTTGTGGCTCACTCTGAGATATGATTCATTGAATATATATGAATGTATTCCTTGAGATTGTCTTTATTAAAAGAAATGAAAAGCGAGGGTGCAGTTCAAGCAATAAAAAAGAAAAGAAAATGAACGTTCAACGAATTTCAATGAGCTTCCCTCGCTTTGTAAATTTATTTTCAAACATAATTTGGAGGGTGAAAGCCATTGATGTGAATTTATTTTCGCGTGGATTTTTTTCCTTCATATTTTTTGTGACTTTTTATTAGAATTTTTCATCCGTGGAGAATTCTTATTGTAATTTATTATTCTCTTAATGTCCATTGAAAAGTAAAACTAAACAATGGAAATTTTCAAAGGAACATTTGTTTCCGATTTTGTAATAATAATTTTTCTTCGCTGCGAATTATCTTTTCATTGTTTTGTTCTAACTTTTGGAAAATCTCCAATTCTTCATGAATTTCGAGATTGAAAAAAATTTGCTTTAAGTATTCATTGTGTTATGTTGCCAGAATTTTTCTTCAATCTGTGAAAATAATTGGATAAGATGAATGAATTTTTATACATCGATTTCAAATCATTAGTCAAAAATTTCTTTTTTCCAACACGACATTTAAAATCAAAAACACTCATCTAAAGATTTTTAAGAAAGATTTTGAATTTAATTTCCTTGAACTCTCATTTTTCTTATCACAAATGAGAGACAAGAAGTATCCGATTTTAATTAATTGTAAGAATTTTTATGATTTGGTTTTGAGACAACTTAAGCACAGCCATTATGAAATAAAATTAATTAAAAAGCTTCTTAGAGTTTAAATAAATTAAATTAATTAAATCTTTTGCTCTCTCGCATGAAGTTTTGATTCTAATATTTTTTTTAAATTATATAGAATTATTTAGATATAATATTTCTCTTCTTAAACGCTAAAGTCTTTAGATCATCATTAATATTATGATTTTGATTTAAAAGAACGCATAAAGTTGTCTCAAAGATATTTTTTATGTTACTTTTGCTACCAGTTCTGAACTTTATGCCTTAATTATTTTTTGGTATCACGCTGTTTTCAGTTTAAAAAAATCCTTTTTTCGAGTGCTTCCCACAAAAGTTTTATGAGATTTTATTTCATTTAAATTATGGACGAAATGTGGTTTTGTCTTGGTACTTAAATTCTTTCACTGTATTAATTTCCCCGAATCATATTAAAACACTTCAATTAATGATCAAACATTTGTCATTTTTATCTGAAAAAGAAGAATATAAAAATATTAGAAAATATTTTGGTAGAATCTCATTAAATGATTTGATGTAAAATACTTAAATAATTGTGTGAGTTATTCTTCATAATTTTTGTTTTTTTCACTTTCCATGTTATCGCTAAATATTTTAGACGAAAAGTTGCATCGAGACATTTCTAATTTAATATTTCAATTTAAGAATTTTCTCCTATTGCAACATAAAATGAAAGTTGTTTGTGCTATTGATTTGCGTATGTCACGAAATCATAATTGATCAATTTTAATTCTGTTTATACTTTCATAAATTTTCATTAATTTTCCACATTTTTCTTTTTATCATCTCACCGTAAATATTCTTTCTTTAAAATCGTTTAACATTTAAGTAAGAAAAAAATTATACTTATGCATCTTGTGTGAGTTAATGTATTTTTCTTCTGCCTTAAACTGATACATGTTGTGTAATGTGTGTGAAAGGGGATGAGTGAGATCCGAAAATAAAATCGAGATGGTATGAGGCGCGCTCCATTCTCATCCCATTTCTCGTAAATGCATCTAAATTTTATAAATTTCCTTCACCATTTTGCTTCAAGTCTTTTCTGCTCGTTTTTTTGTTGTAAAATTTTTCTCCTCTTTATTCTTGGTGAAAAATAGAAAATTTCCCCTTTCATCTTTCTTTTCAATGTATTTCTGTATCAAGAAGATTCTTTTTCTCCAAACATGCTTATCTGAGGGATGAAGAGCTTTGAATTTTGTTTCTCCTTAACATATCCTGCAAGCTGTCGCTGTGTGTATTTGTGTGATGACTTTTTCTCCTGTTGTGAGTTCATGTAACAAATTTTTGTAGATGCTTGTGTAGAAACTTAATCTTCTTTTCAATGATGATGATTGATGATGGTTGTCCGTTAATGACGAATACATACTTTCCATTCCTGAAGATGCTGTTGTGATCCAAGTTACAAAATTTTGATACTTTCTCCTTTTGATGATTTCAAATTTTTCTCGATAAATTTTCATTAGGTTTTTGTCATCCGAATCGTGTTGTTGTCGCCTTGATGAAATGACGCTTCGCCGAAAACAGAGAAAAGCTTAATTTCTTTGAATTTCCATGCTTTTCTCGTGAATATTTTGAATCGTAGTTCTCAATCGTATGCTTCATCTGGGAAATACAAGATGGCGTTTGAGACGTTAGTTTCGTTGATTTTCACATCCTGAAGATAGTTTTTTGTTCTTTCTTACATTAAAATCAAATTATGTTTAAATCATTTCAAAGCAATAATTTCAATTTATTTCATGAAATATCTCAGGCTTTTGCACACATAAATGTATTAAATCGTTGTCGATTTGGATGTAGTAGCTAATTTGGTTCTCATTCTCTTATTTTGATAGCAGCGGACAACAATTTTGCGTTTTTCGACATGTTCAATATGTTCCTTGATGATAGGCTTGTTTATATTTCAGTTATTATTCAGAATTATTTTTTATTGCAATTTTCACTGCAACTTTTTTATGGTCTGTTGTTCAATCGTTGAGAATCATTTGAGAATTGTTAGAATGAATGTAACTGCTCAAATATTTATTTTCGCTTGTTGTTTCGTTTCGATTGGTATGCAATTGTCAACGTGCTGCGTTAGGTTTTGTTTTTGTTTCAAAGCGTATTTCTATTTTTTTTGTGACCGCGGACTTGGAAATGCAATTTTTCATGCATTTTGCAGTTTTTTATTGACTATCTACAGAGATAGACGAATATGGGAAAGTTGTTTAACCATTGGGTTTGAATGTGGCTTCTGTCTATTCTAATGCTTACAAAATTGATTTTTCATTATGAAATTTTCCATGAAATGAGTTTGTTTACATCCTTCGATGGATCTGGAAAAAAATATCATGCAATGCGTGATTAAAATATTTTAAAATTATTTTTTGTTTTTTGTTGAGAACTATGAGTGACTACGAGCATTTGTCATTTTTCTGCATTAAATCTCAATTCAAAAAAGTCAAGTTATTCATCGAATCAATGAAACTTATGAAACTGCAATTGCAATCAAATAATTTTTTTAACGCAACAACGTGCAGTTGGTACAAAAAATCCGTAGCAAGAACTAAACATAAATTTCAATTTTTATTCGCTTTACGAAGATTTTTTCAGCTTTTCCTCGGACACATGTGAAGCTGAGAAGATAATAAAATATTCATAGAGTCTGTGGAATGAGTTTGGAGCCACAAGCTTAAAACAACAGCATTTAAGTTGATGTTGGGAAGAAAAAATAACCAGGAGGTTTAATTATGCAAAGAGTAAGTTAACTCGTATAATCATAATTGAGAAAATAGAAAACATGTAATTGTGCACCATTTGGTAAAGAGTGTTCCAATAAACTTTCTGCTTAATGAACTCCAATCGATTAGTGCTTGTGTTCAAATTTATTTTATGTGAAGACTACCTAGTGCAGTTAATGCAGTTTCTAATAATAATAAAATAATTTCAGTAATTTCACTTACACATCAAAAAATGTCATTAAGTTCACATAATTTTTCCTGAATTATTCTTTTTAATATTTTTAATTTTCATTGTTTTTGTGTTTGAACTTCTTAACTCTGATAGTTAAGTTGCAATAAAATCAAATAATTTTGTTAATATCAGAATCCTTTCGATTGAATAAAATTTCAAAGTTTTTTTAGTCCACTGAAACATATTTCACTAATCGAAAAGCAATTTAACACTGAATTTGAAACCGATACGAATTCCGCGATGACCAATGAATATTTTTTGATGTTAAGAGCTGGAAGAATTTAATCAAACTGAATTCAAATTCAGATTTAAGTGATCATGAAACATAAAAGTATTCACAAAATTTCAAGTTTTTCTGGTCTTCTTCTTTGGTAAATCTGGTTTTTCATTAAACATCTTCCTTTTCAATATCGCGCAACATAAAATATCCTTTCATCGAAATCGAAACGAAAAGACTGAACAATACGCCAATTTAATCTCAAACCATAAATATGAGAGAGAGGGAATTGAATGCTGCAATTGGGATGTGATTAAATGTATCACTAAAACACCTGGACTTGGACCACATAGACGTTGAGTTGACAAACGAGTTATTCACGTATCTCATCACCTTTCGGTCAGTTGAAATTTAACGGATATTTATGCAGATGGTTATGAGATGCAGAGGATGCTAATTTTCCTCAATTTCTTAATAGAACATTGAACTGGTTTCTATTGATCATCAGGAGAAGCTCAGATTAGATTCACATTCATAATTAATTGAATTCTTTTTTCAAAACATGTTTAAATAATTCTCAGTAACAGAATCTTCGTCGATGATTTTCTGAACATCTAAAGGCGGTTCATTGAACAAGAGCACAAAGATTTCAACTTCACCCTCCTTCGTATTTCTTTTCCTTCACACTGAACTATTGCAAAATGAAATTTCCGTAACATTCTCGAAGGGTGAGAGGGAAAATGTAAAAGATATGGAACCGGTTTTCATTTTGTTTTCTTGCTAATTCAAAACAACGGTGACGCTCGAGGGATTTTTACGATGTAGCTATTTTCTGATCTTAATTTCACGATATCTACTAGGATGAGTTTGAAAGTGAGTAAAAATCTTGAATCAATGTAAATGGATCCCATAGATGAACCTAAAGCATGTCATTAGTTTAAATAAACTTTCTTTTTCTCCTTCCAATGCTTTGGCCACAAATTAAATTTTTCGGAAAAGAGTTGATTCGAGATGGAAGTTTAAAACATAAAACTAACACCCACCACACCAAGCAAGCAAGGCTTGGGTAAAGTAAAGATTTTCCGAGGCAAAAGTTTCATAATGGTAACGGTTCCATCAGGTCCCGTTCAGTTTGAGATCGGACCATCTGTAATAAAAGAGATGGAGTCTCGGCAACCCTTTTCCAATCTCCAGCTCGTTTTGCACTGCTGGTACACAACAGAATTTAATCTTTTCGGCAAAGATAAGGAAATTAATAGTTTGGGCTTTTTCCATGATGTGTTATCAAAATGGCAAGAGGGAGAAGATTTCTTTTTTATTTTTTTTTGTTTTTAGATGTTTAGAGAGAAAAAGTTTTATAACCTTATACAAAGCAAGCGAAAAGGTCGCATCTTGGTTTGAGAAGCCACCACTCACCAATTTGGATCCTTTTGAATTTTGCCTTCCATCAGTGAAACACAAAATTAAGCTTCAACTTAATCTTGAAAATTATTCTTTAATCTTCCGAGACCCTTTGCTTGCAGAAGAACATTACACAGTTTTATTGACTAAAAGGGTGACATGAATGACTTTTATCGTTTATTTCCACGACAAAAATTCTTCGTAAAAGTCGTAATTCCAATTGTTTTGCTTGGTTGGTGTTTAATGTGAGAGAAAAATATTTAATGTCTCATATTAAGAGAATGTTGATGGAAGTTTTATTATGAGAGCTGTTGGATTATTTCGAAGGATGATTTACGATGAAGAAATTCTTCAAATATTATTCACAGACAACCGACTGTTCACCCGTTTCCTATTCCCTCCATTTTACTTTGTCCCACTTGCGAATGAGTGCTTACAATTGGTACATCAAATAATAAAAATGTTTAGCCCATTGTAAGAAGGGTGCAATGAATACTAAACTTGTTCTCATAAGTCATAAAACTCTACAAACTCGCACCAATTGTGATAGTTTCAAACAATCAACAAAGCAAAAAAGTTTTATTTTCGAGATAAAGAAATTTCCCCATCTCGATTTCAGTCATCCAATAATAGAAAGCTTTTTACTTTTTCGTCATGAAAACAATAGAAATTTGAGAAAAATTATTGCCTTCCGCCGAATGAGACAAAAAGGTTCTCGAAAGTAAAGTTTTTGCGTTATAAAATCATTTCAGAGATAAAGTTTTATTTCTCGCCTCGTATGTGCTGCTTTGCTAATGATCCTACATGTAAGATACGTAGGGATGCTTAAACATTGGTAGATTGTGACCTTTTGGGAGTTTTTTTTCCGTTTGTAGAGTGAAAGAAAGTTGTGTTCGATGGATTTAACTTCCATTTCTCGCTCCAATTAACAATTTCGTTATGAATTTCCTTCGATGTTAAGAGGCAAATCTTTAAAACGCATTCAAATGTAGCGACAATTAATTTATTTCATAATAAACTGTTTCTCAAACTCTGAACTCTTCCATATCCTTTACATCCATTTATGCAAATCTAATGGGAATTTAGACAATTAAATTATACAACACCATAAAGCATATCTACAATAAATGTATGGTAGCAAAACATGAAATCACTTGAAAGTGCGATACTGTTGTCGAGTCGCCTTTTAATGATACTTCTAAGTATAATGTTAGTCTTGCACATCACAAGACTTTGATTTTCTCACTTCTTAGATGTGTCATGAATGTTGCATAACTTCAAAGCGCTCGCTTGCCACTCTGTATGTCGATAATATAAATTCAAAGGATAAAATTAGAACTTTTAATTTGATTCTGTTGAAAGATTCAATAGAAAAACCAGAAAAGAGGGATTAAATAGAATACAGAAATTAAATTATGCATAAGACAAAAGACATAAAATTTTCATCTCGATTTCCATCCCAAGAAGAATGAGACAAAGAAAGAAAAAAGGAAAATTAAAACCTAAAAAGAATTGCAGCATAAAGTTTCGTATCTGAGTTTCACAATCGAGATAGCAATAAAAAGTCGTTTTCGTCGTTGTAAAAAGCAAGAGCTTATAGCTAAGAGGAAAAATCAGACAATGAGAAAAGTTTTATACGAGGAGAACCATAATAAAATTTAATGTACTATCATTCTGGGCTTGTGCACACATAAAATTTTATAAGTTTTGAGCTTGAGAAACATAAAATTTATGTACGATGAATGCTTCATAATACATGCATGTTCAAAAAGTTTCCGTTTCCTTGGCTAAATAAACCGAGATGTGCTTCAAAAGAGAGAAAGCATCAGAATGAATGAATAGAAAAAAAATGGAAGAAAAAAATATACAGAAAAGTTACCATGTTGGCTTCGAACATCTCCTTCTGTGGGTTCGAGATGTGGAGATGTTGTGAGTAAGGGAGACATTGGTGAAGGTGGCAAAAAGACTGAACGTGCAGTTTTCTGTAAAAAAAAGAGCTATCTATCTTAATAGCACTCTTGCTATGTTTCGTTCTGTTGTATACATATTTTATGATGATGTATATGCGACTCTGCAGAAAGTTCTTCCTTCTTCGTTCGAGAAAAGCTATACGAACATAAATTTTTCAGGCTAAGAGAGAGAGTAGATGGAGAAGAAGAAAAGTTTTTGCCTCCAGGGAGCCCTCTTCGTAAGCTGCTGCTGCTGCTGCTTCTATGTAACATAGATGAAAAAAGGCTTCGACATGACATATAAGTGACTATACATAATCTTTGGGGTTTTTCTCTTTTTCTCTTGGTTATAAGGAATAGCAAAAAACCACGCCTCAAACTTAAAAATAACCCTCTTACGGAGAAAATGGAACGATAAGGATTTTGCAGCTCTTTCTTTCTTTCATCTTTTCTCCACTCATGTGTACATGTTGTTGCTTTCTGTTTCTCTCCCTTTTCTTATTACATTATTTTCTCGTTTCTGTTCTCATCAGATAAGCTCACACTTCACTTCGTTCGTGGCTTATGTTATTGGAAATTCAAGAAAGAAATATTACCAGAAGGGTTGATGATTTCATTTTGTCACATGATGACTCGAGAAGGATGAAAATCAATCAATAATGAAGTTAGAATATGAATGGAAATGTTTTTGTATTTCAAACATAACTAACATTGCAAATCAACAGGTGAACGTTATGTTACTCATGTAGCGTATTTTAGAATCAATAATTTTGTATACAATGTGCAAACAGTTCTCGCCACACAATTATCATAAACTGCAGACATGTTTTGAACGCTGCAAAAAAAAGATTTCTTCGTTGATTCAACAATTCAAGAGAAAAATGTCTGAGAGATATTTTGGTTTGTCTACGATTCTTGAATATCTTTTTACAATTGTCATGAAAAGTGTAGAGAAAAGTTTAAAGAAAAAAGACGACTGCCTTCATACAAGTTTCCAAATTTAACTCACACTTTTCTCAACATACTCGACAACAGCATAAATGAATTCATGGACTCGTAGTCAACATAAAAACTTTTTTTATTTGTGAAAGAATACAAGTCGATGCTTAGAATCTTATTTATAGTTTTAGTTCAAACAATATTTGTGTCTAGTCCATAGCAATATCATCTTGTATTTCGTTATAAAACTTTTATCAAACTTCCATTGCCAAAAGAGAAAGATTAGAAGAATAAGAAATACGAACAAACTCTTGCCATAGACAATTTTATAATTTATTATATTTTCTATATGTGTGAACAGAAAACAATGAGAAAGTTTTCCTTCTTTCTGCCATTCGACTCTAACAATGACAAAGACAAAATTAATGGAAAATTTTCGAGTTTTAATTTTCTTCTCTTTCCTATTGAATGCTAGAATGCTTTCATTTGTTCATCTTAACCCCTTTTTCTCATTCACAACTCGTACCTCAAACCATCAAACGTTATCCGAAAAATTTGGTATCAAATTCTTAAATTATTTTTCAATTTCACAGCACGTCAGAAACACGATTTTCACATTTATCGATTCTAAAGGATTTTATCTTCAAGTGTGTCAATATTTATTAGGAAAACATGACAAGATTGCGAGAAGACTCTTCTAAAATATAAATAAATCTTTGATTAAAACCATTAAAGTTTCAATCTTTAGAATTTCGTTCATGACTTTCATGAATAAATTTTACATTGAATGAAGCCTCAAACCATAAATTTTTTTAACATTATTAAACTCTCATTTCTTTGATGTTTTTGAATCTTTAAACCTTGCAATGATTAATATAGTAAATGGACTTGACTGATGTGATGGTTGATTATATTTATGAAGAGTTGGTCATCCGACTTTCTCATCATCTTTATAAAGCAATATTGAAATAGAAAAGGGAAGAAAATACTTTTTAGTGATTCTAATTTTATGAAATTGACATTTATGATTTATTACGAACCCCAAAAGAGCGATGAAGAGTGAGTTGAATTGAGGATCAAATTATTCATAAAAGCTACTGAAGCATAAAAGAATGACTTGGTAATTTCGATACATACAACGAGACTTACGTAACATAATATATAATATAGTATAGGCTCAAGCTTAACTAAATATTCATCAATCTTCTATATTTATAAGAGAAATTGAATGTTTTCTATCTCGGTGTCAGATGATTGTGAGTGACGCTCACGATATAAACAAAACAGAGCTCAGAGTAAAGTCATGAATAGAATGATAGACATTGTGAATTTTCTCTTAGAAAGCCCTTTTTCAGCCATGAAAAATCTTCTCGACCGATGTAGATATCTACGAGTAGAAGGTCACCAAAAGGACACTGAAATAAGATGAATAACAAAACAAAAGTGGGTGGGAGGGAATGGGCAATGTAAATCATTAGATGAGAAAAGGATAACATTGATTCATCCGATGAAGTATAAAGATAGATTTTTTTCGTTTGGGGTTTCAGGATGATGTGGCTTGTTTTTCGTGAAGTCATCCCAATGGAGCATGATGATGAATATTTTCTATCATAAACTTTTAGCTAAAAGAACAAATGAATGAAGAAAAAAGACATTCTCACGGTCCATGAAGTTTTTGTTTGATAGAAACCCTTTTCGATGCAGACTCTGTAACAATATTTAAGAACATAAAATGGCAAAGGTCAATTTGAACTTGTTTTTCAAGAATTTCATTTCTCGCATCATCTCCAGAAGATGTTTTGCAACTTGTCTTCCCTACAAACTTTTTTTTCTTTCTTTGAGGGGTCGAAAATGTTTTTTCCCTCTTTCCGATGCTGCTGAGTCCGAGAAATTTAATTTAATCTTTGTTTATGTTGTTGCGATGAAAATTCTTCTGAAAAGCCGTTAGCAGAAAGCATTAAGAAAAGGATTAAAGAAGAACCCAAAAAAGTAGCAGGAGGAAAATTCAATGTGATTAATGCTCAAAGTGCTTTGCTGTTCTTTTTTCTCTCGGACGATAACGTAATGGAATTAATTAAATTTCTTCTTCTTCGTTCTTTTCTTCCCTAAACTCTTGCTTATTCGTATGATAATTTGGTACGAGATGAAAATTCTCCTTTTTCTTCTTTCGACCATGATACAACGTCGTAGAATGTTCCGAGAAAAGCAGAATAATCTTGAAAAGAGCGTTGCTTGGCAACCACGACGAACTGACCGACTGATATCTAGGAGATGAAAGAACTGGGGTGTTATGTTGCTTACGTTCGTTTATGGCTGACTGTATATATTTAGAGGGTGGGACGAGTTTCCATCCTTATAACTCGAGAAAAATAGTTTCCAAAGGGGTTCGGTTCGAGTTTCAAAACTTTTCACATATTTTTCCTCCATAATCTCCTCGAAAGAACTTTAACGTAGAGAATGGAATATCTTATGGTGAAGCCGTATGAACCTCTTTTGCTCATGTTCTGTAGGTGGTTGGTGATTTATGTATATCAGTAGGTTGGGAGATTTTGAATGATGAATATTTTTATAATGAATGGATGGAGAACATTTGCAAGAATTTTTCAAAAATCATTTTTGGATCATTGAATTTATTTATTTGATATTTTATTATGCAAAGAAATCTGAATTTATAATCACGAGTAACATGAAAGAGTTGCACAAAAGCCAACGGCGACAACACTAAAACATTCTCATCTCTGTGATGCTTACTTACTTACATTATCGATCCATTCAGTTTTGCTATTGATAGATAAAGCTGTCGTCATCTGGAAGGGGATTTAACATGCTTCATTAAACATTTTAGGGATTTCCTAAGCTTTCTTTTCACTTTCCATGGTAGAAATTTTTATGTTTTCGCTTTAGTCACTTTCATCGATGATATAAGAAAATGTTCGAATTCGTTTTCAAAGGAAATGACTTCAATTAAGATAATGAATGGCTTTCGAGATGTGGCACAATCTGAACAACAAACGTCTGAATAGTCTGGATATAAAATCGGAAGTTTGAATGATTCTTTTTCAAATTTTCAAATTTCATGGCTAAAATTATTGATGAGAATCAGAAATAAATGGAAAGATCATTGATTGGTGTGAGAAAGAAAAGGCGTAGCATGTGGAAACTTTTTGAGACTAAAAGTGACCAAAAAGGGAGATCCGGAAGGTTTAGAAATATTTTTTCTTTATTATTGTAACTCAACATTTATGTTATTCATGTGAAACGAAACATTGACTATAAAATGCACACGTTATCTTGTGAATATATGAATTTGGATTCATAATTCGCATTTGCTACTGAGCTTGAAAGATACAAGCTCTGAACTTCTATTTGAAGATGAATAGAATAAAATCTTTTGAATTTGTGATTCTCAATCCAAGCATTCAACATTCATGGATGAAAAAGCATAGTAAAAAGCATAGTAGTTATTATGCACACAATTTTAAAGCAGCACACATCATTAATCAAGAGTTTTTCTTTCATTTTTTAGTATCCCGGCCAGTTGATTTCATCTTTTAAGGCTGCAAAACTAAAATCTTCTTAATGACGACTCAAAGTTTCCTTCGATCTTCTTGCTATATTTTTATCATTGCAAAGTGAGTGAGAGAGGGACAGGGGGAAAAGTTTTATGTTAGGAAAATGATATAAACTATACTTTCTCCCTCAATAAATTGTATACGTCTACAGCTTGTTGTGTATCCAGTTGAGCAGAGTTCGAGAATAAAATGAATAAATGAGTTTCAGAGAAAAGAGAGCTCGAGATGTAGTGTGGAGTGGGCAGTTGAATGGTGTTATCCTTTTACCTCAACCATTTTCGGGGCCTGTTAAATGATGGCCTGCCTTGGGGCTTGTGGAGAAATAAAAAGAATGAGATGAGGATGAAAAGAAGCTCATGTACGTCAATAGAGAGAAAATTGTATAGAGTTAGTTTTCCCAAAAGAGGAAAAGTTTTCTGTTAGAAAATTCCAATTAGAATTATTAGAAGAGGGACTCCCAACCCTCCTCACAAGCTTGTGCTGGTAAATGGTTTTTTTTTTCGTTTTTCTTAAAATTCCAAAATTTAAAATACAAAAGGGAATCTAAAGTTGATGAGATGAACGAATTCCTTCAATAGTTGGAGCCTTTGAGCAACTATTCGGTCTTTGGTAAAAGAATATTTGATGAAGATAATTTAAAAGTTTTTCTGTTATCATCCCAAGCAATGTTTTTACTTCTGTTAATACAATGGAGAATGTTTTCCTCTTTAATATTAAAGTCGTTCACAATGCGAAATTTAATGTTTGTCCTTGACGAATGTAAATAGAGAAAAAAAGATTTTTTTATCTTTGTTGTTGGTGGAACATACAGAAAAGCAACAAGTTTTATTATATATGCAAAAAATATGCGAATCTATTCCCCAACTTGTCATGCTTCTGTTAATCTTGGTTTTCAATGTTTTTCTGTGTAAATATTAAAATAAAGTAAATCGTGTAAGTTCACAGAATTTAATTTGATCACGAATGAAATAGTTCGAGGCAAATAATCTTAAAGCAATTTAAAAGTTACGTATAAAGGTTCAAGTGCAATTTATGTTTAGAAAAATTTAAGTAAATTTGCTTACGAGATTATTTCTAAAATATTATTTAATTAGGAATTTTAATTGGCTGTAATCTAATGCTACGTCTTCCTGTTCAAACTCTCTTCGAGACTATTTATTTACAATTTGAAGTCTTAGCACTTTCTCCCTTGTTTAGTTGAACTTTACATTATGCTTCAAAGCAAATTTTCATTATTAAATCAATGAAGTTGAGCGTGTATTCCATCTTGGAATTTTATATTATTGTGAGGGTTGAAGGAGATAATAAATATGCGTAATGAATGAGATTTAACCATAAGAAGAATAAAAGTTTCCTTTTTTATCGGATGGGAAACCTTTTCGTGTTCTTTCATCATTCAAGCAGGCTTTATCGCAGCCATTTCTTCCTTTCCCACTCCACCTCCCACAATTAATTCCATTTTATATATTATGCGCAAACACCCTTGCTTCCACCCCATTTTACTTTCTATCATCCTTCGAGTGTACTGTTGTGGTATGAGATGAACGAGTTTATTTATTCGTATTTTCAGTTGATTTTCTTTTTTCTTTCTCTTCTTGAGTTGGAAATTTTCCTTTCGGAAAAGTTTCAATATTTATAATTCTCATTTTAGTAGTTTTACGTCTTTAACTTACTCATAATTTTCATCTAATTTTCATTTTCCCGGGTGTGTTTGTTCTAGTAAAATTTAATGAAAGCTTTAGTTTCAAAATATTTCATGAGTTTTTCAAACATAAGCACTAGCATCAATCTTAAGTATTTTTATTCATAGTAAAACAAATATTTACGCATCACAAATTTTTAAACAACAAACTTTAGTTTCCGCTTCCCAGATTTCTTCATTAATTTAAAGTGGAATGCCAAGCAACATAGAAAAGTTTTTGATTGAATTTCTTCACGATTTAGCACTGAGAATTTACGCTTCGAATGTAAACCTTTTCTCGTATGGGACGTCCGAAAAACTGAATTAAATTGATTGAAAGATATTTTCGAGACGTTAACAGAATCCTGAAAAGGAATTTAAATAAAGAAGCTGAAAATTGAAAACTGGTCCATCAAGAAAGGGGAATTTCTTATGTGTTGTGTTTAATTTATTAAAGGTCATCATAATGCAGAGTGACCACTTTTGCCATAACCAAGCAGCATCTTCTTTCACACATTTTAATGAACGATAACTGCTGAAAAAAGGGGGAAATTATGCTAAAAGAATTCCAGTTTTTTTATTCATGATCTAAGATGCTTCTCGTGAGAATGTTTTCAGTTCTTGTTATTTTCATTTAGATGCTGATCTTGCTTTTGAAACGACTAATCAGATGTTTGAATAGGAAACTAATTTCCAAATTTCAAACTTTTCTCCACAAATGAACCTCTTTCATGTGTCAAAAGCCGTTCAGCATCAGAAGTCCGATGAGAATTTCCCTTAAAAATCCCTCAGCACAAATCAGGCAATCAAACTATTCGTAGATTGAAAAGTTCATGATAAAGTTCTTTTCTCTCCATTCTGGTGGCTAGTTTAGTTTTGAAGTTTAAATAGAATAATTTAGATTGTCAACTTGTTACAAAACCCCAATCTCCAGATTTTTACAGCTTTACAGATGAAATGTTTTGCCATAGATTTTCTCAATTACCGTATACCATATTACCATCATAAGTTTCACTGTATTAGACTTTTTTTTTAGAAGCTTGCCAAACTTATTCTACGCTGAAACTACGAAACATTTCCCTAACAATTTCAACGCTCAATTTTCCCTCATGATGTTGACGCAGAGAAGACGAAAAATTTCCCAAAAACTTTCATGACATCTAATCATATTCTAATCAAACTTTGAACATACTTTACTCTCTGGAAAAGTTTTGAGGGTTAAATTTGTAGAGAATTTACAACACACCCAAGAACATTTATTTGATGTCAATTTTGTGGTGGCTTGAAATGAATTTTCTTCTTATACATTGTCGCGCCATCTGTAAAGTAAAAGCTGAAACAATAGAAAGGAAAATCAAATTAAAATTTGCATAATTTGTGTTTGTAAAAGGAAAAACAAGTTTCTTCTTTATTTTTATAACTCCATCTGTTTTATTATGATTAAAAACTTGTGATTCAGAAATATTTTCAATACGTTTAAGATTTAAGAATGTTTCTCTTTAGTATGTTACCATGAAATTTGCTTTTCATTACAAAGAAATTAGAAAATTGTGCAACGATATTGAACAAATCCAAAACATTCCATCCATAGATGCATTTTCAATAATCTGTTAAATTAAAAACTTGTTAGTAAAGAGTTTGAACGAAATTAATTGAGATTTGAAATATTTTCATTAATAAACGTGTTTATGTGAAAATTTGAATGTAACTTTTGGAATCTCAACATCGAATATTTGATTCTTTTATCTTCATAGTTTTCATCTTTAAATAAGATTCGAAAACGATTTCTCTTATCTTATGAATTGATTAAAATTTCTAAGGCGGAGTTGCAAGCAAAACAAAACATTTTGAATTTTCTAATAGAAGCAAGGAAAAAGAGTTTACTTGAAATTCCAAACGTACACATACGCGTGAAACATAGCACATAAGTAGAAAAGCGGCTGAAAAAAGGGTTCGTGAAAGGGTATAATTTTTAACATATACGATGCCCGAAAGATGTCAAAGCAAAAAGTGTTTCCTTTTTTCCATTTAGTGTAATACATTTTTCTGTAGGCGGAGTTTGGAAAAATTTTAAAACTTTGTGTGTTTCTGCTGCTTTCACTGATGTGTACATATACGAGTTTTTCCATGATGAAGGGAATGTAAAAATTACTTTCTCATTTTGAGGAGAATGAGGCTTTCCGTATCACCGAATGTTAAACATTATTTTTGGTTTCATTTTTCCTGGGAATTGTGGAATGAGTTGCTATTCGGCAATATCGAAACTGCTTTGGACAGAGACGTTTCAGGCACGTATTTTATGAATTTTAAATTCAGTTCCTTTTTCTACAGAAAAAGTGGTATGAGATCTCAAACTACGAAGTTTGAAAAGTTTCCATACACATACTCGAATGAGTTCAGATGCGGGTTACGCATCGCTATAAAATAAATACCAGCTTTCTACACAAATGAATCCTTTTTTCAACGGTTTTTAGATGCGATTGCAGACACATGGAAATATATTCACGCATGAACGATGAAAAGAAAATATTTTTCTTTCATGACATGAAAAAGAAACGGAAAAATTGCTTGAAAAAATATTTTCATCATAATTGAAGGAATGAATAGAAATTTTTTTAATTTCTTTCGAAAGTTTTTGTCTATTTTAATTTTTTCAATACATATTTTTGACACTTAGGAGAAGAGAACTTTATTCTCTTCTGATCTATATTCTATTAAGCGTTTTCACTGTCACTGTTCGTCATTTATTGGTTTCAATGCAATATTTTCAGTTTTCAATGATTGAATTTTTTATTATTAATGATTTCTCTTCAACATATTTTTCATGTTTAATGTTACACAGCATAGCTTCAGCCAAAATATTTTCAAGTTGAAGACGTCATTTTGAATCTGAAATGATAATTAAACATTATTCACATTTTCTATATTTAAGATATCTTTTAATACAAAGTTGCCAGTTGTTTCTTCAGCTACCATTCTTATTCAAGCTTTTTAAACAAAAATTCTACCACTAAATATATCAAGTCAACTGGAAATTCAATGCGTTTGCTTACTGCAAATTCATCACTGAATTCTGTTAAAAACAGGAAAAATGCGTCAATAAAACAAACTCTTCATACAGGTGAAGCCGCATTCCATAAAATCATATAACAATTTTAATCCCGCCTATGTATTCATAATGCATTTTTTCCACGACAGATTTTTTAAAAATATATAAATTAAAAAAATGCTCACAATTATATAAACACGTGTTGATTTTTTTGCTGTTAATAAAAAAAAGAAAGAAAACAGATCAGTGCCAACAGTGAGACAGCAAAAAATGCAACTTTTTTCAGTCATTATTGTTGTCAATAAAAGTTTTCCGCGAGAATTTCAATAATTAGTATCGTTCAACGTACGTTGTTAAGAAGTCGAGAGGCTTTTTAGTTCTAGTTTAAACATCAGATAAATGTTTAAAATCAAATCAATTGTTGGATATTCGAGGATGAAAGTCAAGTGCATAAGGTTACACGGTCGCGATGAAATCATCCCAATCAGCATTTAAACTTAAACTTTCACTTTCTAATTTTCTATGTTAAACACAATTCATGAACATCATAAGCATCGATTGAAACGAATTGTAAAATATAATAACAACAATAATGATTATCGCAATTGAATGAAGTCGCAAACATACATTGAGGCTTTTCCATCGATTATGCTGGTGATAAATAGGCAGTTGGTGTTAGAATTAATTTAGTTTAAAGTGTTTGCCATATTGAGTGAGCAAATATTTAAATATGTGCTTTAATAGCAATAAAATGAGTGCGAATCTGTTATTGATTAGATTAGCCTTTAGAATTTCATGTTAAGAAATAAATCTATTTAGTATCAGTAGCATCGGAATATCGAGAAGAGTGATTTTAATTTTATTTCATCACTGAAAAAGCTGTTGGACAATAAACATTATTTAATAATATAATTAAACAGAAAGTGTAGATTTGAATATCTATTGAACAATTAGCATTGAAACAATTTAATGTTTCAAAAAGTTTAAAATAAAAAAGATGTAAAACTTTTAGTCAGATTTAATGTTAATATTTTACAATAATCGTTCTCATAATGAGCAGACATTTTGGGTGTGTTCATGCAGTAGATGTACAAAATATGAGAAAATAAAAACATAAAGTTGATTTATATTTTGAAAATAATTTCCCATTTTAATTATCATGAAAAACAAAAAATCCATCTGAATAAAATTTTAGATATTTACTTAAAAGAATTAAATTTAATTTTCAGAAAACATGTCCATCCACATCGTTACTACCAAAAGCAATGAAAATTATCATAAAATTCATTCGTGCAAAGGGAGAATTAAAAAAGTTTGATAATTTTATTTCGTTTTGGGAAAGCTTTGTTTTAAATTAATTCCGAAGCTCTTTATCTCCATTCTAATGTTTAATAAGTTTACTGAAGCTTTAAACATAAACCACCATTCTAGCATAAAACTCAGAAAAACGGGAAATTTGAAAACTATTTCTTTGAATGTGATGAAGTATTGTGGAAAAGCAGTGAGCTCTGTTTATTCATAAGCTTGGAGAAATAATGAAATCATTGACAAACTTTACATCTAATCTCACCAAACACATTCCCGAGAAGTTTTGAAAACACAAATTAACTTTCCGATTCCACATCTATTTTAGTAGCCAACTGTAAAATGCTTTTCAAATGTGTGTATGAATTTATTGATTTTTTACTCGCTTCTGTTTTTATTTTGTCGACAAGAGACGAGCTTGAAACATTTTAAAATTTGCATGACAACGACAGTATTTGAGAGGAAAATAAAATAAAAAAGGAATATAAATTGCATTGCATTTTTGCAGTGGACGGCCTAGGGATTCATATGTGTATGCAGTTTTTTTATTATTTTGTGATATTGTGCATTGTATAGTTTTTAGTGCATGGTGTCAGGTTTTTCTCTTATGTATAATATTTCATTTGAAGAGCCCATCATCCCTTCAGAAATTCATTTTCCCTCATTCCAACAGATGAAACTGCATACGCGTTAGTGAGCTTTAGAGTGGTCAAAACATGTACTTTTGAATGCATGCATTGCACTGCATTGACAAAAAATTGAGCTCGTGTGTGAATAGTTTCATGCACTGATTTTGATAGAGATTATTTCTCATTGATTATTTATGCAATGCTCGAAATCTGAAATGTAATGAACTATTCGAGAATATCTTAAGTAGATACATTAATTAGAAAGCCGGTTTAATTTCTAGAAAGAAAAACTTTAACTTTTGTATATAAAAGTCTAAATATCTACTTGAAGTTGGGGGGAATGAGAACTTTCTTCCATTTCATAAACACTCACAACGAGTGAATTTTTCATTGGCTGCCGAAGCAACGTTTTTTTCACAGAGAATTAAAAAGAGTCCGAAAAATTCAGGAAAAACTCCGCCCCAACGAGAGTATGAGATGAGTTGGAAAAATATATTTTCTATTTTTCGTGAAAATTGCAAATATCCCAGAGAGAGAGTACATAAAGCGAGTGGATGAAAAATGAAGAAAAAACGAGAAGAATGAGTTTGGTGGAGACTTTCATTCTACTAGAAAGTGTGAGTTAAAGCACCCAGTCCATGATTTCGCGCCATAACACAATGCTATCTGCTGCTTTTTGGACGAGAAGAATGCGTTCATCGTGACAATGAAAAATGTTTATCCTTTGAGAATCTTAGGGATGAAATTAATCATTACGATAATTTATTCTCTGTTTATATGCTGCCAACATGTCTCATAAGTCAAATCTCGTTGCTTTTAACCGTTTTTAATATTTTTTTCTGTTTTTGTTATGCCATTTTTCATTACTTGACTGCTGCCTTTTCTTTCATAAAAATGTCCCACAAATCTTATTTTTTATTTTCTCTCTCTTTCAGAATGTTTAATTTAATTTCATAGTGTTGAAAAATAAAATATTGAAATTTATAAAAAAAAATTAAATGCGATTTCCGGAATTCCATTACAAGTCCCCAAGAGCGTAAGATTATTTGATTAAGTTTTATTAAAATCTCATTTTCTGCATCCCGAATATCCATAATTACATAAATGCGTTTGCAAATGAACGATAATTTTGAAAAATTTCCTTAAAACTTCTTTAATTTCAATTTTTTCATAAACAAATGTTTAAAAATTATTGAAGCTGTGAAGTTGAATTGGACAACATTTCAGTTTCGAGTTCACCTACCTACAATTTTGATTTATCAATTTTTTTCTATCAAACGTCATATGAAAAGCATTTAGCCGAGAATCATGCTCGATGCTATGAAAAAAGTATTAGAAAGCTTCAATATTAACAAGAGATTTTTCATCTAAATATTTGCCTAGTGGCATAAAAGTTTTATTGGCATCGAGAAAGTTCATTACACAGTCGATGGGTTTAATTTCTACGTGCTCGAGATCAGTTTACGTGTCAGTGAATAATTTTTAGAAGCATTCACAACTCTTGAATTAATTTCGTTGTTGATGAATAAAAATTTGATTGCGGAACATTCAATTTGAAATTTTCAGTAAATGTTTAGTAAACCTTAGCAACTAAAAGTTTGTTTTGCTTCAATGAAAACTCATTACAGTATGTATAAGCATCTCAAATATATGTTGAACACTTCATAATTGATCAAAGCATTTATCTGCTTAGCAATGTTTGTTTGTGAATTTACCTAGCAACATTAGATCTATAAAATCGTTGAATACAAACATCTTTTGGAGAATCATTTTGCCCAGGAAAACCATTTGTAAAAGCATAATTTGAAATATTAAACAAAGTTGAAATTAAACACATTTATTTTGCACATGCTTCAAAGTTAAAAAGGATATTTACGAAAACATGACCCAAAGGTTTTGAATAATTACTTGTATTTATATTATTTGCTTAGCAATGCAAAGTAAGCGGACGATGTTTTAAAAAGAGTATAGATGACTGCTAACCCAGGACTACGCCCATCAAATTAAGAACTTTCACCATACAAAACCTTCCTGACATGGCTCAACAAAAGAAAAATTATTTCTCATTCATTTCTGCGGAAATTATTTTTTTTAGCTTCCAACTTCAAGCAGAATCAGCAGCAGTGAAACGTAAATGAATATTCGGGAAACTCATCCTTTTTGTACGAGTTTTACGAAAAATATATGTAGATATACGCATTCGCACGGAATAATTAATGAAAGAGACTCTTTTTCATCGAGAAAAGGACTTTTCTGCCAGAAAAATAAATATAATTTTCGGATGAAAAACAATCATTTGTCATGCTTTGCGCTTTGTTTGTTCCCTTTCGAGGTTGAGTTTATGGCCCCTGATAACTGCCGAATCTCTTCTTTTACCGACTAATGCATACACACGGTTTTCACGCAATTTTCACTCATCTAGGTAGTAATGTAGATACTTCCATCCTATTCTCTTGATTCAGTTAAAAGGATTACGAAAGTTTCCCAGATAACAACATTCCAATCAAATTAAGGTTGGCGTTTTAACCCCGAACATGAAAATTTAAATTAACAACAGAAACAAACTCACAAATTGTATATCTATGTCAAAATTATTTCAGTATTGACTGCTTTACCATGAAGTTTGATATCATTTTCCTTGAATTCGTAACAATATTTTAAAACCTTCATAAAAATATTCTCAATGATTTCATATTTTAAGTTGAAATCATTAGCATAAAAAGAAGATATTTTGAACTCCCTCCAGACATAAATTAAACTATCTCCATTGTTATGTTATCTCATTCGTTCAGAGCAGAGCAGAGTCTGAAGCAGAAGCAACGAAGCAAGGATTTACTATAATTTAAAATAGCTGAGAATATATTGTGGCTTACTGCTTACCCACCCCCCAGTTGTCTTCTTCGCCATAACATATCGTATTCATTATATATTCCAATCTTTTTTCTCGAGAAAATGGCTTGTTTGCCTTTTTATAATGTAGAATATTTTCTCGGTAGATTCACCATTTTCAACCAAAGGGGATTTTCTATTTTGAAAGGATAACTTTCTGCTTCTCCCTTCCAACATCAAGAGCATTTTTCTGGTTAAAACACAGAATTTATTATTCTATCTTTTATCCCAAACCAAGATAAAGTTGAAGGTTTTTTTTTTTGGTGTTCAACGACAAAAATCCTTTCTAGGATGTTATGGTACGAGCATAGTTAGGATGAGAATAAATGGAAAAAGTTTTTCCTTTTTCTTGATGAACAAGTTGATATCGTTGGTAGTGAGACATAATCTTGATGTTTTCTGCTGTCTCGTGTTAATGACTACGAATGAATCGTCTGTCTCATCTCTGTTCAGACTGGTATAAATAAAAGATCTTCCAACGAACCTCGGATTTATTTTAATAACAATAGATTTGGGACGCTAACGCTGTTTGCAGTGCTTTAACTCTTTTTACTACTTTCTACCAGATATTTGCATATTTTTACCATTTTTCTGCTAAGACAAAAAGCAAATTTCATATTCTCCGACTCTCATTTCAAGCATAAAACTTAATGATAACAATGAGAATAAAACCAACTGCGATATTTTTATTTTTTCCCTTCAGTTAGCAAGATATTTTCTGAAGCAATGATAATGCGGAATAGAATAATGAAACAATAGAATTGAGCCTAATTTCAAATTCTCGTCTCTGTGTTTGATTCCCCAACTGGATATATCTCGTCGAGCATCCATCTGAAATAATATTACACCACAAAATTTACTTATATCAACTTCAAAATGAATCTATCATGAAAATTTGGAATTTTCTATTAGACATTTTAAAATCCATTTGTGAAAATGGTGGAAATGAAGCTTTTTCATTATACAACGAGATAAGTGAAAAGTTTTTCACAATTTTTAATGATTCAAATGTTGATGATGAAATGGAAATGAAAATGGAAAAGTTTTGTACATATCTCGGTTTGGCTTTCTCCCGATGGTGTGATAGATAAAAGAACAAAGTTTTCACTTTAATAGAAATAAAAAAATAAAATAAAGTTGCAACTTTATTGCACTTAATATGATTAAAAAACTTTAACCATTTTGTCAGAAACACAATTATCTAGTTAAAGTTGAAAGCAAGTTGATCTCGTCTAGAAAAATGACAGAAATTTCCTAATTGCTGGCAAATGGCAAAAAGTTTAAATGCGGCATGAAAACTTTATTCATTGTGCACTGTATATAAATCATTTAGTAACATAAAGAAAAAGTTTGTTCTTAATTTTTCTCTCTTTTTTATTTTAAGCTTCGGCCATTCCAGAACAAGGGAAAAGTAAAATGTTTCTCGAACATGGAGCTGTAATTCAATTGCTCTCAAGCAATTGTTTGAGCTACGAAAGTAATTACATTTTTTCATAATGAAAATTTATCGTTCTTTCAAACGGGTTCGAGGGCTCTTCATCGTGTCCATCCAGTCTTTTTCATACATTTTGTTTCTGAAATTATTCCCGTTCCCAGCAGAAATCTCTTTGTCTTTTAGACGAATCGAAGAGAAGGCCTTAATTACCATTTGATTACAATGAAAAATGCTTAAGGCTCACAATGTCATTAAAACTGAGTTAAGAAGGATAAAGGGATATTAAATGCTCAAAAGGTCCAAATGTGTTGAGAGTTTGAGATAAAACTGAATTAATTTAAATATATTTCCTGTGAACTCGTCTGCTTCCTCAATTGTTCGTTCATAGTTACGGAATTAAAACATCTTATCAATTTAAATTCAATAGATAATCAATTTATGTTTGGAAACTTTCACTTTTCGTCTCTTGTTTTCCGAAAACTCGAATTTTGCACTTGAAGCTTAATAACTTTCTCTTTTATTCATTTATCGATCAAATTTATTGTAAACAAGATGATTTCGTAATTAAATTGGTTTTTCTCACAGCCAACCAAAAACGTTATGACGATGGATTCAATCTGTTGAAATACTAAAATGCTTCGACAGGTCATCGGAGCAACATCATCGTTCATATTTGTAGTCTTTTAGAAGATTTCGGTTTACTCTCTCACTCCTAGTGACGCAAATAATATTTGCCAATTGTTTTCGAAAGGTTGAGAAGTCTGGAGGGGGAAAATATGTTTATTGTTGTTTGATGAACGTATTTAATATAATTCTATGTAGGTTAAAACCCATACACAGTGTTAGACTTCCCTTTTCGTTCATGCTTTATGAGTTTTGATATGAAAGGGAAACTCAGAATATTTGATGAACTTTAGACACTTCTAAACCTTTAAAGTTTATTTAACATTCAAAGTAGAAAATTGAAAGCTTATTCCTTTTTTCTAAAGATATTTTATCTCAAAATTCTACGTAATAATTGAATGAGAATGGAATTTTCATGTTCACCTTTTCTAAATTCGCAATTTGCCTTCATTCCGAGGCAATTAGATCTTTTTTTTTGTTATAACGTCATTCATTCTCGTAGTGAGATGATTTTACTTATTAATCATTTAGATTGAGTTTTTTTTTCATGCCAGCAATGGAAGATAAAGGATATAAATTATCTTTCTCTGTTGCTGCGTACTCTTCGTCCATTTTCCATGAATTCATCATCATATATCATTCAGTAGAACGCGTGCTTATTCTGGGGATAAAATAGAACTGAAAAAAAGTTTCTCTACGTCAGTCTTGCTTCTAAAATTATTTTACTCTTCATAAATTAATGCATAAGAATTATATTTTTGTACATATATTCAAAATGAGAAATGGAAAGGAATTTTCCTGCTTTTTATGTTGCCATGTTGAATACCGCACATTTGCCGTTATGTAGACGCAAAGAACCCTTTTTCTAAATATATGCAAGCTATTTCTACATCCCTTCCCTTCCACTTTTTACTATTAATGATGGCTTTTATCTTAGTCCAATATGGAAAACTCGTATTCATGCGTTACTTTGGACAGAATCAAAAAACCTCCAGAAAATTATTGTCAAGTTCACGCTCAAGGTGAAATGTTTGACTTCTTTTCCTTGAATATAATCAAAGGAAGAAAAATTCTACAGATGCAAAAATAATCGTGAATTTTATCCGCTCCCCTTTCCGTTTTGTTTTTCTTTTGCTTTATACATCCATGGATGTGACCATACATATTTCGAATACCTTTTCAAAACCAATAGGGGATTCTTTTCTAACATTTTTGACTGGAGGAAGATCAGAAAAGCAGTTGAAAAAGTGAATTTTTACACTGAAGGGCATTTAAGGTGGTCAGGTGGGCTTGTGTTTGGGAATGAAGTTGAAGCACTTTGTGTAGGGAAGTTGAAGGTTTTTATCACCATAGTCAAACATTCTGGGCACTCACTTTGCGTATATTTTCTATGGCTGTTTATTGCTAAAGCAAACGCTTTAGATGCGATGTTATTTGATTCGAGACGGCAACAATAAAAGAAGTAGACGAGGAAAATTCTCCACAAAAATAGGAAATTTTGTAATTTTCACATTTACAATGTGCATGCATACGACAGAATCTCTCAGGAGTTGAAGTGGAATGAAAAAATGAAACTCCACATACACACATAATGTTCAGAGGTTAAAGAATGGTCGGTCGGGTGGTTGTGTACAATATGGAGTGAGAAATCTCCATCATCGAGCATTGAACATAAAGGGATAATATGCGAAAATGTTTTTAAACCTCGAACAAAATGCAATGAAAAAACGAGGCGAGAATTTTAACTCGCGGAAGTTGATTGTTGTGATAGATATTCAAATTCAGGATATTTCGAATTGAGATTCTTGCATAGGCCGTTCTCGCTTCAGACGGTTCAATAAAAGCGTTTAGTTGAAAATTTTCGCAGCTTTTCTTTCTTTCTTATTCGCACTTCGTCCATCATCAAAGTCGAAGATGGAAAAGAACATGGAGGAAGTTTTTAAAATTCTGTGCGTGCGTAGAAGCGAGAAAGTAAACGTGGGATGAGTTGGGGTTGGTAAAACATTTTTCTCTGCACATTAAAAATGTTCTTTTTCCATGATACAGCAGAAAAAGCGGTAAAACTTTGATGGTACACGTACACATCTCTCTTATCACATTTTTGCAAATGGCTGATTTTAGGAATCTCATTTCCTTTATGTTGCTCGAGGCCTGGTAAGCGATTCGTTCTTTAAACATCAAAATGAATGAACGATTAAGCCTTTTTTTTATGGTTTTTGCTTGCTTTCGTTTGAATCGTTGAGGAGGCTTAGGCAGAAACCTGAACGAACATTTATTATTATTAAAAGCAATGAAATAAAAATCGTTACCAAGGCAGAGAAAATTTACAAATGCTGACTTTCAATGTAATTTTTCGAGCGGTCGTAAAATATGGGAAATCGTAAAATTCGTGTACTGTAAAAGGTTGAGAAAAAAAAGAAGCGAAATAAAAAATTCAAATGAGATTCTGACAAAGGGATTCACAAGGGAGTCCATGAGTCTGTACATACAATTTGCTATAATTAAATTCAAACAAAAAAATTATCAGCATCAAAACCACATATGGACAGCTAGATGTTTACTCCACCTAAACTTTTTAATTTCTCCAAGTGTGGAAAGCATGAAACATAAAAAGAAGTCGTAAAAGCTTCACCATTGGTGCCATTTAATTTAATAACCGAATAAAATCTTTCTATTTTTAATGAAATTGTTTCATATGAAGCGATTTGTTACTTGATAAACTACGTCTTGAATTATTTGTGCAATTGGGAGTGCTTTAGTTAAACTGCTTTGGAATAGAATCAAAAAAATATTTGTTCTTTAAATAAATATCATAAGCTAACAAATTAAATATTTTTAGATCATAATTTATTTATTTATCAATAAAATAAATAATGGTAAAGAACATTCAATCATGATTTCCATTAAATATTTTCAACCTTTTAAATATCGCGTCATGTTAATAACTGACCTTGCATATACTTTTTTCGCGTTAAATTTACTTTTTATTTCGACTGGTTGAAAAAAATCTGGAAATCAATAATCGATTGACGTAAACTTTTGCATAATAGACACAATGTTGCTGATGATTCATTTTTTTATCCCAATTAAATGTTTGTCTTATGGGTTTATATGTGCAAAAAATGGTAAGCTGAGATGATTAAGATTGAATTTGAATCTCAAAAGCTTTTCAAATAATTACTGAAGCTCATTATATTTGTCATAAGAATATTTAGAAACTTACTTAAATTATTCTTGATTGAAAGTCTACTTAAGGAGGCGAAAGATGAATCATTTAACACCCCTTTGGAATTCTTCAATTTTCCATTGAACTTTTAATTTCATCCCCTCGTCAAAAGGTGCCGCTGAAGGTCAGGAAAAAATGAAATAAAGAACTTGATTTTTCAATGTTGTAAATCAAGGGTTCATCGAAAGGTTGAACGAGCGAAAGCATCAAAATGAATATTAAGACTCATTTCTGATGTGTTTGTGCATGATGAGGATACACGAGGAGTTATTGAGAATATAAGCAAAATGAAAAATCGCCGTTGTTTTTCCCCCTATTTTGATTTCGACGGGAAAAGCGGGGCTGCGATATATGAAAAAAAAATCGCCAACAACAAAATGCACAGACGAACAAGAAAAATTGGAGGACGAAAAAAATCGCGATTCAGAAAATACACAATTTTTTCATATGCTTGCCGCTACGCTACAAATTCCGAATTAGAGAAGAGACAGGGATTTTCCCAACTGCTGAGTGCTGTTTTTTCACTGCAACTCTTTTCCATCTCGCTACGACATAAAACAATATTTTTAGGTTTTTCCATTCCCGTTCAGTGCGAAAAAATATTTTGTTAGCTGTGGTGTGTTTTTTATAATTTTCTCGCGAAACGTGGAGAGATAAAAATAAGAAAACAAAAGGAAAACTCATTAAGGAAATAATTTAAAGATTTTCACAGAAAAAATAGAAGACATTGAAAAACTGAAAAATTTACAGACTTTGTTAGTTTTAAATTTTTTTTCTATGAATCGAGAAGAAGTGTAAAGAGTTTTGCAATCATCATGTAAGTTGGAAAATATTTTTTCAATTCCAATAATTTTCTTGAAATTTTGCTTGACAATAAGAAACATAAAATTTATGATTTTCCTGATCATTAGTACATAAGCATATTCCGAAGTTTGGTTGTTGAATATAATCTTTGTGGTAATCATTTGGTGAAATGTCATGCATAATTCTACCAACTACAACTGCAATAACTATAAGCGGAAATTAACTAAAAGCATATAAGTTTGTACAAATGTTTTCTAAAAAGCGTTTTTATTGATTTTCATTTTTCTACAAGCGGTAATGATGAAGAATATTTTTACTTGGTCTCACAACTGCTTCGTTTCTGGTTTCGTTGATATTTTCATAAGATGGCGATGTGGATGCGGTTTTTAGAAAATATTTTTAAATAGTATTTGATGATGGAGACAACATCATAATTAGTTTGATTAGACATCAAAGACGTTCTGTAAGAAAAGAAATAAAATAGAAAGTTTAATTTAGGAAATGTTGTAATATCATCAAATCAATATCTTGTTTAATGTGATTTCTTTAAATATCAGAAACAACCCTTTAGACGACCAACACTCACACCATAACTTTTTCCATATATTCGCCCGCATTTCGCCCATCATTGAAACCATTTTCTCTCAACAAGCGGATGGCAGTTCTTCTCAGAAAGTCTATAAAAATGAACTTCTGCGCAGGCATTTTTAGCATCATTTTCTTTTTTATTTATTTTCACCCCCTTTTGACGGGAGGAAAAAAAATAGAAAAGAGAAAAACGAGAGGAAAGCTGAACATATCAGTTTTTTGTGTGTAGCTAAACTAGGGAGGATGAAGAGAGCAAGCAAGCGTTCATATTTCGCAGATGGTGGCATAGAGACGATGGAATGTTGAAGATGTTTGCCAATGTAACTATGCACACACAAACACACTCACACAACTCTTTCTTTCTTTCTGTGAAAAACTACAAAAATTGAATTTTTCACGACGGCGTTTGCGCAAAAAATTTGCATTTTAATTTTTTATTTTTTGCAATAAAATTTTAAAATTTTCATGATAATTTTTCACAATTTGAGGTTTTTAGAAAACAAATTATGAATATTTAGATAAATGTGCTTTTATTGGATATAATTACGAATTAAAATCCAAATCAATGTTGACAATTAAAGGATTTTAATTTCGAGAAAATCGAATTTTCAGATTTCTTTAAAATCAATTGGAAGTCAAATTTATGAGATTAAATTGATATCTAACTGATTTTGTAGCGCTTTACGATAGCTTTGATCATGGAATGCTTCGATGCTTTATGTATCCAAACTTCATTTGCATTTAAAACTTTACTTCATTCTTTCATTATGCTTGAAAATTTCTCATCTATGTTGAGTTCTTGTAACGAGACGAAATATCATCGTTTATATTTAATGTACCAGTTTTCACAGTTTTTCAATTAGAAATAATTTTTGTGCATTATTCTGAATACTTCAAGAGCGCATTATAATAAAGCGTGTTTAATTTCCCATCACAAGCACAATATTATCAGTTATTATTTTAATTAAAGCAAAGAGTTGCATAGTATTTTGAGATCGAGAAGTATCAGGTATATGCAATAATTGCCAGGCTTCATTATCATAGAGAACAAAAATTCGCCATCGCTTCATTTTATTTCAAATGGAAAAGTTTCTTCACTCAGAAAAAAGTGCTTGGTTTGAATTGCATTTTAATGTAGCAGAAATATTATTTTAATGTTTATTATTTCATACAATTTTCCTCCTCATTTTAAAAAGCTGTGCTGTACTGTCTGGCTCGATGAGTATGACTTTACAAATATTCAAAAATTAATGTCCTGAACAGCAATAAACACACGGATGATGTGGTTCATCGTCCACTCTTCCACACATATCTTACACCTATCCACCAAGGGCTTCAATGATCGTAAAAGTTTTAATTTCTTTTCAAAAAATAAAGTAAAATAAAATGTCGAGCATTAATGAAGAAAGAAAATTTAATTATTTTCCGGAATGAATCGGGGAGACTCCTTCCCATATCATCATGCATAAGAGTGAGATGTGAATGAAGAACGTAATTATATTTTCATTTTTCGACATTTAAATTTCATGTTTATGAATGACACATGAAAATATGGAAAATTAATTCTCTAATGTGATTCATAATTTGTTTATTTGAATGATGTTGCTGGCAGTTTTGTCTCAACTCTCTACACAAAATGTCGCTTCAATATTTCTCAATAACTTTTCCTTCACTTGCTTGCCTTGACTAATTTTTATTAATGAGACGAAATATTTGTGATTATAAAAAATTATTTACATCGAAATGTCTTTTGAATTTCATTACTATTCAAGAACTCATGTAACATTAATTTATTTTTCTACTCGAATATAAAACAAATGAAAGTAGGAGAGGAGATAAATACATGCAGAAAAGGAGCTTTCTACAATATTTATTTGAATAACTTTTCCATTTTAAATGGTTTACGAAATGCAAACACGACTGTACGATATACTTTTATGTTCTCATTTTCCCCCCATTACTACTTACACCAAGAGGGAGACTTTTCGTTTTATGTTATTTTGTACGATGAACATGTTTCTTCAACTCAATGCTAAGTTCTCTGTTGAGTTCTTCCATTACAGTTTTATTTTATTCCATTTTCTCATTTAAAAATGCTTGAAAATTTTCTCTATGAAAAGTTGTAACGTTACGAAAATTGAATGCTTAAGGCAACTTCAAAACCAAGCTCAGAATTATCTTTCAAACATTGTTTTTAATACGAGAATTTAATATTGAAATTCCGTTTTCATTTAAGCTTAACAAAGAAATATATTAGTTTCTTATTCCTAACTGATGAACTAAACTTTGCTTTTATCTCCATTTAAAGTCTCAACACAACTCAATTGAAATTCAAATTGAAAGATTCTTTTGTATCCACATAAAATTTGCATTATTTTGCGCCCGAATAAATGTCTACGATAAATCCACTCGCTAATAAATTTAACCAAAGGAAGACTGTCACTTCTGGTTGTAGAATTGAGAATTCAGTTCAGCAATTCTCTTAATTAAAAACACTAAAGTTTTATGCTAAATTGAGGAGTGTTGTATGTTGAGAAATTGTTGAATGCTACGATTCAGTGATGAAAATAATTCAAAGAGATCGTTTAGGGATTCAGTAATATCACTTGATGAAGATAAATAGCAAAATTTGGTTTAAAAGTGACGTTAATATCTTATTTATTCCGGTAGACCAAATCACTTACTTCATATAATTAATCTCTTTCGCTTATTTAGAAGCTTAAAAACATTTTAAATTAATTTCCCAAAGCATCGATATTGTGAGTTTTTGAGATTATTATTTAAAAAGTTTTAATATTATTTTTCAACCTCATCACATCTAAGCTACAATCTTATTGATTGGATCTAATATATGAAATATTAAATTAATATTTCAAAAACAATTTCCTCATAACATTCTAAATGGAAAATATTTTGCACTTTAGTCTAGGCAAAAAATATTTAAAAAAAAAGTTTGTCTTCACCATTAAAATTCTCATTTTCCTGTGTCATCTTTAGAGCAAAAGATTCCATGGCAACCATTTTTTAGCTCAAGGCATACACATGGAGCTATAGTTTTCTAATATACCGATTCTATATGAGTAGCATAGTTTTTGTGAATATGGTGAACCTTTAACCCTTCCTAAAAGGATTTCTGTGTTGCCCGATGAAAGCAACTTGTGCATTTGTCAGATCAAGGAGTGCTTCGTTGGATATCTTTCATTTATTTTTCTTCGTAAGACAACATTAATGTTGAACCAACTCATCCCAAAATACACTAAAAAGCAAATTTTACCATTTCCTCAATTTTTGAAAAATTATTTTTCGAAAAGAAAAACTCATATGAAAAGCGTACATGAAAAGTGGTTTTAAAATTTACATGTCCAAGCAAGGTTTTTCGTTTAGGAAAATTTCCCTTCTACTTACTCTCGTCTACCACACAATAAATGCTCATGAATGTGTACATGCATATATGAACATCTCGAACTCCCTTTTCAAAAGAGTTTTTCTGGGGGTTTTTCGGTTTCTTCTTTTTATGCAAAGTGGAAAGGAAAGTTAGATACGGGTATATGAGTGCTTCGACTGAATAGTAATATCTTCTCATTCTCTCCTTCTTCGAATGGCATTCCATAATAAAACATTCAGTATTTGAATTTATAGAAAAGATGAGAAAATTTTCCTCCCCCACACTCTAAGTATGCACATATCCGTTCATGTGTAAACTTTCTGACTTTATGTCTTTGATACTGATATGAATAAGAGAAATTATCTGGAATGATATTTGAAATTTTCATTCTGGTTTAGAAAAACCAAAAGAAGCGCGAACGTTATCAATGATTGAAAATTGTAAATTAAATTATTGTAAGGCTTTAGATTGAACCATAAACCGTGAAGTATTATTAAGCAAACTATCCTTTCATTACATTCATTTATCAAGCTTTGCAACTTTAAATTCGCACCCACAGTGTGTTGGAATTCTTGCTTCATATTGATATCAAAAATCGAATTACTTTTTTACAGTAGAAATATTTTATTATTTTTCCAACTCACAGTTTATGTGATAACAACGAAAAGCATGCGAAAAACTCTTTTTTTTGTTTGGAGATTAAAAGTTTTTTTTTAATTAATATTCAACTCATGTGTTGAGTTTTGTGGATGCGATATAAGAATTTCACACCAGAATGAATAATAAAATATTACATTCAAATTGAACCTTCTTCCATACAAAAAGCAACAGAAAATTAATAAAAATATTTCGATAAATTTTCATTCTTTGCTGGCATAAGACAGATGAGATAATGATAATTACTTTTTGTTAGATAAAATATTGTAAATGTAAGCAATATTTTAGTTCTAATTTATTGTGAAACTCACTTAAAAGGGCTTTTTGCTTCACTCTGAAGATTAATGGATAGCCTTTTGCCTTTTAGTTGCTGAATAGGGAATGAACTGCGTATGGTCGAGTAGATATGGGTTTGAAATGAAAAAAAAGAAACTGAAAATGTCAGAAAAAGAGAAACTTTAGATGAATGTGCTCGGCCAAGTAAAAGTTCTTGTTCTCAAACAACGAATGCTTTTTCATTTACTCTTATCGGGAAATGTGTGGGAGGGATAAACATGAAACAAACATATAAATATGTAGAACCCTTTGCATTATTTTTCTTGAAATGGCTTCGCTCGTTGGTCGTATTCTTTTATAGAAATTTTATTTATCTTATTTTTCATAGGCGTTGTTTTCTTCGAGACATTAATAATGGAATTAAAATTTCTGTAATTAAAGCATATTGCTGGAAAATTATTATAGATATTTGAAGTATTGTAAAAAGTTGAATTTGATGCAACATGCTTATGAATTCCCATAATACTTTCCATTTACTTAAATATTCTGACACGATAACAACTGTGGATAAACTTTCCACCTCAGGATAATACAGAAAAACACTCGCATAATAGCAAAAAAAGACTCGTAAATTTTTCTGTTTTATTTAACATCAATTACGTTATAATCAATGCAGTGGAAAATTAAAACTTTGCTTGCTTTAGATGTTGAAAGTCAACAGCTACCGATAACTCAGATGAACTCGTTCGCAAAAACTGGAGGAAGTAAATTGGCGCAGTTCATTGTAATTGTGTAATGAATTTCCAACAAATATCCCAAGCCCATTACATTCTCTTCTCGCGGATATGCGGAAAACCACGGAAACCGACCAAACATGATATACAAAAAAACCTTTTTCACATTTTCATGCTGACGCCACTTGTGCTGATAAAAAACTCTTAATTACCTTCACTTTAACATGATGTTTTAAACCTTTAGTTTAAAATTTTTACAACGAAAAAAAAATTGAAACACAACCGACAAAAGATGAAGAAAAACTGAGAGAAGAATCTTAAAGTGGAACATGAAATGACTAAGAATCACGAAATAAATGAATTAAAATTATCTCACGCTACAAAAAATGAAACTTGTTTTAACCCTTTGATAAAGATACATCAATAAGAAGTAGTAAGAAAAACGTCTGTGATGCACAAGATCTTGATCTTTTGACATCTTGTTGGACAAGTAATCAACCCTTTCCACTCGCTTTATGATATTCAAACTTTCGGTGACTTCTCTTGGGAATGATGTTTGCTTTACTTTTTGATCAAATTACTCAGAAATGTTCAAATATTTGCTGCTCATCGAATATCCATCGAAGGGATAGACGTATTTATGTCACAGCAAATATTTGGGTACGACTTCAAGGATCCAAAGCTGTATAAAAGATAAGTTAAGTTTTGTGTGCTGTTGAAAGTATTAAATTTCTGAATTCAAAATTCACGCTCGGAGGATATTTGAATAAAATTTCAAATTGTATGACGCAAATATGAAAAACTTTCTAATCATTTCTGGGCGTGAATTGTTCTTCAACATTTTAATTTCCATGACTCTTCAGTCTTCATCTTTTGTCGTGAATGTAGAATGAAAAGTTGAGACTCGAAAGGCAAGGGTGTTGAAAACTGTCTCTGATGTCAAACACACAGAATAGTAGTCGTTGAATCCTGTGTTAAGTGGTTGAATGTTGTCACATGATACTGGGATGTTTGAAAGTTTTTCGTTTTTATATCTAATGTGAAGCCAAATTTCCCCAAAGTTCTTCATATCTACATTGTATTCCCTCAAACCACTTCAATATGTGGGATAAAAAGAATGGAGTTTCATCGCCCAGATGAGACATTAAACAAACTTTCACAGTTTCGAGTTGCCATTAAAATACTGCACGTGTTGTTTTGCTCTGAGCCTTCTAAAATCCCTGTTGACTCCCCCAATCTCCCACTACAACTTTTGTTAGTGGAGAAAGAATAAAATTAATAAATTATTTTATGTTTTCTCCGCTCAGAAACAACAAACTTCTTCTTCGATATCAAACCATAGAAATCTGATACAAAAGGAAAATTCGATTCGGGCCTCCAAAGTTTAAGCGGTAAATGAGGGAAGAAAATAACTAAACATACACTATAATCGTATTATTTAAAATAATTGGGAGTTGTCAGGATGAAAGCCCAAATTCTCCATTCATGAGAATGCAAAGAAATTTTGCAGTCATTCACTTCATATTTAAACTAAGAAAAAAGACAAAATCAGAAACTTTATCTTTCTAAGCTTGAAAATAACTTTCGTATTAGACAAACCAAAAACATTTTTCGTTTAGAAATATTTTGAAAAGCAACCAAAAAATTTTCATTTTTCAAAAACTGTTCAGAATGTTTTACCGGGAGCATAATGAAAGAAAGAAGAAAAAAAATTAATCATGAAAGTTTTAGAATTTTCGGTTATTTTGGTTTTCAGAAGTTTTCCATTCTCTTATGAAAGGATTTTATTTTATGTCCAAATATGGTGAATACGTGGAGATGTTTGCTTCGTCTTTGTGGAAAGAGTTCAATAAATAATTTGCTTCCTATTTCTAAAAAAGGCAGAAAATCCTTGTTATAAGATTCATTGACTTGTATACGGAAAAGAAAAAAAATTGAATAAATAATCAGAAAAGGGTTTGCCTTTAATTAAAATTTTTCTCTCATCTCTGGAAGGTTTTTACTTCGACTTTTCGAAGAAAAATTTGCAGAAAAGCAGCAAACAAAAACTAGAGGCAAAAATTCGATTAGGTCTCGGTAAAAAGGGTCTTCTTTGATAAGTAAATTACGCTTTTTGGAGAACATGTGTATTAGGATCCTTATCTAAATCTAAAAGGTTAGATAATTTATATCAGAAGCTTTACATTTCCCAAACTCGTTTCATTTCACATCATTATGATCAGAAAACAGATAATATTTAAATGTGTTGAAAGTTTGAGAAAAATCTTTGCCCGTTTTAATTTATAAATTTCAATTATAGGAAGATGTAAATACAAACTAAAATCTATTTTTAAACATATTTCCACCCCACATTAGAAAATTTTCTTCAACTTGATCCTTTTAAAAAATGAGAAATAACAAAAGCAACACCCACACAGCATTTTAATATAATCCTTCTAAAAGACCCTTCGTTACCAACATGAAATGTTGAGAAACTCTCTAAACAGCACAAAAAGCCGGATTTTGAGGGGTTTAGGGGGAAACGAAGATGGCCTTCGTAATTTTCTATTAAAATAAATTAGATTTTCCAACACAAAAAACCTTCATCCCATCACGTTCTAAGGCGCAAAAACTTACATATTTATATATTACCACCCACAATTCGCCCTCGATTTTCATCAAGTACAATACATTCTTCTTTTGTGTACTTTTAAATAATCAGAGATCTCTGTTTATGTAACTTAAATTACGGAAAGCAAACGAAAAAGGAAAACTTTCTCTCCATCCACCTACACGTTTTTCTCTTTCTCTGTGGTTAGAGAAGCACATTTCTAATAGCAATCCCTTGGCGAGAAAAACCATTTTATATTAACCACCCCTATCGCTTTGATAGCAAAATGTACGCTTCCCCTTTCTTATTTTCGGTTATGGAAGTGGGTGGATGTGTAGGTAGGTAGGTAGTTGTGATGCTGATGGTGACATGATGGATGAAGGAGCTTTTAAAGAACTGTCATTAATTTAACGACCATATTAGCTTAACATATTTTTTGAGGAATTTATATCCAGCCTTAAATACAAAATGATTTTTTTTCCTCCGAAATTAATGTTGCTTTGCGGTCAAGTCAACATATTACAGTAAAGAACCATAACAGAAACACCTTCGGCAATATAATTTGAGGATTATGAAGACTCGAGAAAAATTATTCACATTCATTTCTGAGTTGAGCGGTAAGGCGATGTGATTGGAGAACGCATAAAATTAATCGGTTCAATTGAAAGTAAAATCTCATGACGTAAATAGGAAAGTTAAACAATATGACACTTGCTGTTGTTTGTAAAGCAAGGTCCCGTGTCAGAATAAAGTGAACCTCATTTACTCGTTTTATCTAAATCGAACCTTTACCTCTCTAAAAGGTTTCATCATTGTTATGTAAATTTTCTTAAACATCATTTCGTAATATTCCAAGGGTCCCAAATTAGAATGAAACGCGTGCTACTCGTTATGCCTTTCACCTTCCAACCTCATTCCAAATATTAAGGGAACGATCCGCATTACTCAAAAGAAGACCACTCAACGTTATCCCTTCGAGCTGAAGAAACATTTACAATTTGATTAGATTTAAACAAATTACGGTTTATTCAAGAGCTGCTAGAAATTAAATATATTAATTAATTTTATCTTTTCGTACCGTTTTGTCTCCTTCAAAAGGTTCTCGTCATCAAAACATTCCACAGAAAGAAGTTTCAACGGTCAGAAAGCATTAAAAATTCCCATACTGACACAATGAAATGTTGTTTGCTTTTAATAAGGGTTCATAAGAAAACCAGCTTTTCCACTATTTTTTGGCGTTATGAAATAAATTCTTCAATTTCAAAGTGTCGCTTTTATAGCTGCTAATCGCTTAGGGCATTATTCGAGGAGGGAAAAAGGTTTCGCTAGATTTGTGAGATGACATTTTTTATGCGGACGATGTGCCACTTATTCTGATCTCCTTTCTTCTCCCAAAACGGGACAAAGCCATCCCAGATATTTATGAGTGTACACATTTGAAAGCGTAGAAACTTTTGAACCCCAAGTGAACTTGCCTCGGTCTCCAAATCTCGAAAAGGAAACCCAAAACCCTTTTTTTTCGATGTGATAAATTTAAACTCTCAAAATTAAAAGGCTTAGAGATCCTTTTTGCGTCTTTCTTTAAACAAAATAGCGGGGTGAATATCAAGTAAAAAGCAGCAGAAATGAAAGTTAGAAAAACTCTGAGAATTCATCGCCATAGGGGAAAAAGTTGAGTAATTGTTGGAGACCAAAGAACAGAAACAACAGCAACATAGAATTTTATACACATTTATATTTGGATTAACACGATGTGGAATAAAAACTAAAATAACAAAAGTAAAGCTGAGTGGGTGACCAGATGGCTTTAGAAAAGGAAACAAATTTGGAGATAATCACAGCTTTTAAATTATAAATCAATGGTTAATTTAATTTAGTGATAGATGAATAAATAATCGGTCTTAAGACCAACGCAGATCTATAATACATCAAACCCTAATCAGGCAGTGAGTTATTGCAGATATTAAAAGACCTTTTTCTGACACAGAAAACAATTTTTCGTAATGAAACATCCTTTCTGCAAAGTGCCATGTTTAAGGGAGTTTTCTGAAGATGACTCAAAAGCTTTTTAGCTTTTTCTCTATTCAACAACATCACAGCCGACGAGAAAGCGCTTCTCATGTTTGGCTTTAGTTTTTACAAAAAAATCTACAAAAATGCTATCTAATGAGATGATAATGGGAAAAGAGAGTTTGTTGGTTAAACTTTTCATGCTTCTATTGTTAAAAATAAACAACTAAAAAAAGCTACGAATTGTTTTAATTTGGCTTGCACAAATTTCAAAATATTTATATTTCAAGTTTTTATTATTTCTGGTTAGTTTCTGAAAAAATTTACTCATTAAAAAGTTTTATCGCAGTATCTCTGTGTTGAAAATGTAATTTGCTGAGTGTTTTATCAAAATAATTTGCAAAACATAATTGTGCAGACAGGTTTTATCGTCTTAAATTGAAACAGAGCTGATAATAGGATGCAAATTTACAAATGTTTCTAACACTTTAAGTTAGAATCACAAAATTCTAGAATTTTCTTGAGGCTTAAAATCTAAGATTCAAGGGTCGTAAATAAGTTAACCCTTGCAACTAATGCTAAGATTACTTCAACAAACCGTTTCCTTGGCAACACTTTGAATCTCGTTCCCCAATGATGCTGAAATATAAAATGATGACCAGCAGGTTTACGTTCTTGCTCGGTAAAACGATGAAATTCTTGACTATTCTTCAACCCTTTTCATTTCTTTCATTCAGAAAAGAAGCGTGAGAGACTATTTCTGCTGAATTATGTGTATTTATGTAAATTATTTGCTATGTGGCAAAATTTCAATACAATCGTCATTAATTAATTTCTTTAATTTTAAGAATGTATCTTGGAATTAATTGCAAATGTCTACCATCGTTTCCTGAATATGAATGTTAAATAAAATTATTTCAATGAAAAATATTGTCCATTAAACAATATTAAATGATAATTCTTTTTTAATCATTTACTTCGGTTTCAATCCATTAACATAATTCACTGTTCACAGAAAAATGTAAATCAAAAGTTACATTCGTTTGCTGCACAATGTTGATCGTCATAATTTTTCATGACATTTTTTATTGCACATTTCCATTTTCATCTTGATTTTCCTTGCCTTTTAATGACCACGTTCATCACGTTCATCCCACAAACGCCTTTTTGTCACAACATTTTCAAAAAATTTTCTATGCAGATCTCATCATCATCATCAGAGTAGGGAGTGCACTAACCAGTGCACTAAAGCGATTAAGAATATAGGATTATACACCCCTTCTTGTTTCGCTCCCTATATCTCGTCGTTTGATGATTGATGTTAAATAAGGGAAGTTTCAGAAGCTGCCTTAGATTTTGCATAATAAGTGAAATGTACTTGTAAAATCTGCTCAAAAGGACCAGTTTGACCGCTAATACAGGAAGATGGGGGTGATTTAGGATTTATTCTACAAACCTTCAGAGATGAAATTCTCTGAAGATGAGAACCCCCACCAGCCGTCTCCCTGATCTCACTGTCCGCCGAAGAGATCGGAGAAGGTGGACCGGACACTCGTTCTCCTCCTAACAAGGAGAGGATCCTCCAGTTCCACCCCCGCGAGCTCCTCAACATTAATAACAGTGTGGTCAAAAATCCTGATGGCAGACTTTGAAAAGTGAAGGCCTAAGTAAGAATGTTAGACATGATTTGTCTGCTCGAGATCTTTCAACCGAAAATCAGGAAGAAGGAGGATTTTTGGGAATTTATTCTACAAACCTTCAGAGAAAAGAGCTTCTCTGAAAGTGAGAACCCTCACCAGCCATCTCCCTGATCTCACCGTCAGCTGAGGAAGTCGAAGAAGGTGGACCGGACACCCGTTCTCCTCATGAAGAGGAGGAGATCCTCCGGGTCCACCTCCGCGAGCCCCTCGGCATTGATGACAGTGTGGTTGAAGATTCTTAGCCTTACTCTAGNCCAAAGAGATCTAGTGCCTTTGCTTATGATTTGCTCAGCGTGATGTTCCATGTTAAGCTTGCTGTCTAACCAGACCCCTAAATATTTAACCTTTTCATCTAATTTTAGAGTGACACCTTTAAGTTTTACCGCAGTTATATCAATACCTTTCCTTCTTTGTGTGACTCTTAATAATTGTGTTTTTGAAGGATTAACAGATAGTCCAGTTTCTAAGCACCATTTTTCTACTATTTTCAGTGCTTTGTTCATGCGTTCGCAAATTGTGTTTGTAAAAGCGCCTCTTACAAGGATTGCTATGTCGTCGGCATAACCCACTACAGTAAAATTTTCTTTTTCCAATTTCTTTAATAGATCATCAACTACTATGCACCACAAAAGTGGAGACAAACACCCACCTTGTGGGCAACCTTTTGTGGGAATAATATTCCTTACTTCTGACCCTATAACTGCTTTAGTTTTTCTGTTTTTGAGCATGAATAAGATCCAATTTAACAATATGTCTCTCATTTCAATTCTTCTGCAGGCGTGTTCAATAACCTCAATTGAGGTGTTATCAAAAGCACCTTCAATGTCTAAGAAGCAGACTAATGCGACTTGTTTGAATTCTAAAGCTTTTTCCAGGTTATGACAAAGGAGGTGTAGCGCTGATTCCGTACTTTTTCCTTGTTGATATGCAAATTGTTTTTTACTGAGCGGATGAGCACTTAATTCATTGATTCTGATATCTTTCTCTATTATTTTTTCTAGAGTTTTTAGGTTAAAAGAAGATAAGCTTATCGGTCTGAAAGACTTCGCTACCTCATATGTCTCTTTACCCATTTTTGGAATAAACACAACCTTAGATTTCATCCAGCAGCTAGGAATGTAGCTGTGACGTAAGCTTTCCGTAAATAAACATGTTAGGACGTTGTGAACAGAATCAATTCCCTTTTGGAGTAGAGCAGGAAAAATTTCATCATCTCCAGGTGATTTGAAGGCCTTGAAGCTGTTGATCGCTTCTGTAACTTTCATACCACTGATTATTGAATTTGCTTCTTCTATGGAGAAGGAAGGCGGGCCTTGTGTCATCGGCAATTGCAGAGAGAAAGATTCTTCTATACAACCGGGAAAGTGAGTTAGGAGCAACAATTCTAGGCTTTCCCCAATATTTTTGGTGTAAGAGCCGTCTGCATTTTTTAAAGAGCCTAACTTAAATTGCTTTTCTCCTTCGAGTAATTTTTGCAGTCTGGTGGCATCCTCCAGTGCGTTCTATGCAGATCTTCTGTTGGTCACGATTTTTTTTAGAATTGTTGAGTCAGATCCAACATCAAATGCATTATGCATAAATCCCTAAGCGAAGTTCATGAATCTGTATCAGTATGTAGGAAGAAATGCACAGTGGAGTTGTCATTGTTGATTATAATACATCGTTTGAAGAGTATATTTTATTATTTACCTTCGCCCCGTCTCGTTATGACACATGTGCGAGATGCGTTTGGTTTGCATCCATGCAAGAATAGAAGTAGAATTAGAAATTTTTCCTACAAATGATAAATCATAGATGTGTACATCATGATGTTGCTTTATTTCTTTCTCATATTTTTTATTAGTCTGAAATGAAAGCAAACAGTGCAGTGTGAGAAAAATGGACTTTTCTTGTTTATTGATAGTGAATTGCATAATTTTAATGTTGGAAACGCAACTCGCTAGTCAGAGGGCTTAAAATTTATAGGCTTCAACATAGCTTGAAAAGGAAGAAAAAAATATATTCAAATATATGCATTTTCTATGTGACATTTGAATTCTATATAGATATGTACATCGAATGCTGTGCCGAATGAAAAGCGAAAGAAGAGAATGCAAAAAATCCACTTTCATGAAAATTCTTATATGAAGCTTCGCATTTCAGTTTTTTTTGTTCACAATAGCAGTTGCATATAAATCAACATTAAGCGATGCGTTTTCCATGTTCCCATCAGAAGCAGCGAGAAAAAACAGTGAAGGACGTCATAAATGCGTTGCAGACTGCATCAAGCATGGCTTATATGCATTTCCTATATCTATCTGATGATTTTTTTAAGAGTCAATGTCTCGCTGAAGCACATTTTATCTTTACCATTAGTATTCGCGTTAAAAATGTGAACATTTATGTGAATTTTTGTGAGTTGTAATTCTCGCTTAAGAGTTTTTGATGAAAGCCATTAAAACATGAACAAAGTTGAATTAGCTGTAAGCTGAAGCACTCAAGTCATGAAATTTCAAATCAAACGTTTGATTTCATGCATCAATCCGTTTCAACAAATCAAAATGGAAACATGAGTTATTGCTTATTGCTTAAATATAAGCTGATAAATTCCAATGACTTTTTATTTTGCAATAAAAGTGCATTTGTTTGACTTGTTAAATTGCTATGATGAATTTTAATTTTTATTATCCAAAACTTTTTTGTCTCGAAATTTCCCTGTATTCCCTGTATTTGGAAAAAAGAGAGAAATGAGTCAAAGCTAAAAGAAGTACTTTTGAAGCGCTTGTGATTTTTCCTGATAATAAAATACTATAAACATAAATTTTGACCTGAAAAGTTTCCCAGATCATCTACTAAGCTATCAGTACAAGTGTAAAGTGGAGTTAAGACGAAAATCTTTGTGGAAAAGTGGAAAACATAAATTTTTCTGAATTTGAAAACGAGTTTCAGAAAGCAAACCACACGTTCTATTGTCTCAGCAATCAACTTGATAACAATGGAATTGGAAAAAAAATTTGATATTCTCTCTGCTACTCTGAACAAAACAATAGAAAATTCTCTTGCACTGGGCCTCAAATCATTTGAAAGTCAACTTGATGTCCTTCTCACTCAAAAAATGGATGCACTCGATAAACGTCTAGAAGAATCATTCTCAAAGAAAATGAACTCCTTGAAAGCTGAAATGAATAAAACTTGTAATGAGGGTTTTGCTTCTTGTAGACGAAAGTACGAAAGGAATAATGCTAAGGTCGCTGAAATAGAAAAGAAAATCGACAAAATCTCGGACAACGCTCGTAGAGCTTGTAAGCTCACTGTTAATGGCATTCCATTCAAACAAGACGAAGACTTGAAAAAGATTTTCAGTATTTTATCTTCACATCTTGGTTATTCTAATCCACCTGAAGCCTCAATTTATCGTTTTAAAACCAATGATAGAAGATCGATATGCATGCAGTTTTCGACTGAATTCCATAAGAATGAATATCTGTATCGGTATCTGAAAAAGGCAATCGGATTGACTCTGCAAATTTTCCCGGAATACGCAAGCAACAACACTCGAATTTTCATCCAGTCTGATCTAACATCACAACAGTATAAAATCAATAAGGCAGCAATCAAATTGAAGAAGACTGGGGAAGTAAAGTTAATTCGAATCATCGAAGGAAGTGTTATGATAAGCTTTGATGGTGACAGTAAATTCTACAGCTACGACTCCATCGCTGATTTTGAAGACGAGGTCATTAAACGCAACCCAAATGGAAATTCCAAAGCTTCGAACGCCATCGAAAAGATATGAATCAATTTTTTTTTTCTTTTTACTTTAATCATGAATTGTTACTCTCATATATCGATGTTATCTTTATCATTTTAGATCTTTATAAAATTCAGGGAACTAAACGCTTTCATCGACGGACTTTAACTCTTCTAAGTGAATGTAGAACGGTAGTATCACTTAAAGGGAGCGAGTCTGTGACTGGTCGGCTGATTATCGATGTCATGCGTCAATGCTCTGAACATATGAATTATTTGGCCGCAGTTTGTGAATCTTGTGATCATCGTCGTTTCTTCATTGTCCTGGTGAGTCATCATAAAACCCTAAAATTTTCCTTTTCCATTCTTCTTTCCTTTATGTTTATGAAATTTGTCGACCGAATGCCATCGGTGTTGCTCTCCTGCTCGCCGTCGTCAGGTTTTCAGTATGTCTAGCGCTAGTGGTTCCTTAGGTGGACCTCACAAAAATAAAAAAATTGTTCTCAAATCTGCACTCAATGAAAGTATATTTAATTTCATGCACATTAATCCTGGCAGCATTAAACCACATATCGATGAAATCAAAATGCTTGTTTCAGGTCTTAATCTTCATGTGCTTGCTATTTCCGAAACTTGGCTATCTAATCAACATAACAATAATTTAATTAACATTCCTGGTTACTCAATTAAACGTCATGATCGCATTAAAAAACGGGGTGGAGGTGTTGCGTTATATATCCATGAAACCATTCGCTCAAAAATAATAGCTAAAAGCCATGGTAAATCAAATGTTGAATTTTTATTTTCCGAACTTAATATCGAAGAGGGAATTAAATTAGCAATAGGCGTAGTTTATAATCCACCAAATAATAATAGAATGGATACTTTATCACGAATATTGCAAGAAATCTCAACAAAATATGAACATGCCATTGTATTAGGTGATTTTAATATTAATTTATTAATGAATACGCCTAAGAAGAATAAATTTGTAAATCTCATTCGATCTGTTTCGTTAGAATGTCCATCAATTGAGCCTTCAAATTTTGTTCCTAATAAAACACCATCACTAATAGATCTTATCCTTGTTAAACAATTGAACTTGTTAAAACGTTTTTCTCAGTTGCCTTTAGGTAGTTACACGACGCACGATTTAATATTTGGCTCATACAATATCGCAATGATAAATAAAAATAAAATTATGCACAAAAGTGTCCGAAATTTTGATAATGTTTGTTCCGAAAAATTAAATGCAGCTGCTATAAAACAAAATTGGAATACAATTTATGACATAGATGACGTTGATGAACAAGTGAATTATTTCAATGAGTTGATTCTAGAACTTATGAACTTTTTCTGTCCTATCAAAATTTGCAAGGTCAACAATGATTGCAGACCTGATTGGCTTTCTGATAAGCTTTTACAGCTGATTAATGCGAGAAACTTTTTCTATGAAGCAGCAAGGAATCAAAAGAATGCAACAGAAAAATTATTTTTAAAACAACAGTTTATTAAATTGCGAAATAGTGTAAATGTAATGAAACGTAATCTTAAAAGAAAATGCCTCCTGAAACGCATGGATGTAAACTTACCTAACACTATTCTTTGGAAAAATTTAAATACATTTGGCGTCACAAAATCTAAATCTACTATTAGTGACAGCTTTAGTTCTACAGATTTCAATAATTATTTCAGCTCTGTTTTCACTCCATCAGATATAGATTCCTTTTGCGATTCAAATGAAGATCTTTCGAATGATGTTATACAAGAACTTGATTTTGAGAACGTCACGAATGATGAAGTTTTTAATGCATTAAATTTAATTAAAACTAAAGCAATAGGTGAAGATGGAATCTCGATAGTTTTTATTAAAAAGTTATGTNGAATGATCCTTGAATGCAATTTTTCTGTTCGATTTCAGTTCGTGTTCAAGTTGAAATTTCTATTAATTTTTTCGCGCTAATGCCTTCAAGTTATATTCTTCTGTACAGTGAAACATTTTGCACATCGTTATGAAGTGAGGGAAAAATCGAAAAATATCATAGATGCATTTGTATGTAAATGAAAGCTCCCGAAGCAATATTCAGGACGACAAAATGGGGAAGTTAGGATGACGATGAAGGCTCAACGAGAGAATGTCTGGGTAATGAGAAAAATGCATACAAAATGCATCTCTTCGTTGAGTGGGTGGAAGTTTTATAGATTCCGCGAATTTTTTGTTCAATTTCTGTATATTTGCCTACGTCTACCACACACTAAAATTGCCAATTTTTAACTCAATATACGCAAAATACCGGGGGAAAATCATTTCGATGTACAAAGCATATGTCCATGACGGCCTTCACATCCACACACCAAACAAAACCAGACCGTTGCTTAAACGCCTATGTGTGCACTTAAGTAATACAAAAATCTATTGCAAAATGCATTTGATTAAAATTTCAGCACACATAGTTGAAAAGGATTTTTTCGAGCAATTTTCTAAAAACAAATATTTCTGAAATACTTTCCAGTGTCGTTTGAACGACGCACATAAATTCTCATTGAAGGCCCTTTCCGTCACTCGACATCCATGGATTTCAAAAAGCTGAGAGTTTTTCACTTTTATTTCATATTTTATAATGTGCATCGTTTCTACATCAACTCTCGTTACATGGCACAATGCAATTGCGATTTTGTTTTATGCCGTTGAACGAAAAATGCATATCATGACAAATTTTTTTTGCGTTTCCAAATTTAACAGAATTTCCATCCATAAATTTTCATTTGAACTCTTTTTAGTGTAGCAGCTAGCAGGCTTACATATTTCATCCATTCTATGCTAACAAGCTAGTAGATATCATGAATAACACATTAAAACACTTATCAAGTCATGGACATGGCAGGAAGAAGAAAATTTATTAACATCGTCAATTCAAAGCGAAGAATTTTCATCACTTTTAAGAAATTAAATGAATTAATTACCGATTTGAAGTAATTTTTCCTCACAAGAAACCATTTCCATCTATGAATCGAAAGATTGTGAAGCTTTGTTCGTCTTTTCATAAACAGATGCCTCTTGGTGGTTCTTCTTTCACTAAAAACGAATTTCAACCCCATTCCACTTTTGTAACTCATTTTTACCCCTCAAAATAAAAATACAAAGCTGAGTAGAATGTTTTCCGGAGAAAAAGGGGAAAGAATGTTGGTGTGAGTTGAATGCAAGTCACACACAGTGTACGATGAATTGTTGTTAAAAACAGGTTTGGTGTAGATGAGACAAGCAGTGCTTAAACATGAGCTATGAATGAATTCATTATTAAATTAATATCTTTGATGTTTCCACGCTAACAACAAGATGAGGAAAGATTTGTTTATGCATTTTTCAAAAATCCAATTTAATTCAGCGGAAGAAGGTAAAAGAATTAAATTTTTATTGAATAATGAAGCTTTGATATTGTTAACATATGGAAATAAACAAACACAGATTCAACAGTTATTATTAGAAGTAATCTAATTGTGAGAAAGACAAGAGAAATTACTAAATTTGTTATTCAACATCCTTGTTATCTAATTCATACCAATTATTCGTGAAACTTGTAGTTGGCAACCTTCCATGAAAATGATTTTGACACCTTATAAAGCACGCATACGAATTCTAATCGCTCAAAGAAAATAAGCTTGCGAAATTTACGGAACATGTTTAGAAGGGAAGGGAAGGGGAGGGAAAGAGATTCTCATTGATTTTTTTACGATTCATTGAATTCAAGGTTGAGTAAAAATTTTAAACTTGAATAATTATAAACTGGGAAACGATTTATTTATCCAAAGAATTATAGAAAGAAATTCGTTCTTGAATGTTTTTGAAACAATCAAAAATTATATTTCTTGTGTTACATCTTTAAGATGAATAAAATGTTTATTTCGCTCATAAATTTTGTCATTCCGGAATCCCTTTATACAAACCACATTACAGGTTTTATTTTCTTAAACACATTACGTGCTCTGTCCCTTTGTAGGAATTGTTTATGAATTATCATAAAGCAGAACTTCGCTAGGGGTTCGCGTTTGAATTTCTTACAAATGTTTAAATAAAACGTTGATTTGAAGACTTGCGGTTCTATTTTCCTTTTAAAACTTTCTTTTTTTCTCAAGTCATGTCCACTGAAAAGTCATTTAAACTTCCCAGCCACTTTCCGCCTTGTCATCAAAGCGATTNGACTTGTTAAATTGCTATGATGAATTTTAATTTTTATTATCCAAAACTTTTTTGTCTAGAAATTTCCCTGTATTCATGGAAAGGTTATCGATACAAAAAGCCCCGTCAATGTCGAATAATGACAGCCATGATATAATAATCTGACATAAAACTCTTTTGTATATTTTTGGAATTTCTGCCTTTGCTTATGCATTTGATTGTCGAACACAACTGTCAGATATAAGCTGAGTGCTTTCCTTAATTAAAAAATTCTTTAAATTTAGCCAAATTCTTCTTTTATATTGGAAAATTAAGCTCGACATGTGAGATAAATATTTGTGAATGATCCTTGAACGCAATTTTTCTGTTCGATGTCAGTTCGTGTTCAAGTTGAAATTTCTATTAATTTTTTCGCGCTAATGCCTTCAAGTTATATTCTTCTGTACAGTGAAACATTCTTCTGTACATCGATATGAAGTGAGTGAAAAATCGAAAAATACCATAGATGCANTTGTGAGAAAGACAAGAGAAATTACTAAATTTGTCATTCAACATCCTTGTTATCTAATTCATACCAATTATTCGTGAAACTTGTAGTTGGCAACCTTCCATGAAAATGATTTTGACACCTTATAAAGCACGCATACGAATTCTAATCGCTCAAAGAAAATAAGCTTGCGAAATTTACGGAACATGTTTAGAAGGGAAGGGAAGGGGAGGGAAAGAGATTCTCATTGATTTTTTTACGATTCATTGAATTCAAGGTTGAGTAAAAATTTTAAACTTGAATAATTATAAACTGGGAGAAGAGATTCATTTATCCAAAGAATTATAGAAAGAAATTCGTTCTTGAATGTTTTTGAAACAATCAAAAATTATATTTCTTGTGTTATTTACATCTTTAAGATGAATAAAATGTTTATTTCGCTCATAAATTTTGTCATTCCGGAATCCCTTTATACAAACCACATTACAGGTTTTATTTTCTTAAACACATTACGTGCTCTGTCCCTTTGTAGGAATTGTTTATGAATTATCATAAAGCAGAACTTCGCTAGGGGTTCGCGTTTGAATTTCTTACAAATGTTTAAATAAAACGTTGATTTGAAGACTTGCGGTTCTATTTTCCTTTTAAAACTTTCTTTTTTTCTCAAGTCATGTCCACTGAAAAGTCATTTAAACTTCCCAGCCACTTTCCGCCTTGTCATCAAAGCGATTTAAATGTTTCCACGATTCATGTGCGTAATAAAACGGCAACAGAAAAAAATATCATAAAAGACAAAAATTGTGAAAACATTTTTTATGTCAACATTACAAAACGAAAGATATCGGAAAAGCGATGAGGAATATTAAAAATTTGTATCATCATTAAATTTCGCGTTGGTTATTGTTGTGCAGAAGGGAGGAAAATATGTTTTTAATTTCGATGATTCTCATGTATGATATTTTATTTCTTTTCATCGGTTATAAATCGTTGGAAGAGCACAAATATTGTTTCTGGTTTTCAAACAGAATCTATCAGAAAAATCACCAGGCTTAACATAATGAAACTTTAATTTTCACATTTTCCTCTCGATTTTAAGAACGATTCATCTAGTCACCCCAAATTTATTATTTTTCACAATCTATGATGGGAAATTTTTATGAAAAGTGTTGAAACGTAACAAACCTTACCAAATAACATCTCTCGAAAAATCAGCTGAATTGTCAGAAAATTGTCTTTGACGACTTTTCTTTATTGTTTGAGTGTGAAGGGAGAAAACGATTCAGTGGGAAAATTTCCTTGTAGTAAACTTGTCATTAATAAAATTCCCCCAATTTACTCTATTAACACAATAAAACCGAAATGATCTAAGGAATTGCTTTGCTATAAATATCGACAATAACTTGGAAGAAAACATGTTTATCTTCGATGGGGTTGGATCTGGATCACATGACAAATAAAAACCTTCACACTACGATTGATTAAACAATTGGATTATTGGATTGAACTCACTTCTTTGACACTTTATTTCAATAAGTGTTCACATCTTGTTAAAATCTAGGTCAGAAGCAAGTAGACTTGTAAATCAAGAATAGAAGTCGGAAGAAAACTTTTCTAGAAAGGAAGAATCAAGTTATTGATTTTCCTTTAAAAAAAAGTTAAATTAAGTACATTTGGATAGACAGTGAAGAAGTTTTTGAAAAGAAAATAAAAAAACTTCGACTATAAAAATGAAAGAAATGAAAGAAGGAAAATTTAAAGTGAAATGCAATGAGTTGCAAATCAAATTCATTTTGTACAGTCAAAGAATGTACAAGTTGCAGTGTTTTCCCTGGAAAAACTTTTCTTAATTAGCAAAACAAAAGGAAAAATAACTTTAAATGCAGTTTTCATTGTTTTGTCTGATGAAATTGATAGAACATTTAGAGCTTATTATGACATGCCATGGTAAAGTAAAAATGCATGTCTACGAATGTATTCAAACCGAAGCAACTTCTAATCAACTTAAATAAAAATTTTCCTTTCCAATTCCAAAATAATGGGAAAAAAAAGTTTCTTTGTAAGTGGCTGAAGAATTTGGGCCGTTTCATTATCGTATTAATCAAAAATGCTATGTGAATAAAAGTATGAAAGAAAACTGAAAATTAGGAAAATTGACAGGTGTCTTTGTTAGCATAGAGGAAAAAAATTGTTCGAGAATAGAAAATTGTTCTTATCGGGTTTTCTTATCTCATTCACTTCTCTTTATTTGGTCGACATGCGTCAGAATCTAATTAACATATGGCCAAGGTAAAGCATTGGAAAAAGGCGTCGAATAAATGAATCAACTTTCTGCTGCGAAAGGCATCGAACACTTATGGCTGATTTCGAAGCTTTTGTTTGCTTTATTGACACCGATAAGATAAAAGAACGTGTTGACGGAGAATTTATTTTACATTGAGACATAAATCCTGAAAATTTGCAGAATTTTCTTTTATCTTTTTTAAATTCTCTTTTGAGAAATACAACAAAAAAGGCATTCAATGAGTGCGATAACATTTTAACGAAACATAAATTTTCAAGTCATTTTCTCCGCAATGTTTACCACCTAGAAGAGTTCATTTCGAAATTTATCGAGTTATAAATTTTCCACGAGAACTCTTTTTCCAACGATAAGATAAGAAACTATTCAAACATTTAATTATGGCTTTAGGTCGCATGCTTACTTATATGAGTTTACACACTTTTCCACGTCGTCGTGTGACGACTCAAATGTTATTGAACACTCAAAGGTAAAGTCATAAACATTCTGTTTGTTTATGTTTTTGACTAATACGGAACAGGAGGTGTTAATGGAAGGGGAGTAGCGTCTGTCCGCGAGCATCGAGGCGACGAAAAATCAATGGAAATTTTATCGCTTCAAAGTGTATTTACCTAGTTTCCATTCCACCACCTTCTTCAAACTTTTTCACGTTTGTCGTTAACGCGATTTGAAAGCAGGTGAAATTTTTTTTGTGCTATTCTCAGTAACGATTAAAATTGATCGAGGATTTACACACAAAGCGATAAGATAGTCAAATAATAACTTAATATTCATTTTTCATTGGCTTGCTCTAAATAATTTTCCTTCTTTCTTTCAGGTAGTTCGTGCTAATTAACATCAAAATCATTGATGATGCAGAATTCTCATGTAAGTAGTAAATTCAACAATTTTAGTTTCATTTTAATATCGTCAGCCGTCATAATGTCGTTAAATTCCATTCCCTCATTTAAGATCATATTTGAACGATAAGTTTTTCCATTCTTTACTCGATACTGCAAGCAGTAAACGAACTGTCGCAGAATTAATGACATTTTCCACTTATAATTGTTTTCCCTGATTGCTCATGAATATCAACAAACTATAACTAAATATTGTCTCTTTTAAGTCAATTTTTTTTTTAAATTTTCAACATAAAACAAAGCCTTGAATAAGCACAGCAACAACAATATGCTTTAAACAAATGAATATTCTATAAGGCTCTCTCTCTTGATGATAGATATCTAATGTAACAAGTAAAATGATTTTATAGCGTGCCATATGATCGCGAAGGAAAAGTGTTGCGTGTAGAAATGAAGCTTAATATGGATAAACATTACATATTTATAATCATATTACTAGATGGTTGTGCTAGAAAAGTGAAAAGACAATTCATATCTGCATATCATTATCTTCACTACCAACAAGCTGTTTCATTGATGAGTCTCCACGAGTTGACTTTCTAGAAAATTATTCTACATCGTGCGACCAAATTTCCATTTGCCATATTAAATCTAAGCAATCGTGAGGTCTTTGCGTAAAATGCAAATGCGATGGGCACTCGCTCGTGATATCTATAAGTCAACCGCATATGATATCGTGTCTATTTTAGCAGGAAAAAAACTTTCCGTATTTATCTCATATCTCCGATCTCTTATTATTGATTTCACTTTGCGCGAGTGTATAACTTTTATACAATTTTTTTTTCAAATGTATGTAAGACTTCAAAGCAATCATAATTGACATGTGCGGTGATGTTTATCATCCATAAATTACGCTGTTGCGGTGCTTTCTTTAGCGGCCTTTTTTCTATCTCTATTCATGTGACAATAAGCAATAAAGTCGGAAATTTCTATGAAAAAATGGAACAAATATTATCAAAGAAACATGTAGTAGACGTTATTACTTTTTAATAATTCAAATGGTCATTTTCGTACTGCTTATAAAGTGATATGATATTCAACGTTTGATAAAGATAGCGCTCGACTTGTGTCCGACATTAATTTCCTTACTGAACATTATCCTATACGAAGCAGGTGAAGAAGCGTCCATTATTGTCTTTCAAACAAAAATCTTCGATTCGTCTCTGACAACTTGTGACTTGTCCTTAATATTGTTCGTGCACGACTTGTTGTTTAATGAGTCATTAAGTTCAGAAAGAAAATTATAAATCACTTTCTGTGTGTCTCCACAGGGACATTTAGTCGCTGTGTCTGCTACGACAAAAAGGAAAAAAAGTTGATGAGAAAATTTTCTTTCTTTGCCTGACACGTCATCGTCTCGTAGCCTTTCGCGACTAAAAGGACATTTTCTTAATTAATCCACTGCTCTTTTTACTTTACTTTTCTGGTCATAGGTGCGGTATCGCGTTGTTAGTTTTACTCTTTTTTGATGGAAATTTATGATCAACATTTATATGGAAATTTTCTTTAAGCGCGATTGCTCATAAAGTTAAAAAAAGTTCCTTCATCTTAGGTGTGTCCGGTCGTAACTAGAATTTGCTTCCATCCTTGGGGAGTCTTTAATTTAACTTGTCATTGAGCTTAGCTGTCTTACATGCCTCTCATCCATCGGCCAAATAATTTAATGAATATTCGTATTCGTTTGACGAATATCCGAGCACACCCCTTTAAGGTTGAATGAAGTACATTCGAAGTTTGTGTCAGTGAAAAATTCACCTTTAGGGGTTTAAGAAATGACATGTAGCCTCAGGTTCATCAGTTCTAATTACTATTTTTCCTGTTTCTAACTTATCACATACCTACATATATCCACCCGAAACGACGTCAAACTGGCTTCGAACTCGAAATGAGAAAATATCTAAATGGAAAACGTATTTTCCCATTGCGATTACTGCATGATTTCTCGACTTTTATTTTTCTAATTCAATTGCGTAATAAAATTAAACGTAAATTTATGTTTTTGATCATTCTGAAGAATGGCCTATAAAAGGAGTGGCTCGACAATGCGGTGGTAAGCGAAGTGCTCAGGTGAAAAGTAAAACAATTTCCATATGAAGATGATAAAACTTTGATAATGTTTCTACACATGAAAACATTAGATGTGACTTTCTTTTTTATGCAAATTAATTGCCAATACGTGAGTGAGACTTGAAATGTTTTCGAAAAACAAACCATGCAACATATTAATTTATCTAATTAATTCGATGGAAACAGTCACCTTAACAACGATTGATCACATCGCTCTTTAATCTTCTCAATCATGAATACACATTGAGATGTTTTTCTCGTCTTGAAGCAGTAAAAAAGGATTTAAAAAGACAATTTAATTAACCGGTCAGCAGGATATGAGTCAACAAACAAAATACCTTCGATGTTGTTTGATTTAAAAGCTTAGTAAAAATTTTAATCCATTTCTAATTCATTGACAGATGCAACAACGTTTTGAACTAAAACGTAATCTCACCCTCCGCTCCCTTCAACTGACCGTCTCATACGTACATCGTCTGTTTAATTATCTGCATATAAAATTCAAATGATCTTTTCTTGTAACTAAAGGGTTGGTTGTTACAAAATACAAGCATTGGATCTGACACAAAATTAAAACAATTTTCTTCATTTGACTTTTAAACCTGATTTCTTCGCATTCACTGAAATCACCAAGGGACGTTTCGGAAGTTACTTGATTAGAGAAGAACAAGAAGAAATTTTCATTTTTCTCCCTCGAGTGATTCACAGTCTTTTGAGAATTTTAAATTTGACTTCTTAATCTTCAAATTCCCATCTCTCGCAATAATTTAAAACCCAAATGTTTAACTCACAACACGCTTGAATCTCACACATGAAGCTAAAGTAATAAACTTGTACCACAATGAAATTCAGGCAATTAGAAATGTCACATCCTTAATCGAAGTCTCAAAATTTTATCGTTTCATTCTTTAATGGCTTGGAAGATTGACCGAAATATTATTAAAAAGATAATCGTTGGGAGAGTGTGTCGGGTGTCGTGTGTTTAGTTTTAAGATGACCATCGAACAACCCTTGCCCCAAACTAGAATCTCATATTGTTTATACGAGAGTTCTAAATTCGTTCATGATTAAAGTGAAATTTATTGTCCAGTTTAGATCATAAAGTTTCTCAAAAATAAACGACTTTAAATGGATGGGGAAGAGTTTTTCTTACGACCGAAACTAATTGTGGTCGAATCCTTCTTTCCGAAATATTTTCTTTTTTATTTCTTTCCAAACAGTTAAGGAGATTACTGGTCAAAAAGATGAAAATCTGAAGAACTTTTTACCACAATTCTTCCGCTGCGACTGACATGTTAATGAATGATGCTTCAAACTTTTCCAAAAGATTTTTCAAATGACCTTTGAACTTTGTAAATTGAAAATATAAAAACTTGACGAAGGTTTCTCAAAAATATTCAAGAAATATCACAGATACTTAACCCATAAACATCTCCAACCATTCCTTGCCTGTCTCTTTCCCTACTTAAGAACAGCACTCTAGTGAAGAAAGGAAAATTAATTGCACTAACAATGAACTGATAAAAACTTTTAATGACTCTTTCAATACGTTTAGTTTCATTTTGCTTACATGTAGATATGCAAAAGTGAAATAATGAAAAGGTTTTTTCACCTAAACATTAGAAGAGATTTATAAAAGGATTCTTGATTCTGAATAACAATGTTACAAAGTCGACATATCTAGTTGGTCTCTTAAAATATTTTACAACGCTAGGAGATGAAAAACAAAGCCAATAACAAAAAAAATCAACCTTAGAGAAAGTGTCGTTAGAAAACTTCGACAATGGCTCACATGTATTAGAAAATGCTAAAGAAATGTTTCGAAAAATGGAAGAGAATTGAACCTAATTAGAATTAATGGGTGCTTGGCTGTGAAACATGGAAAAAAGACTCAGCAAACAAAAAGAGTTGGAGAAAAAAGAGCTTGTGGGAATATCTTACCTTAGAAATCTTTATTGGCAATCAGAATTAAGGTATATGGATAGAAGTTAGGAAAAGTAGTTAATGAAAACTATGGTCATTATTTGACAAGGTTCTTGAGAATAGTTATAAACTATCGATTCTGTTTGCAACATCAAATTCTTCGTCTGTTTTATCTCAAGATGAGATTCGGGCATTGACATGCTAGTGAACTATTTCATATGATTTGTCCCAAACACGCTCGGGGCTACCATATCCTTTATATCTTTAAAGGATCATCATGTCTTATTACACACTCTTCGGATCGCACACTCACATCCGACATCATCTCATTTGAACAACAATGCTCAATAGTCTTATGCAAATAAATAGTTCCTTTCACCCTTTACTCGAGATATCATAAATGTTATTTTATGGTTATCCTTTTTAATTGTCAATCCTTTTTATTGTTGTTTTGTTTGTTTACGAAGCTTCGTTTGTCTCTTGAATGTCTTTGGCAGGATGAAGAAAGAAAACTTCTGAATATGAAATTTTCTCAAATGACTTTTAAAGATCACAATCTCTTTGTTATCGAGAACTATATGTAGATGTTAAGCAAACTTATTTCTTCGAGAGAACAAAAGGGAGATTGTGGATGTTAAATACCTTGGTAAACAGTATTCAATTGTCGACTTCTCATCAAACATTAACATGTGTTCACAAGAAATTGATCTTCTTCCTTCGTGAAGTCTCACGCTGTGTTGAAAGATCAAGAAACCGTAACCAAACGTTTCTTTTAATTGATTTCTCGTTTCTCTTTCTTGTTGTAAGTCATCCGTTGAATAAATATTATTGTCTATAACATTTGATATTTTTTTGTTTTGTTTTCTCCTTGATTACTTCATTAAAACGCATCTTAAGAGGGGGTGAAGAAAGACGTACTTAAGTTGATGGATTTCTCCCTCAGACTTTTTGTTTTGAGAATGAATAAAAACCAAATAAATAAAAGGGTCGATTGAATATGTGCAACTTGCTTATGTCGTTTCCCTTTAATTACTTGGCCGTTAAGATGCTTTTTTCTATTTTTAATTACAACGATTTTATGATCAATGAAAAATGTTTCATTTAACTTTTTATTTTTGATTGAACGAATTGCAAAATTTAAAACTATCGGAACAAGTTTTTTTGTTTTTTCACTTCAACTTTATTTATCATAATCTCAACGCGCTTCAGAAGCTTTTGGTGCAAGGCAACAGGTGTTAATTTATTCGATTTCGAATTCATTTCACATTTAACGTTCATTTCATTAATGTGTATGTTGCTTGTGAGATATTTCCTTGTGTTGTTTCATTTGACTTTCAGCAAAGTTCTCGTCAGGCTACATATGTAGAGGCGTCGACTAAAAGAAAATTAATTAGAGAGTTTTATGATTATCGAAAATGTTTTCATCTTTTTCGTTGCTTGCTTTTTCTTAATTTCGCCATCAATTGCAAATACCACAAAGAACATTTAATTAATCTTGACACTATGGAAAGAGTCTCAGTTGAGACGATAAAGAAAACATGATACCAGATCCTATGGCTAAACCATACATTGACACTTAGGAATTGTGTCGAAATGAAAACAATAAAATATTTAAAAACTTTATTTTCTGTTTGTTACTGGACACAATGAGGGAGCTTTCATGCCAGATGGGGAGCAGCAAAAGAAGTTTCAAGCGTGTTCAATTTTCTCGAGATTGTCATTAAAGTCAGGGTTGAAATTTTATTCCTTTCGATCTTTCTTGCATCAGATTACTTCGAAAGAATCCAGATGACCATCAATGTTCAGAATATTGAATTTTATTTAACACAAAATGTTTTTAATTTTTATTCATTTTTCTATCAACTGTGACGTTAAAGATTATCAAAGAAAGAAACGCTTTCAAATTCAAAAATCATCGTTGAACTACACGAACGAACCCCCCAAATTCTCTCTTCTTTTCTTCAACTTATTTGCCTTCTCTTTCTCTCGTCTCCTCATTCTTTTCTTTCCTCGCAAAAGGGACTCGAGTCGCCTCAACGTTTAGAAAAGAAAGAAGAAAAAATTTATTCACATTTTCTATTTGAACTTGTTCGTGTGAGGTTGTGTGCTAAAACAAGTGAATATAATCATCAAGGAAGGCAAAGTTGGCTTTGGTCTTGCGATAAAATAAAAAGAAATTCTGAGAATTAAGAAAATAAGAAAAGTGAACTTTAAATTTGATTAGAATTTAAAATCGATAAAGAAATTAAAAAAAAACTAATTTTAAGAATTTAGTGAGCTATGTGTTTAACATGTGTGCTTATAAATATTAAGACAAGTGAATTAAATAATCTTCTAGAAATCTTAAATTTAAATAAAAATTTGAACTGTGAGTATCTTTTTTAATTTCGTTTTTAAGGAAGTTTTATTGCCATCGATCGAAGATTTTAATTATTATTCGATAAAAATTCTGAAATCGTTTCAAATCTTCTTCAAATTCTAACTTCACGTTTCAATTCCCCTCTCAAACCAAGAAAGATAAAAAACTGTCAAGAATTCTTCTCTGCTTCCTTTCTAATCATTAAACTTAAACTTTGCTATTGTCAAAAAAAGAATTCTTATCTGATTGTTAATTTCTATTAGACTTTAACTGGATGAGATGAAATACTTTAATGGGCAATAACACAGCACCAAGCAGTCATTAATTGCGTTTAAAATGTGTAACAATTATGATACGTCTCCATCATAAAAATCATAATTAATGTTCCAAGCCACTTGTTGATTTTTGTGTCCCATCAGAAGGCTCTCGTCGAGCAATTAATTTGATTAAATGTTTTCGATCGATTGCTTTGTGGTCATCGCGAATTGTGTTTGAATTTTTTTTGTGTCAATCGACTTTAACTTCTTTCCATGGCATTTTTTGTGTAAATAAAAAGCCAACCAAAGTTCAAATTGAAATTTTAATTTCTAATTACACATAATTTAAATCTAAATTTGATTTTTCCACAAATGTTTGCATTTTCTGCCACAATTTGTTGACATCGTGCATTTAAAAAAGTAAATTTTTCTGGATGTCATTACAGTTTATTGGATAACAATCACAGGATGTTGATCCGTAGAAAGCTTTTTAATTAAAAATTAATTTTTCCTGTTTCCGTGGAACTATTAATTGATTTTTTATTTTTTTGAAATGAAAACTGACTTAATAATCAATAGTTTTGCTTTCATCAATTTATCCTTCTCGACTACGAGCATTTTCACTTTTCATTCTGAAGAAAATACTTGTAAAAAGTTCTGGCGAGTAACCGCGTGCTGAAGCAACAACAGCAACGAGAAATGCCATTGAATCATAATGAAATTACCCTCCGACAACAACAAACAAGTTGCAGGAGAGTAAAAAAAAGTTATTCAACGCGAGAGTAAAAATGTATGTTAAAGTCATCGGCACCAAAAGGAAGCAGCAGAATGAATAATTTTTTATTTCGCTTTCATCCAAAGCGATTGGAAGTTTAAAAGAGGTCAACTTTATTGTTATGTTATCAGTTAAATCTTTAATTAATTTCAAAAATTGTTCTTTAAAAAAATATTTTCAAACTTCAAGAAATCAAACTTAAAGTCTGAAGAACGAAGAGCTTCGATTAAAAAAATTTTAAATAACTTGTCAACCAACATTACTTAATATCATTAACCAACACAATCAACAAATTTCCAAAAACTGAAAATTTTCTCATTTACACCCACACAAAATATTAGAAAATTTTCCAAAAAAGCTTTTCTCATTTTTCGGAGTAAACAAATTTTTCACCCCCTTAATGCCACTTCTGAAAAATGCAAATATCTACTAAAAAGATTTTGGGCGGAGCAAGAAAAAACGCAAGCGCATTTTTCCACAACATTTTTCAATCCATATAAATTTTTTTCCCTTCCAAGTTCGCTTTAAGAGGGAGAAATTTCCCACCATCCGCTGTTCATGTGTGTGTGAATGGGCGAAGTGACGCCACTTTGGGTCGTAGTGGGTGGAAGAGAACTTTAGAACGCAGAAAACTTTTTCTATTTCCAACTGCGAATCTTTCGCACAAAAAAGTTGGCGTTTTACAACGGGCAAAGGGTGGTTGGCGTTGTTGTGGGTGGTTGGTGTCGGCGAAAAATTTATGATATGTGTGCACGTCGTGTACATAGAACAACACACATTTCGATGTCGCAAAAAATGATATCACGACTGTATAGGCCGTTTCTTTGCGGCTGGGAGAAAAAAGAAGTGAATCGAAGCCTTTTATTTGTGCGCGAATTTGTTTGATATTCGAGTCAGTCACGCTGGTTAAGCGTCGTTGTTCATAACGAATTTTCGCGTTAAAAAATCTGTCGTGTATATATTTTATCATTTTTTCCGCCAGTTCGACTATTTCGGGAACAAAAAAAGGAAAAATTGCAAACAGTTTTCACACACTCAAAAACTTTTCGTTTTGTTCCGCGTCAACACGATCAGCGAGCAGAAAATTTTTTCGTCCGCGGATGCCAATCTTCAACCGGCATCCAGTTTCTTTAGTTTAAGTTTTAAATTCAACACACAAGCAAAACATAAATTGGAAAATATAAGAATAGTTAAAAGTTATTGCATAAAAAATAAATAAAGCAACAATAGACAAGTTTTCATAAGATTCATAAAATAAATCCGTGAAATCGCAACACACGAAAAAGAAACAGTTTTCGAGAAAAATTATTTAATTTCCGTTCAGTTAGATAAAAGAAAAGTTTTATGATCAAAGACTTGAGTTGAGTTTTTGTAGTGATAAAAATAAGAAAATTACCGGCAAACTTTTAAGTAACTTTTTAGAAAATTTACGAAATAATTTTTCAGTTCATTATCAAATTTAAGATTAAAACTAAGAAAAGTTTGTGTGCGAAAATCAAAAGAAAGAAAAAGTTGAAACATTAAATGAAAATCGTGTCATGATTTTTATTTTTGAAAATTTCCGCTTTGATAAAAACTTGTGAAAACTTTTTTTTCTTCCAATCAACCAATAATTTTCTCGTCTTAGTTGAAAAGACAATTTCCTTCTATATTTAAACATAACCATCAAAAAATAACAACGACGAAGAAAAGTTTGGCATTTCTTTTAATCTTTTGGACCAAGAAAAAACTGAAAATGTTTTGGAAGAAATTAAAATTGGAAGCTTAGTGAAACTTTTTGGCTGACTCAAAAATATAAAAAGTTTTGGGGTTTGACGAAAACACAAGAAGTTTTTCATTTAATCCATTTTGAGTATAATGAGGAAAATGTCGAAGAACATCAATTAGATCATAAGTGCGAGTTCCATGGAATTTTTTCTTGCAATCATCATTACAATAGGTGAGAAATCTGATCAACTTCTATGATGTTAGGTTCAAAATCTATTCATAAGTTTTTTTTAAAAAAAATTTCATTTCACTGGCTAAGAAGTTAAAGGCATCAAAAAACTTTTTTGGAGGGTGGTTGTGTGGGAGTTAAAGTGGGTGGTTGGGTGAGAAAAACTTAATAGAAGGGTTGATTGCAACAACAATGTACATAAAACAGGAGAAAGGCAAAAGCCACCCATCGACCCGAAATGAAAGGAGATGGTTAGAAGTGATAGAAATTTAGAGAGAAAAGCGAAGCGCATGTGTCAGTTCTCCCTCCAACTCATTCCCAACTTTTACACACACATCCTGATTATTTCATGCATTCATCGAGCTCGGCTTTTATTTTTCATATCCTTAACTGTACGAAGTGAATAGAAAAAGAATTAGAAAGGTCGAGTCGGGCAAATTTTGTGCGAAAACATTTTTTCGGTCATCTTTTCATCATGGTTAAAAAGCTTCAAGAAAAAAACATCGACACACACGAACAAATGTTCGTTCTTTAGTTCGTCTAGTGGGCCACAAGCATTTTTGATGATGATGTTGAGTGGGTGGTAAGGAAAATGTGTGTACGATGATCTTGTGTTTTAGAAAATCTCTGGCATCGTTAGTCGTTTAGTAAAAGTCGAACCGCATAGATTTTCGTCATCGCGTTACATAAAAAAATTCAAAAAATGAAATTTCTTTAGTTAAAAAAAAGTTCTATAAAGAAATTGAAGTTATAAAAAAAAATGTTTCAAGACTTAAACTGGACACTTTAAGATTTGTTTTAAAGTAATTAAAAATATTTGTTTATGTCTTCACAATATTTTTCATTCGATGGATTATTAAAAGAAGCAAAAAAAAAATAAAAAAACATTCGTTGATTGTTTTGTAAATGTGAATGAGATTTTATGAATGGAAATGTTTTTATCAATTGTTGTAAATGCCGGTTGAATATTTCTATGTCATTATACTTCAGAGAACAATCATCATCATCATCAACGCCATCGTTGAGAGTAATTTAAGAATCATCATTTAATGATCACAATACAAAAAGGAAAAAGCTTGGTTAATGATATTGTGGTGTGAAAATGAGGGAAAATTATGTCTCAAGTTAGTTTTCTCCTCCGTTTGGTTGATGTGTGTGGGAAGTGGGAAAAGTCGTGAGTGAGTGTGTGTGTTGGAGAGGGAAGATTATAAAAAAGGGTAGAAAATTTTCCTTCTTTTACTTCGTCAATGCAAAAGAGCGAGTGCGAGTGGTGGCAGGAGACGGAAAAATAGAAGAGAGATCATACACACAAAACCACCCACAATCTCCGAAGAACCCGAGAGTCTTACGACGTCGACCGAAAGCAGCAACAGAACGCTTCCTCTGTCTCTGCATGATTATAAATTTATTATTATTCCTTACATTTTTCCAACAACAACATCATCATCTACATCTAAAGTCGTTCACTCTCTCGGTTCGCACACACAGTGCTTTGATTCCTCACAAGGAAAACTTCTCAACTTTGAAAATATTTTTTTCTCCGTAGGAGATATTTTTGATATTTCCAACATCGTTTGTGCATTTTTCGTTTATTCGTCTTATGATTATAAAGTGTACGACGTCAGGAAGTTGCCAAATCATATCGCACTTGACTCCACATACGATCGGACGCAAGAAAAAATCAAGGAAAAGAAAACCTTAAAAAAATAATTGAAAAATAAGAAACTTGGTGAAAATTTGAAAGTTGTGTGAAAAAAAAATAAAATAAATTTATGGAAAATTTAAAAGACCAAATCTGATAAATCGAATGAAAATAATTGTGCAGATTTTTTGAATAATAAAATTTAATATTTCTCCTGACTTAGAATTTTGCTGAACTTAGAAAAATTTCGAGAAGAATTTTCGTCAACGAAGACTAAATTTGTAAATTTATTTTATGGTGAAAATCATAGAAAAAAATCTAAATGTAAAAAATTAAATTTTAATGTATAATAAGTGTAAAGTTAATTAAGTGATATTTACCAGAAAAAAGAACAAAAAAAAATTAAATAACTCAAATATCCTTGTATTATCTTGGGAAAAATGTGGAAAGTTTTCATATAAACATAATTACATAACAGTTGAAATAAATTAACAAAACGGATTATTTTAACGAATTGTGATTAAACGATGCCACTTTGAACGACTGACAATGACTTAATTGTCCTTAAATATGTGAATGATAAGCAGAGAATTAACAGTTAAAGTGCCACACGATAGTTGGATGAAGTGACACTAGAAGAATAAAGTTGGATTTTTTTTAATTGTTTATGCAAAAAGAAGAGAAAACACTTTCATTTCTATCAACCTCTGTTGCATATTTTATTCACACATGCATTTAATGTCTGCTTCGCTCAATTGTGTTTGCATAGAGATTTCCTTTAGTGACACTCTCAGATAAAAAAGAGAATTGGAAAATAGAGGAAAAACTAACGAAAAATAAAGATAAAATAACTGTAAAGCAAAAGAACGTGTGAAAATTGTGCATTTGATGTTACGTGAGGTTGAGACGACAGGAAAATATAAAATAAAATATTAAGTGTCGTTGTTTTACAATTTTATTTGTATGATTAACAGCTCCATGTAAAATCGTCGTTATTATTTAGGGTAAATAAAATTCTTGAACACGATAAGAGAATATTTATTATTTGAAAATTTTAATGACTAAAATTAAATGAAATTGAAGTGAAAATGTTGTGCCAGTCCGCATTACACATAACTTTAAGGGGAAAATCGAAATTTCATTTTTTGTTGCATAAGGAAGAGGCGAACATTGTACTAAAGAATTGTTGAAGTTGTCGCCCCTTTAGTTTGCTTTTCGTACGACCACTTTTTGTGACGTTCGTCATTTCTTGTTTCTTATTCGCTGTCTTTAAGAAAAATGTCTTAGCCCAGCCCATTTTCTCTCATTCGAATATTTTTATTTCTTTAAAAAGGAAAAAGCTTTTAGAAAAGTGATATAATTGCGGATTTTTTTATTTCTTTTTCAGATTTCTTCCAAAAATTATTGAATTAAACACTACACCGACTTAAACACAAAAACAGAAAAAAATTCATATCCGCAATTGAAAAATCATTGAAAAAAATATTCAAATAATCCCGATAAAAACAACAGCAACATTTAACAGAAATCGAAATAATTCTCAAAACCACCAAATCAACATCAGAGTAACAAACAGCATTTTGTTTATCAGGTGAGTCTGCACAATAAGTCAATAATTTTCTAATAAACTTATGATTGTCGGCAATCATTGTCGCCTCTTTGAATGCAATTACATAAACACACATTGAAATCTACGAAGTGAAATATAAACAGAAAATGTTTCGTATTTGATGAATGTGCAATGAAAATAATTGCAAAACAATTGAACGATTTGTCAGATCTCAATTGAAATACAAGTTAGAAACTAAAACGCATTGTACATTCAACGAAAGTGGATATTCGTCTATTTTAATTCAAGATATTTCACAAAAAAAAAGAATCTGAGATAAATAAATTCATAAAATATTAAAATTTCTTCATTCTACATCAGTCGTCTTCTAGTCAGAAGTTTGATAAAAAAACTTATGTTCGTTTATCGTCATATGGATGACAAATGTGTCGCTGGTTTTGCCTTGAAGAATCATACTTGAGGATGTGATAAGAAGTATTAAAGTTATTTTCTTCTTGACTGTGATTATCACAAAACTGTTCACAAGAAAGTTATCTCGAGTCTCGACAAAAAAAAACTCAAAACAGAACTAGACAGCATGTAGAGGCGTAATTCCTTTCATTTGAAAGAGAGAAACGAAGTACGAGTCAGTTGTTGACGCAAACCGATAAACAGATGCTTGAAATTCATGCGAAATGTGTTAAAAGACGTTGCAATAGAATTCTTGCTCTTATTGAAATTTCTTATGAAAATCATTTCAATTTAATTGCAATTTTCATTCTTGACATTTAAAATTATTTTTCCTTCAAAATCGATGACAAGAAATAAGTTTTCATGTAAAAGTTCTTCACTTCAAACACGCGACTTTAAATCGTACGTTGAGTTTCTTTCATGAAAAACTTTAACATTGAGAAATTTTTTCAGTATTTCAATAACTTTTGAAATTGGAATATGATTTAAGATTAAAAAATATGTAAAACAACATAAATTCATCATTCAGCAGTTGAACAAACTTTTAAGGTTTTGCATTGAACATGATGCGACCGTGTTTTAAATCTTTTTATCAGCAATCATAATATAAATAGTCGGAGAATATTTCCCCTCATTGCTTGTTTTACATCGCGATAGACATTGTAACAAAGTTGTTCATTTTTCGCGACCTGATTCACGCTTTAATAGACTTCAAATATTAGAAAAAACCAAACTGGAAAGTCCGAGTCAAATAAAAAGAGTTACAAAAAGTTGTCAAATAATAATTAAATATTTTTGTGATTTAATGACGTTGAGATTGAAAGAAAATAAAAGAAAACCTTCTTAAGAAGACGTCAACTTGTCTTAAGAGAATGTCCATCCGACAACGACAATTCCACCTTCTCTAATGATTTAAATTGTAGGTGAGTTAATTCATTATACAAGCAAGGCATAAGCAACAACAAATCAACTCAGAAAAATGATATACTTCCTCATATCCGGTCTTTTGTTGTCGTAATATTCTCTTTTCTATTTTATTAACATTTTAATTTTACTTTTTACCTCTTTGAGTCTTTTTTATGTGTAAAAAAGTCTAGTTGGGATGCCCGTAAATTTAATTTTAATAATTTTATTTTAATTTGTTTGTTCTTCATAAAAAAGCATGATAACGAAAAAAAAATGTTTAGAAACTTTCTCAACCTTGAATTCTCGTCAAACAGACTTGACAACTTATGAAACGAAATGTTTATTAGAACAACATCGTATGGTGTGCTGTTTTCTGCATAAAATGAAAAAGCTTACGAAATCGCTTCGCTTTAATTCTTTTTTATACAACGACGATTTCCAATGTTACGAAAATGTTTAAAAAACTACAGTAATAATCATTAGAATCGGTGATCTTTGGACAGTAGTTCCGGTCCCGATTTTTCACCCATTCGCGCGACGACGACGTCGACCAAGTACAATGCTAGGTAGAAGGGGACACAGCAAGAACAATAAAAAAAAACAAGTCGAAAGGCTTTAATACGATGGAATGCTGAAATATGATTCGCTTCTATAAGCTTCCTACACCTTCAACTCCAATTTAAATTGATTGTTCCGAAGTTTTTTTTTATTTCGATTTATTTGTCTGTGCTGTTCTGTGTTTTTTATTATTTTTTCAAGCTATCTCTCTTACTAACTCAACTCACTCACTCGCCCCTCACGAGGCATAAACAAGAATTTAATGAGAAAATTATTTCCGATGTTTCTTTTTTCTCCGCGTTATTTTCGCGTTTCAGAATGAAATTGCGGGGAAAACAACGAAATGAAATGCTTTTTAAAGAGTTTCGTTGAAGTAAATAGTTTAATATTTTCAATTAACTAATATTTCCTGTTGCCCTCTTTCTGTTACTTTTTATCATTCGAATGATTTCTTTTCATTTGATAATAATAGAAAAAAGTTAAACTTTTGAAGTTGAACCTTCAAAGATCAGCAATCAAGAAAAAAAAGTTAATTAAAAAAATTGTTGCTTTCATATCTCATTTGGAATCATCAAGTAATGAATGAAATAATTTTTAATAGATTCAGATTTCGCTTTTCTAAGGTAAAGTATCAGTTGCGCTAGATTTGCGTCACGTTATTTTCTGAATCGAACGGATGTTGATACGACAATGGACTCACTGAAATGCAACACGAAAAAGATTGCTAATGAGATTTCCATTCCTCGACAAAGTCCGAGAAACAAGCTTTTTTATTCGTTTAATCACATGTTTTTACTCTTATCAAAACCCTCATCGTCATATTTAAGTATTGTAGAACATTCCGGCGATTGGCAATCTTCTCCATCGCGCTCTTTTTTACGCTCCACAAAACCGCGAAGATTCGCGGTCGAATGACTTCAAATCGCGATTCTTTTTTATCTGTTCTCATCATTCTTAATTCTTTCGTAAACTATCTGTAAAAAAATCGCTGAGGCGAATCATTCGACGTTGACACAAATCAGCGAATGGAAATTAGTTTCAGACTCTGATTGATGGAAAGAATATTTTTATTCTCGGGCTTTGAATTATTCAACTTCCGTTACTGCAATGAATAGAAAATTGAATTCTTTTGTAAAGTGTTTGTTCTCCACCCATTCCACTTCAACTTCCTCCCCAAGCTTTAACTTGACCAATTGCGATTGAAAGTTCTGTCTCTTTCTCGAGATTGGAGCTTTGCTTCTTTGCTCAACAATATGTTGAAAACTTTTTCATTTCTTTCATTCGTCTCTTTCTTGAGCTGATGAAAGAGAAGAATTTAATTAGGAAAGTAAACTTTTGAAAAGAGTTTTTTGTCTTTGTCTGAAGAAAACTTTTCTCCTTCTCTTAAAATTTAAAAGTTAATTAAGTCCAACAGGAATTGAAAGGATTGAAAAAGTTTCTTATTTTGAAAAATAGAAAAAAAGGAAGAAGAAAAAAGTTCAATGAGTGTAATTAACATTTCCAACATAGCACTCGAGGCAATTATTGAGAGAAAGCAGAGCAGAAAACTTTCATTCTACAATTTTCAAAGTGCGTTTGGCATTTGCTTCGCTTCTCTACTTCATAAATTGATGGAACGAGAGCCTCATAATCATTGAAATGGATGAGAATCACGGTTTAATTACCTTCAAAGAACACGTGCTATTGTTTGGCTCTTGAAATATGGAGATTGGACAGTGGAAAGGCCTTTTTCCGTGGCATGTGTACTTAATTGATTCCGGAGCTAAGGGAAACGATCGTCGTGCGTATCAAGATGTGACGATGACGATTCAGTCATGAATCAAGTTAATTATTGTCTTTTCGCGTTTATCATTAACTCAACATTGAATGAAAAATAAAAAAAAATGTTCAACGCGAGGTGAAACATTAAGACACAGGAAGGATTTATCGTTGATCGCTTTCGATTGTCAGTAAAAAATCTCTCATTCGTGTCTCCGCGATTCATCATCGTTTGTTTTTCTTTCACTTCTTCTCTTGAATGTTTATCACAGAAGCAGCTGCAAAAATCAAGGCGAGTTTGATTTTTCTGTTAGGGCGAGAACAAACATTTATCCCTAGTTGATTGAAAACTTGTTTCATGCAACATTCCACGGTTATCAAGAATTTCTTTCGACAATGTATTGTGTTTGTCTCGTGCTGATTTGAGATTTTGTTTTTCATTATTTAAACCCTAAAAAAAATCAATCTTTAAAGTTCTTCTCCCTTGTCTTTCTATCGAAAACCACAAAACTGCAGCCACTCGAGTAAGAATTTCATTAATTAAAAAACTTTTTCAACTCTCTCGCTTTAAACATTAATTAATAGAATTTTCTGTCTTGCTTTTCCTTTTCTGAGATCCTTGTGAAGTTTCTTGCTTTTCATACGAGTACAACGTGTCAAAGTATTCATTTTTCTAAGCAAGTCTTGTGTGAAAAGATTATCAAAGCGTAAATTTATTGCCAACACTTGTGGTAGTTCTTGACAACTTTAATAGTGAAATTCGAGAAGAAATTTCTTACAATTTTCTAACAAACGTCTTTGCATATGGTTTAATGCCATATGGAAAGTACAATTGGACAAATTTTTATTTAAACTGATTGTTAAGTTTGAGGGCAAAACAGATCAATCATCACGATCCTTCAAATTAATTAAATTATGTTGAATTGTAATGAAATCATACTGATTCAGTTTTGCATCTTTGAATCATTTAAACAGCTTGTCTTTGATGTTTTTGCAGTAGAATGAATCTTCATTACTGAACTCTCCACCGCAAAGAAATAAAAATGAATACAAAATTCGGTGATTGATTTGTCATGCCAATCAGAATGTGGGTTGAACAATAAGAAAGAAAACAAAAATATTTCAATTGAACATCTTAAGAACTATCAGGATGATGATTTAGGATCAACATTGTAACCTTCTGCTCTGCTTATTTACCTGAAAACAAGTTACTTTCACTTTGAGAAAAGAAATCTTCAAGATTATTTCTCTTTCATTTTAAATAACAAAAGAAAAGAAATTCTGATTGTCAATGGCAGGTTGTAAGCTGTAACCAAATATTTGTGCTTAGTGTGGGAATCAACAAAATATAATTGATTGAAGAAATTCTTCTGAGACAATTTCAATATCTAGTTTTATCCTTTGTCATGTAGAGAAGAAAGGATAAAATTTTTGCAAGAAAGCAGATGGCAAACTTGCTTTGAGGTTGATTCGATTGTGGATAATTTTTCGTGTGAAACTAAAATCTTTAAGAAATTTCTTTAGTTCATTAAACAGCAAAAATATTTTACCCTTGGAAGGAGAAAAAAGAAAATTCTTAGAAGACTTACCGCAACACTTCACATAAATTTTCATTTTAATTAACACAAAGTGTACAAACAGTTTGCGCAACAATAAAATGTTAAACGAAGCGATAAATCTTAATCTTTTTTCTTCCTTTTAACCCTCTTCGAAGGGAAATGAATGACGGAAGGAAAATATTTATAAGAAAATCCTCTTGAACACTTGTTGATATCAAATGCCGCAAAGTGAGTGAAAATTTCTTGAAAGGAAAATCTTGTAATCTCGAAGGGTGGCCTCGAATTTCCTGTTGAGATTATTTCTTTTCTTCTTCGACACTTAAAAGAATCATTACAATGTCTTTGACATTAGACATTCCTTTTCTCCTTAAGTTGTTTTAGTATTTTGTTCTTTCTATGCTTCGGAATTTATTATTTAAACGAATAAATTTTTGCAATCAGTAAAAGAAAAACTTAAGAAGCAGAGATCGGATCCATCAAGTTTTCGACTAACTAAAGTTTCAGTTTCTCAAGGAGTCTCCGAAATTAGTTCTACTTTAGTTCTACTAAGCTCTACTTCTACCACTACACGAAACCTACTTTAAAGCGAAACAAAAGAAACAAAAATATGAACAACAAAAGGTAGAAACGCAAGATAATGCAGTTTTAATTGCAAAACGAATGTATGCATTTCTTTGATTTGCTTTCTCTCCTTTCGTTTTATATAAAAATGCTGCCTAAAGTCATTAAAGGATTTTATAAAAAAACAAATTTAAGTTTCCAGAAAAATTATGCATTTTATTAAAAAACTTTATTTACTGTTAAGCGTAAAGAAAAAAAATTTTTTGTATGCACTCTCAAACGATATAAATAATCAAACATCATAAAAGCTTTACTTTAACTTTGTAAAATCTTCCCGAATGTTCCCGACTAGTTACCGCATTATTTTTCACGAATTTTCCAAGCTTAAAGGGAAAGTATGAGAAATTTTCCATCCGATCCTGATGCGGTAACAAAAGTTTCACATATTTTTCCTGGTCTTACTCTTTACATGTCTATCGAAATATGAATAATACAAACAATGCAACTGCAGTTGATAAAATAAGAAAGAAATTTCATTGAAACCGCAACCAGAACAAGTGGTTCCCAAGGAGTTAGTAATGTTTAGTTCCTTATGGTGTTCTTACAAGCGTGGGAAAAGGAAGTTGTTATTGTCTTAAAGCAGTTCTTAAGGACTTGCATGCAACATAAATTGATATCAACCGTCGTTCTTTTAAAATCATGCTTTACTGTACATTATGAACGCGGTGTGATAGAATAAAACAAAAAGCGAGTGGGAATTTAAAATTAATGTTCTACTCACCCTTTTTAAGAACAGTTACCAACAACATGCTAAACTCAAATTCCTGTTCTCTAATTATTAATGTGAAGATATTTTTTTTACCAAGAAAACTTATTTAGTTAGTTTTTAAAATAAAAAACGGCATATGTTTAGTGTTTTCTCCCTCTCGCGGCTTTCCCATAGTTCACCGAAGTCTTTTTGTAACGCTTGACATAGCACCATAAATTACTTTATAAGTTTGAATATTCTGAGGTAGTGAACACTCAAGTCGTTCCTTCATTCTTAGCACCATTGACCCGAAAAACATTTATAGTTGACACAAAATTGTCTTGTGAGAAAATTTGTTGATAATAGAGTTTATTAACTTCAATTACTTCAAGCAACAAGCCCCGCATAATTGTTGCTAAACATTTAAATGTATGTATAAATTTTCACTCTTCTGTTTATGACGATATTGCAAAATGTTTTGTCATAAATTTGAATTCTCAATGTACGAGAAGATTAAGAAGAAAATTAACATAGAAAATGTTCACAAAATTTGAAATAATCTAAGACAAAGTCTAGAACACAAACATCATGGTGAGAAATAGAAATGATGTAAATAATCTTGCCATTGCACTTATATGATGAAATTAATTGTAATAATGTTTGCATACAATCAATTATCTGGTTATTTAGAGCTTACATGTTAAGTTAGATATTTATTTAAATACTTCCTCTGTTTATTCTATGTCAAGGATATTGCATTAAATATCTTATCACTTTCCTACCATTTCTCTACATGTGACTTTATAACTGCAGGTCAGTTGTAAAAGATTCTTGTGATATTATGTGCCAATTTATATCATATAGGCTGCAAGAATCTCGATTACCTGCAATTAATTTAGTCAATGTCATGAAATTGATTCGTTGGAAAATTTGTTCACAACGTTTGTTTAAATTGAAATGTTGTCGTCTCATAATGGACTCCTTATGTTAGCGAAGAATTTAATGAACATGCAATTATATCTCGAGATCCTTGCACTTGTGTGTAGAAGGCTTTCTTGAAGCTTATTCATTATCTTCTCCAAAGCTCATTGTTGTAAGCTTTTCAATTACGTCTCTTACATGAAGTTTCTCGGTAATTTCTGCTTGCTATTGTTAGTTGACTCGTGCAAATATCATATTGCTGCATGAACGATAGTTTTCCTTTTCTTCCTTCTTCCTTCACATCTACAGCAATCTTTTCTCATATAATTCTCGTTGTCGACTAATGCTATGCAAAATTTTATTCATAAGTTACCGGAAGTATGGAACCCAACCTACCTGTTCAAGAGGGAAGTGGTTGAAGTAAATTGGTTATTACCTTGCTATTTCCGTTATTTGTCACCTCAACGATTGCGATAAAATCGCTGTGATATTAAGAAAAAGTTCTCATGACTTCAACTTCCTTCCGTTCTCGTTAATTTTATGCACCCATAGCATGATCGTTCAATCATTAAAACACTGCAACAAGTTGAGTTTGGAAATATTTCTTTCTTTCTTTAAATCACTCGACGAAAGTCAAATTAAATGATATTGAAAATCGATACGACTTCTCTTCTTTCAATTTGAAATTAATTGTGGGGGAGGCAAAAGATAATTGACATAATTTATGTCCGCAAGTAAAAATGTCGCTCTTAGCATGTCTGGCAGTGTTTACACTTTTTATATTTTAATAAAATTGTGGAATGTTTGTCTCCATCCACCTCATTTTTAATTTCACGAGTAATTGCGCTATTTATTGTGAAAACAAATTTGTTCAATTAATAAATCCAAATGGAAAAAATTATGACATAATTTCAATTCGTATAATGAGCGCCTGCACTTTTACGATGATTTATTACACAAAAAAAAATTCTCGCGTTTACATTTTCAAATGATGAATTTTTTAAAGTTCAGTGCCAAGGTCATTGATGGAGTGTAATTGAATATAAAACATTGTGTTTGAATTGCGATTATGATGTGATGGCATGGGATTGGAATATTTTCTCGCTCGGTTTTTCGGGGGTGGAAAAATTTCCATCATTATGGTTTATTTGTTTATGGGTTAGTAATGTCAATTTAGAGATTCACTCAGCCGACCTGATTAAATTACTTGAAACACGCGCTATAAATATCTACACAACTTTAACTGAATTTACATAATTACAACAAACCGGCATTTATTTATTGGATTCTCTTTTATAAAGTTTAATGAATTAAAATTACAACATTATGAAGTCACAAGCCAAGGAAAGAAGTAAATTATATGCTCAAGGTGTTCATTTTACCATCGGAAAACGAAAAAACTTTATTTTCAATAAATCAAAACTAATTTTCCAGGTTTCGTAATATAAAAACTTATTTCTTTGTAATTTATATCGCGCACACGACGCAATTTTTATTGTTCATCCCTCGTGTTGAAAAGTTTCATATATGAAAACTAATCTCAGCGATTTAATACTTTTGAATTGCTACTTTGATAGTTTCCATTGTAAGTGGTTTCATGAAGGGCTTTTAAGAACGTTTCCCAAACTCAGCTCTGTTAAAAATCACGTTGGGATTGTTATTTGAAATTTTAATTTAGCATTTGAATGACAATGATCGTAGGTTGACAATAGAAATTACGTCGAGTCGACTAAATGACGGTCTATTTAAGTTGCAATAGCAATCTTATTGTAATTCTTGAGGACAGATGTGTGTTTGTGCATTGCAGTTCAGAGCTTGCTTGTCTGCCTGCTTTGCCCATTGTTCATTCCTTACTTATTTTGATGATCTGCTTTCCAGTGTCGTATGTGATGTGCAATAAACTTAGGGAAATCGAATAGATGGGAGAGTGAAAAAGAAAGAAAGAGACTTTACCAGTTTTTAATATTTTCTTCCCCTTTACCTTTACGTCATTGATGCAGCTGCCTTGTTTCATCAAAAAAAGAAAAAAAAATCTACACAAACAATAAAAAGTAAATACAGAATGTATGGAAGGAAGAAGAGAGACTCAAGCGACTTGTCTAGGGGTTGCAATTTGCTAAGGGTCTCATTGTTCTTTCACCCATCCGCTTACGAATACAACTTAAACTTACAGAAAACGTATCGAGAAAAGAAAAATTTAATTCGGATGTGTTTGAAACTGGGGTTGGGAATAAGTATTTCTGATGGCCTTTCAGACATTCCGGACCCTGAAACTTTGAAAAAATGTAATCGTTGAGTCGTGTTGTCGATATGACATATTGAGCCTCAGAAAGTACAGTTTTATGAAGAAATTTTGATACGAGCAGATGTTCATCTGAAGCAAGCGAAGCATAAAGAAATGAATATTTCGACGCGCGTCTCGTGCTGAATTTCAACGACATAAAAAATTCTTCTTCATTCGAAGACGCTCATAAAGACTCATCCAAACCTCTGTCTACTAACACAAGACCTACGGCAAGGTCGTTTCACTTCCGTCTTACATTATTCTTACACAATCAAGACATTCTTATTACGTCATTCTTTCGTCTTCTCTCTTTCTCAGTTATTCTTGAGATTCGCTTTTCCCCTTCGATTCAATCTTACAAAATTCTCAAAAGACACGACACGACGATGGTGGGGTGAACATGAAACGAAAACTTTTCCCTTTCTTATTCTTTTTCTACGCTTGAGAGATTCTTATAAGGCGAAGAAACTTCTTCTTACTTGTTTTGATTTGTCTTTTTAAAGCGTCGACGCGACAATTGCGCAAGTAGGAAAGCTTTTTGTGTTTTCATTCGTCGATGGAAGTGGAATTAAATGTGAAGAAGGCGTTCAAGTTTTTCTTATAAGAAAACAAAGACGATAGTCGTGACGAATAGTGTAACGTCTTGAGAGAAATTTTGTCTCGCTGCTGCTTGTTACATGATGAAGCATGAAATTGAGTTTCTAGTAAAATTGTTAATTGAACGTTAAAAGTACAATTTCCTGGTCTCGCGCGCCCTTTTCTTGATTGAGTTTACGCGCGCCATATGATAAACATTTATAATTATGAACGAACATCTTAAGAAAAAAGAATAAAAACCTTTTGAAATTTGTTTACGTCCATCGTGCCCTCAAAACGCTCATAAGCATTCATCATTATAACCAGAAAATATTGTTTATGATATATTCAATCGAAGGGATCATCCCAGCAGAGCATTTAAGGTATAATTGATACCAGGTGTCGAGTGAGAACGAGCGAGAAGTGAGGCCCTTAAAAGACAATGATTAAAGGTAAATTCGTCTGCGCCTTAAACTCAAAAACCATTCAAACTTCATATGATGGATGTGCAGTATGGCTTTGCATAGTATCAATTTACTGTTCTTCATCCACCATAAATCCATCTGATTCAGATCAAAAGATGTTTCGGGCACAAGCACAAGCCAATTTCCAAAGTGCCATAAAAAAAGAAAAAGAAGAAATATTTCTAATAGAGACTGCATAATAAGCGCCAATGAATTTATGATGAGGTCGATGTCAAAGACGAAGGGAACAAATAAATATTTAAAAAGAAGAAGAAAGAGGAAAAAAATGTGCAACTTTAAACCACATGCGGGTGAGCGGATCTTTCGTGATTCGTTTGCTTATAAATATCTTGAACAAAGTAAAATGAATAAACGTGGCAAAGAAATAAAGTTGAGGATTTTTTTGTGCTGCTGCCATTAAGCGGATCATGATGATTTTATGATTTTTATATAATTTGAAAACATATGTTTTGCCTCAACAATTTATTTTTTGGCAAGAAAGAATGTCTAAAGTGTAAAGTTCCATTCACAAAGACGAAGTTTGTGAATAGCATGAACATGAATCAGAAGCAGATTTTTCTATTTTAGTACATTTTGCAGCCACTAGTCACATGTCAGCTCATTTCTCTTGTGCTTGTACATAAATAAATGAAAGACGTTTTGATAATAAATTAAGAAGCCAAATGATGATGCTGCTGCTTAACAGATTTTCCACACCTTGTTTCTTTCTATTCAAAGCAAATGACGTCCATTAACTTATTTATTGCTGTTAATTATAAAGTCACAGCGGTCAATTTGTCACTGAAGAAAACAAAAAAATATCAACAGGAACTGAAAGAAAACGAAGAAGAAAAAAAGTTTTGTCAATTGTTTTCCTTCGGAACAAAAGAAATTTGTCTTAGATGCGTAAAATTACACCTTGCCGACATTGAGAGTGAGTAAGTGCCGTAAAGGAAACATCCTGAAACACTTTTTTTCATCATTGCTGCGTTGTATTCCATTCAATTTCACTGTTCCATTGAAGGATAATGAAATTTAATATTTCAATTGTTGCCGACTCGAGAGTTACGCAAACATTCTCCGCCTTGCTACACAAAAGGCAGAAATCGGATGAAGAAGACGAACAACTTACTGAAGAAGGAAAAATGTAAATAAATTTCTCGGTTCCGGTTTATTTGTTTGAAGAATGCTTCTTGTGTCTTCTAGAAAGAAAAGGAAATTAGGGAGCTTCACCTTTTCGATGCCACAATTGCCTTTTGTGATGTTAAATCTTGTTGTTAATTTCAAGGTGAATTTTAAGTCGAGATATTTACTTGTCATCTGATACATTATGACTTTTGTCTTTTGAATTGCGCAAACAGACTACGCCTAGGATTTTTACAACCTCCACGGAAATTCTTTGGAGTGAGTTGGCAGATTTCAAGAAAGACAACATCACCACCTTATGCCTTGTAAATCAACATAAAGGGAAGAAATTTTAGAAACTGGAAACTTCAAAAGGTGTTTCATCATCATCATCTTGTATGTCGGCTGTCAGCCAAATTCATCTAACTGTAATATGTTGCAATCGATATGTTATTCTTTATTTATTGGCCCAGTATTCACTAAGAACTTTTATTCACAAAGAAACCTCAATAGGCCCTCATGTAATTCACGCTTACAATAGAAAAATCAGAAGAAAAAATAAATAAAAAAGCAAAGCATCTTGTTAATATCTCCATTAAAACTAATTCAATCACCAGGGAACATTAATGATGATTTAATGAAACTTATAGGTCTCATTAAATCTTAATTTCGCTTGAAAAGATTTCTTATGACACTCATTCAGACTCTTGTTAGTAACAAATGAAAATCTTGAAGTGACAAGAAACCTCGAAGCAATTAATGTGTAAGGCATTGAAAGTGGGTAATGATCTCGCATTGTTATGCGACTTATATTTCATTATACGGGCAGTTTCTTTTTTATCAAATCTTTCAATGTTTCACTTCAATAAACTGTTACAAATAATAATGAAGAGAAATCATTTGAATAGTACGAACATGATACATAATTTTGTACACATGAAGAAATTCACAAGTGCTAAGCAGAAACTTGAGGGAAGGGAAAAATGTTAATTAAGGTTCTCGAACAGTAAAAAAGCAAGTTAAAGATTAAACCCTGAGAATGTATGCAAAAATACTTAAAGACTTTGTAGTTTGTGTCAAAAATGTTTAACTAGAAAAGATTATCAGCATTAAATGAATTCAGCAAAGTTTTTAGGACTTAAGAATGTTTCAAATTTCCAGCTTATTCATGTTAATATATTCAAATGAGAGACTTGAAGCAACTTTCGCAGAGACACTCGACTGTCCCCAATTTTAAATAAATAGTTTCTTTTACTAAAATGATTTAACAAGTACCCGGATCGATAGAAGCTCAGTCGGTGGCCTGGTTTAAGTTTAAGGCGATGTTGGAAAGTGCTGAGTTGAAGAGACCAATAAGCTAATTATTAGATGAGACATGCAATGAGTTTAACAAATTTTACATAAAACGCAACAATTTGAAAGAAAAGGTTTGTTTAAAATGCCAAATGCGGGCGATAATTTCTGTTAAATGTTACATCTAAAAGTGTTTTGGTCTCTTCTTTTCACTTATTTCTTAAACGTTAATATTTGACGACACCACCCGCACAAGAAGTCGTGATAATGGACGAAACTCTCTCTCTGTTCAATGTTTTCTCGATGACATTCATAGACAAACTTGCTGTCGGCAATTTTCACTTATCTCAAGTATTTTTGATCTCCAAACAAATTTTTTACTCTTAATTAAAATTCTTTCTTTCTTCTTGTCGTTTTTTATAAAACAAAAACAAACTCAAAGGCTCTTGCTTACACCTCAAATGGTTCTTCATAAAAATAAATCTTTGCATCTGAGGAAATGTTTGCTGAATCACAACACAAAGACAAACAGCGATGAAGATTCCTTTCAAAATGAATTTTTAACTCTTTCTGTGTCAATTCAAATTTCCAAGCTTTGTAAGAATTTGTAAAAGATTCGTTTAAAGGTTTTGACAAGTTGCGACAAGTAAACTCATTGCACAATCCGATTTAAACATTAATCTACAAACACATGTACTTAGAAATAATCCCATCGTATGGCCGACTTATTTACTTTGTGTTTCCTTTCTTTTCATCTCTTTTCATTTCATAAGATGGTGAATGAGATATTTACAAGTAAATGTGTTGTTGGTGGAAATCATAGAAATGGAATTTCATTTTAATTTGTTTACTTATAAAAAGTTTTCCTTCATCAAAAACTTCTCTTTTCCACTCCCACATCGTTCTTACTTAAGCGTAAGATTCGAGATGTGAATTGAGAACTTCATGTCTGTGTAAATATTGAATCATGACGGAAAAACTTGATGCTGTTGATGAAAATCTTTTCTGCATTGAAAAAGAAATATGAAAATGCATTTTATCCATTCTTGAGATGGAAATGTAAAGAAGGATAAAAAATTATTTTTCATTTCCGAGATTTTCGCTCTGCATTGAATTTGTCTTTTGCATCGAATACATTTTCATGAATGAATAAATCGCAAATAAGTCTTGTCGATTAACAGGCACAGAAGTCTGAAGTTTATGTTGTGCAATTAATCAAAGATTATTTTTTAAATAGAAAATTTTTGCTGCAAGATGCAAAAATTCTTTTAATGGATTTTTTTAAACAGAATGAAAGCATAAAAAGATTCTTTTTGTGCTGATTTCTGCGGTCAGAAAGAATTTGAGACGAGATTTGTGCAAATAAGGGAAAGGGACAAAGTTAAAAGGAGAAAGGGATTAAATGACACATAACAAGGTATGAAGAAAGGAGTAAAAACAGATGCACCCGATTTGTGCATTAAAGAAACATAAAAAGCATAAAAGAATGATATGCAGCTCTAACTCACTTACTTATGTATAGGTAGAGATAAACAACAAGAAACTCCATGAAAATTAAAGATTCTTCTTTTGCTTTCTGAAACATCATTCTTCTCATTTATACATTACACAAACAATGCAAATGCACCTTGAAATTTATACAAAAAAAGAAAGAAAGAAAAAACAGCTTAAGCATTGAAGAATCCTTTCATCATCAAGTTGCAAGTTGAAACTTTTTCTCTTCTTCAGATTTATGTTTGAATTTTAAGATTTTATGCATGCATGTTGACGTACAATAAAAAGTTTCTTGTTCACTTTTCATCTCAAACTTCACAGACAAACGAAAGTTGTCTGGCAGAACTAAGTAAGAGAATGGAAGATGATGCTTCATTGTGTAAAGAATAAAAAAAGTTTTAATGAAGAAAATTAGAGCTAACTTTGCCATGTGGACAATGAAAATCAGACGACAAGGAGCTCATTTCTTTAAATTAATTCAAAGACACGAAAGGAAATTAATTGCAGCCAATATCTTTTAATCTTTGTGATGACTTTTCAGAATTAGCATACGAGTTTAATCAAATAATTTTTTTGTCGATAAGAATATAAATTGAACATTAATCTTGCCAAAAACAAAAATATTGAAATATCTCCATGAATAATGAGCTATAATTTCTAAAGAGAAAAGTTACATTCGAATGCAACACCACTGAGGTTGTAAATCAAACAAATTTATACATCACCAGATATATTTCATGCAACATAAAAAAATTGTAAATGAGCAGACCAAAAATTCTCATTTTCGTTCCAGGAAAAACCATCATAAACGAATATTCTTTTCATCTTTCCATTTGATATCTCACATCAGTTAAACAACGTTTGCCCTGTACAGAGAATTGCAAACATTTCGATTTAAAAATGTTCCGTTTTCATGTTCACGCAATTTGTACACTCAAACTGTCCACTTTTACCAGCGGGCTTCGCTGCATTTGGAAATGCATTTGCATCCAGAAAAAAATAACACGAGCGAGCGTACGTCAACCTCATCCCTTGTGTTTGCTTACAGCCCAGAAAGCAATTTTTCTGTCCAACTCGTATGGATTATTTTTCTATTTTATTTTACATTCGAATTCATACATTTTGCACATAAATTTCTGACTACCTCGGAATATCATTCCAAGCTTCTGATCGAACACCCAAGCAGGTTGCTGATATTGACAACAGCGAATTTTTCCGCAGCATGCAGGTTTTTGTATTGATTCAACTGCTGCGAATTATTACAAAGCTTTGTATGGGTTAAAAATATCACAAAAGCTTCTTCTGTTGCTTGAGCATTCAATAAATTTTTATTTCTTTTAAGTTTTCTTGCACTGAAGCATGAAAATAAAAGTTTCTGTTGTTTAATAAATCATAAATTTGTAAAGAGAAACAATGATAGGATTGTGCATATGCAAATTCAACTCGGACGCAACTCACCATCATCCAACCATCTCCAATCACGCTTCGTTATTTCTCCCCAATTTCAACTTTTTATATTTGATTTCAAACAAACTGAAAAAAGGCGTCTGGAGAAAATTTTCAATGAAAAGTTTATAAAAAAATGGTTCAGAACTTCGTTCAATCTTCATGTTGAACCGGAGATAGAATGAATAACATAAAAATTGCATTTGAAAAAGAATTAATTAATTAGAAAAAGGGAGGAAAACTGGGAATGTTTTTGCGTGTAAGTGAATTGTGAGAGATGTCCGGATTCTTAATTAAGAGAAGGGTTTGCATTTAGCATTCAACTTGTCTTGATTATCTTAAAAGTCGAAAAATTTTCCTGCCTATCTGAAAGCCATCGAATGCATAACACATCAGAATTGTCATCTCATACCATGACTGGCCAATTTTATTGCAGAAAAATGAGTCTCTTAGCCTACGAACATACACACACAATAAAAAGCTCACACAATCTCGTCTACTGCTAGCAGCAAGGGGGGACGGAAAACGAAAAATTGCATATCTGCAAAAATCTGTTATAAATATTTTGGGGGTGGTTGTATATAAAAAGCGACTCTCGTTCCACGAAAAAAAGTTGAAAAAAATTCATTTTTATCAAATTCGGACTTTGCTTTAATGCTCGCTTTCTGTCTCACTCTCCCGTTTTGGATCTGCATAATGCTGCTGCTACTGCTGCCTGCTGCTACAGAATATGCAGAGGGATGAAAAATGTTGAATACGTTTTTATAATACAGAGAGATTGGGGGAATAAAGGAGGCATTTCGAACTGTCTGTTTGCTTGCTTATATATTTAACTATCAACGTCAGCAAGCTCCGGATGCACTATGATGCATTTATGGGCATTTTAATTTTGCTTCGATTTTTGTGAAGCTCTGTGGGTTGAGGTAGTTGTTGGGAGAGAAGTTTAGTTTTTCGAATGGTGAATGCAAAAATATTGGGCGGTGAATGGGTGGACGAAGGTTCATCTCTCGTCTGCTTGCAAATTTAAAGAGACGAATGCATTTCCATCGTTACTTTATCTGTTCAATGGGCTTTTTCTGTTCCGATAGTTTTTTGAATCCTTTTTCCTCTTTCACTAAGCTCATTGGGGAGATTAACAGACTTTGGGATCGATGCGCTCTGATGGTCAAGTTTTGTTTGTTTGAAAGTAGAAAAAAAGAAAATCACTTTGAACGTTGCGATGGAGTTCAGTTGAATACGTTGTTACAGCTTTTCTGTGACAGTTTTAATTGAATTAAGCGACAGAGGTAAAAGTGGATAAGATGACTCCATTGAGCTCATTAAAATTAAAGTCATGAAAATGGCAATTTTATCATATTTGTTTAGCTTTTTAATACATTTGAAGTTAAGTTGAAATCGCGTCTGATTTGATTATGAAATAAGTAATTTGAAAAGTAAACTTTTACTCGTGTTCATCAAAGCGACTCTGAAAACATTCTTCAACTTTCTCATCAAACATTCATCAACAGTCGTATGCAATTTTAAATTGCACAGGCAATCTTTGCCTCCACTCTAATCAGTTTCTCCACCGGCATAGGATGGAACATTTGAGATGAATTAAAATTCATTGCAATTATTCAAGTAGCCTTCAAATGTCCATCAAATGGAATTCACTTTTTTTTCATTACGCTGCATGGCGAAGCGAAGTCATTGATAGTTGACGGTTGAGTGATCTGAAGAAGGTAAATGAATATCGAATGACAAGGATTGATCCTTGTAAATGAACATCGAAGGAAGGAGAATGAACGAAAGCTGACATGTGTTCGACTATGTATGAATGTAGGAATTGGAAATAAATTTTTTAATTAGAAATGAAACAAATATTCGTTGAATCGCCAGATAATTGAAGAACTTTTAAAAGCATCGGAATTCTCTGCATGCACTTATCCGATATTCAACTTTTATTCTTTCAACTTCTGTTGTTTGTTTTTCTTTTTTTCTATTCAATTGAGAAAAACTCTCGGATCGAAATTGTAAGTCGATATTGGACATGTAATATGGACATAGAAAACTTTCTGATGCCTAAAAAGAAGGATCGAGTTGATGATTGAATAGAAAAAGTTTCTCGGCGTTTTTATTTCTAAAAATTCACTTCAAATTCTTTCCGTCAAATGGATGCGAATGAATTAATTAAATTTCCTTTTACATCGTATTCAGACAAAGGAAAGAAAGAAGAAGAAGATCGAGAGAGAAACGAAAAGTTTTTGTTTTTGCGTTATCGGAAGTATAAAATGTTGGCAGATAAACGAAAAGAGAAGGAAAAAATCATTAAAAATGCAATAAAAATGCAAAGTCATCAAACGCGCGGATCATTTAATACATAAACAGTTTCTGTGCAACTTGCAAGTTTTCGGTTGAATTGCAATCGTCGAAATGTAGTTTCTGTCTGTCTATAAACACTCCATGATTATTTGAAGCGTTGATCTAAAAATTGAGTTTGAAGTTCGCCTTTACTCCCCGGAAAGCAAATCGAATTGCAGTCCCATGCATTTCAAATTTTTTGTTTTTAGTCTTCCGAGCACCATCTTGAGGCTTCAATGATGCGTAAGCATATTTTTTTCAACATTCACCTAAAATTTGTTTCACAAACCAAGAAAGAAAGAATAAAAGGAAAGGTTTTGAAAATGAAAAGGATGAAAAATATTCATGGTTTGGTTAAAAGTGTAGTCAAATGGATGCAAAGGTGTTGAGAGCTTGTAATGTTGGTTTTTGAATGAATATAAAATTTCTTTTCTGTCTCTCACAATACTTTCAATGTTTTGGACACTTATTAGAGATGAAAAATTATCGTCCATCCTGGGGAGCTTGTTGACACAACGATTGATTTCATTAAGAAGATTCAAACAATTTAGTGATGATTAATGACACTAAAAATTTGTTTTTCTTCTTCCGTTCTCCATCGAATGGTTTAAAATTTCCACGTAACTTACGTGGCTTTACAATTTCTTTACACAATTCATTGCGAAGCGCATCATGCAACTCTTTTTATGCAATTCTTTAGCTCTATTGCTGCGTGATTATCCGACGAAACATGCAGCGAGTAAAAATAAGAAAGGGAGAAATAAGAATGCAATTTTCCTTCAACATTTTAATTTATTTTTCACTCAGACGAGTTGAAAATTCTAAAGATTGCATGAAGTTGATTCACTTTCTGTTTCTGTGCATTCTTGAAGTTTCTTTCATTTTTCCCTGCAGTTGATGGGTGGAGGCGAAACGAGTTGTACTTGAGTAGAGACGAAATATAAAATGAAGGAAATAAATTGCAATTTTCCTCACACTTTAAAGAATTCCGGGATGAAAAATATGCCTGGAAAGCAGAAATATTTGCCGGCTTTTTAAAGATTTTCGAGAGTGAGACAATGAGTTGGGAGGTAAGTAATCACTGGCACATATGTATGAGAGACTAAGACTTACTTGTCGTTAAAACAAGACAGGAAAAAGGGTTTTTGTCTTACACTTTGTTTACGGGCTCTTCAAGAGCTTTGTCGGTCTCGAGGCCCTCTTTATTTGTATGTTCCACGACTCGAGATTATGCACGACGAGGTTTCGGCAGCAAGGAAGGAGGCAAACAGTGAAAGAAGAATTGCATGAGAATTCAACCCTTTTTTTCCTGGAGAGAAAATATAAATCCTGATAACCGAATGGAATAGGAAAAATTCATAAGAATAGACAGAGTTCAATCTTTTGCTTTTGTGATTTTTCCTCGTGCCGATTCTTTAATGTTGATGAGAAAAACAAGAAGAAGAAGAAGAAAAGATTATGAAAAATCAATAAAAAAAAGTTTTTTGTGCATTCAAGAAGTAAAAGAGCGTTAAAGGGTTTTTCCTCTTGTTCTTCACTTTCAGGATATGCAAGTCTCGCTTGCATGAATTTTTTTTAATGATGATGGTTTATGCGAGAGAAAAGTGTATGAAAATAAAAAAGGTTTTCGTCTTTCAATTTGAAGATTCAAACGAAACGTTGCGGGTTTGAAATAAAGACTGCGTGGGTGGAGATGGAGGGAGATTTATGAGTTGTTGTTTGGTATGAGGAAAAAAGGCGGGTTGGTTTCTCTATACAGAATTCTCTCTACTTGTAAAAATTTCTTTTGTTTCAAAGCGAATAATGGACGATGGAAAACAACGATAATCAAATTCTGTTATCAAACTGCATCAGAATTGAAATGCGGTTATTGCTATGTATTCAACTGATAGGAGACAAAAAAGACCTGAATAGTGTTCGCGAATTTTTATTCCCATCAGCAAACATAATTTTTTTATTACACTCGTGTTGCTTTACCACCAGATTTCAAATTGAATTGAACAGAAAAAATTCTCGTTCCGAATAATTTTGTTTTGTTCTCGTCGAAACTTTCTGTGTGTACTTTTGTGTGTGGCTTTTTTATCGAAATTTGACAAAAATATGAGGAAACTGCAATTGCACAATGGCATGACCGCGACAGTTATGTTTAATAATTTAACAAAGCTTCAGATCGTGTCGCGCATTTCATACAAAAAGCTTAGGAAATTGATTTTTTCGACTCACTTCCTTTGAAATTCTCATGTTCCCGTCATAAATAACCAGAAAACAATGAATTTGGAGGTTTTTAGGCTGTCGTGATATGACGAAACGATCATAAACACGAGATGATGCCCTGTGGACTTAAAAACTTCTATGACGATTGCGTTTTATTTTTCATTCATAAAAATGCAACAAAATATTTTTTCCGCGATGTCGAAAGCACCAAATTTCACTTCTTTCCATTCATCACAATCATTTGAACATCATAGTTTTAATTATTAATATTTTTTTGGTTTTTCGGGTGGCTTTCATAACTCAAGTTATGCGAAAATATTTATTTTTCTAGTTATGATTAAAAAAGCTTTTAGTTGGCGAGTGAATAAAAAAATATTTTCCATCATGAGTGTTTGCTGTTTCATTGCTTTTTATGCTATGATATGAGCATTCATAAAAGGCTTCAGTGAGAATATAAAGGCAAGTTTGGAGCTAGCTATCTGATGTGCATAGTGAGCATTATTTAGCATTAATCGTTTGTGACTTTATGCAGCGATTTTTTTTCTATCTTTTGTTAACACTGCCAAAGACTGAATACCATAATTAACACTTTAATGCTTTTCAACCAGCAACATTGTGTGGCTTAAACTATAACTTTTATACTGTTCAATGTTACTGAATAGTTGAGATTTAAATTTTCAAACAACATTCAATAAAGAAGATTAAATTAACTTAAATCAAGTTAAACGAGCGCAATTTTTGTCTTGGGAACTCGGACAAGTGTTGACAAGTAGTTTTTGAAGAAATAACAATTGAATTTCCTTTTCAAAAAAAGGGAATTGAAGAAAGACAAGAAAAATTTGTAAAGCGACAAAAGTCATTAGTTTGACTTCAACATTCGTGTTCGTTTTATCAAAGTCAGAAGAAGGGGCGAAAGGCGTCACTCACGACAGTCAATTTAACTAAATAGAAAACACGATTGTTTTATCAGTTCAACTGACTAATCTACTCTACTAACTCCACTGCATATCGGCAGAGGCATAAATATTAAATTATTGTGAGAAATGGGCGGTTTTTCTCATCCAACATTCTTTATCGCTTTCGGTATTAAAAGTTTTCCTATAAATTTTGACTTTCTTGAATGCCATATGTGGATTATCGCATCGAATTGAATAACTTTTTTTAATTTCTTTTTTCATTTTAAAATCTTTCTCAAAACTAAAATTTAAAATCGTAGAAAACTTTTTTATTTTTGTCTCTTTTCATCCATGAAAAATTTACAACATGCAGGTCGCTGTGAGGGTTAACATTGTGAAACTCGACTCTGATTTTTTTTAAATAAAAAATGTTAAATAAACTAGTAATGCGATTGTTTACCGTTTTAAGTTGAATATTCGTTTGATGTTTACAATGGCAAAAAAAAATCTCTGTTCACGAGATTAAGATCAATGATGATTTGAATTAATTATTTTCTGTTGAAGTATGACATAACTCGTTCATTACACTTCAAGATATCATATTTATCAACTCATGTTTAAATTAAATAAATTTCCTTGTTCAATTGGTTTGAGACAGTAAAATTTATTCAAATTAATTGCATCAAGATACGAACTCAACTCTCACGCATATCTTCATTAAGAATATCGCCCGATGAGTCATTTCAAGAAGATTCCGTTCACTTAACTTGAAACATTTAATGTCGTGAGAAAATTTGGCGTAAATTAACTTTTATTGCACATTCAGCTGCACTTCCTTATCAAAAAAAAACAAGAAAGAAAAAGATCGGAAAAAGTGCACCGAAAATCTAATTTGATTATATTTACATTTATTTCCTCAACTGGTTAACTGCATCAGAGATGTACTAAGTTGAGTAATGTTCGTCTTAATGACCATTAACCCGTTCGCAACGCTGTTACAATTGCACTTTAAAATAACAAGAAATTGCATCGTCATGAATATTCATCAAAAAAGCAATTTAATTTGTATCACATAAAACAATAAAGAAGATTGTGACACCAAACGGAAGCATCAATTGCGATGAAGAGAAATTGATATTCCCAAAGAGCGATTTGAGATCCAAAGCGATGATGAATTGTCGTGCTGGTTGTCTGTGATATTTTGTAGTTGATAAAAATTGCAATTAAATTCCTTGCTAAATATTCTCATTACTCAACCCGATAACGAGTTGTAAGCAACTCTTTCAATAAAAAACTAACAGATGGTCCATAGAATCATATTACAAGTCACTCATCTGTCAATCTAAAAGTACTTTGCATAAATCACGTGAACTTTGATAATGGAATTGATTCTTATCAGATTCGGATATTTATTTCAGTTGTAAACTGTGCATATAACGTGTTGAAATTACAACCAAACATAATTCGATCTACAATTAACAAATTATAATTAATCCTTTGGGATTTTAACACTTTGTTGAAAGTTTAACTTAAACAATTTTTAATTTTCACTTCAACACTTGAAATTATTAGCAGACAAAAAAGAAATCACGCTGCAATGCTTTTTTATGTTATAAATTGTTTGTTGTGAGATGCGTACTCACATTCATTGCATTCAATTTATTTAAATTAATGGGCTTTTGTAAAGTACTCTGTTGCCATACACACTGATCCGTTGAATGAGAATGTTGCATTAAGTTTTCATCGCTTAGCTTTAGCTTATTATGTAAAAGTGCACATTGATGTTCCATCTACTCAACTCATTGCACAAATTAGGTTTTTATCATTTCTCAAATCCAGATACATTTTGATGTCGTTTTATTACAATGAACTGTAAATATTTAACCGTCAATGTGAATAATTGGCTAAAGATTTAAATTACGCTCGAGGAAATGCATTTAAAGTAATTTAAATAATTTCAACTGCAACTCTTTTGTCTTCATCTTTTGCAGTTTGTTAAAGGACTTTAATTGGTTAAACAATAATTGAATTGTTCACTTCAAGTATTGCACCAGCATCTTCACATCCTGTTTGGGCTTCTCAGGAATCTTTCTTTTCGTTTCACTTCCTTTGGTTGAGAAACACTTCGGTTTCCTATGTCGATCATTCAACCATGTCACTCTCTCTCTCTCTCAACCCCAAAAAACTATCAAATAAAATACTCACACGAATTAATTTCGCATCATCTTCACCGACGTCTTTTGTTTTTTGAATACTTAACGAAAGAAGAATTTATATTTCTTTATTCTTTTTTGTCAACTAGTAACATCCGGATGATGATGAACGGTGTGAAAGCGATGAGAACAATTGATGTAATTTATAGGGTTAATTTTATTAAATAAGAGACCTCCCGAAAAAGAAATAAAAAAGCATAAGAAGTTCTTCGTTTCAATGAGTGCATCGCATCATCGTCTGGTCATTTACGGATGAGACTCATAAAAAAAGGAAGAAAACTAACCGCCGTGAATCATCTTAAATTTCTTCTTTTGTTTCAATTGTCTTGAATCCCAAAAATTGATATTTAATTTCTTTTGCTGTTAAATTCTTAGAGCCCAGATTGTGACACTCGAGTGATCAAAATGTCCGTTAAAATCCTTCATCTGAAACTCGTTTGTCATTTAAATAAAAATCATCTGATAAAGCACCAAAGTGAACGAACGTCAACGAGCGTTTTATGTTGCAAAAGTTTCATTTGAATGCGCTCACTCGACAACGTTCCTTTTAAAACGTCTTTAAGACGATCAACGACAAAGCATAAGTTACAAAGCATGAAATTTGAAGGGAAGTAGGAATGACTAAAGGTGGTTAAAATTTACGGTAACGCACTAAGGACTGCTTCAGAGTATTTTTGCCCTATTTTTATTTCCATTCCCAACCTGAATTACTAAGACGTTATTTAAGACACCACATTTTCTTCAATGCCACGTTGCACTGCTTGCTTAGTTCTTATTAAATACCTTCCAACGGACTTTTTCGGTGTTTTATTGTTCCCTTCGTTCCATATGGCTTGCTATTGTTTCCTTCCTTCTTTCCATTTCTCTCTCTTTCAAGTTGAATTCTTACAAATGACTGTGGACGACTTTTTCATGTTCCAAATTGTTGGCTTGGTAAGAAGTTCTTGAAGAAACTCAGTGTGAGAATATCCACAAGTTTGTGATTACATAAAAAGACGTTGAAACACGCTATGAAGCGTAAAGTGCGTTATTTCATTTCACTGATAAATAATTTTCATTCCAATTTGTTATTCCATACAACCGTTGACATTTCTTTGATGTTTCAATCGTGAACATCAATTAACTAATTGCATCGCAATGAAAATGTCATCGTGAATATTTAATGTTACTTCGGAACTTTTAATTAAATTAAAGAGACAACAAAACTTTGATCTATCGCGGCATATACGATAATTTCTTTCAATTTTTCTTCCGAGGAAGTTGAATGATTCTCATAAACAATTCGGAACTTTCTTTATTCAAATTAAAAGAATTAAACCGCAATCGACTTAATTAATTGATAGGAAATGCAAATTAGTTTCTAAACACATCATGAGAAAATTAGAATTGTTACAATCTTTCAACAGCCGAAAGATAATTTCTTATAATTAATGTCTTTACGTTCGATCAACATATGAAATTATGCAAATGCACTTTCAAGAAAATACATTTTGTGCTTTATTATTTATGATTCTCCACAGCATAAACATAACATTTGCGAATATTGAACTCTGCTTTGAATGAACCAGCTGACGGTGAAATGAAGAAATGAAAAACTTTTTTTTCTATCCAGGTGTGCAACAACAAGAATCGATCTAGCACCCTAAAGAAGAACGTTCTTATATTTCTTCCTTATGCCTTCTATAGGGGCACGAGTCGCGTGTATACATCGTGTGTGTATGTGTGAATGCAATAACGATAAAGTTCTTTACTATTTTCCTTTTCTCTTTCGTAGATATGTGTATTTAAAAACAAAATTTTCCCTCTTTTATTTCTTTCAGATATTACATCGAAAACAACAAACATAAAAAGCAGCAACAAAGAAAGAAGAAAAGGGGAAACCATGAAGATCGTAATCCAACCGAATCGTGAAGCAATTTGAAGAGAGCAGAAAAAAATAAAAAATAAAGCAACAACAACAGAACAGAAAAGTCTTTTGGTTCGGGGTGAGCAAACAAGCAAAGCAAGCAAACGAAGAAGGGGAAAAATATTTAAAACGAAACGAAACGGAACCCGAAGAAGAATTGAGTTAACAATTTTTTTTCGGTTTTGTTTTCAACTCGAGCTTTAGAAACGAACGGTAGGAGGAAAGAGAAGAGAAGATCCAATAGAAAAGCGAGTTGCGTTTGATATTTTTGTCTCGGGAGAAGAACGAAGAGTCGAGAGAAGACGAGAGAGGGGAGACCCTTTCTTATGATGACTGAAAATAATTCAGAATGTTTCAGTAGTTTGTTTGGAGACGACGACAAGTTAGGATTACTAGAAAGAGAACAGTTGAAACGTATCAGACAACGCGTTGACGCTGGCGAACCAAGAAATTCGTATTCATCGATACCAAATTTTAGTTCGCGATCGTCACTAATGAGTAGCGGTCTGTACGGGGCTATCTTTAGCCAGCAATCACAAAATAGTTTCGGTGGACTTTTTCCCGCAAATTACGCGCCCGCAAAAATGCTCAACGAGCTGCTCGGACGTCAAGTAAAACAGGCACAAGATGCCTCCAATCCCACAAGTAACGATGGGATTTTAAATCAAGTGGAATCGGCTTCAAATATTAATAATAATAATAATAATAATAACAGTGTAAAAATGGAATTTGATGGATCAGTTGGTTCAACACAAGCTGGAAATAATTCTGATGGTGGCGCTCAATCACCACCAACATCAGCTAACGATCTCGCTCATCATATGTTGCGAAATATTTTACAAGGCAAAAAAGATTTAATGACATTGGATCAAGAATTGTCAAGACAAACTGGCGGCGCTGGTGGTGTTGGAGGTGACCGACATTCGCCTGATTCCAATCAAAATACAATTCTTAGCAAGACCAGTAACATGCTGAACAATAATAATTTAATCAGTAACAATAACAATTATGATGTGACTAAGAGTGATAATGTGAATGGATCATCCGACAGTGATCAAACCAGTGATGTTATAACAAATAATAACTTGAAAGTATCCAGTGAAAAAGAAAATATTCGAAAGCAAATAAATGGCGGTGAACATTCTGAAGCGAATGGTTCGAGTGATGGTAAGAAAGGTGACGTTAGTGAAATTAATGACGATGACAGAATGATGAGTGATGGAAGTGTTTCGATGCCTTCGCCATGGGCATCACCAAGCTCGGAAAATAATTTGAAAATGAAGGAAGAATTAATTGATGGTGATAATGAAAAAGATTTGTCTTTATGTCGATCACCATCGCCATCATTAAGCGCATCAAATAAAAGTGATCAAGGTGCTGTGATGGATTTAAAGCGTGCTCGAGTTGAAAATATTGTCTCGACAATTCATTCGAGCCCTGCTTTAGGCACTCAAACTTCCATTCAACAGCCTCAAGTGAACGGATGTAAAAAGCGAAAATTGTATCATCCGCAACAACATGATAACAGTGCTGTTGAGCGTTATGCTGCTGGTCTTTCAATGGGACTCAACTTACACAATCTCATGTTGAATGATGAAGATGACGATGACGAAGACGATGAAATGGAACCGAATATTCATCAAAAGCGAACAGAAAAAAATGTTCTCAAGTCACAATTACGTTCGATGCAAGAACAACTTGCTGAGATGCAACAAAAATACGTTCAGTTATGTAATCGTATGGAACAACATTCAGAAACGACAGAAGATGTTAATGATGCGACAAGTGATTTAGTTGATGACGATTTGATGCGTGATGAGAAGCGATCACCATTGATGGGAAGTGTTCAACAGCAACGAACACCAAATGCATCGCCTATTAAAGAAATGGCTGGAAAATCATCACAAGTAAGTCATGCTCAAAGCATGTTAAATCAAATGATGAGTAAAATGATGACAGCAAAGTTGCATCATCCAACGATGCCTTTTAATGGCACTCATCCTTTACTTCAACACATGCAACATCAACAACAGCAACCGAATGCTGATCATGTTCAACATCCAGCATTTAGTAATGCGGCTGCAATGTTTCTGAGTCAGAAATTAATGATGGAACAAGAAGCGAGACTTGCAAAAGAAGCGGAAGAAAGAAATCAACAACATCAGTTGCAACAAATTCAACAGCAACAACAACAGGCGCAGCAACAGCAACAACATCAACAGCAAATGCAGAAACAACAAGAGAAAGTTCAACAAGAAATGATGGCAGTGGCTCGTGAACAACAAGCGCAAAGTATGCATCAAATGCACCAGCAAAATCATCAGCAAACACCAAACAACATTCCACCTATGAAGACATCACCACAGCAACAAAATCAACCATCACTTGGTGGCAAGTCATCAAATGTTCCTTCTGAACTCAGTGAAAGATTGTCACTAATGCGTGCAAATGTTGCGATGCAATCAGTCAACTCAATTGGACCAGTTTCGGGATCTGATCTCGAAGGACTTGCTGACATTTTGAAATCAGAAATAAATTCATCGTTATCGTCACTCGTTGATACAATCGTTTCTCGATTTCTTCATCAACGTCGAATGATGGGAAAACAATCAGAAGTAGCTGCACAAGCGGCTGCTGAACTTAACAAAGACCTCATGATGGCATCTCAGATTCTCGACCGTAAGTCACCGCGAACAAAATCAAGCGGCAATGATCGTGTACCGTCTTCGAATGGTGGTAATAATGGAAGTAGCGGAAATGGAAGTAATCAAACAGGTAATGGAAGTAATAATAGCACAACTAACAGTAGTAATAATAACACTAACAATAACCATCATTTGGCACCGTCCAATGCCATGAATCCTATCCAACATCACTTGGCCCAACACCACCAATCGATGATCACCCAACAAATGACATCGAACGGTAACAGTAACAATAATAATAATAATATTAACAATAATAGTAATGTTAATGGTAACAATAATCCAACCTCGAATGGCCAACAGCAAGCGATGTCTCGCGGCCCGCCATCATTTCCACCCCTTGGTCAACACATGGCAGCTGGTCAACCGCCACAGCCAATGGTGTCCAATGGTCTCTCTGATCCAAACAGTCTCAATAGTCTCACGCAAATGCAATCACAAATGAATCAAATGAATTTACCAACTCATGTTCGTCCCTCTCCAACAGCTGGAATGTTTCAAGCACCATCAAAGACGTCATCAGGTTCATCACAAATAAATTCTGTCGCGGCTGCTGCCCTTTACAATTCGATTTCAGCACTGAACAGTGGATCGTCGAGTGGAAATCCATTTTGCATGCCAGAACCACCACGAGAGAATACAAATGAACAGAATGAAGCTTTGAGTTTGGTTGTGACACCAAAGAAGAAGCGTCATAAGGTGACAGACACGAGAATAACTCCACGTACTGTCTCACGCATTTTGGCGCAAGATGCACTGGCTGCAGCACAACAAAATCATTTGGAAAGTCAACGACAAGAGCATCAGAACCAACAAAATCAGAATCAAATTCAACAACAGCAACAATCAAATGGACAAAATGTCAATCAATCTAACTTACAAAACGGTGGATCGATTGGTAATAAATCATTTGGATCGAATGGTGTGTTGCCATCGAGGATACCAAATGAACAAGCATCACCTCGTGCTAATTATCATCATTCGGCGCCACCAACGATGCTTCCTGTATCGTTGCCGACTTCTGTCGCTATTCCCAATCCATCACTTCATGAATCGCAAGTATTTTCGCCGTACAGTCCCTTCTTTAATCCACATGGACCTCACGGCCCTCAAACGTCGTCACTTCATCATATGCACATGTCGTCAAGCCCACCGGGCATTGGTGCTCTTATGGATCCACGGGATTCACCACCGTTACCTCATCCACCTACAATGCTTCATCCAGCACTTCTAGCTGCAGCACATCACGGCGCTTCACCAGATTATGGACATATTCGTGCTGCTATGGACGCAAATGATAGAAATTCTGATTGCAACAGTGCTGATATTTCCTACGATGGAATGCAATCGTCGATATCGTTTTCAAATGCATTCTTGAAACAATTGAAGTGAGTACAAAAAAACATTAAAATAAGACAACTAATCAAACAATTCTACAATTTAATTTTTAATTTATTTATACTTGTGGGAATTAAAACACTTTTCACATTTGCGACTTATTTAATAACTTCTCGAAGAATTCAATTACTTGGAAAATCCTTATAATTCAAAGCAATTTATTTGTGAAACACGCAATTTAACAAAAGGAATTGCTTAATTAAGAATAGATTCAGCAACTGCCTCGTTTATCGTTCGTACTTCATTTTTTATTGATGAAATATTAAACGAACTTTGCAAAAGACACTTGGAAGGGTAAATAATGGCACTTAAAGGTTTAAATGTTTATGACGAGGTAGAAGTAGCGAAGGGATAAGGAAATGAAGATATTTATTCATAAATATCCACCCACACATGTCTGAAACTAAAATTATAGTTTAAGTTTGCATTTTTGCCATTTAATAATGAAATATTAATTTTTTTTTCTTTCATCCATCAGCCATAAAAGAGAAAATAATGATCAAAATCAGGATCAATTTTCTTTAAACAACTCGCATTCTGCAACATTGACGCCAATGCATTTGCGAAAAGCAAAGTTAATGTTCTTTTGGGTACGCTACCCAAGTTCAGCAGTTCTGAAAATGTACTTTCCTGACATCAAGTTCAACAAGAACAACACCGCTCAGCTGGTCAAGTGGTTCTCCAATTTCAGGTATGTATTTATTTATTTGGTAGTGAAACATGTCATTACGTCACTTACCATCGAAGTGAGTCGATTAAAGTGAAAGAAAACTCAACAATCAACAAATTTCCTCAAACAAACTCGTTGCATCATATCGATGAAATTTAATTGCCACGTTTATTTAACTCAATGTTGTCTATCGCTTCACTTAACTAATTTACATTGCGTTGTCATCAAAGTGACATTTTTCTCTCATTTTTTCAATTCTAAAGAATAAATAAAATTAAATGAAATAATTTCATCAAGTGATGCTAAATATTTAACCAATCGATGACTCTTTTGACGCGTCTATGTAAAGTGCAGTAATAAAAAGCGGATGATCAATTAATTAATTCCATCAATTATTTTTGTTCATGTGTCGCGAAATTTTTTGTCCATTATTTTGATGCATTATTAATTTAAACTTCAATCAAAATGCTTTTTGACGCGATCATGTTATAGATGAACATAAAAAACTCTTTTCAATATTAACAAAAACAAAAAAACTTTTCAAATCGCGAGAGACATAAATGACCAAAAAAACGAGAATATTGCAATCGATTTCATATTTTTATTGCAATTGTAACGAGGCAAATTGGAATGTTTGATGTTTGATGATTCTCCATTGTTGGTTTATTGCTGGCACCTTAAAATTATTCATTGGTTTTTATTTCAATCAATGCAATTTTTTGTCTTTTTGTGTCTGTCAAGAATGCATCAGTTCAAATGAAAAATGCATTAAAATGCACATCAAATGTTCGATAAATTGAATGGGACATTTTTATAACTTTTTCGTCGATATCATAGCTTCTTGCGGTTTTGACAATTTAAATCAATTAAATGAAAATTATCCCGCAAAACTTCTTTTTTCCTTCAGTTTTGATAATCGTTAGAAATTCTATTTAATTAAGAGTACATTTGTATTTATTTCATTGCCTTTTAACTTTGCAATAAGGTAATAGTCAAAATAACATCTGCCAATGTCTTAAGAAAAGTAAATTCATGAGGGTAGACGATAACAAACACATTTCAAACCAGCAAACAATAGAACACAATCTTAAGACGTTTCTCATGATTTCTGTTTCGCGCCTTTTTTCCTTGCTTCTTGATTTTATTTTCTTACTTTAAAAGGGGGAAATGAAATTTTGTGCATAGTAAGTGAAGGTTTAAAGACGACGACACACTTAGAAGCATTTCACGTCGATATTTTCTTAATTTCTATTAATTAGAATTTTAGAATCTTTGTTGTTCCGAAGATAAATCGTTAGAGTAATAGACAATTGCAAAAAATCTTTTCTGTTAGATTCTCAGGGTATTTTATGATTCTCAAAACAATCTTACACATACAAAAATATCTAAGAAAAGAAACAAAATCTAAGGGGTGAAAAATTCGTTATTTTCTTCCAATTCGATCGTGTTGGTAACTTCTTATAAAATTAATTTCGTTTCCTTGTTAGCATTTTTTATTTTGTACGTGAACGATGGGAAATATCTTTGAGATGAACGAACTTGTTTTGATCCTTTCATTAACGGTTTTTTTATTAAAATATTTTTCTTGACATATGCACATACAAACAACACTTCAACTGTTTCTGTTTTTATGTTTAAAAGTGTTAAAACGTAAATTATTTAATTACTTTCACTTAGATTGCGATTTTAACCAGATGGAAAGTTGTTATGACTCATAATTTGTTACTAAATGACATCTCAACATCATTTAAAATTCATTCATCATCATCTTCTCGCATGTTGATATTATGTCACTTGAGGTGTTGATGTTGGGAAATTACTGCAAAATGTCAAACGTTGAGAATTTTCTTTATATTTAATTTTACACAAAGTTGAATGTTGCATGTTCAGATCACGAATTGAGTGATGGAAATGCATTTCAACTATTTTCGTTTAATTCATTCAACTAATTAATTAATATTTTGTATTTCAGGGAATTTTACTATATTCAAATGGAGAAATATGCCCGCCAGGCGGTTAGTGAAGGAGTTAAATGCGTCGATGACATCCATATTAGTATGGATAGTGAAATTTATCGTGTGCTTAACTTGCATTACAACCGCAATAATCACATAGAGGTATGCAGCCATCAAGCGGGTGAAAGTGTACGCAAGGAACATCAAAAATGCTTTAATTTATTAGCTTTTTATTAGTTCTCTTGACGCTATGATTTGTCCCGAAATGATGATTATCTTCGTATTGTTACCGTCAAAATAATTTTACTTAATTTTTCTTCATTCTCAATTTTTCAGGTGCCACCAAACTTTCGATTTGTTGTTGAACAAACTCTACGTGAGTTCTTCCGCGCAATTCAAGGCGGAAAAGATCAAGAACAATCATGGAAGAAGGCAATTTACAAAGTCATCTCTCGTATGGATGATCCTGTACCAGAATATTTCAAATCGCCAAATTTTCTGGAGCAACTGGAATAAAATGATTAAATTTTATGTCATTACAACATCGTGTCTATAAAAATAATAATAATAACAACAACAACCCACAAACTCTACCATCTACTTAAAAAAGAAAATTAATTGAAAAACTGTTTAATTGTAAGAAGCTACGAAAATAATGAAGAGACGAAAACAAGAAAAAATAATTAAAACATTCAATTCACACTTTGTGGCTCCTGAAATAGCAACAAACTAATGAATTAAAGCGACTGCAAAATTTACAAAATTAAAGACAAAACCAAATCATTTCGACGATACTCGCGTTTAGGCCTTTTAACAAACACAAAAAAAGAAAATTCTATGGATTTTGAGTTGAGAAGTTGGAAGATTCTTGAATTTTCTTTTCAACGATTTTTCTTCACCCAAATAATGTGAATTAAAATCGTCGAGAAACTGAGTCTCCTTTGAAAAAAACACAAAAACTTCTTAAACTCCTTCTCCGGTCGATAAATCTCAGAGATACAAAGAAACAAAAAAAAGAACACATTTGACATAAAAAAATAAGTTTTTAAAAGTCTTTCGGACATCATCAGAGAGATTAAGCAAAAGGATTATCCCCCAGCCGCAACAAGAAGACAACAACATAAGAAAGATAAGAAACATCTTAAGACCATCCTTAAGATTAAAGAAATAACAGCCATCAAAACCCCCAGGTCAAGTAAACTGCAATATAACTAACATCTTTGGCCAACAATTAAAAGAAAGATTAAACTTTAAGATGCAAATAATGTTCTTTTAGTTTGATAAGAAAGCAATTTATGAAACATGTTTTGTTGCTACGCAAGTTGACTAACTTTAAGGCGCGAGCGCCTGTTGAAAATAAAAAAATATTTTCGTCATTTTCCGAACCAACAAAATTATGTGAACACTTTTAGTTGAAAAAACAAAAAGAAATTGAAATGAAAAAAGGATTTATTCTTAGGCTAGTAAACATTCCAAAAATCCATTCACTGAAAATGAAAAAAAAATAAAAAAATTAATTCGAAAGTCATGAAAGACAAGAAAAATATTTGCAGAAAATTTCTGCAAGCACAAAGAAAAATTATGTAAAAAAATTCGCATTTAATTTTTTTTTGTGGGACTAAAATCCTTATAAATATCGAACAACTATAGTTTAATTATTTAGCGGGATTTGAAATTTATTTGTGAAATGAAATAATTAATTATTAATCACATAAAAAGCAAATCTAAGTACCAAAAAGTAATTTAAATCTAATTTTACATTACCATTAATTATTATAATTTTTTTTGTGTTTCTACTTTAAATATCGAATGAAATTGATTAATTTTTCACATCAACATTGGATGTATATAAATATTGTTTAACATTTGATAACAATTGCATCAGATCTAGTTTTGAATACACTTCGGAAGCGATCCCAGCGATAGTTTGTTTGTACACATGCATCGAGATCAAAGCTACTAAAGTGCTTCACAATATGATAGGAAATTGAATTTATTTATAAAGAAATTGATGTCTTAAATTATTATTACATCACAATCAACCAAAAAATATATAATTTTTTGTCAATTATTTATTGTTTGTTTTATTGCTTCATTTTGTTTTCAGTTAAGTTTTGTGTTTTTCTTTATTATTCATTGACGTTTACGTTTAAACAGCGCTGAGTCCCAGAATTTCCTTCGAATTTTTTTTTTGATTTTCTTAATTATAAAAATTCAAATTATCTCTCGCTCTTCAAAATTTATCCACAAAATTTAAGATGATTAAGAAAAAAAAAAATTATCATGCCTTCAAAATTAAACGACAAATGTAACTGAAATTGTGATATTAAAAAAGAAGAAAAGTAAAGAAAAAGTGGAGAAGCGGTGTTGGTTGATTTTTGACGATGGGTTGAATATCCGAGTGAAGATATTTTGTGAGTATCTCAAGATGATCATTCACTTCTTTTCGGCTCTACATTCAAATAAAAATATAACAGAATCGGTCATTCTAATGATACAAAGGAATATCTTCTTACAAGATTCTCTCATTTTCATTAATTTTCCCACCCGAAATTCAAGTTTGAGAATAGTTAAAATTTTTTTGGTATTATCTCGTATTTCAAAAATACAAAAAAAGAATAAAATGTTTTGGTATATTTTTAGGCAGTGATTAATGAAAAAAAAAGGTAAACGATACTTATACCCGAGTTGGAGGAACTGACTTTGGACCTCGCAGTTCTCCTCCTAATAGAAGACAAAAAAATTCTGTACAAAGTTTGGAGAAGATTCCGAAACCAAAATTAATTTTGGTCATAAAGAGAAGATAATTAAAATGTTTAGAAATATTTATGAATTACTTTCGGCTATCTAAATTACGGAAAGAATGTTTAGGCAAATTTGTTCTTGATTTTCAAAATTATCCGCGTGTTTTTGGACGAAAAAAGAAATTTTTCTCTCATCGCGCTGACAAATACTTTTTGTTAATTAATTGTTTAGTTTATTAAAATTTAATTTATATTACCCGCTACTCTGCTTTTTAAGAATTCAAAATAAAATTTGTTAATCTAAATTAAGATTGATTATGTTTATGGCTTTTCCAGTGTCAGCAGCTCGAGTTTGTGTTTTTCGTCTTGATATGAGCTGCGACACTCAACAAACGTTTCATAAATATTTAGCATGTCGATCAGAAAATTTTGTGAATAAAATTAAAGTTTAGGTCGGCACGACAAAATGTGCAATATTTTGCGGTAAAAATAAACTTCTTTCGAATTAAAATTTAAGAGAATTGTTTTGATAACATTTAGGAATCTTAAATATCTTATTTGCTTGTTATTTTAAGATTTTGAAGACGCGTTGATGAAAATGTATATTTCGAATCATAAAAACACTTTGGCCGAGAAATAAATATTATTAAATGAAACAATAGCCCAAATGGAGTAAAGCTTATAAATTATTTCTTAAAGAGAAACTTTCCATGAGAAATTTATTGACCAACAGTTTAAGTACAACAACAAACGTAGATAGCTGCTTAAATCTCACTGTCGAGCTTCTTTGCTCACAATGATTCTAGCAGTTTTAAAAAATAATTTTCACATCCTTATTTATATATTCCCACATAATGCAATAGAATAATAAAACGAGTAAAGGGAAGGAATTTCACGAGCAACATTGATGTCTGAACACAATTAAAAAATTCTATTACAAGACGTTTGACAAAGCTCAAAAATTACAATAGAAGTCTGAAATCTAGAAATTTTCCTTAATTATACCTACACAAATGACATTTATCAGCAGCACAACAATTTAGGTCTCAACTAAATTCCAATTTACATCCATTCAACATGAACCTAAATTCAACAGAATACTTAAAACAGTAAAAAATGATGAAATGTCTTGAATAATTGAGGAAAATTTTCTCACAAAAGTTCTCAGAAATTTCCTTTCCACTCGTACCGGAATAAGTTTTTAAAACAGAAATCAAATGAATATTGAAATATAATTAAATTTGAAATAAATAAAAAAGCTTGACAAAGTTGAACACTAAATTGCAGTTTACAGACACCGAAGAGGATGCAGTTTAAGAACACTGCAAAGCCACAGTCTGTAAAAAAAAGTTTAAAAATGATTATCATAGCTAAATCAACATCCACAAAATGCAATAGAAAAAGAATGATTTAAACTTTTAGTTCCCATCCACAGAAGCAAAGTAATAGGAACACAAAAATAAAACAGTTTTTAAGCAAGTCTTAAACTTACAATAGATCAAAACCATACAAAAGTAATCATTGAGACTGAAGGAAACTTCTAATTTCAATCCTTACTCATCTAAGCCACTCTTCAGTGAGCTCCGAAACAATGGCATAACAATAATTGAAAATATGAAAAAGTCACTCAAATTGATCAATCCATACTAAAGAATTAGTATAATTTACAGGAAATCTAATAAACCACATCAGCATCAGCATACGATAAAACAAGAGAAGCAAGTAATAGAACCACAAAGAAGTAAAATCTTTATTTTCATCGATTTTATGATTTCTGAAATACTTATCCAAGTACATAAAGATTAACTCTCTTGAAAGCATCGTGGAGAAATGTTAATTAAATTGAAATGAACTAAATAGATATGTACTTTGAATATGTAAATGAAGTAGCGTTAAAGTGTTAAGTAAGCATTAGGTTAAGAATTTGATGTCATAAGAAGGGAAAAACTTTCATAGAACTATCAACATAATGATGATGAACTCCATTGTATTGTATAATTATTTCTTCCTAAGTTATCACACAATGGTTTTTCCATTTTCAACTTATTCAAACGAAAAAGACGATTTGTAAAAACCAAAAATACAATTTCGGGAAAATATTTGTAATTGAAAAGTTCATTTTTTCATAAATCTTAAGCTATTATGGAAAATATCACCAAAAATAGAATGAAAATTTATTTAAAAATTTATTGGCTAAACGATTGAAATCAATAAAAATATATATCAATAAACACAAAATTGAAAACAATAACAATTGGCATATGTTTCTACTAAATTCGTCTTTCGATCATATTTTCGGTGATTTTTCGGTGACGATGAAAAGCAGATCATTTGTAAAAAGCATGCAACTTTACCTAATCGTATTTTAACTACAACAATGTCTCGGAATATAAATTAATCAGCAAACTAGTGGAATGAATTTCATTGAATATATCTTACAATTGGGCTATTAAACTTTCTCGGAAATTTCACTGAACCTTTTAATTGAACAAAACAAAACACTTTGAAAGTGATGAAAATTCACGGAAATTCATGAAGCTGCTTCAAGTTAAGGAGGTAAGTTTAAATCTTTTTCATTACTTATTTATCAATAAACATAAAATTGAGGCTGAATATGAAGTTGAAAATGTAAAAACAAATTTACGGAAATATTTCAACCAGTAGAATTTTCGGAAATATATAAGTTTTATGTTTCAAACAAGAAAATAACATATTTAAATAAAAATATTCATCAATAGTCCCAAAGAAAAATCTGATCACAAACAATTCTATCAGAAATCATTTCTGCTTTATCAAACGAGCGAAAATATTTGATTTTCAAAATTTCTTCTCTTTATCTTACAGTCTTTTCAAACGATCATGAATGTAAAAACATTGACAAAAGAATTCAAGGCATGAACATAAAAATATATGCTTACATAAGTAAATGATGTGCTTATGCACATAAAAGCTATCAATTAAATTTTTCTGAATTCACAACACATGCACAAATGAAAAGAAATTCAAAATTTGTTGATATATATGACAAAAACCATCAACCAACAGAATAATCTTTAGCAACATCAAAATTTAAAAGAAAACTTTCACATTTACTTCTGTTTGCAATAGACCGGATGCGCATCGCGCAATTTACAATTTTTAATTTCTTTAATTTTTTTCATGGTTTCCACAACTTTACATTAAATTCTCAACATTTCAATACATTTTATGTTTTCCATTTAATTTGCAATAGAGTCTGAAGCTTCAGCCATCAAAGCTTAATGAAAGCTGAATGATTCAAAAGCTCTGTTTGATGGCTTTGCTTCTGTCAGAGACGATAAAAACCGGAATAATTTAAAAGTACAAATTTACACTCAACAAAAGTTTGTTATGACAACAAACTGTATTTATAATGAATGAAACATTACAAGAAGTCGAACATAAAATTGATCTAATATTTATATTTTTATACAGAAGTCTTAGATTTCCATTTTCAAAGGAAGATAAACTGTCATAATCGGATAAGTATCATTTTCATTTCCCTTATATAAGCATATATCATATATATAATTATATTATATATAAGACATCCTTTTTTAAAGCATTTCAAAAATTGACGGCACTCAATTCGAAAATAATGACTGAACCTTCTCAATTCTTTCTTTTCTTTAAAACAATCATAAAATTTAATACATAGACATGACAACCAGAGACTGTTAAGAATGTGATCAGATATTTTAAAAGAAAAAAAAAAATTAATCAATTCTAATTAGAGAAACATAATCGAAACTTATATCAATGGAGTAAAATTTACTTAGCTGAAAGGAAGTTGGTATGTCAATGAGAATTTTAATAAAATTTTCTAGTTTTCATTTCGCTTATGATAAAGCTGGCTAAAGGTTGTATCGTGCAATCAGAAATCAGAATTATATTTAAACAAAATCAGAGAAGAAATGAAGAACTCTATTTATTAAATGTTTTTATACATACAATCATATACTTGCAATAGTTATGAACGGGTTACGCCGTATCTAAACAATAAACCGGGTTTAAGTTTACAGAATCAATAAGAGAATCACGCAACCAACAATTTTCATTTTCATCATTCGAACCATTCAGTTGCAATAGTTGATAAGACAAAATTCGAAGATGAATAAAAAAGCTTTAATGAGAGCTTGTGATCTTCATTTGTCCAGTACAAAAAGGCGAAGTCGTTGAGATTCATAAATATTTTCAACATCGGAAGTCAACATTTCGCTGATATTATGAACTAATTTTTATTTCCATTAATTAACATTATTAATTTAATTTATCCTTACTAACAACATCGGTAAATTTCGTTTAAATTTTAATAAATAAAATTTAAAAGCAGCAACATTTACTCACGCCAGTAATTAAATAAAATGTTATAAATTCATTTCGATGACCGTGTAAAATATTATTATCAGATTCAATTGAAAATGAAGAGAGATTGTAAGCTTTCAATGCAACGTCAGCTTTCTTAAAATGTAAATGATGAAAACGTTGAATCAAATTGATAAGCGGGCAATATGAAATTAGTTTGATAAAATAAAATTCTACAATAGTGCCAGAAGATCAAGAGGAAAAGTTCTTGAATTTTTCATCTGTTTCCTTCAACTCAAGATTTTAAGATAAATTGTAGAAATAGTTGATATTGAGCTTAGCTGTAAACATAATTTTAAATCACACACCGAAGCCGGAGAAATCTGAAAATCGTAATTGAACCTTATCATTGATAAAATTCAGGAACATGTAAGAGTCACTGAAATAAATAAGAAATGATATGATTAAAGTTGATAGTTTTATGAAAGTTTCATGCAACAAAATAAAAGAAAATTCCAAGGATGATTTTCCAAAAAAATCTGATTTTGATTCACAGCGAAATGAATTTTGTCACAGTGAAATTAAACGTAAATAATTGAAACAATCAGATTGAAACAATGATCTCAGAGTAGATTAATATAACAAGAATCTAATAGCTCAATGACTTAACAGTTCTCCACATGATTTCAAGAAACTTTTCTTCAAAGAAGGAAAATGAAAATTTTATGTAAGAAATTTTCTTGTACAATAAGTATTGTCAACAGATTAATGCACAACACAAAAGATATCTGCAAAAAAAATGAGATATTCGGGTTTTGAATTATAATTGCGGAGGACAAAGCTAAGAATTAATTTGATCAAACATCCCTCAAAAATAATAATTCAGAAAACTCTTTTGGCAGCATAAAATCGCGGATTAAAACCAAAAATAAGAACAAGTATCAACATTGAGAATTGATCGTAATGTGGAAATTATTCCAATGATTCTGAGGCTTTCAACATCAAAGAATGAACATTGGGATAGTTTCTTGAAAACAAATTTTGATTTGAATTAAAAGTTTTATCTTCTAATATTTTAAAGATTCAAAAAGTTGAGATATGGTAACATAAATCTGTATTTAAATTAATTCTATTAAGTAAATATCTTGAGAAACTACCTCATATTTAACATATTTTATAATCGCCAAAATGGCATGTCAGAAAAAGTTTTTAAATAATTTCAACTTACGAGATCATCATGAGAAACGAAAATTATTTTTTGCTTTTCGTTAAGGATATGAATTATTGTGAGATTAAAAACATTCAATATTTTGTTGTTTCCACAAGTCATGATACAACTTAAAGCTATTTATTTCTAAAAGTGAACAATTTCTTAATTAGATTTCTTTTGCAATCCAAAAGTTTTTCATAAAACATTAGAAGATAAAACAAAGAAAAATAAAACTCCACGTACATATTTGAAATGAGAATTTGAAAGCTTGTAAGCTTATTTGAAAAGATTAATCAAGCACGAACTACAATTTAAGCTTATTCAGAAAGCTTTTAAAGCTCTCATTTTGAAGACATTTTATTTCATCTTCAATGACAAGAAAATGAATTTCATGGAATTAAACAAGGGCCACTTAGGCAAGACAACGTGGCAGTTAATTTGGGTTTAAATATAACATCACAGACGCAATAAAATTCACACATAACAAACACTTACACTGAAAATAATTTCCAATTTCGTTTTTCTTTAATTTGAAGCTAATGTAATGCAACTTAAACAGAACAAAATGTTTCCATATACAATAGAATTAAGTATGTACGTCATTTTGGAACAAAGCCTGTCAGAATTTTAATTTTTCTTTCACTGATTTCTTGATTTGCACTCCCACAACTAACAATAGGAACAGAAATGCAATTTTTGGAAAATAACTCGATATTTTCTATTTCTTTATTTTTCCATTAAACTTGCATGAACTTTAATTTTCTATTTTTGGAAAAAGTTTCATGATTTCAAAATATAAAATGTTTTGTTGAATGCACACACAACGTTTAACCAGAAAAATGGCTCTGCGGACAACAAACATACAATAAAAATGATAACAATAACAAGAGAAAACCACTAACGAATGAAATAAGATAAATCAGCATCGCAACATCAAAATACTTTGAGAAAATATTTTAGAGACAATTTCTTCAACTTGGCCTTCAAATTATGAATGAAACAGTTGCACAAGGTTTTTCTGGTCTACCGGTGATATTGAAATTGAAATAGAAAGCTTTGGATGATCCTGCCAAGTTGGGATAACTTCTCGATTTTGATGTCAAACTGGCCCGAAATTCATTACAAACATAAGCAATATTTTTGGAAGTCCTTTAATGTTATGAGTCATAATGTAACAACAATATTTATAAAATCTCAACAATAGTATTTTGGAATCTAAGCATTAGTTTGACATCGGATCATCGTAATGTCTCCAACATATTTTCTCATCGTTTCTTCTAATTTACAGAATAACAAACAGGCTCTAATCGAAAAAAATGGAAGTACTTTATTTTAGTTTACAGTTTCGACAAATATAACCATTCAGATAAAACACGTTCTCGGCAAATGTTTAGGACTCTCCCGGTCTAAAGTATTTATTATATAAAAAAGATATCACGAAAAAAGTACAAGCTTGTTTAAGCACCTTCGCGCCTTATCTTTAAAAATTAAAGAAAAAAAGAAAGAAAAAGAAATTTACGATTTTTTTTTGTCAAAAATGAAGAAGAAAACCATTATAAAAGAAGAGATGAAACAATGATACAAGTGAAAAATAAATAAAACAGAGGAGAAACAGAAAGAAAAGCGACTTGAGCAAGAAATGAAATTGTGTGTAATTTTTACCAAAATCTGCCTTAACTTATATTTTCTTATATACAAAAAATGGAAAGTAACAAAATGATGATAACCTTAGGAAGAACGTAACTTTTTTCAAAAACGAAACTTTCGAGAAACACATTTTATAAGGAGTAAAAGGAAAGAGCTTTTGAGTTTTATTTCTGTACCTTCAATCCCTGTTGAATCCCCTTTTAATAAAAACCAAAATTTAAAATCATCAAAATTAAAAACTGAACGTCACAACCACAGCTCATGAAAATTTATTGAGCTCTTAATTTCAATTTATTTTGTCATATTTGCATAAAAATTTATGCTGCAAATTTATGCTTTTATAATTATTTTTATTAAAATGTCACACTAATTTCTTTGTTGCTTCAAAAATCAAATTTTTAACATTAAACATACAGCAAAACCACCAGAAGAAAAAAATAATATGAAATAAGCAGTTTTATAAACAAACTCGCACCACTAATCTCTCTCAAATGGAATACCATAAAAANAATAAAAATATTACGAAATCAATCGCTACAACCCCTAATATTATACAAAACAAAAATAATCAACCCATTTAATGAATGCATAAATATTTACTTCAAATAGATTAAAAAAATGATGAAATGTTTCCATTTTGAATGCAACACTAAAAGTAATTATAAGGAATCTTTAGTGATAAGTTCACAATGAAATTTCAAGTTTGAATTATGATTGAAACGCTATTCAGCGAACTGGTTTTGTGTTATTTATAAATTAAGAGAAGAATCTTTGAGTATATGATTTACAGGCCATCCAATCAAATCTATAATTTACCACAAGATACAATTTTATTTCTTAAACAGACATAAAAAACAGTGAAAGATATATAAATTATGTTATATATCAACAGATTCAGTTGTGGTCCTTCGATAAATAAATCTATCAAGTAAAGAAAAGAAAGATTCATTATTGTAGTCGAGTAGTTCATGCAAATAACCAATGATTCTCAAAAATAACAATAGCCACATTTTAAATGTCTTACATACATCCAAATCCGAACTGCAATAGAAATGAAGGCAACTCCAAAAAGAAAAATTAATTCGAAAATACCGGCAAGTTATAAATATTTGAGTTAAGCAGTGAATTTATGAGTCGTTCATACGATTTCAGTATGAATGTGTCATAAAGTTAAATCTGCACATTTCGGCAATAAAATGGTTTCTTATACTACACAGAGTTCACTCAAGATTTTCTAATCATTTTGACATGCAACACAATTTCTAAGTTTAAAATTTTTCGATAAAATGAAGAATCACTGGGCCACTCTCGTCCGATCTAAAGTGCCTTCAAATTATTAATGAGAAAAAAAAAGTATTTAAAAAATAATAAAGTAATGTTGATTTTTTACGAAGAAAAATTAATATAAAATTTTTTATTAAATAAATGAAAAAGAAAACATAAAAAATGGGCCCTACATAGACTTTATTTATTTTATTTTATTTTATTTTATTTTTGCATTTAGCTACATAAACAGGCTAAAGCCCTTAAGTTGCAGCAGATAAGATTTTTTAAATGTTGTGTTCTATGTAAGCAAATTTTAGTTATTTTAACAATCTTTTTTAAATAAAAAGTTAAGAAAATTTGTCAGAAGATTTTTATAGTTTACAACAAAAAGAAATTTTTAGTCAATATTTTATGAGGAAATTATGCGTTTGAGAAAAAGGTCACTGGTTAATGCTCTCTGGGAGCAAGCTCCATGTTACTCCCTCCCCCAAAGGACATTCCAGTGACGTAGAAAAAAACTCAAACATTAGAATGATTTAATGTATCCGATTTTTCACGGATTATTTGCTTTAATTTTGCGTCAGTTGGTTGATGTGAGAGCGCGATTCTATCATCAAATAATGTGTTGTAAGTCAGCATGAGTCTATTGAAGACTGAATATTTTCCAATGTCTGTTCTGCTTTGTGTCGTTTTAAATACTTTTTGATTTCTTGTTGCACTATCTTGAGTGAATTTGAAGTGATGTAGGAATGTGCATGAGTCAATTTGATCATTGAATGACTTCGTAATAAACTTAACGTCGGCTAGTTTTCTTCTTGATTCCAGGTTCTCGATTTTCAGTAGTTTTTCGATGTCATCATAATTTATTTCATCTTTAAGATTCTTTTTCAGACATTTAAATGCGACAAATCTTAGAAATTTGTGTTGAATTCTGTTCAGTTTGGTGATTTGCACATTCGTATATGGGCACCAAATTACTGAAGCGTACTCGATGATACTACGAACCAAGCTGTTGTAAAGAGTGACAAATGTGATGGTGTCATTGAAATATTTGCATGTTCTGATAATGAAGCCCAGCATTCGGCGTGCCCTTCCACAAATTGAGTCCACGTGATCGTTAAAGTTCAACTTGTGATCATAAATAACTCCCAGATCTTTTATTGAGTTTTTTCTTTCAAGTTCATGACCGTCGATCTTATAATTATTAAAGATTAAGCTCGATTGTCGTTTTGTAAAACTTGTTACAAAACATTTCTTCGCATTCAATGCTAAATTATTCCTTTTGGCGTAATCTATAAGACGATCAATGTTCTCTTGAAGTATTTTTATGTCCTTTCCGTTATTAATCTCTTTATAAATCTTTAAATCATCTGCGTAGATGGAAAATTTTATATCCTTGAAAATATTTCCAATATCATTAATAAAGATTGAAAAAAGAATTGGACCCAAATGAGAGCCTTGAACCACTGAAGATGTTACGTCGATGTCAGTGGATAAAAATTCTCCAAGTTGAACTTTTTGCTTCCTTTGCGTAAGGTAAGACTTGAACCATTTCAACATGTTTCCGTTAACTCCCATAATTTCGAGCTTTTCCAAAAGTTTGCAATGATTGACTTTATCAAAAGCTTTGGAGAAGTCGGTAAAAATAACGTCCGTTTGTGATGTGTTGTCAATGGTTCTTTGTACATTTTCTGTGTAATCCGCCAAATTCGTGATTGTTGATCTTTTCTTGAAAAATCCATGCTGTTCTTTTATGATCAAGTGGCTGAAACGATCAAAAAGCTCATCGGCCATGATGTTATCAAAAATCTTCGCTGGAATCGAGAGCTTTGAAATTGGTCTGTAATTTTGAGCGTCGTGAATTGATCCATCTTTATAGATTGGCGTAACATGAGCCAGTTTCCATAAAAACGGAAACATTCCACTTTGAATTGACTCATTGAATATGATAAAGAGTGGAAAAGTGAGAGCGACTGAACATCTTTTAAAAAAAACTGGTGGAATTTTATCAGGTCCTACAGCTTTATTGACGTCAAGCTCCTTCAATTTCTCGTAAATAACATTCATGCTGATTTGATTTGTATTCCAGGTGTTGCTATTTTGAAGAGACACTAAAGTTCTTTGTTCTTCAATGGGATCATCACTTTCGTACACGCTTTTGAAGTGACTAGCAAAAAGATCAGCGGCATCTTGTTTGTTGAAAGCTGTTTTGTTTCCTAATTTGACGTATTCGGCTATACCAGTTCCATTGGACTTTCTGGAGTTAACAAAATTCCAAAAAGCTTTCGGGTTGTTTCTGATGTTCTGTTCTGCTTCCATGTTTGATGATTCAAAGTCTTTTTCTAGTGAAATTTTAATTTCTTTCCTGGTATCGCTAAATTCTTCATAATCAGTAGCATTATGATACATTTTCCATTTGTGATGAAGCCTACGTTTCTTCTTTAATAGTCTGATCGTTTCTATTGAGAACCAGCAGGGAAAATGCTTCGGTTTTGCTGTGATTTTTGGACAGTGAGTATCGAGAAGATTATCAATAGTTTCATAAAATTTCTTGACTTTTTCATCAACATCTTTAGACTCTGAGAAGATAAGTGACCAATTAATTGCACTCAAGTCTTCTATAATTAATTTCCAATTCACTTTTTTGAAGTTACGGTAAGTATGGCTCTTAAATTTTTCATTTGTGATTTCCAGATTAAATGTGCCAGTGATTGGTGGATGGAAATCGTCGACTTTACTTAATGGATCATCACTTCTTTCGATTGCAATTGGAAGGTTGGAGAAAACAAGATCGAGAAGATTATGACCTGATTGATCACTACGAATGTTATTTAGTTGTTCCAGATTTCCAAATTGCATCAGTTCATGTAAAAGATTTGCTTTTGAGACTTCTCGCCCCACTAAAATGATTGGTTATTTGCATGGGACCCAATGTTGTAACTTTTAATTTAATAAACATAATCCTTCTACTCACATTTTAAACCCTTAACTGGATTTGTATTGTGTAACAAAACATAATTAAAGGCAAACATAACAATTATTAGAAATATTCCATGATTGAAAAAAGAAAAGAATTTTCGAGTTAAAAGCAAAATAAAAAGTTAAAGTTTCTCGGTGATTGTCTTATGGGAAATCACAAATCTTGAAACAATTTATGAAAACTTCAAGATGACTTCAAACTCATATCAAAACGAGTGTAACAGATTTTCTAACGAGATCAATTTGATGGAAACAAAATAAAAGTAGTAAAAGATCAATTATCTAAATGTATTCCAGAAATTTAAAAAAGCATGAAAAATCTATTTTAAAAATCTTTATTTGAAGACTTTTCCTTAATCATATAAAGAAAATGTCCAGTTTGAACTGAAATAAAAATTTCTGCTAATTTTATTTTAATACNCCACCGAGATCTACACTCTTTCCCTACACGACGCTCTTCCGATCTATCAAAACGAGTGTAACAGATTTTCTAACGAGATCAATTTGATGGAAACAAAATAAAAGTAGTAAAAGATCAATTATCTAAATGTATTCCAGAAATTAAAAAAATTGCATGAAAAATCTATTTTAAAAATCTTTTTTTGAACACTTTTCCTAAATCATATAAAGAAAATGTCCAGTTTGAACTGAAATAGAAATTTCTGCTAATTTTATTTTAATATGAAATTGAGAAATGATCTCTAGGCACATCTAAATGTATTTCACGCTTTTCTACTAGTTTTCATCTAAAGCTCTCATCTCAATTTATCAAACTTCAGAAAGAAATGAATATCAAATGGATGTTAAATATTTTGATTTAATTAATCTTTTAGATTAATTCATAAAACTTTAAACTTCTTGATACAAAATATTTATCCTTACTTTTTGTTAATCTGTGATCTTAATATGTTAACTAAGTTTCATTCACCAGCTTTATGTTTTTGTTATTAAGAGAAAAGAAGAATAGAAAACATAAAATTTATGATTAGCTATAATGATTTAAGTTTTTTGTTCTTGAAATTAATTTTTCCAACTGATTGAAAGCTCTTCACACTCCTTACATTATTTATAACAAAGATGTAAAATATGAATTGAATTTCCCTAAAAGACAGCAAAACCAATTGCAAGAATTACAATACACAATGCTACTAATCATTAATAAGAAGAAAAAATATTGAAAAACATCTAATAATTGAATAAAACCAGAAACCAAGGTGATGGTATTGAAACATGAAGTGAATTCGAAAGAAGAATTTAAGGCTTGAAGTGTTGATGAAAATTGAAGGAAAAGTTTTAATACCATCATCCATTCAAATTAAACAGTTTTTTCAATCATCCATATTTAACTTTACTCAACCCGTGAAAAGAAGTCAAATCCGTGAATAACCGTCAATAAAATTAATCAGAAAGGAATTAAGAAAAATAAGTATAAAGTTCTTATCAATAATTTTCCTCTTACTCTTTCTCTCAAAATAATTAAAATCAGCAATGATATTAGTGGACATTTTTTATCTTCATTTAATCAAGAAATAAACAATAAATCATCCGGCAACGCTTTTGGCACTTTGTGAACGACAAAAATATATAATGTGGTGCTTGAGAATAACATCTAAAAATAATATAAAAGTTCTATCAAAACATCATGATAGATTTTAAACATCTGCAAATGAAAATTTTGGAGAGAAAAAAATGAAATAACATTTTTTATACATCCTTAGTTTGTTTTCAAATAAACTTTAAGTACACAGCAATCTTCAGTTGAATTTGTATGGTTATAACTGACAAAACAATTTACAATTGTGACGCCGAGTGTGTGATTTCAGACGCCGAGTGTGTGATTTCAGACGCCGAGTGTGTGATTTCAGACGCCGAGTGTGTGTGATTTCAGACGCCGAGTGTGTGATTTCAGACGCCGAGTGTGTGAGTTCAGACGCCGAGTGTGTGTGATTTCAGACGCCGAGTGTGTGATTTCAGACGCCGAGTGTGTGATTTCAGACGCCGAGTGTGTGATTTCAGACGCCTAGTGTGTGTGATTTCAGACGCCGAGTGTGTGATTTCAGACGCCGAGTGTGTGAGTTCAGACGCCGAGTGTGTGATTTCAGACGCCGAGTGTGTGATTTCAGACGACGAGTGTGTGATTTCAGACGCCGAGTGTGTGATTTCAGACGCCGAGTGTGATATTTCAGACGCCGAGTGTGTGATTTCAGACGCCGAGTGTGTGATTTCAGAGGCCGAGTGTGTGATTTCAGACGCCGAGTGTGTGATTTCAGACGCCGAGTGGGTGATTTCAGACGCCGAGTGTGTGATTTCAGACGCCGAGTGTGTGATTTCGGACGCCGAGTGTGTGATTTCAGACGCCGAGTGTGTGATTTCAGACGCCGAAATTAAAATTAAGTTAAGAACAAAACCAGAAAAAAATCATTATTTTAAACAATGGAAAAGTTTTAGGGTTAGTAGCGATTGATTTCGTCAAAAATTGGAAATTTGACTTTTAAACGCAGAAAAAAGTTTGAAAGAAACAACTAAATATAATAGTTCATTAAGAAACTTATAGTTAAATTTAACGTAGTTTCTTAATGAAGTGTTGAAATTTCATAAATGTGTCGCTAAACTTCGGAAAATTAATGTTTAGCTTTACACATTTATTTCGCCATACCAAATGTATTGTTCGTGCTACATTGTACATAAAATTCGACAGTGTAGAAAAATACATTTGTGTAGGTGAAAATGAAAAAGTGTTGGTGGTTTGAACTTTAGTTTGAACCACGAAGTTTTTATTGAACTTCTTTGTTCAATAAAGGTAAACAGAGAGAAAAATAAAAAATAACTTAAAAGAAACACAGCTTGTTTAATTAATTAATATAAATAGAGTCATTACTGTTCAAGATACAAAGAGAATCCAAACATCGCTAATGAATCTGTTCATGCTCAGGTAAATTTGATGGCTTTTCTTATTATTAAATTCGAAAATATTCTACAATAAATTTATTTAAGGCTCGGGAAGCACTCAAAAAGTATCTTCACTACTACGAACGATGGGAAAATCATTCCAAGTCTCTTCAACTTGAACAACAAACATTGGATCGTCTTAAAACTCGAATTAATGAGAAAGTGATGAAAGGATTAAATTCTTCAACTTGGATCGATTGGCAATATTTATTCGTTGCTGCTTCACTTCTCGCCAAATGTCGTTACACATTACAATATACTTATCCATACGCTTATTACATGGAAGCATCATCACGTAAAGATCTATTTGAATATCAACAAGTAAGATTTCTTAACATTATGATTATTGACAATGGATTTATGAAATTTTCTTTCCATAGGCTCAACTTGAAGCCGAAATAGAAAATTTATCATGGAAAATTGAAAGAGTAGAAACTACAGATCGTGATCGAGGTGATATTGAAAATCAAATGGACATCGCAGAAAAACGTCGAATGACTTTGCTCAAAGATTTCTTTCCCACCAATTCCACCAGCAGCTTTTTCTCGTCCACATGAAAATAATACATCACCAGTTAGTCTTAATTGAAGTTTATTATTTTTACTGTTTCGTCTTCTTAAAGTTTAAGAGAAAGAAGATAAAAAATTATATTTAGCACTCGACGAAACAAATTTGTCTATTTCATTATTTGTTTCCGTTATCTAACTAAATATAATTTAATTCGTATCTATAAATATAATTAACTTTTATTCTTCATAGAGTTTAGATGTTACTTTTGAGATATTGTGTGATTTTAATTTTACGAGCAATGCAGATTCGATGCAATTCAATTCAAATTCTAATAAACTAATGAACATTGATGACTGTAAATATTTACATAAACAACATAAATGGATTTGACAAAAAAAAGAGCATGTAGAAAATTTAGTATAATTTAATTTCTTTTATTCCTTAGTTTTCATCAGTAATTGCATCATTTGAGACTTTATTACATTCATCATCATACATTACAATTTAAATTGTTACAAAGCAAAAGTCTCATCGAGTGATTTTAATGTTAAAATGCATTGCTGTGTGAAAAGATGGCATTACTTAGTTTCTATAATAAAAATAAATTGTCACTAAAATATAAAATCATAATTTTGTTGTTTCGATTTCTTCATTGATCCAAGATACGATTTCTCTTGTTAGCCGTGTGAATACTGTTGGCGATCCTTTTTCACAATTCTTAGATCCAAACGATGATAAACCGATTTGAATAGTTTTGTTACTTCGAAAGATCGTCAAAGGTCCACCTGAGTTGTTCAATGATTTTTAACTTTTTTAATTATTTCTTTTTTCTGTAACTTCTTTTATTCGATTACCTGAATCTCCACGACAATTCCCAGAATTAGTTTCAACTGTTGACAAACAAACATGATTTTCAGAAGGAATTAATCCAATTTCAAATGATTTTCCACATTCTTTATTTTGCATCACACGATTTTGTGTGAATCTTAACAGATTTGATGATCCACATGTATCACAATATTGACCATAACCGGAAACTGTTCCAATTTCACCCGCAAATGATTCATCCAAGAGATAACCAGATGGCAACTTAACAGATTGAATAGCATTTGAAAATTTCAGAGGTTCAGGTAAGATAATTAATGCAACGTCAAGATAAGCAACGTGAATGTTAAATTGTGGGTGAACTTTAAAACTTGAGGAATCAACATAATGACGAACAACATCTGTCTCATTAGAAAGCAAATCATTTGTACCAATGATGATGACACCACCATTAGCATTCTTAAGACAATGACCTGCAGTTAAAACAACTTTCATATCAACTATCGATCCACCGCACAATGTGATAGTTTTTGATTTCGTTTTTAAAGTTGATCTCGGAACTCCGTATATTTTTGAAGNGCCGCGGAGTGTGTGATTTCAGCCGCCGAGTGTGTGATTTCAGCCGCCGAGTGTGTGATTTCAGACGCCGAGTGTGTGATTTCAGACGCCGAGTTTGTGATTTCAGACGCCGAGTGTGTGATTTCAGACGCCGAGTGTGTGATTTGCACTCCCACAACTAACAATAGGAACAGAAATGCAATTTTTGGAAAATAACTCGATATTTTCTATTTCTTTATTTCTCCATTAAACTTGCATGAACTTTAATTTTCTATTTTTGGAAAGAGTTTCATGATTTCAAAATAAAAAATGTTTTGTTGAATGCACACACAACGTTTAACCAGAAAAATGGCTCTGCGGACAACAAATATACAATAAAAATGATAACAATAACAAGAGAAAACCACTAACGAATGAAATAAGATAAATCAGCATCGCAACATCAAAATACTTTGAGAAAATATTTTAGAGACAATTTCTTCAACTTGGCCTTCAAATTATGAATGAAACAATTGCACAAGTTTTTTCTGGTCTACAGGTGATATTAAAATTGAAATAGGAAGCTTTGGATGATCCTGCCAAGTTGGGATAACTTCTTGATTATGATGTCAAACTGGCCCGAAATTCATTACAAACATAAGCAATATTTTTGGAAGTCCTTTAATGTTATGAGTCATAATGTAACAACAATATTTATAAAATCACAACAATAGTATTTTGGAATCTAAGCATGAGTTTGACATCGGATCATCGTAATGTCTCCAACATATTTTCTCATCGTTTCTTCTAATTTACAGAATAACAAACAGGCTCTAATCGAAAAAATGGAAGTACTTTATTTTAGTTTACAGTTTCGACAAATATAACCATTCAGATAAAACACGTTCTCGGCAAATGTTTAGGACTCTCCCGGTCTAAAGTATTTATTATATAAAAAAGATATCACGAAAAAAGTACAAGCTTGTTTAAGCACCTTCGCGCCTTATCTTTAAAAATTAAAGAAAAAAAGAAAGAAAAAGAAATTTACGATTTTTTTTTGTCAAAAATAAAGAAGAAAACCATTATAAAAGAAGAGATGAAACAATGATACAAGTGAAAAATAAATAAAACAGAGGAGAAACAGAAAGAAAAGCGACTTGAGCAAGAAATGAAATTGTGTGTAATTTTTACCAAAATCTGCCTTAACTTATATTTTCTTATATACAAAAAATGGAAAGTAACAAAATGATGATAACCTTAGGAAGAACGTAACTTTTTTCAAAAACGAAACTTTCGAGAAACACATTTTATAAGGAGTAAAAGGAAAGAGCTTTTGAGTTTTATTTCTGTACCTTCAATCCCTGTTGAATCCCCTTTTAATAAAAACCAAAATTTAAAATCATCAAAATTAAAAACTGAACGTCACAACCACAGCTCATGAAAATTTATTGAGCTCTTAATTTCAATTTATTTGTCATATTTGCATAAAAATTTATGCTGCAAATTTATGCTTTTATAATTATTTTTATTAAAATGTCACACTAATTTCTTTGTTGCTTCAAAAATCAAATTTTTAACATTAAACATACAGCAAAACCACCAGAAGAAAAAAATAATATGAAATAAGCAGTTTTATAAACAAACTCGCACCACTAATCTCTCTCAAATGGAATACCATAAAAATTAATGAAAAATAAAATGTAATCAATACAAGTTTCCGTTTCAAGAAAAACAGAAAATTATTATCAATTTATAATTTTTAAATTTCTTGAACGTTGTGAAAAAAAAAATCTTATCTAATATCAGAAAACAGCCTAATTGTGAAGCTAATTGAAAGTTTTTAATCACTTTGTAGTCTCCCCTTAAAGATTCATGTTTCTGAACCACACACATTTAGCATTAAAGCGATAATGAATGAACGCTACAATTTTGATTTTCCTTTCAAATGAAACATTATAGAAACTTACTTAAGAGAACTTTCAGAACAAGAAAATATGCTGAAAAAAGCAGAAGAAAAATTAATTTAGTGTGGAATGTAAGTAAGAAATTGTTGGTATCTCAAAAATGAGAATTCATTTTATTTATGACGTAAAGCGAAAAGGAAAAAAAAGGAAATTAAAATTAAGTTAAGAACAAAACCAGAAAAAAATCATTATTTTAAACAATGGAAAAGTTTTAATATTATACAAAACAAAAATAATCAACCCATTTAATGAATGCATAAATATTTACTTCAAATAGATTAAAAAAATGATGAAATGTTTCCATTTTGAATGCAACACTAAAAGTAATTATAAGGAATCTTTAGTGATAAGTTCACAATGAAATTTCAAGTTTGAATTATGATTGAAACGCTATTCAGCGAACTGGTTTTGTGTTATTTATAAATTAAGAGAAGAATCTTTGAGTATATGATTTACAGGCCATCCAATCAAATCTATAATTTACCACAAGATACAATTTTATTTCTTAAACAGACATAAAAAACAGTGAAAGATATATAAATTATGTTATATATCAACAGATTCAGTTGTGGTCCTTCGATAAATAAATCTATCAAGTAAAGAAAAGAAAGATTCATTATTTTAGTCGAGTAGTTCATGCAAATAACCAATGATTCTCAAAAATAACAATAGCCACATTTTAAATGTCTTACATACATCCAAATCCGAACTGCAATAGAAATGAAGGCAACTCCAAAAAGAAAAATTAATTCGAAAATACCGGCAAGTTATAAATATTTGAGTTAAGCAGTGAATTTATGAGTCGTTCATACGATTTCAGTATGAATGTGTCATAAAGTTAAATCTGCACATTTCGGCAATAAAATGGTTTCTTATACTACACAGAGTTCACTCAAGATTTTCTAATCATTTTGACATGCAACACAATTTCTAAGTTTAAAATTTTTCGATAAAATGAAGAATCACTGGGCCACTCTCGTCCGATCTAAAGTGCCTTCAAATTATTAATGAGAAAAAAAAAGTATTTAAAAAATAATAAAGTAATGTTGATTTTTTACGAAGAAAAATTAATATAAAATTTTTTATTAAATAAATGAAAAAGAAAACATAAAAAATGGGCCCTACATAGACTTTATTTATTTTATTTTATTTTATTTTATTTTTGCATTTAGCTACATAAACAGGCTAAAGCCCTTAAGTTGCAGCAGATAAGATTTTTTAAATGTTGTGTTCTATGTAAGCAAATTTTAGTTATTTTAACAATCTTTTTTAAATAAAAAGTTAAGAAAATTTGTCAGAAGATTTTTATAGTTTACAACAAAAAGAAATTTTTAGTCAATATTTTATGAGGAAATTATGCGTTTGAGAAAAAGGTCACTGGTTAATGCTCTCTGGGAGCAAGCTCCATGTTACTCCCTCCCCCAAAGGACATTCCAGTGACGTAGAAAAAAACTCAAACATTAGAATGATTTAATGTATCCGATTTTTCACGGATTATTTGCTTTAATTTTGCGTCAGTTGGTTGATGTGAGAGCGCGATTCTATCATCAAATAATGTGTTGTAAGTCAGCATGAGTCTATTGAAGACTGAATATTTTCCAATGTCTGTTCTGCTTTGTGTCGTTTTAAATACTTTTTGATTTCTTGTTGCACTATCTTGAGTGAATTTGAAGTGATGTAGGAATGTGCATGAGTCAATTTGATCATTGAATGACTTCGTAATAAACTTAACGTCGGCTAGTTTTCTTCTTGATTCCAGGTTCTCGATTTTCAGTAGTTTTTCGATGTCATCATAATTTATTTCATCTTTAAGATTCTTTTTCAGACATTTAAATGCGACAAATCTTAGAAATTTGTGTTGAATTCTGTTCAGTTTGGTGATTTGCACATTCGTATATGGGCACCAAATTACTGAAGCGTACTCGATGATACTACGAACCAAGCTGTTGTAAAGAGTGACAAATGTGATGGTGTCATTGAAATATTTGCATGTTCTGATAATGAAGCCCAGCATTCGGCGTGCCCTTCCACAAATTGAGTCCACGTGATCGTTAAAGTTCAACTTGTGATCATAAATAACTCCCAGATCTTTTATTGAGTTTTTTCTTTCAAGTTCATGACCGTCGATCTTATAATTATTAAAGATTAAGCTCGATTGTCGTTTTGTAAAACTTGTTACAAAACATTTCTTCGCATTCAATGCTAAATTATTCCTTTTGGCGTAATCTATAAGACGATCAATGTTCTCTTGAAGTATTTTTATGTCCTTTCCGTTATTAATCTCTTTATAAATCTTTAAATCATCTGCGTAGATGGAAAATTTTATATCCTTGAAAATATTTCCAATATCATTAATAAAGATTGAAAAAAGAATTGGACCCAAATGAGAGCCTTGAACCACTGAAGATGTTACGTCGATGTCAGTGGATAAAAATTCTCCAAGTTGAACTTTTTGCTTCCTTTGCGTAAGGTAAGACTTGAACCATTTCAACATGTTTCCGTTAACTCCCATAATTTCGAGCTTTTCCAAAAGTTTGCAATGATTGACTNCGGCAAATGTTTAGGACTCTCCCGGTCTAAAGTATTTATTATATAAAAAAGATATCACGAAAAAAGTACAAGCTTGTTTAAGCACCTTCGCGCCTTATCTTTAAAAATTAAAGAAAAAAAGAAAGAAAAAGAAATTTACGATTTTTTTTTGTCAAAAATAAAGAAGAAAACCATTATAAAAGAAGAGATGAAACAATGATACAAGTGAAAAATAAATAAAACAGAGGAGAAACAGAAAGAAAAGCGACTTGAGCAAGAAATGAAATTGTGTGTAATTTTTACCAAAATCTGCCTTAACTTATATTTTCTTATATACAAAAAATGGAAAGTAACAAAATGATGATAACCTTAGGAAGAACGTAACTTTTTTCAAAAACGAAACTTTCGAGAAACACATTTTATAAGGAGTAAAAGGAAAGAGCTTTTGAGTTTTATTTCTGTACCTTCAATCCCTGTTGAATCCCCTTTTAATAAAAACCAAAATTTAAAATCATCAAAATTAAAAACTGAACGTCACAACCACAGCTCATGAAAATTTATTGAGCTCTTAATTTCAATTTATTTGTCATATTTGCATAAAAATTTATGCTGCAAATTTATGCTTTTATAATTATTTTTATTAAAATGTCACACTAATTTCTTTGTTGCTTCAAAAATCAAATTTTTAACATTAAACATACAGCAAAACCACCAGAAGAAAAAAATAATATGAAATAAGCAGTTTTATAAACAAACTCGCACCACTAATCTCTCTCAAATGGAATACCATAAAAATTAATGAAAAATAAAATGTAATCAATACAAGTTTCCGTTTCAAGAAAAACAGAAAATTATTATCAATTTATAATTTTTAAATTTCTTGAACGTTGTGAAAAAAAAAATCTTATCTAATATCAGAAAACATCGCCGAGTGTGTGATTTCAGACGCCGAGTGTGTGATTTCAGACGCCGAGTGTGTGATTTCAGACGCCGAGTGTGTGATTTGCACTCCCACAACTAACAATAGGAACAGAAATGCAATTTTTGGAAAATAAATCGATATTTTCTATTTCTTTATTTCTCCATTATACTTGCATGAACTTTAATTTTCTATTTTTGGAAAGAGTTTCATGATTTCAAAATAAAAAATGTTTTGTTGAATGCACACACAACGTTTAACCAGAAAAATGGCTCTGCGGACAACAAATATACAATAAAAATGATAACAATAACAAGAGAAAACCACTAACGAATGAAATAAGATAAATCAGCATCGCAACATCAAAAAAGAAGTTTTTATTGCATACTTCTATAAAATTAAACTTCTATAAAACTTCTATATTCAATTAAAATCAATAAAAAATTTATTTTTTTCCTTAGTAAGCTCTAAATACAATTTCTTTTCTCAATCGTTGTAAAAAAAATTTTCGCGAAGAAGCTTCAGTTTCTGCATTATTCCTTGTCGTTATAAATTAATACCTTCTTCTTCCTATTGTTTCTGATGGACACCTGATTTTTTCATTTTCACAATCATTCGTAACAAGCTGGAAACACTTTAACACTTTAAATCATACATTAATTATTAATAGAACGTTTCCAAAGTTGTTGACTTGATGAATTGTTTTGAAAGTTAGATTAAATGATGATGACGATGATTATAACATGTAATAATGTGAAGAATATGTACAAAAACGTCAAATTTCCATTCAGTATCACCATCAAGGCATCTCTACTTATAATCGCTGAAGAAATATTTGTTATTCTCGTTTGAAATATTTAAAGCATCAATGTGTTGCTAAAAACGAATAAATGACGTAATAAAATATATTGAAACATAAAAAAAAAAACAAGAATACCTCATTTCAAATAATTTTTTGTCCATGCAAGTGTCATTAAACAATTACAATCTTGCTTCAGCTAGAAAAACCTTCGTTCCTTTACATCAATTTGTTGATTTATTTGTGGTTTTGCAATGGAATAATTTTTGATGCGAATCTTGATTTTTCCCTCCTTTTGAGAGTTCAAACTCAATGGGTTCGATGATAGCAATAACAGTTTGTATTTCTTCGGAAAGGAAGTGATCAAACGATGAAACGTGAGGTGCACCAAGAGTTTCAAGAATCTTAAAGAAAAAATGTTGAAAACATACAAAAACATTTGATTTACACATGATTTCAACTTACTTTGTTTCTTTCTTTCTTAAATTGATAAAATTTATTCATTAAAACGGAATGTTTAAGCATTTTTGTTAAAGAATATTTTCATTTGTGATATTTTAATATTTCGCATGTTTACGATTTTATGATCAGCTGATTTTACTTCAAAATAATATTTGAAATTCTTAGAAAACCCTGAGATGTTAAAAGTAGCTTTTGAAAAAATACAAAACGTTAGGATTTTATTTCATGAACTTTTTCTACAGAATTTACGTTGAACATAAAAGAGATGAGATATTCACCAACTTCTTAGTTTGTGTTCCATGGTGAGAGTTTTTCGAATCGTGAACGAAATATTTGTCCGAGATAATTCTTGCAATCGTAGTGAGTGTGAATGTTTTCCTTGTGAAGTTCAGTCAAAATGTTTTGGACACATGACTTAAAATAAAGATCATTTTCATATCCTCTCATCAGGTCATTGAAGATCTTCTCATCGGTATAATTCATTAAACTTTTGAGTAAAATTATCACTGGAAGATATGACAAAATCTTTTTGTGACTGAACATAATTTTTGCTGTGCCATTATTAAGAAAGTGGGGAACATTATTAGTTGATGTATGATCCAGACTTGTTGTTTTTATCAGGATTTCATTTTCGCTGAAGAATTTACCTCGATTCACCCAAGTGATTCGTTTAAGAGAGAGCGGATAATTTCTCCTTGTCTTCAGAAATATTCGAATTAACTCTTCATTTCCTGTATGTACAAAAGATCCGTCCCAATCTGAATCATGTTCTTGCTTTTCAACCATCTCTTTTGGTGTGAATTTGTTGAGATTACATTACATGCGAGTGACTGAAATTTACCTAATTTATTTATTTGTTGTTTATTTCATTTTTAATTTACTTACTCGAATCGTAAGCTTATTCATGAAACGGTATGATGTTTTCTTGTTAAGAAAAAGTTTTTAGTATCACAGTTATAGATAAAATAATCGACTATTCAACAGCAGTAACTTTTGTTTAATCTTAATTTATCGTCACAAGAGTATTAAAAACTTTCCTCTTAAATAAATCAAGTAAAAAAAATTGGAAATATCCACATTAAAAATGTTTTAAGTAAAAAAGAAGAACGGGATTAACATTATTAGATGAGTTTACTTCCATTATTTTATTTGTTACTGGAACGTCATTAATATTTATAAATTTATTGTTATTATAACAGTAACATGTGTAATGTCCAATTCCAGATGCAATGTATGGAGGATCAAAATCTATTAAAAATTTAAAATCGAGTGAAACATCTTCAAAATAAAGTTGTTTTGGGATATTTTCTAGTGACAATCGAGATGAAACAATTATTATTACTAAATCTCCGAATGTAATTATTCTTTGGTTGTACAGTAAACCGCAAGAACAATATTTATGATTTTCCATTACCGAATTAATAATTGAATTTCTTAGTGAGGAAATATCATGAGAATTGTATACAACAGAAATTAATCTGTAGTGATTTGTTTTCTGACTGTTACAATGTTTGCAATGACACTTTAAAAAGCATGAGTTAACGCCGTTTAATAAAGGAGAAATAAACTCAGATGCATCTCCTTCCATCGAATGAGTTTCATGAAAATTTCTTTTGAAATAATGACGTGGGATAGCCGTAAGAATGTGATTNTTTTTGAACGACACATTTCACGAGATTATTGGCCACAACCAGAAAAGAAAAAGATAAATAAAAATCAATAATTTTCGTTTCCATTTACAGCTCGATAGTATGTGAGAAAAGTTTTGAAATTGATCTAAGATCTTGAAGGAAAAGTGAAGAAATTAAACTAGGAATTCTTTGTGTTTTTGATCCAGAAAAAAATCAATTTTTTAATTACTTTGATGGAGAAAACAATTCTGGAAATCAAAATTTTAATGACACGCTTAAGAAAATCTTGATTTCCCAACATATAGGGAGGGAGAACTTTTCGATGTAACTTGAATTATTCAGATTAATATTTAATCAAGAGCAATCTTCCAAACATCATCAGCTCTTTGATAACTAATTTATTTTATGTTTCGATTGATGTGTTCAAAAGAAAAATCTTTCGTTTTTCTTAAATAACGTTTTAGAGAAAAAGTTTAGATAAAGAAAATTTAAAAATTGTTTGGAAAACCCAATTGGAAATTAAATGTATGTAAAAATGTACAAAGAAAAACTTGTTTAGGCATAAAAGAAAACTCTAAATTAAAGTTTAGGCCAATGTTTGAATGAAACAAAATATTGCGAATACTTCAAAAAAAAAGTGGGGAAATGAAAAATGAAATGAAAACTCTGAGAAAGAACACATCTAATATCGACAAACAACATTTGTAAAATTGTAAAATAACATTTTGGAATGACTCAAAATTTTTATAACTGATGAAAAATGAAACAAATTTTTTGTAAAATTTCGATTGTAAAAATTGTTAAAAAAGAAGCGTACAAAATTAGCAAGCGTGTCATTGATTCAAAAATTTTCTACTCTGAAGGAAAAAAATGCTTCGATAGTTGATAGCCGTTTGGTGTAAAATCTAATTATCCAAGATGAATCATGAAGTAAATATTTTCGTGAAAGAAAATTATTTCTTGATAGTTAAACTGCCTAAGTTTCCCAATAAAACCAGAAAGATTAAAGCGTTTGGTTCAGAAATCTTGAAGCAAAAAACGATGATGAAAAATCCATGCAAAATTTACTACTCGAGAATCTTTGAAGAAAAAAAACTTAAATAAAATCCATCAAGAATTTCGAAAATGAATTTGTAAAAAGTGAATCATTTTGTTTGTATAAAATTTTGAGAAGTGAAAAGCTAAGTCATGGAATAATGAAAAATTAATTTTAATTATTTATTATAAAATTAATATTAAAGAAAATCGTATGGAAAAATTAATAAAAAAAAGTAAAATTACGTAGGTATATTATCAGCTGTAAACTTTGATTTTAAAAACACTAAAAATTACTAATAAATTAATTGATAAACAAATCTTTTCAATTGTTTATTTTTAAGATTTTCAGCTTAGTTTTTGAGTTTTAATGAGTGGTGGCTGTTTGATTCACATGCTGCTGCTATACAATTTAAAGGAAGTCGTACACCAACTGAGTACACAGATAGCTAGTTTAGCTTAAAATAAAGCCAAACAAATGGAAATTTGCCTTGAAAACAGGGCTTGGAGCATTTCTTCAATGCTTTCACAAAAAAACTCAACAACTGGGGGATACAAGGGGAAATTTGAAAAATACCATCTGGGGGATACCAAGGGGAGAAAAAGCACCGTAAGTCGAATATCTTCAAAGCAAGTCGGACTTTCTTTTTAAACCGTCTAAAAGGAGGAACTCCACAATGCATAAAACAATTTTCCATTTTACGCCAAATTAAGCTTTAATTAATTATTATTTCTCCAAACTTAAGTTAATTCTATTTTGTACATTGGTTGGAAAATATATAATATGGGTCAAATAACAAGAGATGAAAAGCAAGATCAACTTCGTTTGGAGGATTTCCTCAAATATGCAACAGATCATGCATATTCAGATGAAATTATGATGAAAGTATGTTCTTTTGGCAACCAAACTATTCATTAGGTGAATAAAGAAAATGAAAAATGAAGTTTTTCCGACTTGATTCATTGCATATGCCAATTACATACACAAGCGTGATATTTCATTTTAACGCTTTTCTCCGATAGAACACGAAGATTTCTTTTTACTCTCTTTTAGATAAGTAGATTTTCTGTTTCTTTCCATCACAACAGTATCATTTTGCTTTTTGATACAATGATCACGAGTCTTATTGACTCATCTTAAATAAATAATTGAATAATTTTCCAGCAAATTTAATTCTTTAAAAAATTATTTTTCATTTCGTAAAAGAAGAAAAACAAGAGAAAAATTGGAAAATATTCAAAAACTACGAAGAATTGTGAAAAGAAGAAAAACATTAAAATATAATTTATTGCAGTTTTGAATTGCTTCGAATGTGGAAGCAACTTAAAACACCTTCCAGAATATTTTAGATTTTCGTTTTGCACACAAGATCGCATTACACAACAGGTATGCTAAAAATAACAGTGAAACGTTTAATGATCTATTTTTCACAGTGAAATAAAACGTGGGGTGTAGTATCTGGTTTGAAGAAAAAAGTGCGTGTGGAAAAGAATTTTTAGAATGGAGATTATTAATGTTTTTTTAAAATTTATTCCCGCAACCGCCAAAACATCTCAGACACAGTTTCATTGTTACGGTCATGCTTTAATTGCTAAATCAAAATAGAAAAGTATTTGTTTCGCATCATCACATAATATATGAACTTATCCTTAGACAAACATCTTTTCTCTAATCTTTCTTTTATTTTTAGCGTGCAATCTCATTGGAAATGCCAGTAAACAAACATGATTCATTCAAGTCTGTGGAAATAGCGGAAGCAACGAGAACTGATGGGAACAAATGTTATGTTGAAAAGAACTTTTTCGATGCATTATTGAAATACAACGAGAGTCTTTGTTATGCAGTACCCGACAGTGAAGCTGTTGGTCTCGCTTATGCCAATCGATCAGCAGTTTACTATGAAATGAAACTCTACGCAAAGTCTTTGAAGAATATTGAACTTGCAAGAGCCAACGGATATCCTAAAAAGAATCTTTCGATTCTCGATAAAAGAGCTGAAAAATGTCAGCAACAACTTGTGACAAGAAATGAAGTAAATGGAGATGAAAATATTTTTGATTTCATTAAATTGTCACACGAAGCTAATCCTAAGGTTCCATTTGTTGCCAATTGTCTTGAATTGAAGAGAAGTGAGAAATATGGTCGTTTCATCATAACAAACGAAGACCTGAAAGTTGGTGACATTGTTGCAGTTGAACCTCCACATTTCAAAATCATTAAAACAGATTCAAGATATGAAAGTTGTGAAGAAACAAATCGATATCAAAGATGCGTTTTTTGTCTTAAAGATAATCTTATGGATTTAATTCCATGCGAAATATGTTCTTCAAGTAAGTTTTACTTAATTAAAAGTTAATAAATTTAAGCTTGATTTTTATATTTCCAGCAATGTTCTGTTCCGAAGAATGTCTCATCAAAGCTCAAAATGATTTCCACTTCTTTGAGTGTCCAATCATTGATTTACTTCTTAAATCGGGTATCATGCAAATGGCTATGCGAACTTTTTTTCAAGCACTGTCAATGTTTGACGGGTCGATTGATGCACTAGAAAACTTCTTGAAAAAGAACGAAAATCTTTCAGCATCTGTCTACGACTTCAACTTCAACGACACTGATGACAGATTGACGGCGAAAAATTATCTTCTTTCATTATATTGTCTTGCACGAAGTGACAACGTTTGTTTAAATGATTCACCTGAAAATATTTTAAAAGTTCACCCACTTAAAAGTGGTTTATGGAAATCTCACGAAGATTTCATAGTGAAATTTGTCAGAAGAATTCTCCAAGTTGGAGATTCCAATTTTCATGGAATTTGCGGATGGTCGATAAAGAAATATGAAAATCAATTTCCTCAGATGATTGGCATTGGATGTTATCCATTCATTTCATTAGTAAATCATAGTTGTGCACCAAATGTCAATCGAATTTATGTAGAAGATAAAATGATTTTACTTGTTGAACGTCCAATTGCGAAAGGCGAACAGCTTTACGATTGCTACAAGTGAGTTATGATTCTTATGAATAATTATATAAATAAATAAATAAAAAAATTATTACAGAACAACATTTTATACGCAACCACGTCGTGAACGTCAAGAAGTGCTTTTGAACGAATATTATTTCTCTTGTGATTGCATTGCATGTTCAAATGATTTTCCAATCTTCCAACGCTTAAAATCATTTGACAAAAAAATTTACAAAATTGCAAAGAAGGGTAAAGATGAACTTTCAAAACTTGATGTCGATCATGCGAAAAAGAGATTTAAAGAATATTGCGATATCATCCAGAAGCATCATAAACAAGCATTTCCATCATCAGAAATTGTCGTTCTGCAAGAATGTATTCTTCAATGTGTATCGATAGTCATAAAGCCGAAATTTGTTTTTCCTTGAGATTTGAAGCTTTTCTTTCTATGTAGATATATTTAAATAATTCACGGTAATAACTGCACCTGTTGAAACTGTTTTATTTTTGTTTTATTGAACCAACTTGGTTGCCAAGGAGCTTTTTTGTATGTTCCATTTGTTGTTAGGTTTTTCTATCACTTCAATATTTTATAAATAAAGAAAGAAGGAAAAATTACAAAAAGGATTTTAATTTCATTTTGGTGTTTAGATATTTGAAAATGACATTGCCAAATCTTTTTCTTTTGATCAATTTGGGATGCGAAATGCTTTACATCATTGATCAAAGATTGACAGCTCAAAATATTGCTAAAGACAAGTCAGCGCTTGGTAATGTTTAAATATTTTTTATGTCTCAATTCATTGATTATCAATTAATTTTACTTCATAGTTCTTCGAGAAGTGACGATGGCTCTTCTATCTCCACAATTCTTTCAATACATAATGACAACTTTCACCGAAGAATTGATTTCAATTTCTCAAGTGCGGATTCTTTTGGCCGACATTGCTTGTTGTTCGCTCATGCGACTTGACATGCAATCACTCGATAAGCTTCTTGATCTTATGATAATGGTGTTCAAGTGGCAGATGTTTCTGTTGTCAAATCCCGATGAACTTCTAAACGTCACATTCCGACACTTAAATGGAATTGGAAAATTGATTCCAGAACAAGGAAAAATGATTTCAATCGATCAAGCCAATCAATTTTTCTTTACTCATTGGAATGAGTTGGGCGAAGAACAACGTTGTGGAACTGTGAAGAAACTTCAAAAGTTCTTGTCACCATTCAATGTCAGAATTTCACTTCTGATGAGAATGAGACTTCAACTTCGTGACGGAAGTTTCGTTGATAAAATTACTGGATCTTCGAATGATTTCTTCCGTTATTATGTGAACAACCTGGGCGAGAATATTTATGAAAAAATTAATCATTTTCCACAATGTCAAATCGTTGAAGCAAAATCGAGTAAGGAGAACATGAAAGGTGAAATTGATTGTTTGTTTAGACAATTTAACGTGATGATAACAGAAGATCAAGATGAAAAAGAGACTGCAAAAGCTTCAAATGAGATTCAAAATGAAGTAAAAATTCAAAACACAACTTTGGACGAATTAAGGAAAAAATGTAAATTTGATGACATTGAAGAAGCACCACCGGTTTATGAAGATAATTTTGAAGAGTTGCTAAGCATGATAGATGGAAATTCAAAATGATTTAACTATATTTCAAAACGCAGATTTATTGTGCTTTAATTAACAATTAATCTTCAAATGTCAATCCGACCTTAAGGTATTCCTGGCATAAAATTCCTCAAATGAAGAGCCCCGCACCACATTCATGGAATCTCATGGAATTTATTGTGCTTATAGAACTAATTATCAATAATAGCTAATTAGAATGGAAATATGGAATTAAACATAACAGCTTTTAAACTTGGCAACGAGATTCTTAACTTCTTCTGTATTTCCATTTTGTAGTATTTTCGATGTTATCTTACGTTTCAATGTTTCAGCTTCCATTTGCTTAGAAATCTGCAAGGAAATAATGAATAAGAATAGAAGTTGATATATTTAAATATTCTACCTCATGTGCACGACGAATAATCTCCAATTGAATTCCAGCCAATTTCGCAGCATTGAATCCAAACGACTTCGGGCAACTTCCCGTTGTATATTTGTACAAAAATGTGACATTTTCTTTTGTGATATCATCAGAGTTTTCATTCTCAACCATACATGCCATGTGTCCCAGACGAATTCTTTCATCGCCATAAAAACTGTCGACTAAATTGTGGTAATGCGTTGAGAACAGAGTTCGGCATTTCATGTTGGCAAGGAAATTAGCGACAGATCGTGCAATTGCAGTTCCATCGTATGTTGATGTACCACGACCAAGTTCATCTAACAAAACAAGGCTGTTGTGTGTACAATGCTTTAAGATCAACGATGTTTCGTTTAATTCCACTAGGAAAGTTGATTGATTTGCCATGATGTTGTCATTAGCGCCAAGTCTTGTGAAGATTCGGTCAACAATTGATAATTCCATGGAATCAGCTGGCACCATGCATCCAGTTTGTGCCATAATACATAGCAAAGCAACTTCTCGCATCAATGTTGACTTGCCACCCATATTTGGACCAGTGATGAGTTCGAAAAATGCTTTTCCATTGCTGGGAATGTCAATACCATTCGGAATGAAATCATCAGCGTTCATTAACGGATGAATTCCATTTTCAATCTTCAACAGACTTTTTCCTGCTGTTTCCGACATTTCATGAACTTCAGGAACGCAAACCACGTTTTGATTTCGAGCATATTCCGCAAATGCTGCCAAGACGTCAAGTTTCGCGACCAAACTTGCGATGGTTTTATATTTTGAGAAGTTTATTGAGAAGTTTCCAAAAACTTTTCTTGCAAAATCATTCAAACAATTTTTCTTCTGTTCTTCTAATTGTTGCATTCGCTTTAAGAAATCTTTTGTTTCATCAGTGACGTAACGTTTTAGTGGATCTTTTCCTTTCTTTGTACTTTCGAGTTGATACGAACTCGAAGCATTCTTTGCTTTCGATTCTGGAACTTCAATTTGATATCTTTTACGATCAGTTCCAAAGTACGACAACTTGCAACCGAAAATCTTTTCTTGTTCTTTCAAATACTCGCGAAGTTCAACTTCGAGTTCATCAATCCCGTCAAGAATTGAATCGTATTCGGGATCGGCGTTTTTTTCAGGAACTGCGAAGCCACTTTTGAGAGCAGCTTCGATATCAAACGCATTTTTAATTTTTGAGATTTCTTTTGACATATTTTCAAAATTTCCACCATTTTCCTTCGTTTGTGTGATTAACTTCAAAAGTTTCGAATTGCAATTTTCAAAGATTTTCGGTAAATCCATAATTAAATCCAAAGCTTTAAGAAGAGCAGCAAAATCAGAAATTCTGTTTTTTCCATAAGTTTGAGTTTCATATAAAATAGCTCGTGAGTCGGGATGATCTTTCATCGCTTCACGATTACCAATCTGATGAATTTGTGCAAGTGAACGTTCCAAGTCAATGTTCAAACAACTCAAAATTCCTCGACAATCTTGAAGAAGTTCAACATTTCCATAAAGCTCCTTAACAGCTTCTTGTCGTCCTCGAATTTCCTTAATTTCTGTTGTGGGTGTGCAGAGATATTCCATCAATAATCGCTTACCGAATTGTGTGCAACAAAAATCCATTTTAGAGAACAACGAAGCATCCTTTCCGACGACATTCAAGTTGCTTAGCGTAATGTTATCAAGAACCATTGACTTTTGATAATTTTTCTTATTCTTCAACTCCACTTCCATCGTTTGATCGGGTGGAAAGTAACGTTTGAAAGTCGCAAGAGACAAAATTTGTTTCACCAAAAGATTTCTTTCCAAATACCACAGACAACCACCCAAAGCTTTCAATGCCAATTCACAACCTTCCAAAGGCTTTAAATGATCCTCTTGCATCTTCTTCAGACATTCAGGCCATTTATCGTCATTGCTGTAAATGTTTTCATACATATATTTGAGAGTTTTCTGTCCATTCCACATTTGCTTCTCATCTGTCAGTGGTTCCTTTAAAACATTCAAAGCTTTGATGATTTTCTCCGTATGCTGAGCTTTTTGTTTTCGATCGTGAAGTAATAAAACCGGCATGTAATGTGACAAAAGTGTGAGAAGCCTTGAACATTGTTGATCATCTTCGAATTCTCCAATCGTAAAATCGCCGATTGTCGTGTCAATGAAACAAATTCCATAACGACTTTGTGTTGGTGACACTTTTGATTCGGCAATTGTGAGCATGAAATGAGGATCTGACGAGATGTTCATCTTTTGTTGACCGCTTGTGAAGATTTGAGTACCTCGATCAGTGATTTGACAAACTTCACGTTTCATGACACGAGCAAATTTTCCTTTAGTGCCTTCACGTTTGCACCTTTCTTCCATCATTGCTAGAAAATTTAATTTAACATTTAAAAATTTGAGTTTAAAATTTTTCTCATTTCCTTACCAGGATTCTCTGTTTGTTCAACTCTTGCCACTTTATAGCCTCGTTCGACAAGGATTGATGCCATCTTTTCATAGGCAGATTCAGGAAAACCTGAGTGAGCATGATTATCCTTTCCCATGAATGTGAAGCCGAGTTCCTTCACACCAACAATCGCATCGTGGTGATAAAGTTCATAAAACTTTCCCACTTTGAAGAAGAAAATGCAGTCGAAATGACCAGATTTGAGTGTCCACTGAAAACGAATAAATTAATTGATGAAGTTGATTAATTAAGAAAAGCAATTTTACCCATTGAGCCATTGCTGGTGTCTGCTTTTCAATGAAATCTTGAGGTACATAAACAGTTCTTGGATCATAATCAGGATGATTTGGACGATTCTTATTTTTATCGCGAATCTTATCAGGCTGCAAAAAGGGAAGTTCTTCGTGCACCCACACTTTGTTTAAGTTATCAACCATCAAAAGTGCGTCTTTTTCGGCAGTAGCTGGTTCGGAATCTTTTTTACATGTTTCGGTCTTTTTAGAAACTTTTGGAGTTGGAAATTTGCTTTCAGTTTGACATTCAGTGAAAGATCTTTTAATTGTTTTCTTTACATCATCTGAACTGGATTTATTTAAGTCGGTATTTTCAGTGTCTTGATCCTCATCCTCAGAGGAATCAACAATGCGACGTTTCTTAGAAGGATTTTTGTTGATTTCTTCTTCATCGCTGGAATCTTGAAGTGATGAACGCTTGCCTGATACAAAATACTTAAAATTTTATCTACTGACAAGTAAAATGTAACTAACCAAACTCTAATTTCTTTCCTTTCAGAACTTTTGGGGTTTCTTCTTCGACTTTCAGCGAACTTTCTTTCAATTCCTCACTTTCAATATTTACAGGTGTTTTCGGAGGATTCTTCGTGAAATAACTGAACAAAGTGTTCTTTGGAGAAGGTTTTGGTGTTGTTTTCTTTTTATTTGACATGTCTAACTCTAATTTGATTTAATTTTTGCAAAGAAATAAAAATTTTGTGTTGCTGTCAACAAATTTTTCGCGCCTTGAGTGGGTTCGTCGTCCAATGTTGTCAAATAAATGTAAACAAAGCTGAACAAAAACATCCCCTTAAAGTTCTGCAACTGTTTATACATATTTTGTTATGTCGGTTCGCGCGGATTTGACCTTCCATACAAAACGCACATGAAAAATTTTCCGTGCACGAGATTTATTTCCGACCACGAGATTTCCGATAGCAGCGCCGCCAATGATTAAAACTCTAAAATAAATTCACGTTACTTCTTCTTAAAGAAGTTTCTTTTAAAGAGCTTCAAGCTTGGATTACGATAATTAGTTGGAAGGGACTGAAACTCAATAAAAGAAGACGTGGTGCTTTCCATTTTAACGTGTTGAATAAGAATTTTTTTTTGCGCGTCTTTTTCACAAATTTCTCCGTGTAAACATTTCGATGACAGCGCCACCACTGAAACTAGAGAAAGCAAAATCTTTGGTGAACCAAATATCGACAAAGAAATTTTATTAAGCTCGAACATTTTCTGCTTAAATTAACATTAATATCTAAAAAAAAATAACAAACCAAACGTTTATTAAGAATTATGGAAAATGTTTTATTCAGTTGCAAATTAATTTTTTACACTTAAGATTGTGAGATGCTTTGATAGTTATCAAATTAAACTTCTTTTAATGTTTATCGTGGTGGAAATCCTGGTCCACCAGGACGCATCATACCAGGAGGCATTCTTGGAGGCATTCCTGAATAAAATATATCATTAATTACTTCATCAAAACAATTAAGAATAAATGTCAACTTACCCGGAACCATTGGTGGTGGTCCTCGCATTGGTTGTGGAGCCATATGAGCAGGTGCACTAAAATAAAAATTCGCAATTTGAAAAATGAACCGAAAAAAGGAATCAATTTTACTTACGGCCCTCCCATTCCTCGTACTGGTCCTTGAAGTCCTGCTGGAACTGCAGAAATCGGTGCTGGCATTCCACGACCTACAAATATTTTTTTTAATTTATTACGAAATCGATTGGAGAATTAATTAATTTTACCAGCAGCACGTCCAATGCCGGGTCCTGCTCCTGCAATAGGAACTCGAGGTAAACCTTCCTCTGGTGGTGGTGGACCTTCAACGGTTAATGAAACTATGTTTTCTCCGCGAAGCAAAACAAATCCTAAGACTCGCTTTTCTTCACGATCGGGAAGTTTAGTATTCTTCTGTTTAATTTTTCTGAATTCTTCACAATCTCCTAAAATAAGATTCATGTGTTTATCAAATGCCTTGAATGTACCGATGAAAGTTCTTGAATCCTGAAGTACGATTCTGACTCGGTAGTTCAGGTGTTGGATCATCTTATTATTCTTTCCGATAGTCTGAAAATATGGCAAGGTATCATTTGATTAGTATTGTTGAAAAAAAAATGTTTTGATGTAAACAATTAAAATCGTAAAACGAAAAATTAACCTCAACCGCTTTTTAGCAGTTTATAACAAATTTCAACGAATTCTAATTACCATATTGATCGGGATGATAGCTTTATAGCTTTTGAAATAGATAAGATATTAAACACAATTTAATAAGAGTGAATTATTTAATTTTTTGTTTCGGCTTAGAAATGAAATAAAGCTTTTAACTTGACCGGTTTTTACGGATTAGCAAGTTGAGAAAATTTTCAACTTGTTGTTTGCTGAAAACACTTTCAAAGTGCTGAATACATGCTGGTTACCCATGGAAACTTGCAAGACGGGTTTTTGTTTATGGCGTCCCGAGATAATTGCCTCGTGCCCCGACGGTTCGCGCGGATTTGACCTTCCATACAAAATGCACACGGAAAATTTCTCCGTGTTCACAAATTTCTCCGTGTACACATTTCGATCGTAGCGCCGCCACTGAAACTATTCGTCTACGCTCTCAGATTTTCATAAGTTTACTTGCAACTCTTTTTGGTTTAGAAAAAAAAGTTTTTTTCAGGTAAGATCGAGTTCTCGTTAGTAAAAATAAAATATTAATTTACTAGCGAAAATCTCGTACCTTTGCAGGTCTTCGCCTTCTTTTTCTACATCAATAACTTCTTAGTTATTGTTTTTCGAATTAAATATTAAGTGTGGCTGAAAAACAAGACAGTTTCAATGATCAAGGCAAAATAATTTTTTTCTTATTTTTATAATAGTTTTAAATCGATTTCGTATCATTTTACATTGTCAACGTTTGGTTAATGCTTTTATCTTTCATTCAACAGCAAGTCCTGAACGGATAGACCAAAACGACAAAATAATGCCATCGGCCATCAATTCTGGAACTCAACAACAAATGCATCATGGATCAGAGGAGCGTTCAAATGAAGAGTGTGGGATTCGTGATGTTTGGCGTCATAATTTAGAAGAAGAGTTTGTTCTCATCCGCAAAGTCGTCAATAAATATTGTTACGTTGCAATGGACACTGAATTTCCTGGTTAGTTATGGTGTTAATTATTTTTTTGTTTCATAATTAATCGAAAATTATATTTAAGGTGTCGTTGCAAGACCGATTGGAGAATTTCGTTCAACAGCTGACTACCAATATCAACTACTTCGTTGTAATGTAGATCTTCTCAAAATCATTCAACTCGGCTTAACATTCATGGATGAAGATGGCAACACGGCTCCCGATTTTTCAACATGGCAATTCAATTTCAAGTTTAGCCTCACGTAAGATCACCACAGACTTATGAAATTAAATCATTAGTAAACTATTAATATTGTAGCGAAGACATGTACGCTCAAGACTCAATTGATTTGCTACAAAATTCCGGAATTCAATTTAAAAAACATGAGGATGAAGGAATTGATCCATTAGAATTTGCTGAAGTTTTGATGACATCGGGAATTGTGTTGATGGATAACATAAAATGGCTCAGCTTCCATTCAGGATATGATTTTGGATACTTACTCAAAGTACTAACTGATCAAAATCTTCCAGCCGACGAAAGCGATTTCTTTGAATTATTGCGTATCTACTTTCCAACGATTTATGATGTCAAGTATTTGATGAAATCTTGCAAAAATCTTAAAGGTTTGTATGAAAATTTATAATTGATTATTAATAATAATTAATTTGTTGTAGGTGGTTTGCAAGAAGTTGCAGAACAACTTGATATCAGACGCATTGGTCCCCAACATCAAGCAGGTTCTGATTCACTTCTTACCGGAATGGCCTTCTTTAAAATGCGAGAAGTAAGTTTGAAAAACATTTCAAAATTCATTCACAAACATAATCTTTGTTCTCTTTCAAGATGTTCTTCGAGGATAACATTGATAACGACAAGTATTCAGGACATTTGTTTGGATTGTCATTTAATCAAACAGATCGCGCTTTACCAGCAGAATAAACATTATTCAAACCCTTTCTAACCCATCTTTACATCAATTCACCATTTAAAACATAATAATAATAAAAAAAAGAGAAAAATGAAACGAAATTTCTTTTGAAAACAATTCAAAAGAATGTGAGTAGAACATCATAATATATTCGTTAAAGAAATCTTTTCGATACATTAGATATTTCAAATAAATAAATATGCTGCTTCCCTTATTCTTGAAAACTATTCTCTTACTAGTAGATATGAAAACTTTGAAGAAGAAAAAATAAAATATAACCGCGGGAGGATTCAAAATGAAGTATCTGTCACGTTAGAAGTAAAATCTTGAAAAATTGAAGAAAATACTTAAATACAATACACTTTTCTTTGTCCGCTTGTATGCAAAAGAAAATTAATGAAAACAGCAAATAAAGTATGAAATATAACTCATAAAAAAATTGACAATTATTTTGCTTTTAGACCGTTAACTTAAATAGGATATTTACCTACATAGGTTGATTTTAAATGATTCTTTTCTAAAAATCGACAAAAATAAAATAAGATTGCAAGATTAACGGATATTTATATTTTGAACTGTTAGTCGGACAGTTTAATGCTTTATAAATTTCAAAATTGAGTTAGCAATTGAGGAAATTTCGTAGGAATCTCGGTAGTCAGCAATTAAAGAGTCATCAAAAATTCTAAAAGAAATAAATAAAAGTTTCTAAATGGATAAACATCCGCCAGATTTATATATTTTCAAAAATTAAACACACCAGTAATTAAAGTTAAAAAATATCAATTGTTGCTTAAAAAAATTTAAAGTAGGTTTTTGAAAGTTGTTTTGTTTACTATTTTTATAAAAATGCAATTCAAATGAATGTTTTCTCTACAGAAATGTCACAGAGCAACATTGTCCCTGTAAAACTTCTCAAAATTGGTACTTATGAAAAAGAAGATATAGAAATTGTAAGATTTTAATTTTAACCGCCTTTTCTTTGATGTTGACAATAATTCTGATCATTTTATACAAAAGTGGTGTACATCGAACAGCATTACATTTCCGATCACTGAAAAGATCAATGTAGAAATAAGAAAACAAGAAGTATCGAGTCTAAAGCTTGATCAAGAATGTAATAAAACTTTCAAACTGTATTTGCGTCCATCAAAAATCAAGGAAATCTCTGAATGCTTACCTGAAGGTAAAATTTAATTTCTTGTCTCTCAAATGAAGAAGATTGTCATTTATTTATATTTCTTCAGGTTACACTTTTTCCATACCAAAACAAATAGGATTTTTCATAGAACTAAAAGCAGATGAAACAGAGGATCAAAATAAAATCTACATCGATAATATATTTAATTCGTTGGAAAAGAATTCCCAAGCCTTGGATTCTTTACAAGATATTAATAAAAGTATTGTTGACGATGATTCTTCTGATGAATATCTTCCTCCACATCATAAGAAATCAAAAAGTCCAAGACACAATAAAGTGAAGAATAAAATGCTCAATCAGAATGAAATTGAATCAATTCGTTCATTGCGCTCAGAACGCAGAAGAAAAAATGTTAAAAATTCATCAAACAAATTTTCAATGGACGATTTTTATGAGGGAGATGATATTCCACAACAACTTCTTTCTGATAATGAACAAATGCTAGATGTTTGTGATGATAAGACTGATCATAAGGCTGCTATGTCAATTCTTGATTTTTATGATGATGCTAGAGAATTGCTTAATTATAGAAATACTTTGATATCAATGGAAGATTACAAATCACTTCAATATAGTGGCTTACTGACAAATGGTGTGATTGACTTTTATCTGCAATATGTTTATCACGAACTTTTGTCAGAGGAAATGCAAGCAAAAATCCACATCTGTAGTGTCGATTTTTACTCATCATACGCAATAGATCCGAACTTTTCAGGGTGGAAGAGCGATGGAAGTAAAGCTGTTGATAAACGCTATAATTTTGTCAAAGACATTCCATCGAATCAATTTCTAAATTTTTTTGAAAAAGATTTCATCGTTTTTCCATGTAATGTGAGGGAACATTGGCTACTGGCGATTGTTTGCTATCCGAAATTAAATGGTGTTTTAAGAATCGAAGACGGCGTTCGTGTAAGCCTGGAAGAAGCAAAACGTAACATTAAAGATCCGTCAGCTGGAAAACCAGTAAAGCAGTCTTGCATTTTGATCTTTGATTCAGTGAAAAAAAGTGCCAGATCAACTGTTGTTATCCAACACCTTCGGAACTTTTTTGTCTCGGAATATAAAGCTAAATATGGTCGTTTGTTTGAGTTTTCTGCAGTTAATCTGTTTGGAGCTAGCTTGAAAGTAAGTAATAGATTTTTGCTGACTTTATAAAAATAATCTTGATAAATTAATTTTTATTTTCCTAGGTTCCTTACCAAGATAATGCAACAGATTGCGGCCTTTTCCTTTTGGAATTCTTTGAACATTTTTTCATTAAATCACCAATTGAAGATTATCGTTTACCTCTTCAGTTAGATAATTGGTTTGATTCCGACATCATATTAGACAAACGGGAACAAATAGCGACTGTGATCAAAAGTTTGATGGTGACACTTCATCCAGGTCAGGATATTCTTTCGGAACTTCCTCCTCTGAAATTTCACGCTGATACAATGGATATAGAAACAATAAATTTAGAGGAAGATAAGAACCTCGTCAGCAATAATAATGAAGAAACATTCAATAATAATAACGACTTTAATGTTATTGATAAACATAAAAGTGAAGAAAGCGATACGCTGCTGACAGTTGAAGATGCAAATGCACAGGAATAATTTCACAAATTTTTTCTTCATTGATTGAGAACCTAAGGATTTAACAATATTTTCCTTAATTATTAGAGCTTTTTTTCTTAAATTCATTTCAAGTTTTTCTATTCTGTTTATTAAATATAAATTCTAAAGAGATTGTTCTATTGGAAAATAAAACAATTGAAGAAAAGTATAAAATATGTTCATACTTGACGTTTATTTTACTATGGTTCAAGACCCCAAAGCAAAATGATAAATATTTTTTTGAAGTTATTGAACAATACTCAAAGAAACTAAAAAAATCGTTACAAATTCAAAATAAAATTCAGCGGTATATGCAGGCGGTGACGTTTCAGCGGCGCCGTTGTTATGTGTTATCATTAAATTTCATTCCAGAAATAAAGAAAAAGTAAATTTTTCAGTATAAAACTGCATTTAAAACCAGCACTATAGGACTATAATTACTCATAGTAAGTTGTATTATAACTATAAAATGCATATTTTGTCGGATGTTTGTTTATTTGCTGCAAAACATGAAATCAGGATGACGAGTAAAAAAAAATGACGAAGTCGAAATTAGAAAACGAAATCTAAATATAAAATAACCGATGAATGCAATCGTGAGGGAATAATGAATACTTAGTTGCATGAAGTAATCGATTTGCATCATTCAAACAGTGACTTTGAGAAATTCAGAAAGCTTTCGTCTTCAATTATTGATTTTTCGCTTGTGCAACATCCAGGATAAGTTCCATAATGATTCCTATAGCCGCTTTTCAGTTAATACATTCCATAATTGCATGAAATGAATAGTGATAATTAAAAATGTCTGCAAATTTGTAATTCTTTTGTTTTAGGATAAAAGCATTCGAACCGAGTCACGGTATGACGGACAGCAAATACTTTACCACCACCAAAAAGGGTGAAATCTTCGAACTGAAATCCGAATTAAACAATGACAAAAAAGAGAAAAAGAAGGAAGCAGTGAAAAAGGTCATTGCAAGCATGACAGTAGGAAAAGATGTTTCAGCTCTTTTTCCAGATGTTGTTAATTGTATGCAGACAGATAACTTGGAGTTGAAAAAGCTCGTTTATTTGTACTTGATGAACTATGCGAAATCTCAGCCTGACATGGCCATCATGGCAGTCAATACTTTTGTTAAGGTAAAAAGTGTTTAAAACAATTTCTAGAAAATTTCATTATTTAATTTCTTACTTAGGATTGTGAAGATTCAAATCCACTCATCCGTGCTTTAGCAGTGAGAACAATGGGATGCATTCGTGTTGATAAAATCACTGAATATCTTTGCGAGCCATTGCGGAAATGTCTGAAAGATGAAGATCCATATGTTCGCAAAACAGCAGCAGTTTGTGTCGCGAAACTTTACGACATTTCAAGTTCAATGGTTGAGGATCAAGGTTTCCTCGATCAATTGAAAGATCTTTTGTCAGACTCTAATCCAATGGTTGTCGCAAATGCAGTTGCAGCTTTAAGTGAAATTAACGAAGCTTCAGCATCAGGACAACCACTTGTCGAACTCAATTCCGCTACTATTAATAAACTTTTAACTGCACTCAACGAATGCACTGAATGGGGTCAAGTCTTCATTCTCGATTCTCTTGCTAATTACACGCCGAAAGATGAACGCGAAGCTCAATCAATCTGTGAACGAATAACGCCACGTTTAGCTCATGCAAATGCAGCTGTTGTGTTGAGTGCTATTAAAGTATTGATGAAGTTACTTGAGATTTTATCATCTGACAGTGACTTTTGTGCCACATTGACAAAGAAGTTGGCTCCACCACTTGTCACTTTATTGTCATCCGAACCAGAAGTTCAATACGTCGCTTTACGAAACATCAACTTGATCGTACAAAAACGTCCCGACATCTTGAAGCACGAAATGAAAGTCTTCTTCGTTAAGTACAACGATCCAATTTATGTAAAGTTGGAGAAATTGGACATCATGATTCGTTTGGCAAATCAAAGCAACATCGCTCAAGTATTAAGTGAACTCAAAGAATATGCAACAGAAGTCGATGTTGATTTCGTACGAAAAGCTGTTAGAGCGATTGGTCGATGTGCAATTAAAGTCGAGCCATCGGCTGAACGTTGTGTGTCAACATTACTTGAATTAATTCAGACGAAAGTCAACTACGTTGTGCAAGAAGCAATTGTCGTCATTAAAGATATTTTCCGTAAATATCCGAATAAATATGAGAGCATCATCAGCACATTATGTGAGAATCTTGACACATTGGATGAGCCAGAAGCACGAGCATCGATGGTTTGGATTATTGGGGAATATGCTGAACGTATTGACAATGCTGACGAGTTATTGGACAGCTTTTTGGAAGGTTTCCAAGACGAAAATGCTCAAGTTCAATTGCAATTGTTGACAGCTGTCGTCAAATTGTTCTTGAAACGACCAGCTGACACTCAGGAACTCGTACAACACGTTTTATCACTTGCTACACAAGACAGTGACAATCCTGATCTCCGTGATCGTGGTTTCATCTATTGGCGTCTGTTATCAACTGATCCAGCTGCTGCGAAAGAAGTTGTCTTGGCTGATAAGCCTTTAATTTCCGAAGAAACTGATTTACTCGAACCGACATTGTTGGATGAACTTATCTGCCACATAAGTTCATTAGCGAGTGTTTATCACAAGCCACCGACAGCTTTTGTCGAAGGAAGAAGTGCTGGTGTCAGGAAGTCACTTCCAAATCGTGTTGCCGAAAGTGATTCGAACAATCACCATGAAGCTACTGTCATTCCAAATCAAGAATCTCTCATTGGAGATTTACTTTCAATGGACATTGGAGCACCAATGCCACCAGTAGTTCCATCAGCTGCACCTACAAGTAATATTGATCTTCTGAGTGGTGGATTGGACATTTTATTAGGCGGTGGACCGCCAGCTGCCGATCCAATCGGCACTACGGGTTTACTTGGTGATATCTTCGGACTTAACACAACCACCAACACAATGGTATCAGTTCCGAAGATCACATGGCTCCCAGCTGAGAAAGGAAAAGGTCTTGAGATTCAAGGAACATTTGCGAGAAGAGGTGGACACGTTTTCATGGACATGACATTTACAAATAAAGCGATGCAAGCAATGAATGGTTTTGCTATTCAATTGAACAAAAACAGTTTCGGTTTAGTTCCTGGTGCGCCACTTCAAGTTCCATCTCTTCCACCTTCGCAGACTGCTGAAGTTTCACTTCAATTGAATGCTACTGGGCCAGTTCAACGAATGGAGCCGATCAACAATCTTCAGATTGCTGTTAAGAACAATGTTGATGTGTTTTACTTTGCTTGCTTAGTTCACGGTCACACGTTGTTCGCTGAAGATGGACAATTGGATAAGAGAGTCTTCTTATCAACATGGAAAGAAATTCCAGCTGCCAATGAAGTTCAATACAACTTACATGGAATTGTTGGCAATGCTGATGCTGTTGCTGCTCGAATGACTGCAAATAATGTCTTCACAATTGCGAAAAGAAATGTGGAAGGTCAAGACATGTTATATCAGTCACTGAAGCTGGAAAACAATGTTTGGGTGTTGCTTGAGTTGAAATTGGCACCAGGAAGTTCCGAAGGCACACTCAGCTTAAAATCAAGATCTGTTGAAGTTGCGCAAATGATTTTCACAGCTTATGACATCATCATTAAATCTTCTTAAGCAGAAAAATTCTTTTTTTTATTATTATTGTATTTCTTGCACTATTAATGATAACATTTAGCATATATCTATGTATGTAATCTATGTTGGAATGTGAGACAAGATTTGTGTAGCAACTTAGTTTTACCAACAACAATTTATTATCTTATCGCTCGAGTTTATTGATTATTCGCAAGAAACAAAAAATATTCCAATAAAACTGTTGTAATCTTCAATTATTGAAAGTTTTTTTCCTTTAATACTTTAATCTTGATATTTTGAGGAAGAAATTAAACTTTTATTGTTTTATTGTTTACCCATTCAGGAAGCAGTCTAATCTAATCTTGAAATTATCAACATTTTGAGAAAGGAATTAAAATATAAATTTTTTCTTTTTATTTCGCCAGTTTAATTGTAGATTTTGACAGAAAAACGTAGCATGAAAAATATTTTCTTACTTCTTTTAATTCTTTACAAAACTTTGGCAAAAGAAATTGATCTGAATGAGATTTGTCGAGGAATTTTCTTTGAAGCAGTGTCGAATCCAAACAATTCTAATCAATTCTTCACTTGTGTTCAGGGAAAGGGAACAATTGTTGATTGTTCACAAGAAGATGAAATATTCGACCCATTGCTAGTTGCTTGTGTGCCTCCACCACCAACACCTGAAGTTCTCTGTTATGAAAAAGGTTTTGGATGGTTTCCACATAACGATGATTGCACGCTTTACATAGTTTGTGAGTTTTCGAGGCCAATAATTCGAAGATGTCCCGTAAATACGCTTTTCAATCCGTCTTTGCCTGGATGTGCTTCTGGGAATGTTGAAACATGCACACTCGACGATATTCCTATAGTCACTACGACGATAAGAACAACAACAATAAGCTCAAATGATATAAATGTAAGCTTCGTTTGCCCCAGCAGTGGATCAGGCAATATTCCTTATAAAAACGACTGCTCACGATACTACGAATGTGTCTTAGGAATTCGAAACCCACGAACTTGTTCTGATGGTGAAATATTTGACGTCGTTACAGGAAGATGTGATGATCCCGACATATCTTTATGTGCTGAAAATATTCGATGCACTTGATTGCACTGAAAGTTGGTGTCGTTGAATTTTCTTATCAATTTTTTTATTTATTTATCTTCTAATGCAATAATCTAAGTTGGCTTTATATAAAAATTAAAACCAGTTGAAAGTTTCTTTCTTCTTTTGTTTATTTATCTTTATTTTCGGGGTTTCTTTGTTCAAATAAATTTTAAAAAATGGTGTTCGAAACGAAGGAACAAATAATCAAGCGAACTAAACTTGCTCGGTACCGTTTTCGAGTTCTCATACGAAAAGCTTGTTTAAACTCTCGTTGGCTATCAGTAAATAAATTTCATTTGCAAATATTTTTAAGAGAAAATGAGACAATTTACAGGTGTTGGAAGACACGAAGCTTGGTGACAATGTTTTGAAGAACATCACAATAGCTCTGAAAAGATCGCAACAGAAGCAAAGCGTGTTAACGGTTCATGACAAAGCTAATTTGAGAAAACCTTTTTCTGAACGAACAAAGGAGGTCTACGCATACTTAGAAACATTATTTGATGAACTTCAATGCTTCAAATCATTGACACCTGTAATGAAAAAAGTTCATCGACTTCATCAAAACATTTCTTTAAAATTTTGACTACTTTCAGATTCTTCGTAGAAAGCTCATAAATGTCGTTGAGTTTCAATTTTATCCGAAACATCGGACGATATTCAGAGAAGGTCACAAATCACTTTCAATGCATTTCATATTAACTGGTGAAATTCTTATCTCAAAGTCGACTTACGATAAGAAAGTTGGGACAATGATCGATAAAGCTTGCAATATTCTTACGTCTGGTGATTTTTACGGTCAAGTTGGATTAACTTATAATATTCCACGAAATGCTACTGTGTCGACTGAAAGTAGGTTAACAATAAGCTCATTGCGCTGATAAATTGTTTAACAAGTATTACGACTTCTTCTATCAATTTACGCCTCTCGCAATTTTATTGATTTATTAAATCGATGATCGCAGTTGTTATTCTCATAGGAAAATTCAAATCGTGGGCGGTAAAGCCCCAGGCTTCTTATTTCATTTTTCATTTACGATCTCATGCTGTTATCATGGCACTGACTCATCAAATTACATCAAACTGTGGGTGAAATATGCTTTTACCTGATAGTTTTCGCTTTCCCCTCTAATATGAAAAATGTATTGAAACGCGATGGTGGAAAATTCTTTCATGTTTTCGTAATTGTGATTATGCAAATGTTTTTTCAATCGGATATATCGAATAGAATAGAACTTTACTTTCTTATATATTTTTTTGCGTGATGGCACAATTCATTCAATCAAATTCATTCCAGAAAAAAATTATTTTTTAAATTGGAAAACATTCTCATTGCTGTTTGTTCATTTGAAACTTTGAGTCTTGAAAAGTGCTTCGAGTTCATTTGGGTGAAAGTTTTAAATCATTTTAAACGTATTTCCTTTTATTAAAGCTGATTGTGAACTTCTCTGTGTTTATAAAGAAGATTTTGATGCAATTTTGAAAGAGACAATGGAAAGTAAAGATGAGAATATCAAATCAGCAATTCGGAGATTTAACTATTTCAAAAATTTTAGTGAAGAAACGGTAAATGAAGTTTAATTATAAGTTTCGTCAATAATTTCTTCAATTAAAATTATTTTCAGATAACAACATGTTGTGTCATTTCAAGGATTGAACAATTTAATCCACAACAAATAATTTACTCGCAAAATGACATTGTAAGTAATTTCATCTTCAAACATTTTTTATTTAATTCATTTAATTGTTGACATTTCAGATGAATTTTGCTTATTTTGTGTTGTCTGGCCAATGTATGATTCTTCAATTACTGAAAATCCAGAAAAATTCGAAAGGAAAATCTGAACTTTACGCTTCGAAAAAGAAACCAAATTCATTGGATGTTGTAAAACAAATGGCAACAAAACATTATGGAGCAGCATCAATGATTGAACCAGAATTAACCAACATCAAGTATCAGTTCATAGATGTTGGAACCTTTAGTTGTGGCGGATCATTTGGAATCGGAGAAGAAATGGAGAATCGAGTGATTCTTGCAAGAAATGTCGTTCAATGCTTGATGATTCCTCGCTTATGGCTCCTTCAAAAATCACAAAATATTGGGAATGTTTGGCCACGACTTCAAGTGTTTCTGAACTCTAAAATACCATCACAACAACAATTGTTCGAAAACTATTTGAATAATCAAAAGTGGAAGAAATATAAGAAGAAAACGATTGAAGAAATAAAACGTGAGATGGGATTGAAAGTGTCGCAAACCAAATACTACAATGTCCCAGTCATTTGTCGAGTTGAAGAAGATGATGAAGTTTATTAAAGTTTATTTCCTTAACTGATGTTAATTGCTTTCGATTGACAGCAAGAGTCTCAACTGTGATAAAATTATTGATCTCGAAACTTTTGTATGAAATTATTGTTATCGTACTTAAGTATTGATGTAATAAATATCTTTAGAAATTAATTTTGATTTGTCATCATACATTTTAGGTGAGTCCCCTTCGATTTTTTTTTGGCAAAGAAAATATTTTGCGATAACTTCAAAAGTGAATATTCGTATAAAGATACGAATGACTGATTAACAAAAGAAATAGGGTCAGTCTTATGATAAGCCATCTTATCGCATGTTCCCGATTTTATTATTAGGATAATTGATAACAATTCACTTGAAATTAGTTGTTTGTAAGCTGCATTAAATACTCAGTCGTTGACCAATTATTGAAAGCGTTAAATCAAAATTTAGCAATAAAATATGAAGAAAATTATTGGAATTGTTTTTACTTTGATTGTGAATGTTTTGACGACAGAAATAAATTTAGATGAAATCTGTGATGGAATTCTTTACAGTTCATTAATGAATCCGTCTGATTCAAATTCCTTTATTGGATGTGCAAAAGGAAAAGGAACAATTTACAAATGTGACCATCCGGATGAAGTTTTTGATTCATTTCTTGTGTCGTGTATCAAAGAAAAAATTGACGCGATTTTTTATCAAGACGAAGTGATTGCTGACTTTGTAGATTATAAACATGAGAACAGCATAAACAACGAGAAAAATTACTTCAATGATGACTTTTCGGGGTCGGGATCTGGAGATTATTCAACGACTGAACCGTCAACAACATCATCACCACCATCAGAAATTAACATTAGTTTTGTTTGTCCTTTAAGTGGCTATGGAAAGATTCCAAGCAAATATTACTGTGAAACATATTACGAATGTATTTTGGGGATTCAATACTTTAGACAATGTCCAGATGGTGAAATATTTGACATAATAACCAGCAATTGTGGCGATCCCAAAACATCTCTCTGTGGTGAAATTATTCGATGCATCTAAACCATAAATTAGTGAAAAATATTTATTATACTTTATCAATTTTATCAATAAATAATTTCAAGTAAACTTAAAAAGTATTTTCGTCATTCTCAAGAGATTCAATTTCGCTCTAAAAGATTTATAAAAACAATGAAGGAATTCTTGAAAACTGCGACCTGAAAGATTAAAACTGGTTCGTTGTTCATTTGAATTATGTGTCATTTCCTTTCTTGATAAATTAAATTGAGATCAGATTCACTGATAATGTTTATTGTGCAAATCAAAACAAGACGAAATTCTAGTGTTATCTTTTGTTTGAGGATGTTGTGATTATCATTGCTTCATTTTATGGTGATGACACTTTTTTTTATCAAGCTTTCAGTGTCAATGTTAACACTTGTCATGAACTTGGTGTTTTCGCTTTCGCAAAAAAAGATTTTTATTTTCCCACGAATACGTCAGTCACCAACTTAATTTATCTTGAGGATTTATAATCTTGATATCTTTTGTGTATCAAAGGCCGAAATTTTGATAACAACTCAGGCTGAATAAATAAGACCACAGAAGCTTTGGATTTTGCAGTACTCTTCAGTCATTTCAATTAAGAAGTTCTAATTTTTATAAGATAGTTAAATGAAAGTTATAATTGTGTTTTCGGCATTAATTGCCATTGCAGTTTCAGGGCCAAAAGATGATAAAATTGATTTAAAGAAATTATGTGAAGGAATTCTTTACAGTTCACTGCCACACCCAACAGATCCAAATTCCTTCATTGGATGTTCAAAAGAGAAAGGAACAGTAATTAAATGTGACCACAAAGATGAAATTTTTGACCCGTTCTTAGTCACTTGTTCGAAAGAAAATAAAAATGCGAACGGAAATAGTGAAAACGTGTGCAATGATATTTCCTTCGGCATGCTACCGCGTGAAAATAATTGTGAAGAATACATCGCTTGTGAAAACTTTACGGCACATTTGAGAAAATGTCCGAAGAAAAGTATTTTTGATCCTAAATCACAAGCTTGTGTCAAAGGTGATGCGAAAAAATGCACATTTAAAAAGAAATCATCATCATCATCTTCATCATCATCTTCTTCATCATCATCATCATCGTCATCGTCATCATCATCAAGTGAATCAGGAGAAACTACAAGAAGAAGCACTACAACAAGAAGAACAACGACACCGAGAACAACGACAAGTAGAACAACTACCACGAGAAGCACGACAACACCAAGCACGACAACTGCGAGAACTACAACAACCAGAAGATCCACAACGCCTAGTACTACAACAGAAAGAACTACAACGGAAAGAACTACAACAACGAGAAGAAGATCCACCACAACACCTTCTTGGAATACAACCGAAAGTACTCCTTCATGGAACACAACAGGAAGTACACCTTCGTGGAATACAACCGGAAGTACTCCTTCATGGAATACAACAGGAACCACACCCTCCTGGAACACAACTGGAACCACACCTTCATGGAACACAACTGGAACCACACCTTCATGGAATACAACAGACACAACTTGGTTCCCTCCCTTGAATACCACAACATTGAATCCCAATCTGACAACTCCTTCGTTGATTACAACAACAACAACTTGGTTCCCTGCATTGAATACAACAACTACTCGACCAATCGATGAACCAACCAGACCACCTTACTTTGAAATATCGTTTGAATGCCCAACAAGTGGTGTTGGAAATATTCCCCATGAAGAATCCTGTGACCGCTACTACGAATGCATCTTAGGCGTAAAAAATCCAAGAAGATGTCCGGATGGCTTATACTTTGACGCTATAAGCAGACAATGCAAGTCACCCGAAACAGCTTTGTGTGCTGACTTTATCAGATGTCAGAAATATTAGGCAAAACTTTTAATCTTTAAACAACAAAATCATTTTTGTATTTATAAAATTTTTATTCAATTCTTCATTTACATTGAACACTTTAAACTGTAATGGAAATTTAATGTCATCAGTTGAATATTAAAAATAATTTATAATCAGAATTAAAAATGGAATTTCTTCAACTTAATTTTATTTATTCGTAGTAAAGTTGAAATGATTATGGCGTAACAAGAAGTAACGTCTTACAGAGACAATGAGAAGCTTCAAAACAAAAACATAAATAAGGAAATAAAAGAAGAAGAAAAGTAAAAAATGTGACTTGAAATGTTTGTACTTCCTTCCACTCTTTATTTGAATCTTCCAGTATTTGTGAATAAAAGATTATTGGGAACGCCATGATTAAGTGCAAGAACTTTCGAAATGATTCTGAAATCTTCAGCTGATCGCGTATTTATTCCCGACTGAAGGAAGAAGTCTTGAAGTTGCCTATCCAATGACGAATCGACCGGGTTGAGTTGTTGCTGCTGTATTTGGAAATTTCCAAAGTTGCCAGTCTGTGATGCATCATTACGGAAGACCCGAGTACGTGATGGACTTTGTGGTGCTACATCCGTGATTGAAGGCAACACTGATAAAGGTGCAGAGTTGAACGTTTGAAATTGCTTCTGAGGAAGCTCAAGATTTCCTGGGAGGGGCGTAAATTGTGCAAAGTTTTGCGGCTGTCGTACGGGAAGCTCAAGATTTGTAGGCAAACGTGACACATCATTCAATTGTTGAACTTCATGCTTCTGAATCAAAGGTTGCGCATTTGACTGTTGTTGTTGATTAAAACCAGCGTTACGCTGTTGTTGCTGGAATTGCTGCTGTTGAAATTGTCTCAACTGAAATTGTTGTTGCTGCTGTTGTGAAAATTGTTTTTGCAGTTCAGGTCTGTCGGGATTAAATTCCGATGGTCCTTTGAAAGGCAACTGTTGTTCAACAGAAATGCCGACAGTATGACCAAGTGGAATGCTTGGAATGAATTGAACATTCGGTGATTGTGGTGCTTGAAGTGGTTGAGCTTGTGCTTGTTGTTGTTGTTGTCTCAACAAGAAATTTTGTTCTTGTTCGAATCTTTGACGTTGTCTTTGTTCTTCGAGAAATCTCAATCGCTGTTCTTCGAATCTATTTCTCTGTTGTTCAATTAAATTCTGACGATTTTGTTGTTCTTGCAACAAATGATGACGACGAATAATTTCTTCTTGTTCACGTTGACGAGCTTGTAAGAATCTTATTTGTTCCTCGAGCTGTCTTTGCTTCTGTTCGAAAACATTTAACAATTGTTGGTTTGAACTTCCAATCAATGGAGCTTGAATCGTTGTAGCTGGGGCAACAGTTGGTGGTACTGATGGAATTTGTTGTGATGGTTTGAACTCCATATTGATGATTCTCTTTGAATTATCAACAGATTGTTGTGGATTTTTAAACAATGAAATTACTTTTTCAGGCTTTCCATTAACATCTTGCTGAACTGTGAACGCAGCAAGAAGCGGCGCTTGAGAGATTTTTATGTCTTCCTTTGCAACTTTCTCGATGTTTTCACCATCAGCATTCGTGACAGGAGGCGGTAAAGTGGTCGTTGTTGTTGAAGTTTGAGGCGTGATAGGCTTAGTCACTGACTTTTCTGATGCTTTTTTCTTTGGTTTTTCTTCCTTCTTTTCACTGTTCAATGAATTTTGTGTTTCAACGCTTCTTGCCGATTGAATATTGTTTTGATCACTTTCAGCCAAACCCTCGGCACCGATGGGGTCGAGAGATTTATTGAAGTTTATTTGAATGCGATCTTGTCGATCACTTATATCATTTGAAGGATCATTCGGAGGTGTAAGCGTTGTTCGAGGACGACTGATGATAATTGTTTTAATAACTTCATTTTCTTCAGATTTATCGCCGTCAATTGCAAACGTATGAATCTTAATAAGCGACGATGAATCACTCGTTGATTCTTCTGTCTCTTCACCGCTTGCCGTTGTTGTTTCTTCATCTAATGCTTCTGTGCTATCTTCTGCGTCGTAATTGCTCAATGCTTTCAACAAAGCCTTTCGTAGTAGTGGATTAATAGTAGCAGAAGGTGATTCAGTTGCTGCACTCGTCGATGGCGCTTTAGTAATAGATGCTACTGAACACGAAACAAAAGCTAGCAAGCACACGCCAACAATCTGTAAACAAAATAAAAGATCATAAATTAGTCCATCAAGCACTTAAAGTATTCGTTATGGTATTTAAATATTTATTTTTGTGCTTTTATGTTGTTACTCATGCATCCATAAATTTTCTCTCATGCAACACCTTTCATGATGCTGATTTATAGAGCATACAATTTAAAGTTGAAGATCACTGCTTCAGTTAAAAAGAAATTTGAGGGTAATTTAAGTTTTTTTCGCTGCTATTATCAAAGAATTTCAACGAGGCTTATAAAATTAAAAACAATTTAAGTAAGTTTTGGCAAGATGTTATATACTGAAATGTATGATGGAAGCGTCATTAAACACGACACTTCTTTGTGTAAACATGTACAAATACGCATATGAGGTGGGCGCCTTTATGTTCGCTTCTTTTTACACAGCCGTGCGAAAATTTAACGGAATTATTCGCGGATTAGTTCAACAACTTATGCAATGTTGAGTAGCGTATGATGAACAAAACTCAGCTGACTGAATCAAATTTTCGCAAATTACTGTTTTCTACAGGTCATCAATCTTTTGTTGAATCTTGCATTTGAATGACAACAAAGTTTGAGTCTTTAGAGAAAATGTTGAGAAATGTTTGACTTCCATATCAAATTCCTTTGCTACTTTCCATTAGATATGCGATTTTATTTTGTGATTTAAAAGCCCACGTGCAGTCTGCTTGGAATGTTAAAATGTCAAGACAATAAATAAATTTATACGCCAAAAGATTAAATTTTAAGTGTTACATATGTGAGAAACAGAAATTATCCAAGTAACATCAAAAGGTGTCTTCAGATAAGCTTATCTTGAAAGTCAACATTTACTCACATGTGCAGTGAATCAGATAGCGAAATCTTCTTCGAAGCATAAAACTTTTTATTGGGTAAAACGAGGAAGATTGCTAAAATGAAGAAAAGACACGAAAAATCAACATTCGATTTTATTCGCTCCACCTTCTCAGTTTTCTTCGATAAACTCTTAAGTTATGAAGTCATTATCATATTTTCTTTTTGTCGACAACACATCCATGTTTCAATTGTTGTTATGTTTACGGACGCGCAATTTTTATACTTTTTTTTTGTCATCTTCTTGTTAAATCTTTTAAAGTGCGGGACACACCAGACGGAAATTATTAACACAATAGAGAGAAAGTCTTGCCGTGTTAAGATTCACGGAATTTCATGGAGAGCTAAAGCTAAGAAAGACTCGAGAGACGGATAAAATATTTTACAAGAAAATCACTTGAAAAAGTTCAATTGAAGCCGTGAACTGAACAAAGTTTGGAATTGCAACATACTAAAAGCTCAATCCATCTTCTGCACAATTCTTTTAAAGGCTAAATCTCGAAATTTGGTTAAAAGCGTGACTAGAAATATATTCAATAACGAATTTCTTTTCAACATTTATTTTTGTCCACAATCAATTTTATTACTGATGTTCAAGTCACAAAAAAGATAATAAGATATGATGGGCATTACATCTTGATTGTGCATAATAAATATCAAACTTTGAGTCGTTAGAGGTGAAATCAATTTATTTCCTTTAGCTATATTTAGTCACTCGTGCAATCTGCTTTTATTGGAACGAAGTTTATTTCACGTTTATATGTTGGTTAAAAGGTCTTAAAGATATTTTCTTCTTCTGTGAATCCCGCTATCACGAACGCTATAAATATCAACTTAACTTTATGATTCCCAGAAAAAAATATTAAGCAGACATTTATTTACTTATGCAATCAAAAAGACGAATTGACTTAGCAATCATTTATTTATGGTAAGGCTTCCTTAAGTGATGATCACTTCTCTCTGGTTTTTCTTTCATTTCATCATCGATATTGCTGTGAGAAATGTTTCAACATTATTAGCAGAGCCAAGATAGCCACTCACTTAGTCAAGAAAAATCATTGAACAGGAGTTTTTTTATATTAGTCGGAGTGCTTTTGGGGGAGGGAGTAACATGGAGCTTGCTTCCAGGAGTGCAACCGATTAATACTTTTTTCTCCACAAACTTTCACAACAATTTAAAAGTTAAAATATTATTGACATTACAGCTTACATTAATACAGTTAGTAACAAGCATAAATACTCAGTTTAACATTTACTCATTTGACAACATTTTTACATAAAACATTAAAACAGTTTACTTAAATTAAACATATAAATGTACATAAATTGTTAAACTTTTATTTTATATACTGCGACTCTTGGGAAATATCCTGTACACGCAGTCTAAACAACTAAATAAATAAATAAATACACCATGAAGACGGTTCAAATTACTTATACTTTAGATGGTAGAGTGGGAAAACAATAATTTTTTAGAGCGAGTCTGTTGTCGAAATTTTTACGACTTTTCGCATTACCTTTTTTAATTACACGCCACGTTTTTCCAATCTGTTTTTCGATGTTTTTTTTTAATGTCTATTCCACCCTCGAGGAAAAACAAAAATAATTTTATCGGTGAAGGTTCATCAAAATTCAATTAATCATGAAAACAAACTCGAGCTCTCACCAAGAAAAAGATTCTTCGAAAGCTATTTCGAATAAATTTCATATCGCGAGTGCTGAACAGGAATAATTTATCCACATTTCCCTCATTTCCACTCATACTTCAATTCATTCTTTTCTATCTTTCTTCCGGGCACTCTCGATTGACGATAGCTCTTCGACAATACGATTCCAATCGGCGAAGCCAAAGAGAAAATTTCGCTTTTCATATCAATTATCAATGAGCTGGAAATATTTATCAAAGACAGCAAGAGAATCGAAAGGAAGCGAATTCCTTTCCTTTTCGATAACTTTCAGCATAATAAATTTCTTTTTAACGTTTCTGACTTTGGTTAAGGGGAGTGACGCAAATATATTTTGCTACTTTTTAATTTTCAATAAATTCAGGAAAAGAGAAATGAAAAAGTTTCTTCACAAATGTTTCGCAATTGAAATTCAAATTAATCTTTGACAATCGCTTCAAAGAACGAGAGACAAATGTTTTGTTTGCTTGCTTGCTTAAAATTTGTTACAATAAATTTATGTTCAAAGTTGGAAATCAAATTTGATGTTCTTGTCGTTCATTCAAACATGACGTCGAAATTTCTTTTTCTTTATCCCTCATTCACTTTAAGGTTAATTAAAATTCTTTTGTTACGTGGGGGTGGGTGGATATGAAAAATTTGTTTTCAATTTTTTTTTAATTAATGAAACTTTTGAACTTTTCTTTTCTAACAGGTTTGCGTATTCTTGCTTTTCCTTGCAATCAATTTGGTTATCAAGAGCCAGGCAATGCTGAAGAGATTCAATGCTTCGCTCGTGATCGAAAAGTTCAATTTGACTTGTTTGAGAAGATCGATGTGAATGGAAAGACTGCGCATCCATTGTGGCAATTTTTGAAGAAGGAACAAGGTGGAACATTATTCGATGCCATCAAGTGGAACTTTACAAAGTTCATCGTTGATAAGAACGGGAAACCAGTTGAACGTCATTCACCCAACACATCGCCCAAGGAAATGTTGAAGAATTTGGAAAAATATTTCGATGCTAAAGTCGAATTATAATTTTCTACTCGAAGCTTTTCAACGAATAATTTTTTACGATTGCTTTTAATTACTTTTTTAACTACACAGTTTCCTTTCGTTAACAAGCATTCTTAACAATAAGTCAATAACTTTGATTTATATTTTGTTCCAAATAATAAATAATGGTGAAAGAGAATAAAACACAACTTTTCATTTATGAAATGATAATTTTCCTTCTAACTTCATCGTTACAATTCCTTGTAATTCAACTCATAAAGTCAATTGCATTACTAAAAATAAATGTCAAGCGTTTCACCAGGAAGCTCTCCGATAAGATTTTAATTTAATTTGTTGAGGATTTTTTTTTCAATTCGGAAATGTTGAGCGAGCTTAATTGAAAATCGATATCGACAATTGTTCTACGTAGCTAGAAACGAAGTTAGATATCGGTGAAGTTGCTAATGATTGTAGCAGGAAAAGGTAAGCGAGTACTTTTATTGAGTTAATTTTTTTGTGTTGCTGAAAATGTTTTAGAAAAGGTTTTTTCGTCAGGATACATTAAATGAACCTTATTCACCATCATCATCGTCAAGTTTTATAAAAAAATTTGTTCCAAGTCAGAATGACAAGAAAATTANGCGTGACTAGAAATATATTCAATAACGAATTTCTTTTCAACATTTATTTTTGTCCACAATCAATTTTATTACTGATGTTCAAGTCACAAAAAAGATAATAAGATATGATGGGCATTACATCTTGATTGTGCATAATAAATTTCAAACTTTGAGTCGTTAGAGGTGAAATCAATTTATTTCCTTTAGCTATATTTAGTCACTCGTGCAATCTGTTTTTATTGGGACGGAGTATATTTCACGTTTATATGTTGGTTAAAAGGTCTTAAAGATATTTTCTTCTTCTGTGAATCCCGCTATCACGAACGCTATAAATATCAACTTAACTTTATGATTCCCAGAAAAAAATATTAAGCAGACATTTATTTACTTATGCAATCAAAAAGACGAATTGACTTAGCAATCATTTATTTATGGTAAGGCTTCCTTAAGTGATGATCACTTCTCTCTGGTTTTTCTTTCATTTCATCATCGATATTCATAATAAATTGCTGGAATAAAAATTAAACAAATGTGAAGAGAAATTGCTGTTAAAATGGATAATCAAGTTGCCTTCTGATCTTTCGGTTATTGCAGCCTCATTAAATTAAATTGATAGTTTTGATCTTATATGTACTTAATACTTAATAAAGTAAGCATATCTACTTAAAATTAAAACAAAAAAGAAATTAAAGATTTCTCTAGCGAATTAAAATGTAGGCTCGCTGACATAGAAAACACAAACGCGTTAAATAAAAATCAACATAAACCGACGTTCAAGTTTAATAGGTTTCTCAAAAATTTTGACATAAAATGCCAACCACTCACTGTTTGTATTTATTTAGTAGAAATCTTTCTCCATTTCAACGAATTTGTATCATCGAATTGATAATGGTGATAATGAAATGTAAACACGTTTTCGTGCGACTTTCTTCTTCTCATCACTTGACCTCCAAAACCACTGAAGAATCTCGTGGAATTTATTAAAAATTCGAAGCCTTTCTCGTTTATTGTTTTACATTTCTAAGCAGGAAATTTTACTTTTAATTTTATTACATTTGATTGAAAAAAATGAAATCTCTGTTTTGCTCATTTAATGCGGCTCCATCAGCTTAAAAAATTAAATATGTACATATATATGAACATATGTGTACATTTATTGCAATGCAAAATCTGAAAATTCATTTGTTTTTTACTTTCCCATTAGTCATTACGTCAGCGTCAAAACATCTTCAGAAACTTTCACTGATTTCTTGGATTGTGCCATTCAAATCGATTATTTTACTCAGTCCAAGTTTATCTTGGTAATTTTATTTGTCAAACACAGTCAATGAGTTATGATAAGAGACATTAATTATCATCATTAACAAACACACAATTTGTTCGCATGCGAAGCTCCAATCCAATCTCACATGTCAAAGAGAAACAATTCAATTCTTGCGAGCTGAGAGTAATTAAGAAACTGTTGAAAAATCAACAATTAATTTACATTATGTATTGTAATTTTCATTAACTTCTTAATAATGAGCTTAAGAGATTATTCAAATGGAAATTATTCAATGGAGGAACGGCTTTGTTTCAATTTGTTATGCAAATTTGTTGTAATTTTTCATGGCACCGGAACAACAAAGACTTTTTATAGCTTTGCGTTAATAACAAGAATGAGATGCATGCAGTTTCAGTTTAAATCTTCAATTAAGTAAAAGGGAAAGAAAGGGAAACATTATGAAAGCAACTTTACCTGTCTAAGTGTCGAATGAGAGTCTTTGTGAGGTTTGTAAAAATTCCAAATCGCGATAAATTTGACTTCCAATTTCCTTGAAAGAAAACCACAATTCGCAAAAAAAAAGTTAATTCCTTGTTTGCCAAACTAAGATTTACTGTTTCAAACTATCAATTACTGAACGAATAAATTAAATTAATAGATAAGATGCTTGCTTTATTGTGACTTACATTCATACAAATGTCGAGTGAGAGAATGTAACAAGAGAATTAAGTTCATTAAAAGTAATTTTATTTAATCGTGCTCGCCTTATCTGATTCATTCGTTTCTTCTTTCTGTTTTTTTAGCATCTAACAAAGCAGTTTTTTGCATCAATTCATAGTTTGCGACGTGATTGACATAAATTGATTGAGTTTTGTTTTCTTTTATTCATGGCGTCATGCCGCTTTTCTCTCGGTAACTTGGTGACTGTGGAACTTTACTTAATGGCGAACGAGCATAAGGCGTGAGAAAATTATACAGCTGGAGTCTATAACAGAACAATGGCAAAAGATTCGACTGTAATCTCAATGCAATCTGCTCGAGCGCGCTCGCAACAAGCAAAGAGAATACTCACAATTATCTATCACTGTTGTGTAAGGAGTTGAAAGCTTTTTCCATCTTTCTTCTTACCATCATCACCCTTTAATTGAATTTCCCTTATTTAATCTTATTCAAATTGGATTTTAATTTTTGTTTTGTTGAACTATTTAAAAGAGCAATTTGTGAATTCAGTGAAGAGTCATAAAAATTCATTAGAGATGATTGCAAAAGACTTTTGACTTTTTTTAAAGTTTAAATTTAAACGATGGCCGGCAGACATCATGACTACAATAAAAGATGAAAAGTTGGGCTTTAAATTGTTCCGCACATTTTTAAGGTCATAAATAAAAAGAAAAGTTGAATCTTGACAAGCCGTTAACAGGTCAAAAAATCCCACAAATTTATTCACATTGTTGTTGCTAATTAGATTAAGCTTAGCGTCAAGTTTTTCGGCTTCAAATCCACTCTCATCGTCTTCTGATAATTTGAAGTTGCGTAATTTGATTGAAGGAATATTAAATATGACCCAAAATGACCCGAAACGTTACTTTGTCATTGATGGCTATGTCTTGTCCATCTTCCTTCACTTAACATAACTTTTTCTATATTGGATGATGTACTTGTAAGTTTATATAAGTTTAAGCTAAATTCGATGTGATGCTTGAAACTAAATAAAAATCGAACTGTAGGTTAGGCAGGTACTTGACATTTTGAGGATATATATTGTCAACTATTATTCTACAAAGAAGTAAAGTGATGTAGGTGTTAAAAGTTAACAATAAAATTTAATATTTGCAAAGTTAATTCAATAGAGAAAGTCGTTTCAATGAATAATTAGAAAATTATTCGCGTGTAAAAATCATTTTTGGTAATGTTACAATCCAAATTCTCATAAATACTCAATTTTTAACACACTTCAAGACGAGTTGAATATTTCATTTCCATCCAAAAATAAAATATGCAAATCGATCTACAAGATAAATTTTTCGCTTTCTTTGAAATTTTTCTGATTATTTGGGAGTTGAAACACAAAATAAATTGTTCAGCAGATGAGCGCAATTTTTATTTATTTATTTATGATGTTATTCTCTCTTTCCGCATCTTTCATTTCTGCAAGTCATTGGGAAGAAACGAAGTAAGATATCTGCTTGAAAACAATTTAGTTTCTCGCTTTCATTAAATTGCTTATCAATTTGCGATAGTTTTTCACATCAGCGGAAAAAATTATTTATTTATTTGTAGCTAACATTTCGCTGACTGCACGATTTTCAACTTAAGCACATTTCTTATGACCTAAACTTAAATTACTGTAATAATCCGCAAAGAAAATCACATTTAATTCAACTTTATTGAGTCTTGTTTAATCGAAATTAGTCATGCATTAACAGATTCCCAACAGAAATCATAAAACTTTAGTGAACATAATTGAATATCTCGTATATGATTGAATCAATATTAAACATAAAATTTTCAATTTTTATGATTCAAAGCAAAGATATACAAGAAAAAATCATTGTTTATACTTTGAACTTTCAAAAGTTAAATTATTTAAGTTAAACTCAGCAAACTTTTATGTTTTAATTACGAATTGTCTGAAATCTTTCACAATCTTATCTTTATGTATTTAAAGTGCCATAAAGATTTCATATTTTTGATAGTAATATGATGAACGATTAATTTGCATGTTTCTCACGAGTCATGTTCATTTACAATTTTTATTTCAAGTCACTCCACGCTCTGAGTTTATTCAAGCAAAGATCATCACAGATAAGCAAATTTTATTTTATGAAAGGTTCAATTTATTTGCCTAAATAATTTGTGCTCGTGTTTAAAACAAAAGACATTCAACAGATGTTTATGATCGTTTTTAAATGACAAATCATTTGGCCAGATTGATTGAAAGTCTTATGACCGTCATTAAAATGCCGTCCTTGTAATTTTCTGGCATTGAAATGTGTCACAAAATTTTGTTCTTCTTCATCTTTGTTCTTAAGCTATGTTTAGCATTTTAAGCATCTAGATTGAAGATTCTGAATAATAAACAACTTCCGTGTTAACAAATTTACATCTTCACTTTATTTACCATACACAGCAACGTCGTAACAGCTTTCATTGATATTCATTTCTGAATAGCAAACAAATAAACAAGACAATGTGCTAACAGAAGACATAAATTTGAAAAATCTGCAACTTCTTTCTTCAATTCAAGTTATGATTAATGAAAGGGGAAACATCACAATGATCTTCACTTCGTAACTTTTTGTGCCCTTTATAATGAGTGAGTGGAATATAATTTTCAAAAAGTAATTATTTAATATTCCAGCAATGAAGAAAAGACAAAAAAGAAGATTTTCACGAGCTCACACAAGCAGTTGTTATGCTTTAATATTGAAGCACTCAGTCGCCATTTACTTTATTTATTTCACATCTCAATGCAGTGAGAGTAGAAGAAATTTTTAATACATCTTCGTCAATTGGATGAGTCAATGATGTAACACATTTCAAGTGAATTTTCTGCTTTGTTTCCAGTAATATGAAGAAAATATCAACCATTTGTAATGAATAAATATTTGTATTTTATGTAGCATCGAAATTTCAGATTACTTTTTTAATTTCTTCCTTACTAACTACCATAAATGTTTAATATTATTATGTGATGAAATGTAAACACTTATAATGAGAATCTTCAAACTTTATAAAGTATCTTACATATCAGGTTGCGTGTGTCGATCTTTTCATGAACGAGTTTAAACTTAAAAGTAAGTTTTAGAGTCACACATCATGCTGTTACTGAATAACGTTTAAGATCGCATGTGTTGATGATTTGAAATATTTTGGACACCTTAATGTTGTTTTTGAGAGAAAGAGCATCAAGCGAACGTGATATCTTGGATATTTTTTTATTATAATATTATAAAGATTGAAGAAGTTAAGACATAGAAGCCGGAACGTGATCTCCCCAATTCACCTTATTCAGAGAGAGAGAAAGTGGTCGCGTCAGAAAATACGAAGCATAAATATAAATGTGAAGATGGCATTGAATTAAAAGTCAGTTTAACTCGATTTGTGGATTTATGTTCACTTCTTTTTCATCTTTTCGCCATTACAATGTTTATGATACATTGTAATGGCTCATGCAATAGCACTACAAGTTGTCGTCTTCGGTGTTATGGGAAATGAAAAGTGACTTTATATTTTGAATTTAAAGCGACCATTCAATTCACTAACGGCTTGTTTTTTGTCTTCAATTGCCGTCTGCTAGCGTCTGTATCGTCCGAAAGAAGCTCTTCCACCGCAAGCATTCGTTTTTGCTGTTGTTGGGAATGCAAACAATTTAATGAATTTTGCACAATTGTTAATCATTTGTTTCTATTCGAAAGTTCAACATTTTTAAACGGTCAACAAGTTGCATTACACAAAGCTATACTGCCGTGGGTTTATTAAGCTGCCAACGACAATCGACATCACAATGATTTACTGTTTACAAGATCAAGGAAATTGTTGAATTATTTATTTGAAGTTTCATTATCATCTTTTTTCAAAGCCGATGTCGCTTTTCACTCGCTTATATTTATCATAATTTGTGGACATTTCTCGCATAAATGGTGTTTGAAGATCAATTTGATAGTAAAATATCTTCCGTCGAAAGTTAATTAGGTAAACAAAATTTCATTTTTTGGTGTTAATGATTATTATTTATACGCATTCTTCAATGCGTGACGTTGATAAATATTTCAAAATTTTCATTTCTCTGAGCAGCATTTTTATGTTGAAATAAGTTTTCTCAAGTGATACATGAAGTGAGTGAGAAAACTGACATTTAAGCATTTAAGCTTAATGTCATGAGCCGTGATTAGACAATTCCACGAAAATGCAAACATAAATACGGCCTTTGAACTGACAAACAATTTCCCTGTTAGGTAATGCATAAATCAACTAAATGATTAAAGCATGCGTCAAAAGCAGTTTATTGATTCGAATGAACATTGTGATAATTTATTCACATTTTGCAATGTTTGAAAATAAATGAAAGAGAAATTTTCATCACAACTTTTCCCCTTTTTACCTCTTATGAGTTTCTTAAATGACGTTGAGTTTCTTAAAATAAAAATACCACGCATCGTAAAGTATTATCGGACTAATTCATACACAGACAGATGAATGTGCGGTTTATAATTCAACAATTGAAGAAGTTCAAATGTTAAATATTAAAAATCAATTTTGATTGTTATGACTTGAAACTATTCGCTTGATGACTTCATGAAGCTTTGAGACTAAAATTCGGCGTGACACAAATGATGATTGTTATTATTATTTATAAAACAACCAATTGAAGAAATTTTCATTCGATGATGATAGAGCCAAAACATAAAAGTTAAGTTCAATGATTACCAAGCATCTCATAATTAAACTTTTAATATTTTTTATGCGGTTTAATATTGTTACGCAAGTAAATGAAAATAAGTAAGATATTTATTAATCAATGAAAAGAAAGTTTCATACTTCCGATATAAGCTCATCATCACTTTGTGCAAGGCAGACGAGCGGAGAAATTTTTATATTAAATTGCAATAAATTATCACTTCAAGGATCGTCGGAGGAGGTTTGCATCTTCAACATTTTTCCATCAATGCGAATCGAGACAAGTTGCACAATAAGTCGTTCCACAATGACCTGCGAGAGTTTCTCTTTCAATATTGAGTCGTTAATTAATTTTCACAGCCTTTTGCGAAACCACAAATTTATTTTTATTCAACATCCTATCTGTTTATTGCAGATGAGCGAAAAATGGTGAAAACTAATTGATTCAAACAATTTGCTGCCACTTTAAATAATCTTTGGAAGTTGTTATGTGGAAGCTTCTATGATGTTGATTAAAGAGTATTTATAATGCCATAATCAGTTTTCCGGAAAAGGTAAAACTATAAAATGATGAACTGAAGTGGTTTTAACTCTTAATGTGAATTATCAGCTTTCGTTTGATCGCCAGTATTAAATTTATGGATATAGCTCCGCTATTGATTGATCACCGAAATTCAAATGTACACTTTAACTTTCCCGCATACATGTTTTTGTATAATTGATTAGCTTCCGAACAGTATGAATTTCAAGTGTAAAATGATATATCGATACAACAATAAATCTTCCAAAAGAAATCACAATTTACAACAAATCACTCAAAATATTTTCCTAAAAAGTATTAATTTAAGTCTTAATAATGTGACTTTTACTTGGGCAAGTACTTGAGTTTGTAAAAGCATGAAGAAAGAAATAAAAGACTAATTCTGTTTTGAACAATGTTTCTTGTAAAGTTAAGTTCAACTAGAAACAAGCATAATGATGATGATTTTGAATATTTGCTACAATACATCATTAACTTTGAAATTGGATAAATTAAATCTATTTATATAGTTAAATTATTTTCACTGGGTATGCTTTTATGTACAATCACATCCCGTAGCTGCTTGAATGATGTGAAAATGGAATAATCGAAGAAAAGTTTTCTTTCTAATATTTAACATGAATTTGAACTTTATAAAATAAAATAACTGATCAGACAATATGAGTGAATGTGCGCTACGGGTGGAAAAACATCACGAGGAAGGAAATTTTCAACTTGCACCCAACATTAAACATGTGAAGATTATTTTAATTTCCATCTCACCGTAGTGACTTCATCACCATGAGAAATCATCATGAATATTTTTGTTTGCCTTTCCAGCACGTGCAAATAGTTTCGTGATCCACATATCTATGCATGAATCTTATTGAAAAAATCGACAAAAGTAATTTGGAAGCACAAGCTTCCAAACTAAAAACAACATCAGTGCAATTACACCCAGGAAATTCATCAAAAGAAAACAAATCTAAATTAAATCATCATACGGAAATCTACGAGCATAATACTGCGTTAAATTACTTCTTTCCACTGGGTTGCTGATATTTAGTTGGTAGCCAAGATCAGTTTGCTTATTTTGTAGATTTTATTTGCCTTAATATGTTTTCGTTACAAAGTCTCATGTATTGAAGCCCGTCAAGAATAGCAACAAAACAAAGATTAAACAGAAAAAAAACTTTCACTCGTTCGTTGTACAGATAATTTTCAACAACAGAAGATGACACACACAAAAAATTAAAAATAATTTAAACGACGACGCTAAAGAAACATTTTTGAAAGAGATTCGCGCATTCCATGAACTTTTAAAAGAAAACAGAAAATGCTTATTACAACATTTCGGAACTAAATGGAATGGAAGACGAGATTTAATGTGAAAGATTAAGCGTTGAATTGCTGCAAATTGGTATCTGCATCATCATTTCTTAATGGACGCAAACGCAACATTTTCAATCCTCAAAATTTTTTATTTCCCTCAGAAAATTTCCCGATCGAACATTTTTGTGGTTTCGATTTCAATTAATTGGATGAACGTAATCGATAATGGTGCGAATTTATGCGGCTTTTATTGTTGCAAAATTGAACTGACAATGAACAATCACAAATTAATTGGTAAAAACATTATTGGTTTTAGGATCATCTCGTTTTGAAAACGGCGAACAAAAGAGGTGAGATGGACAATTAATTACGATGACTAATGGTTTTTACACTTCACAGAATAATTAATGATTATAGAAGCAATTGTGCAATTTCTACTTTTAAGTACCTACATTGATATTTTAGGTGAATGCGTTCATTGATGCAACTTCTTCTCTTACAACTTCATCTTCGACACAAGATTTAAAAATTAATTTCATGAAATGAACGAATTGTTTCAACTTAAGTTAAGGTAAAGTTTTGAGGAAAAATATAATTCATTCCATTCATTCGGAATTGTTTTCATTCAATTTTTAAAAGCATCACACATACACTTACGCGTGCAAAGCTCTTGTAATTCTTAAATGAGAGTGAAAGAGTTTCATAATAGAGCTTAGCATGGAGAAGCATTAAACGTGTTTGAAGAAGGCAAGTAATGTTACAACATTTCAGAAATGATGAGTGAAATTATGATCTGACTTTGTGGGGATCGAAATTGAAAGTGATATGATGGATCATCACATCATGTCATAAACTTCATAGTCGAAACAATCTTACAGACATCAAATAATTCCGGACATAAAAGACCTTTCTTCAATGATTGATAATTTATATTATGCTTGTTATAGAAATAAATGCTTTTCTTTCTTTCATAAATATCAACACTTCAAACATACTTCGAAGGCTTACTTTTCTCACTAATCCTTTTATGGTATTTGACTTGATGTTTGGTAATAATATTGGCTTTTTTTTAAATCGTTGTGCATGTCTTACAGGTCAAGATTTGAACCTTTAAAATTAAACGATTTCGTGAAATTCTCGATCCGACCGATTCGATTATCTCACTTCAGTCTTTGAGTAATTTTATGCGAACAAAAATACAATTTTCTTGAGGGCAGAAATCACATGTCTAGTTGATCATAAATTAATCTCAATAAGGGTCAAATAGAAAGCTTATTTCCCACATTAAACATCATCTACTCCTTGATTCACTCAGATATGGTCTTCTTATGACTGTAATTGAAATTTCACTCACCAACTTCATTATGTTTCTCTTTTTATTACTGCTGTTCTTAATAAAGAAAAATGTTTCAATTCCTGTTCAATTGAACTTTGTTGTTTTGTTATTTTTAATGTTTTCCAAGAAGATTTCAAATTACTTTAAGATTTAAAGCAAATAGAAGGCAGGAAATAATTACACGTTTAAAAGAAATAAAATTTCACTTTATGAAGATACTTTTCGTATTAATTGTTATTTTTTTCGATTTATTTTATTATCTTCTTGTTTTCTATCCAATTTTAAATAGATTTCTTTTTTTTTGCTATTCCTTTTAAATGCACAATCTCAAATCGTGATATATGGAAAATAATTCACTTCTTCACTGTTAATAGTTTTCCGACTTAACTCTTTGAACGTTGGCAGTTGACTGAATGATCAAAACAACCAAACAAAACTAAAATCTCCTAAAGTTGTCTTCAGACGAAAGCGACTTAAAAAAAAGTTGAAAAGCAAAGAAATATAAAGAAGAAGACAAAAGCGTGTTCCATGCTCAAGATTTTGTTTAATTTTTTTATTTTTCCACTTTCAATCTCGTTTCAAGCTTGTTAAGTTGTTGAATATGAAACCAGCAAACGAAGAAACATTTTCTCAACTTGTCTTGTTTAATTGAACACAAAATTGATTGACTAAATATTTGATGAACATTATAAGTATGTAGTTAAACACCCACAGTTGGTGTCAATGTTTTATTATTTAACCTGACGATTTGAATTGTAAAGAAATAAAATGATGAAGACGATCACGTATCATTATACTGTAGGCGATATCTTTGATTATGTTGTCAACATACATCAAATATTTGAAAATACGTTTAAACATAATGTTTGTGCATGCTTTTTTGTTGAATTTCACATAATAATTATTTGTCTTCCTAATTTATTCCAGGTACTTAACATGTCATAAACTGAGCTTTAAAGACTCAATCCCCAATTAATAATTCATTTGTAACAGATTTTATAATGTATTCAAATTAACATCTTAAACATCACTCTTCCGAAAAACAAAAGAAATAAAGAAAAGATACTTTATTTCGAGAAATGTAAAAGAGAGCTTACATAACGACATGCAATCATCTCGTCTTTTGTTTTGTTCTTTCGTTTCAACTCATCTCAAGTCAAATGAAAGTGAGATTGAACAACGTGTAAGGTTTATTGATTTATGTAAAGAGATGCAGTTGATGTAATGTTGTAAAGATGAGGCGAACACGGAAAAATGTGCGTTTATATTTATGCATCAATTGGACACTTCAACTACTTACTTCTTGAGTATTTATTTCTCTAATATCACTTCGAGTCATTTATCTCCCCCATCAAAATCGTGGTGCTTTCATTGAAGGGATTACAACTCAAAAACTTCAACTTTCTCACCTTATTTTTCTTTCAAGTAAGCCTTAGGCGAAGTTAGAGTGAAATTCATCAAGCTAGAAGCAACAAACATTTTAACCTAATGAAGATCGATTACTCTTTCGGTGATTTGTTGTCTGCGGTTTTTATGTATCAAATTATTTCTTCAACAAGTCGCTCCCATGTTAGAAAAGTCATAAATTAGAATTCGCATGGGAAGAAATTAGTGTGACGCTTTTGAATTATGAATGTGATTATTTCTTGTTTCCAGCCATCGGTTTTCTTTCAAACGATACTTGAGTCTGCTGACCCCAAGAGTAAGTAAAAAACTATTTAGGAGAGTTTGCAAAAAGTAAATAAATAAAACGAGAAAGCAATTTCGATGGCCCTCAAGTGTCGTGAAAGCTGGAAATAAGCTGTTTTAAGAAATACTTTTATCGAAATTAATGAAAACGTCTTGACCATCTTCATCTCTTGTAGGATATTGTGGAATGCAAAGGCCATAAATTCAATGCACACCCTGAGGCTTATTTTTGTTGTTTTCATCAATATTTAATAATTTCTTGATAAGACAAACTATTATAAATTCATTGGCTGAAACGAAGAAAGTTAAGTTAAGTTTTCTTTGTTAACCCACGCAGAGAATCGTCTCAATTGATTCCCTTTAACAACAACATAAACACAAATCGATTTGTCATTCCATAATTAGTGAAAGTTTAAAGCTAATTAAGTGATTTGCGTTTATTGTCTCCCTTTTCATGAGACGAGGATCATTCAGCTCAATTTTTTTTATGATCGGTGATTTCCTTATTGTGGTTTTGTTTTCACTTCAACAGTCGCCTGTCGCATGTTTTTTTCGCACGATGATATACGCCACAACTTGACGTTTGCTTATGATTGGCGAATGGAACAAGGAGAAAAGGTTTGACATTCTATTAGACCTTTTATGAAATTGATTATTTTCATATCTCACGCAATTGAAACGGTTCAGATCAAAGCTTGAACTCACTAAGCCTCTCTGAAGTATTCTTTCATCAGGAATGAAGTGTAAACACGGAATTTTTACTTTATGAGTCATTTCATGAAATCATGTAATTTATTAACAAAAGTCATAAAAGTTTTACATTTTACAATCGTTTTGTTGTTTGCAAAATTTCACTGTGTTAACAATCGAATCGCCGACAACTAATTTATGCACAATTCGATTTTTCTATCTCTCGACATGATGTGAATAATATTAATGTTGAGATTTTATAGATATTCATTTAATAACTTTATTATCAGACATAGTTTCTAAAACATAGATCATAAATCATAAATTATTTGTAATCTGCATTCTCCAAGTAACGAAGTGTTTTATGGTGCCTCCCAAATCGACCTATTGAATATCAGATAAGGGTCGGTAAAAGTGAAAGTTTTTGATCGATAAGCATATCATGTTTCTCATCGATATCTCGCACGCAATAAAAGAGAAGACGATTGCACCATCCCAAACATTGCGAAATCATATTTAATCTTCGTTAAGTATATATTTTCTCTCCTACAGCTTTTTTTCTACATATTTTTGACACGAAAACAACTTCGAACGATTGTAAACGATCATTAATCAGAAAGGTTTCAATTGAAGGAATTGGTGGCGAAAATAAGTGAAAATTTCGTTGACGCTACCGACATTTGGAAGAAATAAGAAGTTAAATATGAAATGCGCTCATCGAAAACTATCATCGATAAATTCATCTTTACATGTCATGCTAGTGAGTTTTATTTACACAAGAAATACCTACTTGAATTAAAAAATAAAAAAACTACTTCGAAACGAGGCATCAAGAGAAAAATATTTGAAATGCCTCAAGCGCTCAATTAACTTCATCGAAGATCACAAACGATGAACAGATTGCTGCCAATGAAACCATTTCATCAACTTGCTTTCATCTTCTGAAAGCAGCGTAAAATTCTTAATCATCATTGACTGTTTGCTTTTGCACAGCATTTGCTTTAAAAATGTTGATACATTGGCGTATTGTAAAGCAAATCGTCCAATTTAAGCTTGTTTTTGTTATTTTGTGGTGCACCACAACCAGGCCGTCCCCAGAAGCTGTCAAAGTTTTTGAAGTGGCAGCGGCTGCTTTCAACATCCCGCTCATGAGATATCTGTAAAATATGTTGGCAAATCGTTAATTATCTACGCACTGTAGGCGACATTATGTGTGAGAGCAATTTTTTAATCAACTTTACTTGACGTAATTTCTGTTTTTGCACAACTTGACGCTCAAGATCATTTAAGTATTCTGGATCTCCATCATGCCAGCTGTGATGAATATTAATCATTAAAATCTACCAAAATAAATGCCATCAATGCGAATACAAAATATTACCTACTTTTATTGATTTTATATTTTGTTATGTCTGTTGTTGAAAGCGAAATCGGCCTCTCATCTCTTCGTTTGGCTAGTAAAGGAACAAGTTCAACTCCACCACTTATCATTGAAGCTTTTGACAACTTTTTAGTGGGTGACTTTTTCCTTTTTGGTTTGGAAGACGTTTGTATAGGTTGAAGAGGCTCCAACGGTTGTTGTCGATTGCAGTGTTGGGGTAGTGCGTAGTGTGGCAATTTCTTTGGCGATTTATTGACTTCTTCAAACTCGCATCGATAATTTTCTTTGATTTTTGGCGGACTATTATCACGAAGAATTGTACTTTCTATTTTCTTAATGCATTGACATGAACATCGATCACAACAGGGCATCGGTGGCTTCTTAAGTGCCAATTTAGGCGGATGATAAATTTGATCTTCATCCAACAAATGTTTTCCATCATTCATTTCATTATTCAAAGATTTCAAAGTATCTTTCGTAGTCCACCCCATAGATTTCATAAAATTGTGCCCAATATTTTTTGGATCACGCCAAGGAGTTCCACCAGGCCCTGGTCGACCCCAAGGATCTTCATAATTCTAAAAAATACAATTTTGAAATAACTTTTATAATTAAAATTGAATATTGTATTACATTTCTATAAGTTGATCCGATTCCATTCTTTTCATTATATCTCATTCGTTTCTTCTCTTCAACAATCCGATCCAAGTCTTGTCGGTAAGCATTTTGTTCGGCAGGTGTCGTTCGATATCGTAAATCTTTGTCAACATAATTTCTTGTCGAATCACTGAATGTAATTAACGGATCTTCTCTCAACGGAACGAGAAGTCTTCCTGACTCATTTCGAAGTGGTGCACCAGAACCTCCCGAAACAGCAGTCATACTGGTACATAAATATTTATTTTTCCCTATTCGCGGCAGTGTTTGGCTTTGACGAACAACCTAAAAGTTTCGAAAGTTTTTGAAAAATTGATGAAGTTTGTTATAAAGATTGTCATATACATTCTTATCGGCCGGGAATAATCCATCCATTTCAAGATTTCGTATTCGAGTATCCATATTAGGTGCACCATTTCCCGGCTGACCCCATGGATTCCAATTGTTCACCATTTCACGATACTTAAAGTTTCATTAATAAATTAGTTTTTGAAATAATTAAAAGAAACTAAAATGTCATAATGAAAATATCTGATATGGCAAATGACAGAATCAGACTCCGACAATGAAAATTCTGATTTGAATGTCATGACAAAATGTTCGTGTTTGTGGTTTGAATAAAAAACGCATAAATTGTCTGTTCCTGAAAGTGAAGTTGATATTTATTCATGTTGAAAAGGGGAAAACATGCATAAGCAAATAATAAATGTGCATTTTTGAAGGCCAACTTATAAATTTAGGGGGAATATGACGATTGCACAATTGTCATGATAAACGTCTTTTTTAATGCCCCTGAAAGTTATGCAATAAAAGTTTCAATGATGATTTTCAAAAAGCTCCAATGATAAAAGCTTTCAATGATTAATGATGAGTATGATGATGATACAAAATTTAACAAAGAACTTTTCATTGTATCAAAGCATGTCTCCAAACCTTCAATCTTTGAAAAATACTACTTGTATTCACGTTTTCCGTAGCGGTTGGCATTTTTATTATATTTACTCCGTTAACTGTTTCTTTTAACGAAGGGATTACTACAAAAATGTTGTTAATATTATTAAATTTGTGTTATAATGTGTGAAAAAGAGATTGAAATTTTCTGTAAAATAATAACAAATTTTCATAAAATAAATCATTTAAAAACAAATGATAATTTCATTAATTTTATTACCCTAATAAATCTGAGTAAGGGAAGTAAAAACAGAAGAAAAATCAATAATCAATTAACAAATATTTTCTTTCCATTAATGTCAATTCTCAAAAATATTTTGTTGCTGAATTAAAAATAGAACAAAATAAATAAAAATACTGGAACGGAAATTCAGTCATTGATTTACGTAAGTCAAAAGATATCAACAACAGAAATTCTACGTACACACGCACAAAAAAGACAAAAATTTATTGACGAAAGGAAAATTACGAACTTTAATCGATTCAAAACAGGAAAAAATTTGCATAAAATTTTTGCAATAAAAATACCATGAATTTAGATTGTTCCTGATAGTTGTGTAACGGAATTTGTAGTAAAACAAAGGAAGTAAATTAAACTTCATATACCTCCAATAATAAACTTGTGGCTTTAATTAAATCAGATGGAAAACAGATTCAAATGATTGATTCTTTTATGATAAATGCTGTGATTGTTTTATGAAATGAATCAACAGAAAAAGATGACACAAAATTATTTTTTTCCTTGAGCGTCGTTTTTAATGTTCGCAACACGATTTCGATCTTTCACACCTCCGATTGATTTTTCAACTTTTCACTTCGTTTCACACGTTCTTGGGTTTTCCAAACTTCGAAACACTCATGAGCTAATCTTTGTTCTTCCGAGCGTCTTCTTTCAGGGCTCCACAGAATTGGATGTTCAAGAAAATGATTATAATATGTTGGTGGATACCAATTATGTGTCATAATATTTTGTAATGTTCATCATTTGATTTAAATAAACCACAGAAATCCAAAGCTTTTGAATCTTCACTGTACTAATCCCGAAACACGAATGAAACAAATAATATAAAATTGTAGCGGAGCAGGTTGAAGCTCATAACGTACGTAAGTCAAAAAGGGAAAAAAGATAGAAGCAACCAATTTGGTGCTACTTCGCGATATCTTTAAATCCGCATTCCATTCGATGTAGGACAACACAAATTTATTTTTTTGAGTTTACCGTTGTTGTTGTCACTGGAAAAAATTTATATCTACCTAAATATCGAAAACATTTTTCATTCTTCATAAAGCGATAAAATCAAAGTTTCGATTTTTTTCCTGTTTTACCTTTAATGCTGAAAAAAGGAACAAAAATCGCAGACTCATTGGACGAATTACTTTTAATTTCAATGGAAATTCTGTCGTCTAAAGAATTTGCATTGAAACTTTTGAAACAGTTTTAAGTGGTTGTCATTACTTACCCAGCTTGAAAAGTGTTTGAAGGAAGCAATGTTTTGACACTGAAATTGAAGGGGAAAGTGTTGAAAAGTTTCAAAGTCAATTAACATTCTGCTAATTAAATTGAATGCTTTGCTTTTTAACCTTCTCAAGAATTATGGTAAAATTGATTGATAAAATTGAGTTCTCAAGGGTGATTGAATCTGGAACAATTTCAAATTTGAATGGGTTTGAAAAATTAACCTTCATGGAAATTAGACACAATGACGATATTTTTAGCACGAAAATAATTTATAAGTCACATAAATTTCTGTTATCAAATTTTTATTTTCAACATTTTTTCTTTTGTTTTTTATTGGCCATCTGATTCAGCGAGAATCTCCAATCGAATCTTCAACAATGATCTTGATTCTCGCTTGATAACAAAATGTAATGTCTTTTTTATTTTCTTATAAAAATTGTTCTTGTTTATAATTGCATAATATATGAATCTTTTCATTTATGCGTACATCAGTTTCTCTCTTTGCTTATCATCGAATTTATGTTGTTCGAATTAAAAAGAAAATTTAATTATTTCTTCATTTTCTGTTTTTTTTTCTTTTCCTCTTTTATTAAAAAATCAATTAGATAGAAACGAATTTTCTTTTTCTTCAATGAACGAACGTCTCCTTGTATTAATGGTTCATAATTTTTTTACGACTTTGTTTAATATACACAACAAATTCATGAAAGGAGACAGTAAAAGAAACAAAAAGAAAAGATTCGGAAAGAAAACTATTTTTAAGTCTCTCACTCACGATTAATAATAAGGAGGTGAATTTTTTTCTTCATCTATAATATGATCTTATCTGCAGACACTCATCACGCTATCACGCGGATTATTTTATACATTTTTTTCACATTCACACAATTTTCATTCCGATCTCAATTACGCTAAGAACAAAAAAACTTTTATTCATTTCTTTTCATTATGTTTTTATACGTAATAAGACGTTGCAATCAATTACAAAGCTAATAAATAATAGACATAATATAATTCCCTTAAAGGCAGTTTAAATTTTCTTTTGCATCCGCCGGTTGTTGTTCTTCTTCATTGATTGATTTGCAATCAAATATATTTTTATATATGACTTGAATAATTCACCAGGTGAGCAAGGAGCTAAAGATTGATTTGATGATTCATTTTTAAGCTAAACGATAACATAAGACTTGATTTCTTTCAATAAATTGTTTCATAAACTACAAGAAAGGTGTGTGGAAAAATTAAAGATTGATTTTTTGAATAGGAACCGTTTAAATAGAAAGTGTATTAAAATCTGATATGCATCGATGTTAGAAAAACTAAAAGTTAACATAAAACATATTTACAACAAACATAAACTAATGTTCCATCGATTCTTACTTAGAAGAACATCGTTAAGTTCTTGATATTTTCTGCAATTTAATTACGTTCCTCGATTTTAAGTTTTTCATGATCAGAAATTTTCGAAAGTTTTAATAATAATTTTGAGCATTTATATCGAGTGATTTCAGGATTGAATAGTCAAATATGTGTATTCATAGTTTCAATTTACATGCAGATATGAAGTAATAATAATAAGATATATAAAAAAAGTTGATTGCACAATTTCAAGTAGTTATTAATAAAACTCAATCAATCCTCATCTCACATCGATTAAAGTTTTATAAACGTATCAAAGAAAGAACGAGAAAATGATTTGAATAAAAGAAAAACAGAACAATTTTATAATAAGAATTATAATAATTTTTTAAGCTTATTTTTACACAAATTTTTTAATTCAATTAAAGTTATGTAGGTATTACATTATTGCATCGTACTGTACAATGGTTTCAATGTAGTTGTAGTACTAGTTTCGGGGATGTTAAGGAATTTGGGGTCAGGGTTATGTAAATAGGAAGAAAGGATGTAGGTCAATTTAGAAAATTCAGATATAAAATATTCTTTTAATATATTCATGTTTAAGAGCTCGCAAATAAGTAAATTTTCTGTTTTATTCTAAATCGATCGTCAAGTTACCTAGTCGAGCACTCAACATAACATTCATGTCCATAGAATTCAAACACACTTAAAAAACACAAACACGCATGAAAGCACACATTTTCGTACATGCACTCAGCTAGTACGTTAAGAAGGCAACTCTGGATTCTTATTTCATTCGATTCAGTACCAAATCCATGATGTCTGTGAGGCCCTTTTGGTATGGTGATTCAGCTAACTTGTTTGCTAATTTGATGGCTTCGAGGCAGTGTTTGCGGGCAAGGAAGCGCGTCTGCTCGAGACCTTGCGATTTATGCACCAGCTCATATGCTTTCTCGACATCTCCGGGCTCTTTGAAGCGTCTCATAATCATGGGATTCAATTCAGGGTACTAAAACGATATGACAATTGAAGAAAAAAACGAAAAGAAATTAAATAAGTTAAGTGATGATTTCTATTGAGTAAAAAAAGAAGCCGATAAATCTCTCCAACTTCCATCTCTATGTTTCGATAATTTGTCTTAGATATTTCTTTCACATCGAAAATAGCAAATACCGAGATGAAGAAAAAAATAGCGAACATCTTTAGAAATTCCATAATTCGCTTTCTATTTCCATATGAGTTTGCTCATTGAGGCGATGACCGGCGAAGAAAGAAAATAATAAAAATGAAATTAAATGCGAGCGTTGAAGTTTAATAAGAGTGAAAACTATTTCGAAGATGATGACGACAATGATGGGTAAATTTCAATGAAAGTGAGTTTGATGCTGTGTTGAAAGAAATTCGAATGAATTCAAGTTTAGAACGTAAGCCTTGGAAATGATCTTGAAAGAGATTCATTAGCAACATTCAAGCTTCATTTTTCACGACTTCATAATGGAATTTCCGAAACGAAAATGACATTGTCATAATCAATGATTAAAATTTAATAAAGCTTGAAAAATGACAAATATCAATAAAAATCTTCCATGAAATCTAAATCGGAAATTAAATCAACAAACAAAACCGTTGAAGGCCGAAACTCTCGTTTTCAAGTGACAAGTGTCGTTCATCAAAGTTTTTGGGTGTTATTTAAATATTCATCAAGCTTTTTGAAGCTATGGCATGTGATGCCAACCAACTTCATCAGAAATCATCTTAAGGATCATTAAAGAAAATGAACACAAATCTCTGTCTATCATCGCATACATTTTCAAGTCCATTACTGGTGATTTATTGATCTTCAAAACAACACGCTTTATGTTGAAGCTTAAGTAGAAAAAGAAACGTTTTAGATATTTACTTTTTTTAAAAGTTAAAAAATAATATCATGCTGATGAGTTCCGTTGTATTATTATGCGGTTTTTATGTCAGTTATGAAAAGAATTAAATCAGGCAGCAATTAATAAGTAAAAATATCCGACAAATTTTCATTGAAGTCGGATGATAATATCAGCAGCTAATTGGGTAAGTCGTTGTCTCAAACACCAATTTTTTGTTTGTTTATTTGTTGATGCAGGCTGTTGATCGTTAATTATTATCCATCATCATAACACTATTATACAGTTACATAAAACAAAACGACACAAATCTTGAACTTGATCATGAAATAATGTGTCACACAACCGGAAGTTGGAGTTTTGCTTACGAATGAATATTAACATAGTTGTAAGAAGAAGTTGGTCAACTCACCTTTTCGCAGGCAAAGAGAACGGGTGCGGTAGCAAGCCCTAATTTAAGATCGGCTGCTGCTGGTTTTCCCATTGTCTCTGATGATGACACAAAGTCCAAAAGGTCGTCAACGAACTGGAAGGCGAGCCCTAGATTTTTACCGTATTGGAATGCGGTCTCAACAAGCGGCGCATCGGCTCCAGATATTGTTGCGGCCTATTAATAATTAAGTTAAATATAAAAATTTTCTTAAGAATATTCACTACGCCTACTTACGGCTTTTAGACTATTTGCGATCAGCGATGCTGTTTTTCTGTAGGTCTTTGTGAAGTAGTGAGAAAATCTTTCGTTTTCAGTTTCTTTTGCACCCAGCTGCATGAATTCTCCTTGTACTAAGTCGTTCAAGACCTAAAAAATAAACCATAAATATTATCATGTGAACGATTAATGATAACAAAGAAAATCTTTTGGACAATATTTCTCGAAGATTTGTCAATGATTTAATTAGCAACTTCTCCCTTAACCTTCGTTGAATCTTTTGACTCCCATGAAGTTTACCTCGCATAATGCGAGTCTTATTGTGCTGTTCATCATTCTCAAAGCATCACAAAATTATTTATTAATAAATAAAAAAAAGTTTTTTTCTCCTTCTTTTTATAAATCGAGAGAAAAATGAAAATGTGATAACCAATTGCATAATCAGCAGCTGATGACGAACTTACAAGATAAACTTGAAGCTTCTTTTTAACTACATCAGTATTCAGCACTCAGCACAAGCCCAGCATAGCTGGTTTAAGTGAGCATAAACAGCATTTTCTTTCATATTTTTTCATTTTATTTTTAGGTCATTCATTGATTATGCCAAGATTATGCAATGGTCCATCTTATGTTGACGTTTTTTTCCCTGTCGTTATTCACTGAAACAATTCAACGCTTTTTTAAAGTGAGAAGTTGTGATGCTTGTCATAATTTAAACAAGACAGACAAAGCCTCGAATTATGAAGGTGATTTTATTTCTATGCAGCGATAAAAATTTGCCCATGAATCGCCAACAGTCGCCAAAAAAAAAGAAAATTTAATCAATCACATGATTCGTGACAAAAACATCGAGAAGAATAAGCGGAAGATTTAACACTTAATTAATTATTCCGCGGAAATGTCAATAACACAAAAACTGTAAATTTTCACATGTTAATCGAATTAATCGTGAAGTAAAAATATTTTCATAAGTTCGTCACTCAGTAAACACTGATAATTATTTATTGTCTTCCTGGGTCTTCATGAGTTCAAATATAATTCATGTTCGTCCTTGATGTGTAAAGAACAAACAAACAAACATCATTAGATGAAAAATCGCTTCTTGAGAAACTTTTCTGTCAATGTAAATAAAAGATAATTGAAATGTTACTCAATTGAATGCTTGTTTGATCTTTCAAGAGCGGTTTCAAATATTGGAACGCATGTCATCTTGTTTCAAATTATCTTCGCTGATATCGCAACCAAACCAGCTTTTTTTCTTGGGATTATTAAATTAATTTACATGTAAACAACAGTCAATTAATTAATAATTCATCAAACATAAAATTTATTAATGGCTTTGTAATGAAATGAATCTTTTTGTGTCTTGTGACACTTCGCTTTCATATCGAAGATTGATTTGTGTGTGACTTGAACGATTTCATCGTCAAGCATGGCAGGGCTCACATTTGATGTTTCAACATCACTTATAAAGTATATAAGAAAATTAACAAAGGGAAAAATGAAGCGGGATTTGAATAAATATTGCTAAATTTATCTTTTTCCACACCCACACCTTCATCATTCAATATTTCTAAAGTTACATAAATAAATAAATAAAGAAATATTAAATAAAGCTAACGTACGAAACGTGTGTGATAACAAGTGGTCAAACAACAGCAGCTCTATATTATATGCCATGAGTTCAACAAGTGTGGTGCTAAGAGACTTTACTTTGACTTACAAATTTACATAAAAGACGATTTATTTAATCGTCAATCGTCATGGTATCGACATTTGCCAATAATTGAGAAGTTGGACTTTTAAATTTAACAAATCATGTGTCAGAATTCTTGAAAATCCCAGAATCTTATTCAGATCTCACTTTAATTGTTGAGTTGTCACAATGTTGCTACATATCGACAATTACCACCCATTGAGATTTTTGTGAACGTCAAGGCGAGATTTAAGTGTTTAACAATAAGCCAACATTAGTGGCCGTTTAAACATATCTACATATCTACTTATGTATGTAAAACAAAACAGATAACGGGAGGAGAAAAATTTCATAGCTTCAAAATCTACTCAAAAGATCGTTTTCAAAGCTCTTTGATGTTTTACTTTTTTTTTGTGGACAACATTTGCGGTCATCGTTCAGATGCTTATGGAAACAAGGAGAGTAGTAAACATACGACAATGTCGACAACGCAACACCCGATTGCTAACAATAAAAATGTGTTTAAAATGTGTAATGAATTTTTATCAATGGAGCTTCATCAACGCAAGCGGAGCAAACAGACATGATGAAAGGAATTTTAAACAAACTATTTCCCACTCCCTGATAGAATTTTACTTATTTGACAGTAAATTTAACGACCGGTAAATAGTTTTGACAATGGTTACATATTGCAAAGATTTTTTAAAAGCTCAACTTTGCTATTTTAAAAATGAGTAAACAACTTGATGAAAGATAACTTCAAACTTAAGATAGTTCTTGATCTCAATCAACTTTTTTATGCTGTCGTTCAAGTAATCAATCAATGCAAATGACTTTGTCAAGGATTTCTTTACGATTTCTAAACTGCGCCGAATGTTTTTATTCTTCAGCGAATTAAGTGAAATAATAGTAACAACAAAAACGTCTTAATAATTAAGACCTTTATGAATTAATTAGTTTAGCATCGTGACGGTCTTAATGAACATTTAATTACTTTTAAAATATTTAATTATAACTTAAGAAGCCAGAACCTCGACATGATCGTTAATTTCATTTATTTCACGCGTTTTAAGATTTCGATGTAATTCTAATGTTTTGCTTTAATGATGACTTCAAGCTTTGCTTTGTAAGTTTCAACATAACAGGCAAACATGGAAAAGAGTCACTATTTGCCCAGACAACGCCTTTATTGGCTAATCAATTTATTGTAAGCGCTATTGGGATAGCATTCAAGTCCGAGTAACGCCTCACCACATCGCGCTTGCTGACTTTAAATTATTACTTACTTATCTTCGTTAGTTTTGTCGCATCGACAAAACGAATGAAAAATGTTCAATTACATCCTATTCAGAAACAATTAAGATTGTGGTTTAACATTGCATCGAGTATCGAACTTTGAAAGCTTTCGCAATATTTGACGATAAATCAGTTGACGTTTAACAAAAATCGACAAAGTTAAGAATTTATGGCTTTTGAAATTCCTTTTTAAAAGCAATCAAGGTGACAAAGGAGATGGGAAAAGTAAAGAAAACTTAAAAGGTGAAACATCTTAGATATGTAAATTAGGGATATGCGACACTGAGCTTGATTATTTTAAACATTTTAAAAATTAGAAGGAAAGGGAAGAAGAGATACAATATTTATTTAAGTCTTGTGATCTGCCGAAATGTCTGGTGATTTATCATCAATATAAAATTACTTTTGCGAAGATTTCTAATTCTTTGAAAACCACAATCGGTTGGTTGATTTCAAGTTCTACACCTGGCCGAACCATAAATGAAAAAAATTCTCTTTAACATAAAATCCCAATTAGTTTCCAAAGAAGTCAAGACCGGAATTTTCTTCCTAAGCTTTAGAGAAAAAAAAATCAGCATCGTTGAGCTAATTCAGAAGAGAAAACCTTAAAGTTTGATTTTGCTTTAAGAACTTTAACAAATTTCTATCTGAATGAAAACTTCTTCAAGACGTTGTTATTTGATATGGTCAACTTGGTATTTTAAATCCGGTATTTTCAATTGTAAACAAAATAATAATTCGAACTACACATGGGTGCGTTCTTTGTGATGATGATGATGACATTGAGTTCTTTTGATCATCTCGTGTAACATATCTTCGAGTTTTGATATTGCGCAATATTATTGCGCAATATTTTTTTTTATAAATATAAGAATTCTTACCTGACTGAGCATTAATGTCACCTCGTCATGTTTAAGGCGCGAAAGCATAATGGAAGCTATTGCAAGTACGTAGTCACCAGCTTGTGTTACCTGTTTAAGGAATGTGAGAAAAAAGAGAAATTAATCGAAGAATTTGAAATCAGCACAAACGTGAATAACATGCGAGTTAACGAGTCATCGAGTTTCGCAAGAAAATCACCAGGATCTAAAGAAACGATAATCTTGTGAAACCCTTACTGTGACTTCATCAATGAATCTTCTTAAAAGGAAGTTTACGGAGTGCAGTAACAATTTATCAAACTTATACAAAACAAATCCCACGCAAATCAATCTTTCGACATGCTGTTTAAACTTTTTTTTATTGTTTAGTGATGTGTGAGAAACATTCCTTCGACAATATTTTGTTTCCTAAAGATTCCAAAAAAAATAAATAAATAAAAAAGTAACAAAGAGAAGGAAAACAAAAATCATCGCGAGCAACCAAATCATTGCCAATAAACATTCATCGAAAAAAGTGTGTTTATTTCACTTTCTTTTTTTACTCTCCTCTTTTGTATGAGCCCCAGATTGAATTTACTATACACATTCACACAAAATATTCAATCCATTGATCCACTTGATGAAAGAGCGCGCTCTCACTTAGTTAGCTTCATTGAACTGAAGTTGTTAAAGAAATAAAACTGCACATGTATGATTAAAATTTTCATGCTATTTGCACTAATTCGAGAGCTCAAAGTCAAGCACTTAACACTTCGTCAGAAGGTCAAAAGATTTTCATTTATGAATAAGTCTTTTAAAAAAATTTAAATCACTAATTTTAATGGTAATTTGCAAAAGCTTTTGCAGCAATGCATTTAATGACTTCAATTTTAAGATTAAATTAATTTGATGTACTAACGGAAATTTTCTTCTTCTTTTTTATTTCTTGCAACTTTTCTCTAATTAACATTAATGCATGATTCATTACAATGACTATGCTTAGACTTGCCACATATTTGTTTCTTTCATCTCACTTAATTTGTACATTGAAATTACATGATTTAGTCTCACAAAGAAAACAATTAATTTCTCTGTATCACTAGTCACTGAAGTCAAGTCGTCTTTTGAACAAAATCATTTCTTAATTTCCGCTTTTATTGTTTCAAGTTGAAAAAGTTTTCAGTTGTCAAGGAAATGAGAATTTTCCTCGTCACTCTTCTTCATCTTTTTAAAAAAACCTTCCGCAAAGTTATTTTAATTGATGAGTGTGAGCGCAACGAAGTGTTTTTAATATTTGGATAATCTAATGAGCATAAAGGCGGGAATCATAAAAGAAGAACGATCTCAATAAAGGTTGGAATGTTTGCTGTGATTATTGATATGACATTGAATAATCATGAACTAAAATAAATCGCAAAGAAGATAAGTCGAAGTTTGTGGCTCATCACAGCGCAATTCTTTACGCAATTAAAAACTATTTTTCCATTCCACTACTCTTCTCATCGCTCAATTGACATGATATCAAATATTTAGTTGTCGCTTGTTAACATGCCAGCGAGCTGTCAGGGACAAGCTGAACATCGAATGAACGATTCTTTGAAGCACCTTCTGATGCACATGAGAAAACATCAATGAAAATTACAAACCGATGTTGTTAGCTTTATATCATCAATTGCGCAATTCTGAAAATCCCCTGAAATGCACTTGTGAGGTTGCTTCATTCTTAAAAAAAAAATCGTGATGTGTCACTTTTATGGAAATCTTCATTCAAGAAATGATGATGATGACGATAACTCCTAGGAACAAGGCCTTGACTTTTATTGCATCTCGTGATTTCTCGCCCATTGATTGTTTGACCTTTTTTCCATTCTTCAGTGATTCATATCGATGGAATCATCAGGAAATTACCGAAAATTATCCAGCATTCTTTAAGTAGGTGAATTTTTGCCATGAGAAACAGATTTTCACTTTTTTCCTTACTTAACATTAATAAATTGATGTTGTCGGGGATGAAAGGCTCTTCAACGTTATCGCTTCAAGCTTCGCAGCATAAAATATTGTATGGCACTGACATTTATCAACGCTCTTTTAATGCACATCTGATATGAAACTTTCGACTTTTAAGTCAGAGTTTGAAAACAATTTTCGTCACGAATTCTGTTGAAAGTTATTCGGAAAGAAATGTTCACCCCTGTTGGCACTTGTTTAACGTTATGCGAAGCATTATTAACGACTGGAATGTCTTACATACCTTAACGCAATGCATTACTATTCCCATAATTCGTCTCGTGAGGAAAGTGAAAAGTTTTAAAGTTTTCCTTTCACAAGAAACTTCACTCAATCTCAATTCACACGCATTTTGATGCAATTCAAGAACATGAATCGTTCGGTTCCATTTCGTTCCGTCCCATTCGATGTCGGTGTTAAATGAGAAAAAAAGTCCAAAAAATTCGTCTCGTTGTTATTACCTTCGATTGTTTTCAATGGGATTGATTGCTAATAACAATCATGTCGAGCGTAATTCGCGAGAAAAATGAACAGATTCGTGGTCAAGTGTTTACTCAACCGTTTAATTTCGCGTGATTTTTGCGGCTCTTGTTTCGAAATTCTTTAAAAAGAAAACAGAAACCTATTGAAAATTCAAGTATTTTCATGCATGCACTAAATAAATTTCAATCTTTATTATGATTGACTAATAACTTGGGAATTTCTTTCGATTTCATAACATTAGTACGGAAGAAACCGGATATAAATACTTGAAATTTCCCTCCTTCATCGTTCGCGCAGCTATGTCATATAAAAATACCATTTCAACTTGGAAGTGAATACAAATTTGTTTAAATTACTTTTTTTTATATTTCTTCTTCTCTTTTTCTCATGTTAAAAACTGCGTAAAGCGATCGCAGTTATGTTTAAAATTTAAACATCCAACTCATAACTACTTGTGTGTGGCGCGCAATTTTTTTTCTCTTTCTTTGGGCATCACATTATCATCTTGCTAGAGTATCTTTCCTCAACAATCAAAGTCTTTTGTTTTTGCTTAAGCTAGACAAAGTACAGCATGACATGGCATGCACAGCATCACACCCAGCTGTGATAGTAATTTTACTTTCAATTTGAAGATATAATACTTAAACCAGCGACTCTATGAAGTTTCGTTTGCTGGAAAAATGATTTTCTCATGACGATTTTGACACTCGTGGTTCATTCATAATCATTTCAAAAGACGGAGAAAAGTAAGCAGAAACATATATGAATGAATTTTTAACGTGGCTGTTGATGCTTACGATATTGTTGCGGATTTCCTTTTCATGCCTAAAACAGAAGTCGTTTTTATTTGAATTCATGTATGACGACGATCTGCTGTTGACTTTAGATGACTAAAAGTGAAAACTGAAAATTTCCCTTGTCGTCAATGGTGAGAAGTTCTACGAAATATTTTTGGCACTATAATGAAAGGCACGTTTTTAACAAAGAATAATTCTTTACATCTTACATCATCGTCTTGATCGTCACGTTTCTATTTGCCTCTTCATCCATTTTATTTGCTAAGCTATATAAAGCTGAAAGCGAAAACATCAAAGATACGCGACCATTTTATTGCTAGGAAGATTTTCTGTCTAAGATCTAAGGTTGATCGAACTAAAACAACAAACGACTCTTTTTGTTTTCGTAACATTTAAGAATTTATTGCCTTCAGGTTCTTCTCTACTCTTTAGCTTTTGTTTTAATAACTTGAATACTTGGGAAGTCCATATATTTGTTTTACTACACAATGAATATCGTCATTTATCTGTTGTTTCTTAACAATGAAGAAGAAAAAAGAGCAAAGCAAAAAAAAAGTCATTCGTCATGTTTATGTAATTTGCCGCCCAAGCTTTAGAGCCGCTTGGTCAAAAGGACTTTCCCTTCACCTTTCTTTTTGCATCAGTTCGCGCGAATTTTTCTTTGTGCTGATATTTCGCTTAATTACACCGAAAGCAGCAACAACAACGACACAGACCAGTCATCATTACTTCAGATTATTTTATGATTCAACTCATAACTTTTGTCTTTTTCTTCTTGCGCTCTGTTTCGCTTCCCAAAATCAGACAAGTGCTTGGTACAATGAAAAATCGACATGAAAAGATATTTTTTGTTGGGATTTTTTTTTCTTTCATTTTTTTTTGGGTAATGTTACAAATAATCATGCACCGGTTAAGATTGGAATTCCATGAGAAGAATGACCGTAAAATTTGTTCAAATAATCTCAGTTTGTTTTCTCAAAGTTTCTTTCGAATGACTTAGTTTAGAATTTGGAATTCAATAGTTGAAGTAATTTTCGTTGTTTCACTTTCTATGAAGAGTAAATTTGAGATGTTTTTGTTTTTATTAAATATTCTACTTCTATCGACAGTTACATGTTCCGCTCTACAAACACTAATCAATCAAAAATTATGAAAAAGAAAACTTTACGAATTGCTCTTCACAACTTTTGAATCATGCTTCAGAAAGTTTGATGAACTGCACGAATGAAACGAAAACGTTGCGCTTTAATTTGCTAAGTATACGCGAATGAATGTACGTATGAAGGAAGCAATTAAGGTTAAAAGAAACTTCATAGCGTTTTCATGTTAACAATCATTCAATTAGTATTCAGGAGAACTGCGCGACCTACAGTGGCTAATAAATAAGTAATTGAATTGGTTTATAGAAAATTCGGAAGCATTAAGTCGGAAGGAAAGTTTTCACCAAAAACCAAAACGAAAGAAGGAAAAAGTGTTGGAATAAAAAGTAAGAATACGCGAGGTACATGTTGATTGCACTTTAAATATTTTAATATTATTTCACTCTTTATTTCAAATCATGCATAAATGTCAACTTCTTGAATAATCGTCAAGAAACTTAAGGTCGTTTAAGAAGCAAAGGCAAACCAATAAAACAAAACAATAATTGATGAAGATCAACTTCATAAAACCTACACGAATTTTAATTTATGTTGTTGTCTCTCATTCACTTACTTCGTCTTTTAATCGGCAACAAGGGCTTTCACTTTTTTTCCCCATTACGAAATTCATTTTCGGTTCGCTTTTAATTGCTTATGAGACTCTTACGATTGATTCTGATGATCATTTTGTACATTGGGTACACATACTAACTCATACACACACATATTAACATCTATTTAATGAAGAGTCATGGGAAAACATTAAAGATCGAAATCATGCAAGAAACATGAACATGAAGGAAAGGAAGATTAAAAGATAAAATCTCATCGTTTTCTTACAACAACCTGACAGATGTCAAAAGATGGCAAACGATCAAAACTTTTTTTTAATTGAACTAAGCGAAGTTAAGAGAAGCGAAAAATCTATTAAATATCTTGAAAGTCGAAACCATAAAAAAGGCGTTAAGTTCGACAAAAGCGCTCATCGGACATGTAAATATTTTGACAACGCACAAAAACACAATGCAAAGTCTTTTTTTTCCCTCGTCAATTGCTCATAGTTAAGTTTTATGTGCGAGGTGTTTACTGAGGTGTCAGAAAAAAAGTGATGAAGGAAAACTGTGCCAATGTTAAGACAATTTCAACAAGAATTATGCGAATTCCCATTTCCTGCTGTCACACCATCCATAAACAAAAAAGATTGCAATTTTATTAACGATTTGATGAGCGAGTGAATGAGTGAGAGAAATGAAATTTTTTGACGTCAGAAATTATTTTCATTTCAATGATTATCATAAAATATGTCACTATAATTTTAAACAGGCAGTTTAACATGTGCTTAAATTATCGATCATGCAGATTGAAGCAATAAAAGTCGCAAAGTTAACGATTCTTATTATTTTTTGTGTTCATTTGTCATGCACTGGATTATTACGGGTTATGCAATGATGCCGCGAGCTTTCGGGCATTGTTTGCATTTGCACTTCAACAGCATAAGCTTTCTGATCATACGACCAGACTAAAGCTATGAACAGATATTTTCTTGACCTAGAAAGGTTTGACGAGTGATATGGCAAATGCAATTCAACAGGTTACATTACATTAGCCAATTAAAGGCAAATTGCATTTGCAGTTTAAAAGTTTAATCTAATTGCTACTGCACCCGAAGACTTCAATCTAAATTCCTTCATTTACTATCTCAATGCTAGAAATATAAAAATAATTACTCACTTTTTTATGATTCCAGATGACATTTACACTCGGTTTGCCCCGCCGGGAGAACGATTGATCGATGACATCATCATGAATTAAACTCGCTGAATGGATCATTTCTGCTATCATGGCAATTTTTCTCTGAGCGTTTACAATCTGCGGACTAGTTAGAGAATGGAAAGATACAAATTGAAGAAGAAGTTAGTTTGAATTCGATTTGAAAAAGCTCATGAATTAACATTTGAACAACGAACCAACCAAACAACTTGCAATCTCCCCCGAAACTTCATTCCAGAAGAAGAAAAAAATTGATTTCATTGCTTTTTTATGAAAATTAAAAGTGAGACAACTTTTGCATTTAGTTTTTTCAAAAGCGGAGATTGAACCTTTTTGAAGGTCACACGACATCATCTCGAGATGTTCTTGAAAAAATTCTCGATAAAACATTCTCGTAAATCTCTCCCCAAAAATCTCGAGACTTTATAATCACGAGAAAGAAGCAAATAAAAATTAAGAAAATGTTCCATTGAGATAAAAACGAGACCCGCAGCTGGCTTAGCAGCACTAAAAATCTTCTGAAGGTAGAACTATGGAAATTTTCAAAGCAGTTTTTTGCAGATTTTGAATATTTTTTCGATTTCTTGTGTTGTTTGCTGTCAAAGAAACTTGAAAATCGGCATATTATGGGACACACGTTTCTGAAGGCGACGAGATATTTATACAAGAATAAGTATAAACGAAACTTGAAGAAAGTGATTTTTTTCCTCGTTCGCTAATAAATTTTGCTTGTGGTTGCGAGTATCACATGGCGTTCACATGAACCATCGCGTGCTTTTTTTTTTGGCAAAGAGTTCAACGGTCTATTGAAATTTCTCGTTTTATTTTATTTTACTTTGCGCGATCGTCTCATAATATTATTTTTTCTTATTTTACTAATTGACTCGACTTATGAAACATAAGAGCAAATTTAGATATTGATGGAAATTGACCAACAGCATCAACAACATTCGATTCTTCTGAAATGATCAATTATATTTCAATTTGCTTCAAACTTCTTATTGGAACAATCAAAGTTACTTGAAAAGGAAAATCTGTTGGCATCGTTTTACTTATTTCTTGCATGTTGTATTTATTTTTTGCGCTCCATCGCAATAAATTATGCAATATGACACAATAAATTGAGCAGACATTGACGCAAATATTTAACTTAAAGCAAGTGTTGGTGCTTATGCGGAGCAAATTTATTTACGCGAAAAATCAAGCACAAGAGAAATAAAAACTTTAAAAGTTAATGAAAATGAGCTTTTTCCCACCTGCAGTCGTCTCAATGTTTTCTTTTTTTTTTTTTTGCTTTTGTACTTTTTGTGTGCATCAACAATATATGGATTGAGGTTTGTTTAAATGTCAGAGATCAGATTGCAATATTTATTTATCATTTATCTATCGATTTCAATTTAAATTGTTAGTTAATATCGACCCTCAATCTTATCGAATGACTTAAGCGAGGGAGAGTGAGATAGCGAGCTTGGATACTTAGCAACAATTCCGCATCTGACTTCAACTATGCGGGTGTACACATTAAAAAAAAGAAGTACAAACCTGTTTTCTCTGTGCATGTGATAATTAATTGCTTTTCCCATTAACATCGTCACCATCGGACGGAGAGCTTTGCCTTGTCCATCGAAATAATATTCGGCAATTTGTATGAGTTCTTGTTGATTTGTTCCTTGATGTAATTCCTTTTGTTGTGTCCAATTAAAGTCAACAGGAAAAAAATTAAGATAAGCAAAAAAAAAAAGAAATAAAAAGTGGTTTTAGTAGATTCATTTTTTGTTTCCTTAAGAGAACAAACAAACAATTTATAAATTCAATCTTTTCCACTCCTAAAATGTTTCAGAAATGCGAAACAACGATGATAGACATTTTTGGAGCTTCGCCCAATTTTCGGGTTTTCCAGAAGCATCTTCAACTTGAACTTACAAAACGATTAAAATTTCCCAAAATAAATAAAAAAACCCAAGAAATATCTGCGTAGTTGATTTGTGTAAAACTTTATTTGTAAGATAAAAATTTAATTGAGTAATTTTCGGGGCTTAACAGTGATTAATGGGAATCCAATAACAAAAAAAAAGAAACAATTAGTCAAATTTCATTATCGTTTAGAGGTGGAGTGACCTGGACATACATACATACATACACAGATGGTACAAAAAAAGTAAAGTAACTAAAAGCTATTAAAATCAATGTTAACAACATTCATTAATGCTTGAAATTATGATTGCCAATGAAACAAATTAAAACTCCAAATAAAATCAAAAACTTATTTTGCAACTGAAAATAAAATATTGAAAAGTAGATCAGAAAAAACTTTTAATTTCAATTTCATCTTTAAATTTCTGAAGGTGTTTGCAATTTATAAGTAAAAAAGCTTTTTCTTTTTCTCTTTTTTTGTTCCAGGTAAGTCTCCGATCATGTTAACATAATCAGGTGCTGGTACTTGGTTATTGCGGTCGTAGTTTCCATACCAAAAGCGGAGCATTTTTCCGTCACGTTTACTCCAAGGATCTTGATTTTTCTTTCGATCAAATACAACATCACGATGACAAGTTAATTGTCGAAGACTGTAAAAGAGGGCCCAGCCAGTGCTGACTGCACAGCAAACAAAGATCGGAATGAGTGCAGGATATTTACGCCACTCACTGAAACGCCAGCCTCGTAATGTCATTTTCAAATTTTTTTTTCAACAGGAAATTTTGTTTCACGACTTGACGACAATCAAAACGAATAAATTTCAATTTTTTTATGATCAAATTCACTCTTCTGAGATTGCTGCGATGTGATTTGGCGATTAGAAGTGATTTCAACCACCTGTTGTCGACTTTACTGCATCACATTTTAAGAACGATTTTTTGTCTAAAAGTTTCTTAATTCGAATCATCATTAAGAGATTCTAAAAGTCTAAAATTTACGACGCGTAATTTAGCGAAACAGGATGAAGCGCTGAAAATGCAAATTAATTTGTTCTGGTCGTTTCGATGGAAGTTTTATTTTTTTTTATTCGAACGAAAAACGTGTAACATCTAATAAGATGGAATATCAATCTTTTCACGTGATTTTCGAGACGGAAAAAAATTATTAAAAATTAAAAAAAAAAATTTAAAACTCTAAGGTCGAAGAACGGATGAGAAAGCTGGTTAAATTAGTTAAATTTTAATCTCGAATGTCATTTTGTGTAAAAGGAGAACCAGCATGGTGATTAGTCAAGAAGAAGGCTTTGAAGGCGTTTCAGAGAAAAACTAAAGTGAAACTCAAGGGCAAGTGAAGTTCCTTCGCATTCGTGCATTGAAGTCTTTCGAATGCTTTTTTGCTTCTGACACCTGATGAGAGGTCAACGAACAATTTACAAAAGAGAAGAAAAAAAGTCATTTCGAAATATCACCCGAGACCAAAAAAAACCACTTTGAAACTAATAATTATTCCAGGGATATCAACAATTTATAGCTTTTCAATAGCAAGGTTCAAAGCAGGATGTTGGAGTGGAAAGACCAAAGAGAAACTTGTCAACTAACCTGTCGAATGTCCTCGAAAACATATTTTAGCTCATCTTCTAATAAGATATACGGATCGATTTTGTATTCCCTGATTGGTCCAGCTGGTTGTTGTGTATGTACGGAACTGTAATCTCGTGTGCTGTTTTGTGAAATAGCAGCGGATGATGTGCATGTTGCCTGCAAATACAAATAAAATACCAAACATTTCATTAATAAAACTATTCAAATATTTTTGTCTTTCAAATCGTCTTTGTCAATGTCACATTCTAAGCAGAATCAATCTACAATTAATTATTATCTAACAATTTATTTAGACAGACTTTCAACTTTAAAAAAACTAACAAACATGTTTCAGTCGAAAAATAATAAAAAAGAAGAAACGAAACATTGAAACAGTGAACAGCGGTTCGGTTCAGACATTTAGGCTCGTTTATAAAATTTTCTTTAGTCAGAGGGGACATGCGATTGCGCAATCAAATATTATCTGCTACTTTGTGTTTATATTATTTATTTTTTAGTTAAACAATATCTATTCGAAGCTTGAATCAAAGAAAAAATTAAGATAATATTTTTCACTACGCTGCGGTAGCCAGTTACAGTCTTGAATAGGAAATGAAGGCCGACCGCCAATTATTCTTTATACATATTTAACGAGTCGGCGTTCAATCGTGACTGTGCCAATTGCACTTCAACTTCCTGTGCTTGAAATCAGTATTCGTCCTAATTTGCAATAAGCTTCACTTAATTAAAGCCGCAAATTATTCTGGATTGATTTACGAGGTACAATTTTGACACATGTTGAACATTTTTGCGGTTTTCGTTTCATTCTTACTCGATGAATCAACTCTTGGTTTTGTTAATTATCAAAAGCTATTCTTTCATTATAACGATGATGATCTTTACGAACTATAAAGCTACCAATCTTTAATTTGAATCGTTAAACTCTTCAAAAGCTTGACAACTTGACACTTCATTCAACTTATTGACAATCGAAGCTTTAACTATCTACAAATTTTTAATAATTCGCCACCTGTACAGAATTAAAGTCATATTTGTGTTTTAATATCAACTACATCAACGAACAATGGTGACATAACTCTAAAGCCATCCATAATCACCACAAGTAAAATGTTTGCATAAATAGATTTTCTTTAGGATTTGCCGACAGCAACTGAAGAGATGAATGACAAAAAAAAGCTATCAATCGACCAAAACAATAAACAAAATCGAAACTAAATGGACTCTGACGATGAAGTGAAATACAAAGATTTTCAAAAGCAAAACATGCTTAATGATTTTTTTTATTTCTTTTCTTTTCCCCTCGACTCTCGCTAAATTCACTCGCTCTTTAGTTTTTGCTTTATTCATTGAGTCCAAGTAAGCAGTAAAAGTAGGCATTTTCGATGAATGTAAAAATTGACTTTAATACAAACATTTCAGTTACATTAATGATTTAAAACTGGTATAACAATCTACACGTAATAAAATTTGTTCAAAGGTTGATCGAGTTCAAATAACGATTAAGTGTTCAATCGTTAAGGAATTATTCGATTTAATCCCATGTAAATTGTTTTCATTTTTTTTTTCTGCGTACTCTACAAGAGTTAATTTGAAGACGAGATTAATTGCCATAGCCTTATGGGCTTATGATGTCTAATTTGTTTATTTAGAAATGAAATATATTCGGAATAGTGGCGAAAACATAACGCCAATGAGATTTTCTCACGCTGATTTTGAAATTTATTGACCATGTCCATTGTGCATGGTGATGATCCATAGCATTGTGCAGGTTGATTGAAAAAAGCATCCGAAAGAAATCAACAAGCAGACATGTGAGGAAGTGCTTAATCGAGTCAGACCATTTTCCAGACTGCTAGGATGATGGTAGATAAATGCCCTTGAAATCAAACGTTGTATTAAGCTGTGAACATGTAACGGTAGGCGCGCAACAATATTTCAGTAATTGTCTTACGTTTTACAATTCGAGTGCAAAGACCTTAAAGCTCAATCATAAACGAAGGTGGAAGTTGAGAATTAGAATGCATTTGGCATTGAATCATCTTCTTTTGAGCAATTGTTAATCGCCGTTCAAGAATGGAATGTCAATTCGAGAACTCTAACTACTTTGTTGTGAATTAAGAGATAATCATAATGATGACTGTTGATTTACCAATTCATGAGCATTTAAACTTATTAAATTTCCGTTTTGTCTACTGCTGCTTCACAGACTCGTCTTCAGACTTTGAAGAAAAAAACGCAGGAAACAACAAAGTAAACTTTAGAAACTTTAGCCACATCAATCGATCATCACCGCGCCCTGGGGTAAAAGACTTTCACAAAAAAAAAGAAAAGAAAAACTTACGCAAAGCAAAGCGAAGCATTTAAATATCGAGTAGAAGCTTGAAAAAAGCCGAAATCAATTGATTAACGATTGAAATCGAATGGGACATTGGCTTGAAAATGAGAAATGAAATTGGCACAAACGTTCTGACCCAGTTTCTTCGCTCGCTTCCATCCGAACCCCGTAAAAAATCTGTTTTTCATTTCTTCAGAAATCGGTTGCGGTTTGTTTAAAGACTCTTTCTGACTGTAATGAAATCTAATTTTTTAATTATTCAATCTCTTTTTTTTCTCTGTTGAGCTATTAATTGCAAACGAAAGAAGAAGAAAAAAAAGCAACAACTGTTGGAAGTCTAAACAGCGGCGCAAAAAGAGAGAAGAAATAGAAAACAAGCAGCAACAGCTTGAATGTAACCTGCTTGAATGTAACCGCTATGAGTCGGGGCGGAATGAACATACATATGAACAGTATTTCAAGATTGAATTCCATGAAAATTCTTTCATTTTCTTCAATTTATAAAAAGAAAACTCAGCATCTAGTTACAGTTGTTTCATTAATTTTCATCTAATTAAATCGCTGTTGAGTTTTCTTTTATGTTTTAATGTTTGCAATGCTCTAGTAATAGTTTACGAATAAATCATTCAATTCTAACGGGTGTGATGACCAAAATGAGATTCATATTTACTACAACAGCAACAGCAACAACAACGGCATATGCCGAAGAAAACAAACGGAATTGAGGGGGCGACGATTCAAAAGTTTCATTTTACAACAAATTCGATGCTTATTATGAAGCCGTAAAGAAGCGATGAAATGAAAACATTCCTCAATCATACACAGACTTCTTTATATGTAAGTAACTCAACTGCATAAGTCTTAAACTAGGCTTAACACACATTCCAATCTCACTATGCCCATGCTGTGAACACAACAGAGTGATTATTGCATTTGCAACCTTAAAAAGCAAAAAAGTTAAAAAAAGCCAGCGGCATCTATTGCAAGTATCCAGATAAACCTGATGAGAACTAAATAGCTGATTTAAATTAGGCCAGTGTGTTGCATAAAAAACGAGACTGGCTTACCGAAGATCACCGTGAATATTTAGCAGTAAAAAACCTTTCTCTCTTACTTCCCAATCGTTCGATATGCAAGAAGAAGTCATTTTATGATCTTCGTCGTTTTATGGATACAAAAGTTAATGTGATCTTCATTGAAACCCGTAACTAAACATAACAAAAGTAAGCTTCTTTACAGCAAGACAATTGAATTATGCAGAAGCACTTTTGCAACTTATGTTATTGAAAAAATACAAAAATTCGTTGAGTAGACTCGTTACAATGCAATGACACGAACTGGCAAGTAGATATTTTGCTTTCATTCGATATCAAATCAAAATGCTTTGCAGTAAGGCCATTCACGGATATCCATGTTAATTTTCTATTCAAGAATCAACAAACGACATTGACTGGAATGTTTTCTTTCTTCACTAGAAGTTTCACTTCAAATATGCGACTTCTGTCGGTGATGTAAAAATGATCAATTAGAAAAAAAAAAATTTCGTATTAATGGAGTAGTTAAAGTTAAATCAACTCATTTTAAAAAAAAACTTGAAATTTAATTAAATGAGTCTTGCGCAACTGCTGCAAAAAATATTCAGTTCGACAAAATATTGTCATGTATAAAAATTTAATCTTTTTAAAATGAAAAAAAGATTTTATCGACTCGCAAAATTGCTTTCATTCAATTGAAGTTTTCACATATCTATGATTTTTGTTTTCGTCTACTTGAAAGCCCACCCGAGTGTGATGAATACCAAATTATTAATTGATGATTACATAAAGACGACAGTTTAAGCTGAATTGTGGAATTTAGTTTTGTATAGGAAGTAAACAAATATATTTAGGTATTTATGCATGGCAATTATGAATGACGAGCACGCTACATGAATCAATTATTATTGCTGATGATCGTGCTGTGGTGTGAAGGCGACATTGAGAAGCATTGAGAAGAAGTAAAAAAAAATCAATTTGTTCAATTATCATTGCGTAGGTGAAATGATGAGTTGATGATCATAAAAAGTAAGTATCGCTCTGCGCGTTTAATTATTACCGATCATCACCCATCGATTTCTATTAAAATTATTAATGTTCCGCCCATTAAGGAAAAATAAAAAATAAAAAAGGCATCAAGCTCTAACTAAATGATCATTTCACTGTCTTGTTCTCCAAAAAACGAGCAACAAGATGAGGTAAAAAAAAGCTCATTTCTCTTGAATGAGTGAATTAGTATTTTTCGTTTAAGAAGAAAACAAATTGAAAACTCACATATAGTCGAAAGGCCGAAACAGAAAAAAAGAGAAAGTCCATAAATAAAGAAACATATTACATTGAGAAGCATTTTTCCATCGATTTATTTTCTTTCGCTCGCCATTTGACTTCATTCAAATCACTAGAGGCTCTCTTAACATACATTGGAAACGTATTTATGTGTGTATGCGTGTGTGTGTTGAATTGCATTGGCATGACATGCAAAATAAGAAAAAATGAGTTGATTGAAGAGAAAGAAAAAAATGTGCAAGGTGCTTTTGTGGGGCGGTTTTAATGTGCATTCCTCTTTGTTTGGTGAAATTTCTTTTGAACAACAACTTGATTCGTTTGTAACAAACAAAGGAATGTTGCTTCTTGCTTGCTTTCTGTGTCATTGACAAAATTTTTCGTAAATTTTTTCTTGTTTCTGGTTTGATTGAAGCTTTAAAACATTTGTCAATTCTCTGATAAGATGATGTTAGCTTTGAAATCACTTGGCCCAAGAGTCGCTCAATTAGCAATCTTCACAAATCATTGCATCACACAATGGACTTTGATAATTCCACTCTAACCGTGTGTCTTCTTCTCGACTAGTGCTGCTTCAACATTAAGACAAAATTTTCACTTTCAATTTCAACATGAACTGTCTGAAGGTTTTTCGATACCTCACCAGTCAACTGTTTGTTAATTTACATTTCAAAGTTGTTTGTTTAATCAACACCATTTCATGTGCGAACGATAACGTTTCATTATACTTATATTTGATGTTTCGCAGTGAAACTTTCGCTGCTACATTTAAGAAATGTTGTAAAAATTGATGTTTATTAAAAATTAGTTTTAACCATGGAAATTGCATTGAAGCATTAAATTATCGTAGATTATTGATTAATACATCATGCATGTTATTTAAAGGTAAATGATCTAAGACAAGAAATATTCAGGTCGTGTATTCCTTACTAAGTGTGACTGTTAAGGGTGTGCAATGGAAAACGAATGAGAAATTCCGGAATAAAATTAGCAATGTAATCCTCAGAAATATCTTTCGTTCGTCATCAGACGCAAAAGCATAATAAAGAGAGAGATTTCACTTTACTACACAATTCCGAAATAGTCGAACAGTGCAAAGAAATGTCGCGTGAACGTTAAAGAAAAAAGAGACGTCTTTAACACGGATATCAATGAGGCAGCAGACGAAATGGAGTTGAAAGGAAATTAATAAATAAGAAATATCTACAAATGCTTTTTCATCGTTACCGTTGTTGTCTGTGTTTGTGGTCGAGTCGATTGACAATTGAAGTTCATCGTCAAATAGCCGAAATTTCGCAAGACATTTAAATAATCAGAAGCAGCAAAGAAATGCGAGAATTGAGAAACTCAACAACAGACAAGATTCGAAAAAAGTTCATTCATCTCGATAAAGCAAAAAACTTCAATTTCAACAATGATTTCATCAATAAAATAAACGAATTAATTTCCACGAGAGAAACTTTATCTCGTTAAACTGCAAATTTAAGTTATCTGCTTACATTAGCTGACTATTTTCAACATCAAATAAGTTCTATCGAGGATCAAACAATAAATAAAACGTTTCAGCTTTATATTAGAACTCCGTGAGTATTAATAGCTCAATGTATTTAAGCACTTGAGATATGAGCAATTCCAATTAGTATTCATGACATATATTGCCCATACAGTACACAATATAGCAGCAATTCACACTCTTTACAATTGCTTTAGTAAAGTCTTCGGAATATTTACGGTTGAAGCAGAAGTTTCTCATCTGTATTAAAAGTCCAAATTTTTTCATACCGGTGGTGAGTAAACGAGCAATAAGGAAATAAATGAAGCCGAATGACGTTATGACAAAATGTATTTCAGTTATTTACAAGTAAAAAATTGTTCTACATATCCTTGAAACAATTGGAAATTAAAATACAAGTGAAAAAGAAAACCCCCTAAATTGAAGTGTTGTTTACTTGTTCATTGCAGTCGGACATGGAAAAAAAAGACGCTGCAAAATGTTCATTGGAAACAAATAGATCGCGGACCTGTTTGATTATTGTGACCTTGTGCCATGGCATTTCGCTTGCGACAGAAACAACTTCACTAGGAAATGTTAAACAGTAAATGCATAAAATCAACAAGAAACATGATTACTTGCATATCCCAACTCAATGGATTATAAAACCTCAACAATATTCGCAAATTTGTTATTTAATCTGAATTTTAAGCCTATAAAATTTTATGTTGTTGATATGAAGTTTTGATTCAAGGAAGCGCTTCACCGGAGCATGACTTACATCTTTGTAAAAGCTACTCATATTCCAATCAGCGTGAGTTTTAGCGAATTTATGTGCATTCGATTAATTAATTGTACAATCAACGCGTCTTCCTTCATCTTAAGAGTCTTAAGAAGCGAGGTCGACAGACTAATTAACGTAAATCGCAACAAGTTAGACGTTGACGTTCACTTACATCATCAAGACAATATCATAAACATTCGAACACTATTAACCGGTGAAGTTAAAATTTAGTAAACCGGTGAAGTAAATTTTAAACTTCAACTCACTAGAGCTGATGACTAAAGATTATTGAATGAATCAAACAAATATTTTTTAAAGAAATAAAGGCAAAAACAGTTAGTAACTGAATTGTGAAGAGTTTCTTCAACTTCATCCAAAAGCTTAATTGCATCACTCACTTGTTTTCCACTTGTGCAAGTGCATTCAGTGTACAAGCATTCGTGCGAAATTCCTCAACATGCAATTGATACAAATCGTAATCGAAAGCGCTCTATAATCGATATCATCTTAACGTTATATCATACTGTAATGCAATATCGCCTTCCATCACATGTCACAATCAACAGTGACTCGATGATTATGTTTCAATTTATATTTCACCATGAAAATACTAAACGAAACAGAAGGAAAAAAAATCGCATAATGACAATATGAATAGTTTTGAGGAAGACGATCGAAGGCGATTGATCTTTTGTATTAATAATTTATCCGTTGGCTATGTCAAGAGCATTATACGCCTTTATAACAGCAATGTTTTTGAAGCATTTTGAATGGAGCTCGAGTAGTTGATCTTTGAGAATCTTCGTGGTCAACCAGAGATAAAAAAGCTTTTAATCGATGTTATTCTCGATGATCATGAAAGATGGGAATAAAAATCTTCTTTTCAATGAGGTTTCGTTTTATTTTCATTGGCGTTTTTTCTTTCTTAAGTCGCTGTCCCACTTACTGACCATTCGACGTATATTTACTGTTTTTTTTTATCAGCAACTTGTTGGTTGATTTTTTTTTTCGTAAAGTGGAAAAAGTGTGTTTTATTTATAAGTTTTTTTTTTTTTTGAAAAAGTTGTGCTTCATTTTTTCCTTTCTTCTCCTCTTGAAATCAAGGCCATCAAGGTGCTTGTTCGCACACATAAACGTTGTTGGCGAGAGGGATATATGATAACCGATCGACTCGTCTTCAATACTTGATGGTATGGTTGAAAAATCAAAATCGGAAAAGTAAACACGATGGACTTCTTCTCTCTACAAAAGATTAAGCAACCTTAAACATTTGGAATTTTATTGACGTTTTTTATCGCTCAGATAAAGGAAAAAAGTTATGATTGCGAAAAAAATATTTACAACAATGTCTTCAGTTCGAGGTGACGTCATTTAATGATATTCATGTGACACAATTTTCTAACACTTGTTCGATTTGGTGTCAAAACGAGCTTTCCGCATTAATAGCAATAGACGCGGAATTTAACAAAGCGAAAAATCATCAAAAAAAGAGATTACGTAAGATCAACAGAAAGCGAAATGTTTAACGAAGTTTTAGCGATTGATAATATTGATCAATGGTATCAGACGCCTGCCAATCTCATAAAAAACAGTTTTAACATATTAAACATTAAACATGACACGATTGAAATTTTAAGAGATCTTTTCGAGCACCGAAACTGGAAGCAAGTTTTAAAAGGAGCGAAACGACACTTGGAATAATCAAAATGAATTGCGAACTTTATATCTACAATTATATATGCAGAGTAAGTTGTGTCTTTAGACTTTTAGACAGTTAAACTGACTTAGAAGAATTTCGAAATATTTTTATATATTTTCATTTATTTTTAAATAAATTCAATACAAACAAAAGCAGTTTGAATTTTATCAACATCGTCTCTTCTTCTCTTCTGTGTTGAGGTTTTTGATTTTCTGTTTTTCTTCTTTTCAAGCGGAATTATTTATCTAATCAAGAATTATTCAATACGTTTCACATGGCAACGAATGACATTAAAACGATCGCGCATATTTTGGATATGAATTTCTAATTAAAAATTCCCCAGCAACACGGACGAATTTAAAGATTCTCAAAGACATTTTTGGGACTTTTCATGATCAAACAAGTTTTTCATCTCATCTTTCCTCTCTTTAATCTTTTTTCTAAGGACACAAATGAAATAACATTCGAGAGAGCTTAAAAGCATGTGACAAAGAAGCGTTTGTATATCTAACGATGGCCACGCATTTACTCAGTACGACGGTATGAATGAAAAATGTTTAAATGAACAGAAACACTAATGAAATGTGTCAATATTGATCATCACTACCCATTGCCATATCTTAAAATCAAATCTAAATCCGCAAAGCATCGACGATCAGATGGTTCATGTCTTTTCGACCAAGGCCCTTTACCGTCATCTGCCTCGTGCTTACTTCTTTCTCATTATTTCTTCTTTCTGTCTCTTTTCTCATTCAAAAAAAAAAAGTTTCAAGACAATTGAAAGGGAAAACTTTTACCATCAAGAAGTGTTATGAAACGTTTGTAAGATTGGACACAGCCAGTACCATTAGCACCATATAAGGTTGAGAGATTGAAATTTTTCTCAAACTTCCAAAAACATGAAATTTCTTTTTTCTTCTTTCTTTTTGTCTTTCCTGTAGCCTCCAGCAACCGAAAAAAAAACCAAAAGGAAAGAACTGAGTGAGAAACTATCAAAAAGCTTTTGGTTTGACTGCTTGGGATTGTTGTTTCGTTTGATAGCAAAAAAATAAAAAATAAAAATAATACAAGGCGATTACGCAAAGCGCACACCGAAAACCGTTTTAACACAGTCGATAGTGCGTAATAAGAGGTTTCATGTGCATATAGATACCAAGTAAACATAATTGTCATTTTCTAGTCTGAGGGTCTTCGTGTTTAACGCAAGAAACTTTAATAGTTTAAACCGGAATCATTAAATGATGGAACACCTCTTTTTGCTTGCTTTTTCCTCAATTAAATCTTAGATTTCGAACATCTTCTGCAAATATTTGTGCGTTCGACCCTTGCTGACGGAAAAACTCAATTGTTAAATAAATCATAAAATAAGAGATATTTTTCAAGTTCAGGAAGTAATGTGAAGGTCTCAAATATCGGATCGTTTTCATTTGATCAAACATTCCTCATAATCGTATTAAAAAATATCCATGAAAAATGTTTTTTCTCTTTTTTGAAAGGTTTTATATTCACTAAACGATTTATCTTAAAACTCTCATCACTGTGTCATTAATATAGAATGCTATTAATATATTTTGCATCTCTCAAGCGATCGGATAAAAGTTCGGAAGTTATTGTTATCTCATGGTTTTCTTCAAAAAACCTCGAGAATATTTTAATTCATCGAAAAGCATGATCATTATTCATCATTCACCAATTAAAATTTTAAAAGACCTCAGATTGGAAGACATAATAAAATATCTTCTTCATTATAGAGAAGAGATTTCTTTTGGAAAACTTTTCTGGCGCTAAACACCAGAAACAATGGAAATGAATAAATTCATCTTCCCACGAAATCATAAAATTATTATGCAGTCTCACTCAAAGTCGAATTCTATCGACATTTAGTATTTAACAAAGAACAAGACCACCAATGAAACAGGTGTTTTGTTGTTCGTTTGGCCTTTTTGATGGTCATCGATAATGACTAAAAGAATCTCTTAACAGATACGAATGTGGTACGAAGCTTTATAGTGCTCATTTAAATGTTTTTAACCATCATTTGTAGGTGTAAAAAATTTTTTTTAGAGATAAAAAAGTGCTGAAAAAAAATACTTCACGACTTTTCGCTTGCGGTCCATGCGTACTATCGATATTAAACGACGACATAGTGTCTTAAAATTTTCTATGTAGCTAACAAACGAGAAAATACACGTAAGTCAAGTTTAAAGAAGAAATAAATTCATTCAACACAACACACGGATTTCGGAGCTTGAAGACCATGAAGGTTTTCTTTGTCATCGACATCTTTAGCTTAAAGCTTCATCCTTCTAACGATGAGAAATATAATTTATTACATTTATCAATATTTGAATGACGAATAAATGAAGACTTTGTGTCTATAATATCTCCCAGTTCATTCTGATTTAAATATCGTCATGTGCTTGATTGAAGATGACAGAAATTTAACTTAACATGTTTGTAAAATATTTTAATTAAAAGATGGTTTTTGGATTCTTGAGCAGGTTTACCATCTTCACATGCCTTTTGTACTTTTTTTAAATAAACAATATTACAGAAGAAATGTCCACCCAAAGACAACTCAATGAAACATGAGAAAACAAAAAAGAAATGAAAATTAAAGAAAGTGACGAAGATAGGCGAAAAAAATTGTAGAAAAAGGCGCACATACTTTAATGCTATGCATAAATACATATCGAGTCACACTAAAGCAAGAGGCCAGCCAGCCAAACCGTTGACGAGAGAAGAGATTGAGAAAGTCCGCAATAATGAAGACAAGGAAAGCTTTATAACAAATATTGGAATATATAGAAAAAAAAAGAGTGCTGTGTTTATATATATTTGGTCGTTGACGACTTGTTTCTTCTCTTTTATTTCAAGAATTTGTAACCTACTTAATCGCTCCACAACAGTCGCTGTATGCACGATGTGTGGTGACTTTGAAAGCGATGAATAAATATTTTTTGACATTTTCTTTCTTTTCATTATCGCTCGCATCGCATTCACTTACTCGCGTCATCTCAAGAAAATGATCAAAATCATTTCTTCTCATTTCAACACGAATGAAAATCGATAGTCGTTTAATGCCAAAGCAGAGGAAACAACAACAGAAAATTTCAACTTTATAATTTTTTTTCTTTCTCTCTTATTTTGAATAAATTTAAAGTCATTTCTTACGCATAAGCTTGTGCTACGAAAAGATCCAGCACTGGCAATACGTTCTACATTTTTTCGCTGCTTAAACTCAATATTTTCTTCTTTGCCTCCGCGCGCCAATTGAAATAAAATGAGGAAAGCAAAGCATCCAGCAACAGCCAGTTTCACGTCTGGTTGTCTTTAAATGAAATTGGAAATCTTTTTCCATTATTACTTTTTATTCGGATTATCGAAAATCCATCAAGTAATGATTTCCCGTTGAAGAGTTTTGTTACACACTTTTTTATTTGGAAGTGATATTTTTTGACGGTGAATCGATCATACATTGTATGATGATACGATGAATCGCGCAATTCAATATCTTTTCTTTCAAATAATGAAGAGTCGAAGAAAAAAAATTAAAAGTGAAAGGCTCGATATATCATAAAAAGCACTCACTACACACATCGATGCAGCGCGTCCGTGTATAGACTCAACGTTGTAAACAGCAAAAAAAAAAAGAAATTTTTTCCGAAAAAACAAACTCTTACTGCATAAAAGTAGTGGACCAATCTGGTATTTCATTTCAATTAAACATAAACTCATTATTTCATGTTTCTTCTTCTCTGAGAAGACAAGAGAAAATAAAAAAAAATTGTTACTGTTTCTGCACTATCATCTCATCTAATGCTACAAGAGTTAAGTTGTTTTATGTTCTTATCTAACATTTTGCATCTTCTTCTTTTCTTACTGCAAAATATTTTTATCCTTTGATGTCATCTTTCATTACTTCTAAAGATCAATTCAATAAAAGTCGGATATTAATCCTATAAGGAAGTTGCTTTCTTTTCTTCATCACTTTTCCCTCGTTTTAATCACTGTTAAGTTTCAATCAAGCTTTTAATTGATATGCAGTAGAAGAGAGAAAAACGTTAAATTTAAATTCCGTTTCTTCATTTTTTTTCTCACTTTCCCACTAAAATTTCTTTATTAAAGGCACTTTGATTTCACATTTAATAACATTATAAAAAGTTATTTTCGTTCAAGCTTCTATAGATAGAAGAGCTGTTTACTGTCTTATCAAGTTTATTATCACCCTTGATTTAAGAACAAAAAAATTCTTATGTCCAGAACAAATGTTATGCAATAGAAATTTCAGTCGTAATTTGTCAACTTTAGGAAAAATGTCAAGCTCACCTGACTGTGTTTGATAAAAGATCCGAATTTATTATTGTGTTGATTGATCCTCATAAAGGGAGAAGATTGTGTTGATTGGGGAAATATAGTTGTACCCAAATTCCTTTTTGATGTTAATGTAACACACTTTTGTTGATTATTAAACAACAAATTGCACAATTTCTCTTGCACCAAGCGACGGGCGCAAACTGCCCGATTCGAACTTACACTCATGATGATCAAATTGTTTCTGAAACGTTACGGCGATAACATTTTTACTTAAGTTTGAAGACTTGAAATTTCTTTGGTAGGGATAACCAAAATACACGAACGACAAATTCAGTGCTGCTTCACATTTCTTACACGATTCTTATAACAAGAATTTTCTAGAACAATTGAAGCACTACATAAGATATCTTAAGATTTCGAACACTTCTGTTTCGATAAGATATTCACTTTTATTTCAGTATATTTTCACAATTGTTTCAAGTTAAAAAAGTTGTCAACATCTGACAACTGAAGCGAACATTGAGAATTGAAGCAAATGTGAGCAACAGCCACGTAGACCAGAATCAAATTTGAAATATTCGTTTGGGATTTTCATTTTTGTGAGTTCAATGAATGATAGTTGTAGATAATAATGTACAAAGCAATATTTTTAATCAAGCATCAAATAAGAACATAATCATATGATTATTACAACATCAGTTTTCTATGTTCTGGTAAGTAATATTAGTTGATATTATTTTTAGTGGAGATTTGTGTAAAATAATTAACGGAAAGTTTTCGTGTTTTTATATTTGAGTTGTAGTATTTTGCTTCAATCATACAGCAAAAAGCGCATTAAAAACATTGCCGAAATATAAAACCAATAAAAAATGAATAGATTTCTTTGTGAAATATCTGCTGTTTTAAGGAACTTTGAGTCGATTTTGTTTGGTCGCTATCCTTTTCCTCCGGGTAAGTTAACAAAAATCATTTAACTCTTGATTTTATAAATATTTTACTTAAATTTATAAATTCTTCAGGAAGTTTAGGATTAATCGTCCATTCACCATCTGAAACAACTACAACACCTCAGCCTTTCTCGATTAAAGATTTCATTGGCGATGGTTTCTTATGGGCAGTGCCCAAACATCGACGTAGTATTGAAGTTCGTATGAAACGGAAATACGGTTCTCCCCAATATAAGATGAAAACTCTCTACGAGAACAAAAAGCTACAAATATGTGATACTTGTGGAAATTATTATGAATCAGGTATCCTGTGTGGATTTTGTTATGATAAAGTTCGCAAAGAAACAACATTAATTAAAGAAAAAATCATGAAAAAGTTACATTTGAAACCGATCGATTCAGATGTTGTTGTTCTTTATGAAGGTGAGAAAGGAGAACATGCTGATGAATTTTGGGAAGGCAAGCGAATTGTTGAGATGGAGAAACCTCGTCCTCAATGGTTTAGCAAAAATTTACTACAGAAAACGACTCAACCAAATGCAACAACAAAAGAAGTAAAACCAGAGGAATTAGGTTAAATAAATGGATTTATTAATATTATAGTTCATGTGAAGCATCCAATTGAAGAAGCTTCTATTAACTTTTAGTGATTTATAACATTTTTCTTAATTAAATATATCAAATGTAAACAAACCAAGTTAACATATGGTTAAATCGTCATTTTGATTCTTTTTTTATTATTTTTTGAAACTTGAAGAATCTTTAAAAATTTCCAACGCTGTGGGAAACAATCTCGAAGTTATGATCAAACTGCTCAAGATCATTTTCATCACGAAAATGTGACTCAACATGCTCTTGAAACTCTTCAAAGAGAATATTTTGAGTGTAAAATTTACCACACATTGGACAAATCTAGAAGAAAAATTAAGTGACATAGAAATTAATTCATTTTGAAAATGAAAAGAGTGCTCACCTTATCAGCTAAATCAGCTGCACGTTTTTGATCATTAAGATCAATGATAATGTTCTCAATTTCAGGCATTTCAAACATTTGAGCCACTGTACGATTTGGCGACTCTGTTTCCATCCGTAAATCTACAGTTAATACTCGATCAGTTTCAAGATTCTTGTCGACCATAAGCGGTGGTTTCTTGGCATTTGCGTCTGTCTTTTTGCATGAGCAAAATTCATTTGCTGAAAAGCAGAAAGTTTGATTAGTAAAAGTATCTTATAAATATGTAAACAAACAACTTACTCTTCATTTTCTTCCAATTACTCAAGGCAACTTTAAGGTCGCTGTTTTGTTTCATTAGTTCTCGCTTGATATTCAGCATTCCTTCTGTACAGGTTTTACTGTCAACATCGAATGTTTCACAGTCATCTGATACAAAATTAATCTTGTCAGTTGTGAACCCGCAATCATTAAGAAGTGAAATATCTTCCAGTTCACTTTCGTCAGGACCAACGAGTCGTTCTTTGAGAAGTTGATGAGGAGAGTTTTGAGTGAAAGTTTTCGATCTAATAAGGTTCTGGCTGGAATGAGCTTTTGTAATTTCTTCATCTCTTATTGAAATTTCATCATTTATGTTTTCTTTTGTAAGTTGACTTAATCTTTTCCATAGTTTCCGATTTTCAGTTGAAATCATTGATAAGTTTTCTGTAAGCTGACTCTTTTGTAAGGTAAGTTCTGCGTTTTTGGCTCGCAATTCTTGTATCTCTGATAAGGGCACATTTGATTGTGACTCATCCTTTTTATCTGAATTAAGTGTATTAAGGCGCAGTTTCGAGTTTTCTGATTCTAAAGCAAAGAGACGCTTCTGGAGATGAACACAACGTTCTTTAATTGTCTGTAAGGCGAGATTTAAAGCCAAAGTGTTCGATAGTAATTCTTTTTGATCTCCCATTTTAAGTTTTCACTAAATCACACGTTCTTCCACAGACAATAATCACAACTAAATATTACTTAATTTACTTTTATTAAAACTTATTTTAAAATAGCCTCAAATTTTATTTTACTCTTTCAATAACCATAGAAAACAAACAATTTCTAATCTTATTTTCATTTCATTCTGTGGACTTGTAGTTGTATACCCTTTATGGAGTTGCCTGAAAACTACGAAACTTAGACGTTTTGAATTTTATTTATACGTTAAAATTGGTAAAAATCATTGAAATTACAAAATAAAGAAAACATCTTGTGGAAGAAGAAATAAAAACAAACAAATTGTTCATTAAAATTTATGAAGTTGTATTTGAACAAGTTAATGAAGACGTCTGTTGCTTGTATATTTCATTAAAATTCTCTACAATAACTAATAATATACGATATATTTTTTCGTTATTTCATTGAAAGGATCTGAAATTGGACAAAAAAAAATTAATGCAAAAGCTTTAGTGATTCACATTATTCCGCTAATGAATATTCGCAAATGAAACATCTTCACAGAGTGAGATTTGTTAATGTAAATAAAATGAAATGATTTACCTAAATAACAAAAAATGGATATTTTGATTGCAGTAAAATCATGCTTTCATTAAGTTGCTTCAAGCAGAAAATTATATATGAAGATCATTAGGGGAATTCCGTAGAGATTCCGTAGCAAAGATCAAGTCTGCGAATGTGATGTGTGATTACTCTCGAACAAAGTTTCAAAGTTCGTTAAACAGCAATAAATTAAAATTGTTAAAACGAGAGTAACTTCAGATTTTAAATTATTTCTTCATATATTCAGACTTTTTATAATGATCAAAATTAAACCTTGACAAATTCACTCTTGATTTTTTTCGATAATGCTATTAAATTTATTCCACTATTACAAATCAATTTCACAATTAAATTCCCAAAAAAATCATCTTGGTAGCAACACATCAACTAGAATTCTCGATTTTAACAATCAACTTCAAATCTTTTTATAAAAATCCCCAAGGTTGACTTAAATGCTTCATCACCTTCTGCAAAAAGTAATTTTATTTTATTTCTTCTTGTTCCGATTTACAAAAATGTAAGAAATGTTCATTTTTTATTAAACTGGTTTATTGTGACTTATATATAATCATTTCCAAATAAATATGCACATAAAAGGTTCTTTCAACTTTATATTCTTAAAAATATTGTTAAAAAAAAAATCTGTTTTGGATGCATGATTTTGCGTTTTTCCGTGTTATAAATCTTCTATTTATGCCTTTAAAATTGCCTAAATTGAATTGGGTTTGGTCTTTCGAGTGACTAATCAGTCATGAGTATGTTAGGAATCAAATACAAAGTAGTGACTTCAGTAGTGAAGTTAATCAATTTCAAGCTTTCTAAAACTTCCTTGTATACCTGTTAACTCTTCATCGGTACAATTTGAAGTCTTTTCAAATAAATCGCTTGAATTCAGAGGAATTTTTAATGTTCCAACAACACAATCAACAATTGGTTTTGGATAAAGATTTCGATTAACTTTCATGTTGCTATAATTTAAAAAGAATTCTTTTCTGTCGTCCAAAATTTTTCTCCACGGATCTGAAAGTAATCGTGAGTAATTTAGAAAAAAGTATTAAGAGAGGATTAACGAAAATGTTTACCCATCATTTCTTTTATTTTCGTTGATCCGCCGTAGCCTTCAGGTAAATAATCTTTATCTATAACATCCACTTCATTGACATTTGTGTAAAACTTTACTCTATCTCTGAGCTTTTCGGGCATATGCTTCATCGCGAAGCTAACAAGGAACTGTAACGATGGATGAACATTGATGCAATGGAAACCTTTGTGTCGTACAGCACACGTTTTCTAAAACAACGTAGCGTAAATAAATATTTAAATTTTAGTTTGTTAATTACTATCTCTATGTGCAAGCACAAACCTCGATATTTTTACCAAACTTATACATGACCTCGAGTGGTAAAATTTGAGCGTGTCTCAAACCTAAGTTGGATACATCAGCGATGTAATTTAAACCTCGTATTTGATTTTCTTCATCGTCCATCAATGTTTCTATTATTAATGTTCCTAATGTCAATAAATCTTCTCCAATCTTCGGAAGACTTGGATCGATTGAAGACATTTTGAAGAAGAGACATTTTCGGCCTAGTTTGTCACGTTTTGGCAGAACTGTAAGCACCTCATTATCGACTAAAGTTTTAATGTTTGGCTTCATATAATCAAGATTAGAAAACCAATCAAATCCGTAAGCTCCTTCACGAAACACTAAATAACGCTCGAGCGCCTCTTGTGCCATGGGAATGCTATACTTTCTAAATCTCAAAAATCTTAAAATGAACTTTGAGTCCATTCGGCACTTTTCGATCCTCGGGTTATTCATTATCCAGTCACGCATGGTTTTAAGTCCATGATTTCTTATTTCTTCAGTTTCGCGCAACTCTTCCTCCGCTATTTTTTTCAACTCATCACTTAACTTGTACTCATAATTGTCGACGGGCGTAATACTTTTCGATTGATACTGAAAGCAATTATAATTTTAGAGAAATGTTATTTTCAAAAATATTTTATAAAAGATTTCATGAACACACCGCTTCCATAGCAACGTTTTCTTCTTTTCCGGTAACTGTAAATATTTCTTATTTTATTAATTAATTTTTTTTTTGGTAATGAAGTTCCTCGAATCTTGTTACTTTCACAAACCTTACACGAGAAGCAATTGAAAAGTACTGAGAGATATTTTTCTTCGTCATTGGATTTTATACTCTACCACAGAAGATGTAAAAAAAACAGTGACGCATCAAATTCGAAATTATCTACCCAAAGATGTTTGCTATAGACAATGAGTTTTACGGTCAAAAGAAAGAAGGAAACAATTGCTTAGAGTGAAAAAATGAAAAAAAACATTCGAATTTGATTTTTTATTGAAGCAAATGAATTTTTTTTTTTGGCATATGCTGAATGTACAAAACATTAATCGGTTATACGATCTACTTTGTGATGCTTTCTGCTTTTGTTGTCCAACGGAAGATTGAAACGTGGTTTTTGCGAAATATTTCTTAATTTCGCAGTCAAATTTCTTCAGAATGTTGAATTGACGAAAAGTTTTCTTAATTCATTTATTTTATTTTTGCATTTTATTCAATCTAATTTCAATTCAAAATTTAAATATGTTTTCTAATTAATAAGTAAACTTTTAATTTGAATATTTAATAGGCATAAATAACAGAACGTAAATTAAAATCTTACATTTTATTTCATATAAAAAGTTTGATGGAAAAAAAAGAAGGAATGCACAAGGAGACAACCTGTAATCTCAGCGTTATGATTCATAAAGAAGGATTGAAGGAAAAAGAAGATCTTCATGATTCAAATCATTTAGAAAAATACAAAGTTGCTTCGGCATTTGATGGTGGTTCCTATATGGGCCTGTCCTTGATCTGATGGTGATGATGATACAAAGTTGTTAAGAATAAATAAATATGTTCTTCAATCATTAAATTTATTGAATTCATTTACAATTGGGCAAGTTTTTTTCATTTTCAATCGATTTCTAATTTTCTGAAGCTTCCTTGAATTCCAAAAACTGTTTCGTCACAACATCGTGAGGCTTTCTCGAATAAATCTGGAGAGTTTAATGGAACATCAAGCATAGAAAAGCTTCCATCCAAACAAGCTTTTGGGTATAAGTTCTCATTGATTTTCATATCCTGGTATTTTATAAGAAGAGGTCGGTACTTCAACAGAATTTCCCACAGTTCTTCTGCAATTAAAGTTCTTTAGTCTTTAACATTTGGGATGAGAAAATAATTCAACTTACTTGACATTTCACTCATTGGAATCGTTCCACCGTATTCCTTGGGAAGATCTCCTTTATCAATGATGTCCAACTCATCGAAAGATGAATAGAATCTCACTCTGTCGCGAAACTTTGGAGCTGTGTGCTTAATAGCCATGTTGATAAGTGTTGTCAAATATGACGGAACATTGACAACATGAAAACCTTTGTGCCTTCCTGCTGTGATTTTTTCGGCACTTTTACAAACTTTCAAGCAATCTTCGATGGGTAAAATCTTCAAATATTGCATCGTAATTCCAGAAACGTCGAGAACGTAAACGACTCCTCGAATCAGAAATTCTTCAATTTCCACCAAACTTTCAACAATGCAAGCAACAGCTGTAAGAATATCTTTTGACAAATCTTTCCCTTGCGGTTTGACATTTTGGCAGCGAAAGAATAAAATTGGTCGACCATGCTGGTCTCGTTTTGGTAAAATACAAACGGGGCTGGAAAGGATGAAAAAAATTTTTGGTTTTGTTCCATTCAAAATTTTCTCAATGATAAAATATTACAAAACTTACTTCACATCAAAGATTTTTTTGACGCTTGGCCTCATGACATCCAAATCATCATGGAGATAATGTTTCCCATAGTAACTGCATTTCAAGACTACATGACGTTCCAGAGTTTCTTGAGTGGAGAGCATATTGTACTTTTTGAATCTAAGTTGTTTAAGTAACCAAATTGCATCCAGTCTTGTCTTCAATATGCGTGGATTTTGCATGATCCATTCCCTCATAGCCTTAAGAGAAAAGTTTCTGATTTCTTCAGTTTCTCTCATTTCTTCTTCAAGTATTTTAAGTAGTTCATCACTTAATGTGCATTTGTATTCATCCACGGGTGTGATGCTTTTAGTCTGATACTAAAATGAACACAGAATTATGAATAGAATTTGATAAGTTCTTAATTTGGAATAAAATAATTTTAATGCAACTTCTTGCTTTGAAAAGGTTTGACAGACTCAAACAATAAAACTCTTAACAACACAAAAAATGTTACATTTGTATTCATGAACGTGACATCGAAATATTAAAACCTGTTTCCAAAAATATTGTGCAATGCGTCACGGTTTTGCCCTCATGTCGCAAATGATGACTTTTGCAAAAGTGGTATGCATTGAAAAAAAAAAAAATTTCAAACGCAGTTGATAAGTTTTGAACCATAAAATTCTATCATTATTTGATAACTATTTTGTAATTCCTTTACAATCAATTAAGACAAATTAAACTTTAACCATAAACATATACATTCAAAACCTTCCAACTCAAGTTAATAAATTGATTTGATATGTTAGCATGATGAAAATAATTTTTTTGTTTAAAGTTTTTCGAATTTATAAAACTTAAATCATAAAATGAAGTAATGAAAAATATTCAATTGGAACTCA